CGTCGAGGACTATAGTTGGGACTTTGACGTTCCTCTGTTATTGGTTCTGTCTTATAGTTCCCCGGAACCATTTCGCGTCGGGATAGCGTTTCATCCGCGGGATACGCTGCGAGCCTTCCGTTTCCTCGTGTAAACGGTTCAACGCGTCTCGGCACTTATTCGATTACGATTAAGTAATTGGTTTTGCTTCCGAAGCACTCGGAATCGCTCGCGAGGCTTACTCCTGGGACGCGATCGGAACGAACTCCCGAGTCGAGCACGAGTAATCGATGTTTGCGGGAAGTCGAGTCCCTTGACCGGAAGATCGCAAGGCTAGGAATGTGTCCGGTGATCTTCACCTTTTAAGTTTAAGACAATGTCGCTCGATTAAAGTTAATACCTAGGCATAAAACGGACATGACGTTCGGTTACGTAGACTGAGAATTTCCATTTCACGGCTGATTTGGTGTAAGCGCCGGTACCTGAGCTTCTTTCGAGTACGGCTTCATTTATTGCGCTTTGGCAAACTAAATCAATCCTAATCACTTTCCTGTATTAATCCGATGTACTGTGATATCGTTTTGGCCTTGATAATTCGTGACAAACGAGTCATTTTTATTTCTGACATCGGACATTCGATCGTACCAGCGAAGCGCAACAAATTCCGTCATATTCCGTGTTAAGCTTTGGGGCGATCGTTAACACCGAAACAGCCGTTGCCATAAAAAAATTGCTTTCATGAATTTTAGATTCAGTTGAACGCGAAGGAAAAAATAGCGAACCGACGCAGGCAAGACATTTTCATAGCGGAAATCGTGCTTTATATATCATTTCTAGTTTTTATATAATACATATAAAAGAATTATATCATGATATATGCACGTCACACTATATATAATAATACATATGTACACGTTCGAATAAGTACTTACGGCGAGAGAAACCAGCGATCCTACTCATGGGAAATATGTAGAGAAAGTGCAGACGTTAAATGTAAATTCATTATCGGTACGTATTTTGCACTTATCGCCTGTACTACCTTTCCCTGTATTTTCTATGAGTAGCCTTGCCAGATATTTCTCGCATGTGCATTATTCCGCATGTGCATCTATTTTATTTAGTAAGAGAACTCGGTGCAACTGCTCCTAGGAAATATATCAAGAAGTACTATAAATGACGAACGAAACGTACTAGTGGTTTGTGCCCGATATATCGTAATATATGCTATCTAGAGACCACCAGATCCGTTTATAGAAACAAGTTTTATATAACTCGAGGGGCATTGTTCACACATCAATAGTAACACTTAATATACAGCAAATACTATTTCTATACGATGTCATCGAATTCTCCCCGTATATTTCTATGCTATACATATATACATGGCAAGTGATAAAAGTGGAGCAAGTTGCACCTTCGTTTGCATACGAGGTAAAGAAATAAGAACCCAGAAAAGGTAGTCTGAAAGATCTCACAGATAACATTTCGTATTACTATATTTTCATATATACTTTTTGCTTTTACGTCGGGAAATGCTTTTGCCGTAAAGTGCATTCGAAGATAACTGTTGTAGAATTGTAGTTTTACGAGACATCCCCTTGCATCCTTTTTTGTCAAATAGAATTTTTCATATAGCACATAACAGTTAAAGTATACCGATACTTTAAATATATTCTTAAAATGTAACAGAGATATTCTTGTCACGTATGGGTCGTGTTGTCGCTAAAAAATTTAACCATAATCACCCTACTCCCCATTTTGTAGCAAAAGTAAGTCTTCCTTAAGGACTTGAGAAACATTGTATACACTTGAAATTAAATGAAATAAAAGCCATGCGATATTTTAAATAAGTCTAACTAGGAACACACAAAAATAATAGCGGAAATAATTGTTTAACCTTAAATTAAATTTACTAACTAAATCTGCCCATCGATAAAATTACAAACGTAGCGTGTATGTAATAACTTAGATACGACATAAACTGTAAAACGTAAACTTTTCAACGGAATACCCTACTACGTTAAAAAGTATGATTTAAGGATAACAGAAGTCAAAATGAAATCTAAACTTTCGTTTACATTTTTACAAGCTTCATGCTTTTGTATATTATATAAATCGTTTTATATAATATATAAGCACATTTAGAAATGAACGTTAAGTAGTAGATATCATATATGATTATATAAAAATGTGTACATAAATATATAACAAATATATATAATTAAATATATGTTTCACGTTATATAAATAGATTTCTCAATAGTTTAACAATTCTGTATAGCTATTACGACATTTAGCATAACGAAACAGAAACCGAAGTTTAAGTGTTGGACATTAGTCTTGTACTACAGGTGTACATAGCACAATATACTCTGGCATAAATAACTTCAACTAGCATATAACAATTTCCTTTGACTTAAAATCAATCAAGTTCAGTTCATTTGAATATCCCTTCTGACCTACAACAGCTATTTATAATAAATTTACATAAATGTTAATATACTTTAAAATCTGTACCACCCGTCTTCTTTACCTCTTTAATATACTATCTACAAAGCATCAACAAGTTTGAAATACTATTGTTTGAACTATTAATATGGACCATTCTTTCACGTCCTTCGATGACCAAATGTAACAACCGAGGTTGGCCCTCTTTATAATATTACAAAACTTTAAATACGTCGTTTAATTTACACAAGTCCTGTCGTGTCACTTTTTCGTAGATGGTATTAAGTAACAAATTAATACATTAAAAGCTGCACGTGTAATGTTTCGTAAATCGCTCCCGTGATAAATATTTTGTTTTAACACATTATCTTTTGGCTATATAAAAAGGTAGGATCACAATTCTTCAATATGATATCCATCAGATAGTTCAACAACTTTTCGACGTTTCTTTACCTCTTCTCTATAGAAACACAAGCGGCATCGTACTTATGACTCGACCTGCATAATCGAATACTCTCTACTAGAAAAATGTCTTGCCTGACCCGCGGATACGGATATTTTCTAATAAAATTACGCGTAGGATGCGTAACAATAAAAATAAATACATGAAACGATGCGTCACCGTGACATATCGGTTAACAAGAACGGCTCGGTGCACTCATCGCTAGAAAATAGTAGATAGAATCCTTACAACGAGATAGTAGATGGTCTTTATCCCATGCAGAAGTGACTCTAGAATCAGTGACTAATTATTAAGTGAAACAAGCCGATAGTCGATTCTTATTACCTTAAACATTACTCGAAACGTTGACTCTCTCCCGAGCCTCGTATATAGTTTATGAATTATCATTCTTTAATATATACATGTGTGTATAATTGTGGTCTCTTCGATTCCTCCCGTTCGCGGTCCACCTTAGGACAATCGATAAAAAGCTATATAGAGTTGAGTAGAGTTAGGTAGACTCGGAGTAAATGCGTTAAGTGTTTAGAAGTAATTGCAAGTAGTAAGAATCTATCTCCACCCCCTAAATTTGCAGTACCAACTCGCGTTACCTTAGAGTTACTTTGCCTTTACGCATTGAGATTAGCTAGCGAGTTTGAGGAATTTACGCGTACGCGCCCAATTAGACACGGCTCCCATCAAAAGCACACCTTCCTTTAATCCCGGACGCGTAAACAATTAACCAAAAATTTAAGTAAACGGTTACCAACGAACGATTCCTCGAGCCGAAGAAACGGGAAGAAAACCCTTAACCCTTTGGCCCTTATCGCCCCCGGTGAATTGCAATCATCCCCTGCATCCATCGTCCGGCAATCCCTCCTGCGAAATGGAACAAAACGAAATCCTAAACCCGACACGACTTCCGGAAAATTGAAAAGAACCCACAACCGAGCATAACGGCTAGCCAGGACTCGTGTGCGAGGTGCAGAATCGATTCGAGTCGTCCGTGCTAAGGACGATGGGCGGATCGATGGGAAACTCGCGTTTGGACTTCCCGTCTACGCGCCTTGGCCCAACAACGGGACGAATTCGAAAGACAGCCAAGAGGGAGTCGAAGAAGACCCAAGGAGCCGTCCATCGACGTCCAGGAACTTCCTCGGACTCGGAAACCCCTCCGAAGGAGTAACTTCCATCTTCCGTTCCTTCATCTTAGGTCGCAACATCCCCCAAATCGATCGCAGGCTACTCGTCTAAATTTAGCCCCAGAAGCGTTTTGTTTCGACTCTCGGTTCAACGAACGTCATCGGCGCTTCGCCGGAACTCCTCGCTCCAGATATCCCGATTCGCGTTTCCGAGGCCCCGGAGTGCAGGAGCAGCACCGCCCTCGAGGAGCGTTTCTCTCTCGAGCGAGTACTTGGCCCTTTTCCGGGTGCGCGTCGGTTCCCTTCCCCAAGAGCGGCTACATCGCACCAGCAGAGTTCCTAACGTCAACGGCAAAGGTAAAGAGACAAAACGGGAATGACAAACCCGGCGGAATAGCGGAATACATTGTCGGAGATAGGTCTCCGGATAGGGGAGGTCAAGACACGTAGGCGATATCCGAGAGTTGAACGCGACGAGGTAAGACGAGACCGAACCAAAGTGCCGATCCGAATCTCGAGGACTCGCCAGGTCGCTACTCCGATCGCGACCCCTGACCATTCCAAGGCTCGCGCCGTTATAAATATTGATTTCCTAAGGTAAACGACGATGTAACGCGTGCGACTTAGATTGGTCACGTTTGACCCTTTTCCTTTATACGAGTGAGCCGACGGAGGGTGCGGCGGGATTTTTTACAGGCTAGCCTGGACTACCGCCCGTTGGCCGACACGTGCCAAACGTCGTCGCAGAGGACAGAGGAGGCTGGGAAATATTTCCAAGTCGGGGAAACTGACCGAGGCAGATTTTCTAACGAAGGGGCCGGCCCCTGTCTTGGTCGGGAAAGCTCTTCCGAGCACGAGAGGGCATCGAGACTCTTACGGGAGACGTCGGATTTCCGCCTAAAGGGAGCCTGGCCGCGTTTTCGACATTTTCCTCGACGAGGTCCGAGGATCACGAATGGCGACCCGGGGAAGGCCTCGACTCGGTTCGATCGTCTCTTCGAGCGAGCTCGACAGGGCTAGGAGAAATAGACTTGGCTTGGCTTAGCTCGGTTGTGCTCGGCGCCCTTAGCACCCTTAGCACGAACGCTCGTCGGCGACCCGCACCTAAGGTTACACGGAGTCGCCCCTTGACGAACTATTAACATCGCTCAGGTATGTATATATGTATATATGTATATGTATATTTTTATGTCATGTGTATATATATAGAGATCTGACGGTTTATACATATGTACAATCATTAAAACGGCGCGACGCGACATAATGGCAATATAATGCAGTGTGTAGGTCTCTCTCTCCCTTTCTCTGTCCTGCTCGCGCGAGGCCCGTGGGACCGATATCTAAACGGGACACACGAGGATCTCGTATTCGAACATGAGCGAGACGGCGACAAAAGCGAAGTAGAGGAGGAACATGGTGAAGCCGAGGCCCTTGTTCATTCGCCACTTGAAACAGGCGATACTCATGATGACGAACAGCAGCATGCAGAACAAGATCGCTATGCTGCACACCATGCCCACCGAGTTCACCTCCACGGGTTTCCCGTAGATCAAACCGTAGAGCAGCCATGGTACCGGAAGCCTGGGACAGTCCAACGCGGGGATGCGTGTTAATCGATTATCGTGTCAGTTTGTTGCACCGAATTTTTTTTTTTTTTTTTTTTTTCACTGCAGTCGGATCTCGAAATTGGCTTCAAACGTGCCGAGCGATTCGAAAATTTTCGTCACTCGCGGGTTCGACCGGTTTTGTTAATTCGAGCAAAGAGGCACGGATTTAAATGTGCCACCGATAATTCCACCCTTTTTATGAACTCGTAGGGGTAGAGCCGGATGACGACCTCCTCTTACCGGAAAGGGGTGATAAGGTGGATTTTCCCCCGGGACGTTTTGCTCCGATTTCGCCCCTTAACGTCGGAGGCTCGTAAAAGCGGAAAAAGAAACGTACGGTGCATCCGGGGCACGACGTCGTACCTCCGCGGCTACGGCGTGATTCGTTTGTCCGGAAGACTTAGCAAATTTTAAAAGAAACTCCACGAGTCCTCGAGAAAGACCTCCCTTCGCTCGAATTAATTTCCAACGCCAATGCGTCGTAACTCCTTCGAGGGCGACAAATCGATCCCCCAGGAAGTCTCCGATTGCTCGTCCCGATCGCCGTTGGCAGCTGTGAAATCGTGATCAAAGAGAAACGGAGAAGACAGTGGCTATGCTCACCCAACGGTAACGTCGAAAATGTTGCTTCCAACGGAGCTGGACACGGCCATGTCCCCGAAGCCCTTCCGGGCGACGATAACGCTCGTTATCAGGTCGGGGATGCTAGTCCCGGCCGCGAGAAACGTAAGGCCCATCACTTCCGGTGGAATTCTTACCGTGTCACCGGCGACGTCAGCCCACCAAACCATCAGGTACGAATAAATAGCAATCCAGAAGATCGAGCCTATGAACGTCAGCGCGAAGAACCTTTTACCTGTAATTCGGAGACATATATTCATCTTAGGAACGATTAGACAACGTTTAAGGAAAAATATCCCGACGGGATTCTACCGCACGTCATTAGTTGGTGCACTCGGCTTCCGGAACATTTATCTCGCGTTGGGGATCCGCTTCGTGCGGAAAAGGGACAGGACTACGTTCTTATACCCATCTCTTTTCAGCGTGATCCATCAAGGAGACCTTAGCCAAAGTGGTGGCGGTATATCTTTGGATCGTTGGCCTCTGGCCTATATTCCAGTTAGTAATTTAGTACACTAGCACGGGCCAACGTAAAGATACGAGCTTACTCGGTGGTTCTCTTTGTGCGACTTCGCGAGGACGAAAATCCCGTCTCGGCGTTGTCGGCGGTGTTCCTCGCGGAATTCCCGCATCGATACGCCATGAGCGGATAAATTTGTCACGAGCCATTCGGCCGATATACGATACCGCCTCGAGCCGGTGAGACGTCTTCGCGTACTTGGCCCATTTTCCCGGTTAAGGAGTATCGCACGTACCCGCGAGTGCAGCCGCATAGGACTAGGAATTCTCGCGAAAGAAATGTCGGATTACCTCGCGGTTTGCGAGTATCCGGTAACGTCAGCCATAAGGGAAACAGGATAGGCGCCACCAGAACGTAGGTCAGCCTCTTTCTAGAGCTGCTAGGCCAGCTCATGTCTAGGCCCTCGGGAGGCTCGTCTTCGTCTCCCTGAAATAGACGAGTCCTTGGTCACTCGAAAGGCCGACGTCTCCAGGCAAAGGGCCTTCGCCTTCGTCGAACGATCTTACGCTAGGATTATCCCGGCCCCGAAATTACGCCCGCGGGAAAAAAGGTCATCCGAAGGAAGAGGGACGGGCTGAAAAGAATGGCCGATGGATTTCCCGGCGGGAAGCGAGACTGACCGATTCGTGGCCGGCGTCGGGGCCGGAGGCGATGCCGCCGTTTGGAAGTTCCTGAATGCCCGCAGTGGTCCCCGCTGTGGTAGTCGTGGTAGTGGTAGTGGTGGTGCCTTGAGAGCCCTGCTGCAGCTGAAGAGTGGTCTCTTTTGACGCCGTCCCGGAATAATGCGCAGCCCTCGAAGTTGCCGCTCCATTCTGAGGTTTCGTCACATTCAGCAACACCCTCAGCGACGCAATGGCGTGCAGTCGCGTGGCCTTCTCGTCGACCTGGCCTGAGGAATGAAAATCGAGGATGAGTCGATGCTCGAGGACGGTCGCGAGACCCTACGGGACCTCGCGCTGGGTGTGCGCTCATTTTCCGCAAAAACTCGGAAAGGAATACCGCGCGGCGCCGCCGCAGGCGCGATCCCCGCGAAAAGTGGCGTCGAAAGTTCCTTTTCGAAAATCCTCCGTGACCGGAGGGTCCCGAGATATTTCGAAATTAAGTCGACCAATCGCGGGGCGACCTCGCGCCAGGGGGCGGGGCCTCGCGCGAGGCGCGCCGCAGTGGCCGCAGCGAGGTGTCTCGGGAACCGTCGCGCCCGGCGAAACAAGCAAAATGCTTCCTCCTTTCCCATTTCCCCGGGGTTACGCAGCCATTAACTACTCTACGCCCCGGGCAAACCAATCCGAGAATCGAGGGGCTTCAAGTAAACCCGTTGGAAAATTCTACGAGTCTCCGCGTTGCTTTATTTTTCGAATTAAATAGAATACGCGGCTAAAAGTGGCGCGACGATTCCAGGTGACTTGGGAAGCCCAGCGCCCCTTCGTTAGGAAGAAGTGCCGTCTTCCAGGCCATTGCGGGGTCCACCCCTTCCGGCAAATGCGTGCACTACATTTCGTCACCTGTCTGTCTTACAATTAGAGTCGACTACGAGGGTAACGCGGCGTGCAGTGCGTGCAGTAAAACAACTATAAAGTGACACCAAGTGTCACGGGCTCGTTTCGTGACGCCGAGCGAAGTCATGCCGAGTTCGTGCACTGTGCTTACGTCGACGCTCGCAATCGAGGACCTGTAAACCACAAAACGGTCATATACGTCCCGGGGACGGATCTGAAATATTAGAACGTCATCGTTAAGGTTCATCGGGTTCGCTTTAACGTCCCCGCGTCAAATTGGCCCGGGGATATTAAGTATAACCGAGGTGGCAATGTCGCGGAAACCTCGGTTAAATCGACACTTCGGGCGCCGGAAACGAGAGCTACTCCTTTTTTTTTCCCCTCGAATCGGGCCGGCGGTCAGCGAGTACCGATGCCAGGAATCGAGCGTTTCGAGATCGCGACCGCGAAGGGGTAGCGCCGGTCGTTATCCCGTAAGTGGAAACGCTCGAGCGGTGGTCAGACGGCGGACCGCGGCGCGCGCGACCCCGCGCGAAAAGGCTGTATCGATCGATTTCTCGAAGAGTAAAAAAAAGAAAATAAATAAAAACAAGGCCCTCCTCAAGGTGAACAATTTTTCATCTTCAACGGACAAACCGAGACGGTGGTCAGACGGCGAGGGAGCGCGACCCGCGCGAAAAGGCCGCGTCGATAGATTTCTCGAAGGGTAAAAAAAATTAAATAAATAAAAACGAGGCCCTCCTCAAGATGAAGAATTTTTCGTTTTTGACGGACAAACTGAAACGGTGATCAGACGGCGACTGAGCGCGACCCCGCGCGAAAAGGCTGTATCGATTGATTTCTCGAAGGGTAAAAAAAATTAAATAAATAAAAACGAGGCCCTCCTCGAGGTGAAGAATTTTTCATTTTCGACGGACGAATCGAGATGGTGGTCAGACGGCGAACGAGCGCGACCCGCGCGAAAAGGCTGTATCGATCGATTTCTCGAAGAGTAAAAAAAAGAAAATAAATAAAAACGAGGCCCTCCTCAAGGTGAAAAATTTTTCATCTTCAACGGACAAACCGAGACGATCGTCAGACGGCGAGGGAGCGCGACCCGCGCGAAAAGGCTGTATCGATCGATTTCTCGAAGGGTAAAAAAAAAGAAAATAAATAAAAACGAGGCCCTCCTCAAGGTGAAGAATTTTTCATTTTCGACGGACAAACCGAGACGGTGGTCAGACGGCGAGCGAGCGCGAAAAGGCCGCGTCGATGGATTTCTCGAAAGGGAGGAAGAAAAGGAAATAAAAACGACACACCCTCCCCAAGGTCAAGGATTTTCAATTTTTGACAGAGAAACCGAGACCGAGAGTCCCCTCTCTCCGGTTCGCGCGCACAATGCGATAAGGGGCGGAACCTTGCGGGGGAGGTCGCAATAAACGAGGGTCGTTTCTAATTAACGGGCAGAACTCGACTCGCGGGTGAATCCGGGCAAATCCGTGGAAAACGGGGCCGATCCGCGCGAGCCTCGGCTCCCGAAGATGGAGCGAAAGGTGAAAGCTCCGAGGGTGGATTCGCTGGTTGGGATCGATACGGCGCTTTCTAGGTCACGGTCTCGATACACTCGCGGCTCTCCGGTGCCGGGGATGCACTCGAAACGGGCCACGAATTCATCCGCCGACCGCCCCTCCCGCTTTGTGGCGCGCGAGGGCACGGCGCGTGCGTGCGCGCGCACTCGCGGGCACTCGAGCGCTCCCGGGTGCGCGCGCACCGGCGCACGTGTAGGGGCGAGCGCCCTTAGCTGTAGCTTAGGTGTAGGCGCGATTTTTCCTCGCGTTCTTCCAGAAGCGTGTATACGTAGAGACCGCGCGTGTACATTTATATACTACGGTGGAGTGCACGGTATAGTGCACGGTAGAATACATGGTATAGTACACGATAGAGTGCACGGTATAGTGGCGATAGGCACCCCGGGGTGCCGTATACCCCGCTAAAAAATATATCTCAATTTTATGACACTTACATTTACATACTTTACTAACACGTGTTATACATTTAATACATAACCCTACCGATTTACCGGATTTAAATCGCGTTAGAAAATGACCTACCAAGAGTGCCTGGATCTTGTGAATATTTTTAGCAGGATATAAGGGTGGAAAGACCCGGCCGAACCCTTGACGGGGCTCCGATCATTTCACACGTAATCCAGGAAAATGACGGGAGTTTTCGGCCGCGTCATCAAAAGTATTCCTTTCGCTTTCCCCTCTTCCGGGGACTTCCCCCTCGAGTGGAGGAACCCTCCGTGTCCTTAGGGAGCTCGGGTCGGGAGTTTTCCACGACCGCGGAAAATCACGTTCTCGGTTCAAAATGGCCGAGGTCGATCGACGAGGTCTCGCGATCGATGCTCGAGTGGTTCCCACCTCTGGCTCGGTCCTTCTCGCCGACTCGCGACGCCTCCACTCGTTCGGGAAAAATCTTTGTCTTTGGCCCGTTCGAGAAGCGCCGGTCCAAAATTGGCGAGTCGATTCGTCGTCGGGTGACCCGTCGACGGTGACCCGACGAGGGATACGCGACGTCCCCGACGTCGGTTATCGAGGAGGAATTTCACCCCGGCGATTGTCTCGCATCGTTCAGATTTATCTCCGTCCTCTCATCTTCTTCTCCTCCGGCATCTCCGAGGACCCCGTGGTCTTCGGCGAACAATGACCTCTCGGTACTTGCTGACGCCGCTGCTTACGATAAATAGTCGTGCTAATTCAAACGGAGCATAAAAGACCGCCGAACAAGGGAGGATATCTCTCGTATCTTTTAACCTTTTATGCCCCGAAGGGATTCGCGATTCCCCTCCGCTCGACGTATTTTATATCTATGTATATGTACATCTATGTACGAGCCTCGGTGCACCGTTGCGCCCGAATCAAAGGACGGGACCGCGGGCTCTCGTTTCCGGCGAAACGTTTCCCGAAACGCGGATTCGTCAACCTTTTGACTCGCCCCGTCAAACGGCAAAGGGAAGTCCCGGGTTAGGGAGAAAGAGAAGAGGAAACATCGAGGGAAGATTGGAGACCTTCGGCGGGTCCCTCTCGTTCCTCGACTGCTCCCACGGCGTTTCGCGTCGATCCTTTTGTCAACCTCTGGCCGATTTTCCCGACAACGGATTAAGAGCGGACGGATGATGCCACGTTATCGTCGGCAGCCCTTTCTCGAGACACCCTTCGGGTGACCATTTCGGGAGCTTAGTCCCCAAAGGGGACAAATCCCCCGCAACGAGGACCACGTTTCGACCATATTTCCTCGCGATTATTCTACGACCTGGTTCTTGTTTGGAAGAGGATTTGTCTCCTTTTTAAATAACCTCGTCGTTGTTCTTCGCCCGCTTGTTGCGTCCAGGCATTATTACCGGGGGAGAATCGCCCCGTTATAACTTTTCGTAATTGCCGGTACTTAATGGTACCCGTTGCACGAGATTCCCCGAGCTTAGCAAGGAGGGCCGCGAAAGTACGGCCTATTTGTACTAAATTTATTCCAGCCGGACTGGAAAATATTCAACACGTGTCCTTTTCATACGTGCCAAGAAATGGAATAAAGGGGTGAAATCGACCCCTAAATTTCAGTTTAGAAAGCGGTCCCGCCGTCGGGGCATACCTTGGGTTTCGGACGCCCCGAGGGAACTCGGGATCGCCCGGTGACGCGAGGAAGCGAGTGCTCGCCGAGGAGGGACCAAGCTAACCGGAAGGCGAGGAGCGTGCGAACGATACCATCATGCCAGCGAGCAGCAAACGAGAGTGATAGAGAGTGTGGAGGGTATACCGGCGCGGGACTGACCGTCGTGGAGCGGATCGATCGTGTGGATCATGAGCTGCAGCAGGCCGTGCCTGAACTTAGCGTGACTCTCCCTGGTGGAGTCCGGGGTGGCGCCGCTGGCGCCCTGGTCGCACCCGTGCCCGCTGCCCCCGCTGCCACCGCTGCCGCCGCCCCCGCGGCCGCTGCAACCCGGCTCGCCCGGCATGGCCATGCCGCCCCCGGAGGCGCATGCCCCCGACACCCCGCCCACGCTCGTCTCGCTGCTGTTCGTCGCGTTCTGGTGCTGCTGGAACACGATCGACAAAGGGACACTTAGTATCCTGAGGGTCGGCTCGATTTCCCGACCGAAGCGACCTCCGACTCTCGGAGGACGCTTCGAGTCGTGGGTGGACTCTTCGGGAGAGAGGGCGCATTCGAGCCCCTTTAAGGATTCGGACGTGTCCGTACCTCGGATTTCGGCCGTTCTCTTGGATCCGTAAATGCATTAACACGTTCCCTGCCAGACCGTTTTTTGAAGACTTTCCGTTCAGGCCGCGTGGGGCGTATACGCCCCACGATCAAATGAGCGCATCAGCAATAGCATTAAGATGCCCATAATTGACTGCATAATGAATTTTTTTAAAATTCTTCATTTTACAATGATAATACCAAATGGCTTGAACGGAAAGTTCAGCGTGGGGCGCACACGCCCCACGCGGCAGGGAACGTGTTAAGGTGATATGAATGTGTATATACATACCGAAAAGTCAAGGTATTTATAATACTTTTTTTCCAAATTCGGTGCACCGAGTCAAATGAAACTTGCGAGGACGCGTCGCGACGCCGCTCGGGCAGGCTCGAGTGGGCCTTAAAGGAGGCCCCTGAAAGAGGATACGAAATGCCGGAATTGGAAAAATCGAGCCGAGCTTCCGCTACAAATTCTTAGGCTAGAGCTAGGGGAGAATGAGAGGCTTTCCGGTTCTTCCTTTCTCTGGGGGAGAAAGAAAGCAGGAAATTTCGGACCTCGGATTTCAGGGTCCCATCCCCTGGGGGCAACCGCCAGGGGATGCGTCACTCGCTACCGTTCGTGGTATGTTCAGGGAATGCTGGGACACAATCGACAAAGGGACACTTAACATCGACTCGTCGCTCGACGAGCCAATTAACCGCCCTCGACATTCGGCGCTAAGCTAATTAGTTCGTTACAAGCTGCTCTACCGGTGGATTTTCTTTCTCCGGAGGTCTACTGGGGTCCAAGCGAGCGGGCATTCTTCGTTAAGTGCCTACGGCTTTTTGATTTATATCGAGCGATAATCTCCACCAGGATCGATTTCTTCTACTTTCGCTTTCAAACAGAACGGGTGCTCGACCTGGAGAACGCACTCGAAAAATCAAACTGGACGTTTTTTTGGACGAGCTCAAATCCCGGAAAACGCTCAGGGAGAGACTCAAAGGTGGCTGGATGCGTAACGATAAATCGTTGCGACGAATCGGTGCGATCGATCGAATTTCATCGAGTGGACCGACGCCATGGTAGATCGCGATTTGTCTGCACGGATTACGAATCGCCACGATTTATCGTCACGTGGATGGACACCTTTAAAATTCCCGCCGATTACCCTCGCGAAAAGTTTGAAAAAATGTAATGCCTCTTTCGATCCGGAATCCGTTCTCGTTGAGCCAAGAATGAAAGTTGAAGGAAAGCTCCAACTTTTATTAACAAGAACTGGGAAAACTCAAGAAGCCATTTCATTCGTTCCGACTAGTTGGAGGTTATCGACGCGACGAATAATTGCGAGTCGGAATGAACGTTGCGGTCTGCGAAATAAGGAGATGCGTAATGTACCCGATCGCGGATTAACTTTGGATTATCCTGGCCCGAGAGCACTCTCGGGAACGATAATTGCGCCAATTAATATTCGCTAATTGCGGACTCGTTAAGGGGCAAACTGGCACCGGAGCTTCAAAGTATCGATGCAAGTGACGACCGAACACCCTCCGATAATGATTAAGAACGACAACGACAAGGACATTTATCGCAAAAAGTGACGAGTAAACGCCAGCCGATTTAAAGGGGATGAAAAATCTATACGGGAAGAACGGTGGGGGTTTTTATTCTAATTTTAATTCTAGGGACTTCCATGCAAGCACAACATTAAAACAGATACCATTAATACAAATCGTATGCACTGCAGCTCGTTTCAGGGGAATTACTCTGGCGTTAATGAAATTATCACAGGCGTTCGCTTTAATCTACGGCGCAGCGTTTAGGTTATATTTTTCAGGTGCTTTATGCACTTGGCCGCGCAATTGTGCTCGTGCTGGGAGCTTTCCACGGAAATAATGTAGGGAGACGCTACCGAAAAAAATTCGCGCTACGAAAGGTCCCATTTCTATGGAGAAAACGGGGAATTAATGAAAGCGACATTCCCGGAGTCTGAACGACTCGCGACGACGTCGAAAATGTTTATGGAAGCGCTTTTGACTCGTTAAAGCCCGCGTAAAGGAGAGGAAGGAACTTCCGTCTGATATTTTCGAGGGTTGCGACAAGGAGACGAGAGCACTCGAGTCGAGGAATTTGACGATCAAATATCGCAAGAATAACAAAGGCCCGATTGGCTCGGAATTTATCGGACTCGGCCTCCCTTTCCCTGCAATGCCCTCGCTCGGATGCAAGTAACGAATAGGACTCCACTATTAATCGAGACATCAAAAAGCTTCTACTCGCAGGTCGCGAAACATGCCGAACACCGAATTCATGCTCGTTAAAGATCTAGAGAATTAAAAATCACCGGTAGGACCAGTCGGAGACCATCAATATATACTGCGAACACCCGTGCTTGGCGTGCAATTACACCGTAACCGATCATGCAGAGACATCGTACCCTCTCGGTACAAGGATACAAGACGATCGATTGAATGGCTAGAAAATGCGCCGATTAAGGGAATCGTTCCTTCGGGGGTTACTTTAGAAACTGGGTTGACGACTTTCTTCGATTCTCTCCGAATTCGGTCCAGGGATCGAAGCTCACCTGGTGGAGAGATTTCATGCCCCCCAATTGGCATCCTTAAAGGGATGTGAAAGTGACGTCAAAGAGGTCTTATTAATGAATCTTTTCTCCGAACCGGGAGCACCGAATCATCTCAAACTGGACCCAAGAAAAAATTGAAATTTAAAAAAAATTCCTTTATCGATACTTTTAAAATTTTTTATAAAAAATTGCATGAGAGTCAGGACCTTCCTCGTGGCCTCCGTGTTCACGATGTAATGTTTGAAACGATTCGGTGCACCCAGTTCGGAAAATAGTTTGATAAACGATTGGCCCCTCGGGTGCCACCTGCACATCCCCTTAAATGCACATGCAATCCACGGATCCTCGCGAAAAGGGTCGGCAAGGAAAGGGGTCGGGCATCGAAAAATAACCGCCATCGTATGGAGTAATCGGGGACGGAACAATCGTAATTACGGATAAAACGGAGAGCTCTAAGCCAACGAGGAATCGAGGGACATGCGACTCACCAATGCCTGGGCGGCGCTCTGGTGCTGCAAGCAAGAAACACCGAGTTACAATTTACGTTCACATGTATGACACGGTACGTGGAGGAATAATTTGTCAAGAAGGAACGACTCGGCGTTATTTCCTCCCCGGAATAATGCGCTGAGCGAAAACGCACCCGATGTACTCGGTACTTTCGTCGCATGCCAAAGCTTCGTAATAGCAAGGTGCGTTATGACCCACTCAAGCTCGACACGATTTACGTACGCATAACTCAATTTTCAATGCACATCTCTACGTTTCGGGGGTCGTATTTGTCGCTCCCCTAATCGCAACGGCGTAAACGAGGAGGCGACACCGATAAATAATGGCAATAAATTTAGTAGACCATTCCTCCGAGAGACTCGCGACCTCCCGTTGAGTTTCCGAATTTACGACCGGTCGTCGCGGGTCTTTTTAAACTGCCTGGATCTACGTACGGACCAAGGGTTACAGAATTGAACCGACGTTAAATATCAATACGATCCGATTATTTTTCGGGTCGAGTAATTTTTTATCCGCCTGCGCGCGTCTCGATATCTCCCGATGGGATAATTTGCGAGAAATTTCCCACCATCCCGAATCGGTTGATTAAGAGAACTCGTCGGTTAGCCCGTAACTTCGGCCACGTGAAATCCGTCGAGCGGCACAAAAGCTCGGTCGGTTAACCGGATAATTCCAATGCCACGCGGGACAAATTACCGCCGACACTTGCCGCTTTATTAAAGGTTATTAAAATATTCCCGGGTAGGTGAGAGTTAAGCTGCGCGTAACGCTGACCCAGTTGCGAGGGTCTATAGGACGTTCCTAAAGCACGCGCTATACGTCACGTAGAAAATAGGGAAAAAATCAAGGGAAAATGCGGATCCTCCGGCGGACCCGGGGCGCCATCGCCGAGATAAAATTGCAAACCGAGGAAGGACATCGAGGCCCCACGTCGACGAGGATTCTGGGTCGAAGGTTGAATAAGCGCGTCGCGAGGTCGGGACCTTTCCCCGAGAAATTAGGGTTCGAGTTCCCTCTGCTCGGGGAGAGGGTGTCCCGGCGAAATGGCGCAGTGCCACACCCCGGGGAGCGGAAGTGAAATACGCTCGAGAATATCGGGAATATCGGGAATATCGAAAATATCGGCCAAGGGGGCCCCGAAGATTCGGCTGACTGTGCAACCAAAGTGAGCGCCCGATTGATTCGGTACATTTGGTCGGCTAAAGTATTTATCCTGCTCTTTTCCGCGGCCAAAGGACCCGATCGATGCCGCTGGCGTGACGAGCCAATGGAGCGATATTAGAGAGGTATGTGGCGGTTTAAATTATGCAACGAGTGTCCGTGAACGTTCAATGTTACGAGCGTGGAGCGGCGTGGAATAACAACCGACGATTCAATTAGGTTTGCCTTTCCTATTTACTCGTTACCGGCCGACCGACTGTCGCGACTCGATCAAAAGCGTGCTCCGTTTTCGGAAAAAAAAAAAAAAAAAAAAACAGAAAAGAAAGCTCACCCCCCGCGACGCGACAGCCAACGAACGCGAGAATCTACTTCCCACGTCGATATGAAAATGAAATACCTCCGTAAATGTTTCACGCGTAACCCTGTCCCGACGACTGGTAGGCGCGATCCGAGCTTTCAATAATGCAACGAGAGTGAGTATTTAAAGGTACAATAAACGCGAAGCGGAAGGGCATTACAACCGCCGCGAAGTTTACAGACTGACCAGCCCCACGAGTCGGTTAGGTTTGCCTTTCCTATTTCCTCGTTACCGGACCATCGCGACTCGATCGATCCGAGGGTAATCCATCTCGGGGAGAATTTATTGTCCCCAATTTTCAGGTTTCGCCGTACCGATCGAGAGATACTCGAGAACCGCGTGTAATGGCCCGATTTGCGGAGTGCTCGTAAATGACCGGCATCGGAGGGAATTTTTATCGCGACTGGAAGGACCGACGGGACAATTGGGCTTCCTCGTTGTCGAGCCATCGATTCTTAAGGCTAGGTCGAGTTCCGTTGCGGGGACAATTAATTCCTATCCGATATCGACCGATATCGGAGTGGTACGCTAATAACGGGAAGGCAAATGTATGTAAACGTTGAATGAACCTGCCCGCGTTGTCGGACGGACGAGTCAATGGACTGCCGTTAATGTTGCTAAGATCTTGCCCTTTAACGGCGAAAGTACTCCTCTGCACTAGAGACGTATCGAGCGATCCATAAATTATGCAACGCGCGTCCGTGAGCGTTCGGTGGTAAAATGAACTGCCGAAAACGGCGAGGCGACGAAATCCCGAATTAAAAGAGCTCGTTTAATTGCTTTTAGAGGATGCATTATGCAGAAGGTACAGGACGCCCCGAGTATGCCTTGCGTTATGTAAATTCCCATTAATAAATGTTACGTCGCGGTTATATAATTCCCGACGTGGCAGTTTCACGTGCACCCCGGAATGGTTCCCTCTAATAATAAAAACCCTCCCCCCCTATAATCTCGGCTATGATGCAGAACTCGGGATTTGCATGAAACTCAAGTTAAATAAAAAAATCCACGAATTAATTGAAACAGATTAAGGAAAAACAAAAAAAAATAGGAGAACGTCATCGGACCGTCCTTCCTGCGCCACTTTGCCGATTCGCCGAGCAGAAAATTAAATACCCCACGGCCGTGGCGCAACAAAAGCTTCCGTTTTAATTTTCTTACTTAATGGGCACGACTTCCTCCTCGCCGTTCCCGATTTCCCCCCCGTCCTCGGTATCCGTTTTGTCAGCGTGTATCTCCCAGGACGTGCGTTTTGTGTTTACGTGTACGACTTTCGCGTTGAATGAAAAAAAGAAGAAGAAAAAACTGGGGGGTGAGAGAGGGAGAAATGAAAACAGTGATTTCAAAGGGAATTCTACAAAGCGGAGCGTGGGCGACATCCATTGTTGCCAACAGGCTCTTTTCGAATTTGAGTTTTCGGGACGCAGTCCTCCGCTTTCCCGCCTGACTTCCGATCGATTCCGTTTCAAAGTCATTTTCCAACGGAAAACTGAGAATTTTCATTCCGTAACGCAACGTCGTATCGTAACTCGAATCGCGAGAAAGGAGGCAAAATACAATTGAGTCTTGTAGAAGCGAGGTCAAGCGTCGCATTTAAATAGAATATAAAATGCCGCCATTATTATCCGGAAGATCCTCGATGATAGCCATTACGCACCTAAGGGTGCTTCGGGAAGCGTAATGGCGTCTTAAGTGGAAGCACGAAGTACCGATGCAACCGTAGTCCAATTGACGCAAAAGTCGGCACAATATCGGAGCAACCGTGGCTGCGGAGTAAACGTACGGCTGCATGTGCGCGGGTACATGATACACGGTACATAGAGCCCGCCACTCGGTACATACCGTATCGATAGTGTGTCATAGGAGCCCCTTTCCACGAAATCGCAGTTATGTCCCGCGTTACATAAGAATAATAGTGGCGTATAACGCGATACCGATTACATCCCCGTCGTTGCATAAAACTAGCGTCCCCCTAAAGCGTTACATAAACTCGAAGGAAGCTTTCCTGGATGTCCTCCGAATTCGAGGATTTTCCGAAATCGCCTCGCGACATATCCGAACCGTAAACGGACGACGGACACCTTCGTCGGATCCTTTAAGTCCCCGAGGGAAAACCCTCTCCTAAATCTCGAGCGACCCCCCATGATGAAGGGATCCATCAACGGATCCGTTCGGCCGCAAACGATTCCCCGTTGCGACCTCGGCGTATAATCCGAAAGATCGAATCGGCCGAAGCGGCGACTGGGTCAATCGCGAAATAAAATCCGCCTGGGGGTCCCCTTAATCGATTCGCCGCGGGACCTCCGCGAGGAGAATCCGTAAAGCGCGGATTCTAAGTAGATCTCGTTGCGACATAATTGGAGTACCTGGCCAAGAACGGCGTCGAACCTGCCGACCCGACGCCGAGTTTCTCGAGATACCCTCGCTGGAAATCCCCGCGAACCTTGGCAGTGAAGCATGGAAATTAAAGCCTAAAGCGAATCGACGTCGCGGCGCCATTACCGCGGCTTGACTAGTCACGACCTCCTGGGTCGAGGCACGAATTCGCGCGTTTTCTCTCCCTCTCTCCTTTTTTTTTTTTTTTTTTTCAAGAAGTCCGACCAGGAGGGACGAATTTCTCTCGTGGGTTGACCTGGGTGGGTTTTATTTATTTATATTTTTTAACGAAACGTACGGCTCGGAGGGACGGCGTCGCCACGAGAGTACCTCCGATGGGACGAGGCAGGAGTTTACGCGTTTTTTTCACACGAAGCGGAAGATTCGGGGAAACTCGGAGAAGCGGAACCGACGTCCAGGTCGAGTCGATTCGCGGTCAAGTTCCCGGGCAAGGAGGCGGAGGTTCGCCCTGCTCGGGGTTTTCGGCGCGTCGCTCGGTCCACGGTGGCCGAGAAGTCGGTCGGGTCGGGTCACCGGGAAAAAAGCGGCGGCGGGCCCCCGAAAATCGATCAACGGCTTCGGTTCCCGAAGGGCCGCGCGCGGAATCCATTTTGCGGAGGAAGGGATCTGCGGGGATCGGCAAGGAGCGGAGCCTTACCGAGGGCATCAGCTGATCGGTGGACCTGACGCGCGTCACCTTGTTCCTGTACAGTATCCTCTTGACGAACTTCTCCATGGTCTGGTTCCACTTCATGAAGCTAACGTACGCCAGGTAGAAGCCGAAGAGGACGAGGGCCTCGTACCAGTAGATGTAGTTGTCGCGAAAAAAGTAGATCAGGGTGATGAGGCTGACGCTGTAGAAGGTGCAGTCGCGGAAGAGGGGCCACCAGGTGAGGGTGAGCACGGTCTTGGAGAAGATGGCGCACATCCCGATAACGAAGAGGATGTTGAAGACGGCGGAGCCGACGATGGTGCCGATGCCGACGTCGTCGAACGAGACGAAGACGCCCATGATGGAGGTGAAGAGCTCGGGGGCGGAGCCGCCGGCGGCCATGAAGGTGGCCCCGGCCACGTCGTCCGCGATCTGCAGCTTCTCGATGATGACGTCAAGGGACGGGACGAAGAACTCGTCGCAGACTATGGCCAGGGCGATAAACATGTAGACCACCCCGAAGATGTGCAGGACCACGGCGCCCCTCCGGCGCTCCTCCATGGTGAAGAGGTCCTTGGGGAAGAGCGGCGCCTTCTCCTCGGAGGCGTCGCCGCCGACCTTGGAGTGGTGGTGGTGGTGGAGGGTCGCGTTGTAGTCGTCCACCGCGGTGCCGTTCTCGGCCGTCGCCGTCGCCGCCGGGCCGGCCGTCGACGCGAGGGGCGCGCTCGTCGAGGGGGGCGAGTTGGGCGAGTTGGGCGAGTTGGGCGAGTTGGGCGAGTTGGGCGAGTTGTTGGGCGAGGGCCGGTGGCAGCTCGAGGAGGTCACCATGGCCAGCACCGCGAGCGCGACTACCGGCCTCCACTCTCGGTCCCGGGCTCGGAGCTTGCCCATTTTCTCAGTGCGGCATCCGCCGAGGGTTTCCGCCCCGAGGTCGACCCCGATCTATCCCAGGGTCATGTCTTCCCGCAGGCCGGGCGCATCTTCCCTCCCGGGTCGCCGCTGGGCGCGCGCAGGGCCGCCCGCTCCCTCGCTCTCTCCCTCCTCGGGGCTGCTGGCTGGCGGCTGGACGGCTATCTGCAACGACCGACGCGGTTACCGGCCGCAGGAGCGGCAACGACCGACGCGGCCTCCTTTCTTACCCCTTGGACGAGACTCGGCCTACTCCGTGGAGCGCATAGATGTACTGACTCCTGAGGTCCGGGCAGCAGAACGGCGCCCCCCGCCGCGATGCCCGCCCGCTGCACACTGGAACGATCCCCTCCGCGGCGCGCCCTCTCTCCGTCTCCGCGGCGTCTCCGCGGCGTCTCCGATCCGAGCACGGGGTGGACGCGCACCCCGCGCACCCTCGCCCGCGCATGCCGAGCGCGAGCCGAGCAGCCCGAGTCGCTCCCGCTCGATATCGGGGAGTCGACTGCGACGGCCGACCACTTCCCGGTGCTCCCGACGGTGCTCCCGACGGTGCTCCCGACGGTGCTCCCGACGGGGCTCCCGACGGTCCTCGATGCAACGCCCCGGGACCGACCGCGAGCCCGACGATTATTTTCCCCACGACACCCACCCTCTCGCCCCAGACCGTTGTACGATTCGAAATCGATCGTATCGGGGAGACTCCGATGAATACTCGTGAAAGAAAAACTCGGTGACCGAGGGGAAACCGAGGTAACGGGGAAAGACCCCTAAAGGCGGGACGATAAATTACGCGTCGTAGTTCGGTTAATGTTACATTCAATAATCGGCTACAAATGGAACGGAAGTTATTTTTAACGGGGTAGGTTGGATGCCGGGCACTTTGCGTTTCTTCTCATCGACCTATTCCGAAGAATGGGTTCGCTCGCGAGGCTACGTCGGGTCTCTGGCATAGCCACTCGTGCAAGATGTCCAAACGTTTTGCTTATTTTGCAAGGGACGGATCGCGTCGAAGCATCGGTGCCGGCACGCGAAATATAACACGCGTGTTTATTAGGTTATTGGGTTAAGCTTGAGAACCAGGGGGACGGTTTGGGGACGAAGAGACTTTGGACGCCTCTTCACCGCGTGACCGCGACTGCTGGATGGAGTGTCTTTTTTTTTCTGAGAGCTTTTCACGATTTTAAATCCAGAGAGAGTCAACCGGGTTGATATCGCTTGGGTCTTCTTGCCCGACGACGATTAGCCAGGACGCTCTATCATAGGACAAAAAAATTTTGCAATTTTTTCACTCGATATGCAACACCTAGGGTTATGGATCCAACTTTATTAGCTGGAAATTAATCCCGATAATTATTGAATATCTTTGTTATAGCTGTACTTTGTTGACTGAAAACGAGGTATTATCGGATTGTATATGTGGGCGGGGGTAAAAAAATGTTATCGCACCGTGCACGAGTTGGCATCAATACGATTTTGCCACGTCACGGAGTACCGGGACGCCGGTACTGATTTATCGATGTCTGGTTTACCGGCAGCCAATTATTGCCGGCAACAATTTGGGCGTTTCAATTATTATTTCGATAGCCAAGTAGTAGGGCTTAATCCGCTAACGATTCTTTCGGAAACTTATACAAGTGGTGTGTGGACAAACAGAACACACGGGACTTTAATTATTTTTTAAACCTAAATACGGGAAAAGAATTTCTCGCGCGCTAAAGAAACTTTAAATCCCTGTGAGGCATGCGGCGTAAATTGTCGAATAAATGAGTTCTGGTGGATAAACATACAATGGCGGGTTTACCGATGCGTTCTGGCTTATGACTGATCAACGATTGGACAAGTGTTCGTAACTACCAATCGAACTTCTCGACGGAAAAATGGCGGCGCTACCGCGGACGGACTGCCATCTAACGGAGATACTGAGAACTATTTATCTCAGACTTACCCCAATTTCATTTTCTCCATCCGAAGCATTTCACGTTCTGAAACTTTTCTGACTTCTTAGTTACCGGTTGCATTTAGCAGTTGATAGTCTTTATCGATAATTGCTCTATGTTTAGCAGAGTTTCGTTTATCTGCGTTTATCCCTCGGAATTGTAAACTGTTTTCCAGTTTCACGATTTTCGTATTTGGTACGCATTTGCCATGTATCGGGAATAGTTTTTGTTTACATGTGGGCTATCTTAAATAAGAAACCTGCGACCAGCTGAGTGTTTCTTGCAGTAAGTAATTTATTACTTCATTATACTACTGCACCAGTAGCAATTTCTTATGATGATAGAACTGAGTTTATAACGAGTACGTATTCATTTAGCCACGGAAGGCCTGTTTATTTTTGTGCTTCGGATTAATTTTTAAAATTGTTTTTATAATTGTCCGATATTACAGCAGTTAAAGCCATGTAAATGATTTGGTATCTTGTGCTTTCATGTCTAAATTTCGCATTTGACATTGTGACGTGCACGTACTGAAATTATAACACTGACAGTGTACAAATATTAAGGAACTTAACCATTTTTATTACTTATTGTCGATATAGTATAATTGAACTACTCCGAGTTTAATCGATGCTGTCACTTGACAGTTAAAAAAATTGTTGAATATACAAATGAGAATGTAAAATAAAATGTAATTGAAGCTAAGTTCAAACGTGATTGTTACAACTGATGTTTTCAGGATTATAAAACTATCAGCGTCAATGCAAAGTAAAATTTACATTTGTCATGGCATCGAACCAACAGTGGACACTTCCCAAAAAACCCACTGGAGTAAAAAAAAATTTAAAGGAACATCAACAATCAATTCTTAATGATGTCACTGAAATGTTTGGCTCCACGTTAGAGAATGATGTTATTTTGTCAGTTGTACGAAAGTGTAACTGGAAGTGTAAGAGTCCAATAATTTAGAAACAATTTCAAATTATACATCCTTCCAACTTTATTATTTATGTATTATGTAATTTATTATCGTATGGAATAAGATTCCTTTTTTGTATAAAATTAATTAATGTTTTCTCATTAAAATTTCATTCTAGTGCAATCGTCGATCGATACTTTGATAGCTTTGTCTGCGAAAGTAGAAACCTCGGGACCCAATAGCAATAAGAATTTTAACAAACCAAATACAACGCTCTCGCATCGTATAAGAAATCAATTAGATGAATCAACTGTAAATATCCGAGATGCGAATCGAACAAAGTGGGATCTATCTAATCTGAATGAGGATTTTACATTGTTTAATATGAACGACAATGAAGTGTACAGGCAACAAGAGGAATTTCGAAAATTTGAGCAACTGAAGAATGATTTGTCTCAAAAAAGACTCGAAACGAACTATGAAAATATGACGAGATTCAATTGTACAGTGAATAATAAAGTCACACCCAGCAAGTTGCAGCAATTCAAACAGAGCTGGTCAAAGTCGCCTCAATTACCTCCCACGTGTAATAATTTACAAGAAACTGTGTTGCAAGATGGTAGACAGCAAAATACCATTTTGAATAAGCCAAATGTTCACAGAAACACACCAAAACAAAATTACAATCCCGAAGTATCTCCATTTTATCCTAGCACAGACCGCATACAAAATAAACTTTATAGAAAAGGGATAGTTCCTAAGAATCTTCCTGTAAAACAAAGGAACAATAAAAGCATGGATAAGGGAATTCAAAATGCTGAAGGCAATGGGCATGTACAACCGATACCGATACCATTACCATATCAGAGAAAATTGAAGAATCGGAACGATTCCCAACTGTACAATGTATTTGACGTGGAACAAAGAAATCGAACTCAAGATTTGCCAAAACCATCTACAGACATTATCAACTCCCAACAGCTCGCTATATTTGACAGTAGCACGACTATACACAAGTCTGAGACCGAGTCGTTATGTGGTTTAAAGGTACAGTATCGAATTCATGGCCTGGAGAATAGTTCGGATGACGATGCCGATGTAGTCATCGAAGAGAAACCCTCGGATTACAATATTCTTCCACCACCAATAATTCCATCTATGTCAATCGCTCCACCCTGTCAATCGTTTGCTTCTGTCACTCGATATCCTGCCAAATGTCAGTCCCCAAAGGTACGTCCTGTATATCCACGTTTACCCCCTAAGACCCCACAAAAGAATGCATACGACCTCACCATCAACAGAATTGAAACTAACATTCGACAGGGATATAAAATTCTAATTTTGCTGAGAGGCCTGCCAGGAAGCGGCAAGTCATATCTTGCAAATAATATAGTGAGCTCTACCATTGCCGATGATCCTGCACTATATATATTTAGTTCCGATGATTACTTCATTACGCGTAACGGAGAGTATTGTTATGATTCTCTGAGACTTCATGAAGCACATATTAATAATCAAAATAAGGTACGCAATGCCATGAAAAAAGGAAGAAGCCCAGTGATAGTCGACAACACTAACACTCAATCTTGGGAGATGCATCCTTATGCAGAAATGGCTGTTAAATATGGATACATCGTGGAGGTCCTTGAACCGAATACTCCATGGTCCCAGAATCTAAACGAATTAGCGAAGAAAAATTTTCACTGTGTACCGAAGTCTAAGATCAAACAAATGCAAGAGAGGTACGAAAGGAATATAGATGGTACGAAATTATTGCAATTATTTTCCTTGCAATATTCCCTCTCGTGCATACCGCCGCAACCCAGATTGATCCCTCCTTTAAGTAATCAGCAGCAGACCGTTATCTCAGAGAATGATAAAACGAAGACCAAACGTAATCGAAGACGTAAATTTATCGACGGTACACAAACTACAGAAGTATCCGGTAACACGCCAAGCCCCGAAATCGATAAAGAGTTAAAAGAGTCACCTGTGTATAACTTTTTTGACAATGCAAAGTGGCTTGAAACTTCTCTCTCTCTACCTAGTGAATCCCAAAATTCTAAATTCAATGAGACTTCCAATTCTATGGAAATTAAGAGCTTATTTCAGGATTCACTAAAAGATGATTTTGTTAGAAATATCTTTGAAAGAGAATCTACCGCTAAGGTTGATAACGTAAGAATTTCAGAAGTGAAACCAAAGTTGAATCATACCGATGAGAGTAAATTATGTTTGTCAGATTCGACAGTGAATCAAATTTGGAAAAGTCGTTCGAGTGCTTCCCATCAAAACTTGGAAACTATTGTTTCTGAAAGAAACGGTGGCGTCTCTGGAGAAAATAACACCCAAAATAGTGGCACTGTTACAGATGAGGAAGGAATATTATCTTCGTCATTGATTTGCAAACCAACAAATGAAGACGACCACAATAGTAGCGCAAACTTGGAGATACATGACAGTGTTTTTGCTGTTGGTATTATTAATGAAGAAAAAGATAAGGTTTTTAACAAAGGGATATCAAGCCCCAATCTGGAAGCACGAGTCTGGGAAATTGAGATTAATCCTTTGCAAAAGTGCCATTTTAGTGAATTAAAAGAAGAAGACAATCTTTTAACAAAGCAAGATTTAGTAGATAGTTCAAGTAGATCTGCACATAAAATTCTAAGGCACAATCCCGAAGAAATTGATCATGCATTACTTGAAAATCTGACAGACAACGACGTCAATGAAGAAATGGCAAGTACATGTCAGCTAATACCTGCAAAGTGTTTTAACGAAATTGATCCTTCTGCAAATTCACTTTCGACAATGTTGCAACTTGAGAAAAAAGAAACGGAATCAGCTTTCTCGAGTTCAATCGATGAAGTTAAAGTAAGTGAAAATGCACTCGAAACAGTTTCCGAAAATTGTGCTCCTATCACACAATTAAATGTGACAGAAAGTACTGCATCAGTATTTGGTTTCGAGGAAGAAGGTGATCTGTTGAGTGAAATTTCTAAGGGCAGCCAGTCAATTGAAATTACTGAAAATGGTAGACCTTCCGATTCTACAGATTTTAATAATTTGGACGTGTTGCAAAAATTGGTCCTGGATGATTTTTTAAAAAATACTGACATCGACAATGAAGATACCAATGAGGAAGATAATATGAGTGTATCAAAAATAAATTCTATATTGAATAAAAATGATGACAACGAAGTAGTTTTATCATTGGGTGTCGAAGCAAATTGCGGGTCTGAAAATCATTCAAGTACCTTGCACCACAACTTAGGAGCTATCGGCTGTGAAAGAAAAAGTAGCATTACCACCATAGAAACATATGACGGTGAAAAGAACAAATCGTGTTTATCATTGAATTTGACAGTAGATCAAGATTGTGAAGATTATTCAAGCATTTTACCCCAGAACTTAGGAGCTATTGGTTCTGAAAGAAAAATGAGCGTCACAAAAATAGAAACTAATGCAAAAAATAACAGCAATATCCCAGAAGAAAAAAATACATTGTGTTTATCTGTAGGCTTAGAAACAAGGAATGAAAAAGGAGATAAAACTGACATCGTAGATACATTTGATACATTTCTTGCTATCGATATCATTAGCGATGAAGAGGACAAGGTAAAATTAGACACTCGTTCCTTGATATCCAGCTCTACTTCGGAAGATCAATTCTGGGAATTTGAAGATGATTCTGTGCAAAAATTTCCCATCAATGAAATAAATGAAAACGATAATCTATCATTGAAGCAAAATTCAGAAGATAGTCCAATTGAGGTTGAACAAGAAATATTACAGACTAGCTTTGGAGAAATTGATCACTTGGAGGATACATTGCTGATAACTCATGGAAATGACAATATTGAAAAAGGTAAGAACAAATACAAATTTATGTCTTGGGGACCTTTTAATGAAGTTCGTTTTTTTTACAGATTTAATTAAATCGAAATCACAAGACGAGGAGGAAGAAGCAGAAGCTCAGTGCTCAAGTGCAGAGAAAGAAGTTGAATCGAGTGAAATTGTAATCGATGAAAATTCTCAAAACTGTGCTCCTGTCAAAGAACCCGCCGCCACAGAAAATAGCGCGTTAACCATTGATTCGACGCTAGAAAATAATGATTTATTAAATAAAACTCCTGAAGGAATTCTGTCAATTGAACCCACAGATCGACTAACCGAAACCACTGAGGACAATGATGAGCTAACCGAACCTCTTAAAGAAGATGACTTTACTTTTGTCTTGAAGGATATTCCGGCTCAAGAAATGATGCTCTTTGATGAGTTGAAAGATCAGGCACTCGATGTTATTGAAACGACGACGTCAATCGATGACGTTGATGCCAGAGTAATTTCTCCAACGGAAGCTCGCAAATTGACCGAAGAGAAAAATAATCCATTCGATCCGTTGCACTTCTGTGACGAAGAAGGCTCCACTGCCTCCGGTTACTCTAAAAAGCCCGAATTTATCGACAACATACATGAAATTACGTGGAAAGAAGCGCCTTTCCCTGCTGGAGATGTACCTAAACTGTTATCAACAAATAACGTCTTAGAAGATAAGAAGATAATAACATCGGAGTCTTCCACGAACACTTGTTACTATGATTTTAACGTGCTCTTCGTTGGTGGTACAACGGAGTCTAGCTACAAGGTAATGGATACCTTCAACAGAAGCATCAATGAAAAATCAGTACTTGTAAGGACCGAAAAATTGCCATTAAAGTTTATGCTCGACAAAAGCTCAATGGCCAGCGAAGTGGACATCCTGAATATCGAGGAGTCCTCAGCTACCGGTAGTGATAGTGAAGTTGAAAAGTGTACTCAAGAGTTAATGGAAATGTTCCCACATGTTCCGAAAGAGTATTTAGAAGAAATTTACAAGACGTGGTGCGGTTCAGATTTTAATTGGGCGGTGGATGTTCTACTGGAAGGTGTCCCCGATGCTGCAGAGATAGAGTATTTAAAGTTGAAACCTGAGAAAGTCCCCACAGAAGAGGACACTGTTTCGACGACGAATAAAAGTTCTTCGGCCTCTTCGCAGAGTATAAACGACAATCCGTCACCTGGACACGTGCCGAGTTCGGGGTCGAGAAAGAAGAAAGACAGGAAAAAGATATCGGAGACCGAGCTGGAACTGAAGAAGGAAATCGAGGAAAAACTTAGAATCAAAGAGACTAGCTATCATCCACACATATTGAGAGTTAAACGATGGAAAAACAGAGAGACCGACATCTCTGCCGAAGAGATAGAGCGACAGGTCGCCGACAAAGAAGTTATAGAATTCGCTTCGTCAAACTTAGAGGATGAGACCTATTCTCAAGAATTCACTGCCAATTTCCAGGAAGATGGTTATCCCTACGAGCCGTTCTACGACGGTGTGGAACTCGTAGACGAGCCTCTTACCGAGGGCTTTCTCGCTAAGCAGGACGTGGACAACGAGGTGGACTGTGAAATTGATACCGAGGATACAATCGAGCTCAATTTAGGGCAAAATTGTGTAAAAATCCTGGAGACTGAGTTCGGAAATCCCGAATTTCAGTTCCCCGATGGGTTACTGCCTGTTATCCGATTGAGGAAGTCCGTAGCCCAGGAATTGTATGCACTCTGGATAGAGAGTATCCAACAACAACTGACCGCTCAGCAAGAACAGATCGACCTAATGATCGCCAAAGGTACTAATAATAAATATTTCTAATAATGTATCACATTATACCCACTTATTTTTTTAACGTCTAGGTATTCCTTAGTATAAAAGTAACTGAAACGCTTCCATAAGTGTATCTGTAATTTGCTGAATGTGTTCTTAATTCATTTTAGATGCTGAGTATGCTAAATCCCTTGAACAAGAAGAAGCCAGTGCTCTCCCTGAGGTAGTAGTTCCTAAGTTGGACGAAGTGATGGATATGGAAATGGCCCTCGCAATTTACAATAATGATCTGGTAAATATATTGAATGTAATTAAGTAACCTTTCGCGACATAATATCGATTAAAAGCTAAATTTATTTTTAGAAAGAACAAGTGAAGAGAGAAACCCCCAACGACATGGCATCGCGACTGACTCGAAAGATGTTGCACGAAATGTTCTCTGAATATAATCCGAACACGCTGAACGAAATATTAGCTGCTCATGATGGAAATTTCAAGGAAACCGTGGAAATCCTGGAAATCAGCACAGGAAAATCATTCAGTAATGCAGATGCTTTAAAAAAGCAAATGAACTTGATGGACGAAGTCAAGCAGAACACCAGTACACCTACAAACCAAAGCGTGTGTTAAAAATAACTCAACTGTTTCTTAAATGACTTTGAAATATCTTTTTGACCAGTAATAACATACATTTGAAATATTCTTTTCCAGACTGCCACGTCAACGGTGACTCCCATAATCGTCGTTAATCCGGATTTAAATTATTCGAATAATAAATCTGACAGGTTGGCATATAAATCATCCTTGCAGAAGGCGTATCTCGCAAGACAGGAAGTACTGAGACAACTGTCATTGCGCAATGAGAACTTGAATAAAGCCACACAGGCCTACCGAAAGGGAAACCCTAACGTTGCGGCGTATTATTCCGAAATGGTAATGACTTAGTAAGTCTATGACATATTTCCTCTATTAAAGTCTGTCTATATTTTCTTTTAGGCAAAACTGCATACTAAGAATATAGAGACGGCGAATGCTACTGCAGCCGCTGCTTTCTTGGCCGCTCAAGGATTCAGTTCAAACGAGGCAAACACTCTGGATTTGCATTACTTGTTCGTTCCTGAAGCCTTAGAGGCCCTGGATCAGTTTCTCGATAATCACGTGGAAATACTTAGTAAAAGCAATAAAAGATCGATAGATTTATACATTGTAACTGGCCGAGGTGCTCGAAGCAATAACGGCGTAAGCAGGATTAAGCCGGCTGTCTCCAAGCGCCTTGCTGCAAGAAAAATTCGGTAAATCATTTACGTTAATTTTCAAGTCACTATTTTAACCGACTGAAAAAAAAAAAATTATATCTTAGAAAAAAATTCACCTACAAATGATAATAGATTGAGAAAGTGACGAGCACTTCGATTTCTATTCCAGTTTTATGGATGCCAATCCAGGATGTTTGAAAGTTATCCTCAACAGAAGGAACAACACTCTGGACTGAAGTCATGGTAATGATACATTATATTATTTACAAAAATATGATATCAGTGAGGGATTTAGATCGCGAGGTCTGCCCCATTGTTCCTCAGGTTCATAATGAGTGAACGTGCTATGAGGGAATGATGATCACAATGACATTGTGAAATTACTTCATTCTAACGAGAAATTATTTTCATACGTTTTGTCCCGCCGAGGGACAAAGAGAGGCGCTCCTTAATGTCGGCGCTATTTAAGTTTCATACTTTACTTGCTAACATACTTCTTTTAGTTTTATACAAACGTCCTGTTGAAAGGATAAAATGCAAGCAATTATGGGTCTGAAACGACTACAGTAACAGAGTCTAGTAGCATCTAACTACTGCTTTCAAGTTCATTTTCAATGAATTTGATAAAGAAATCTTTATACCACTTCGTGATTTAAGGTATATCGTCAATTATACATAATACACGGCTCGATTTTTTTTTTTACGAAATACAATGTTTTAACGGACTCAATGCAATATTCGACACATTCGAAGTCGAGGATGAGGACTGTTTTTGTTACGTCCATCATTCGTTGTTTTAACGATTCATTTTGCTTCTGTGGTACGAATTTCAGAAATCGCGTATGTAATTTTCCAGGTAATATGGGAGAAAAAAGATTTTATCGTTAGTCGTTTGAATATCCTATTTTTTAGTGTACGTAGCAAGCATTGTTTCGTAGGTACGAATTCAGTGAAGGATGTCGTATTTACTGTATTATTACTTTCCTTTAAATATAGTGAAAAAAACTTAAAACTTGTATATATAGTTAATTCCGTATCGCACGATGTGCCCTTTTTTCCCGTATTTCTGTATTTATTAAGTGACCATTGAAATTATACCGATAGTTCGAGACGTAAAAAAATGTTACTAAAAAAAAGAACAATAAATTACATGGATATTTAACAAGAAATTGCGGTCGCAGATTCGGTTATCTTTACTTAAGAAAGGTCAGCTATGTAAGCACTGAAACTTTAAAAAATATGGCATATATTCGGAAATTCGAAAAAGTAATCCACGAAATTAGTCCCCCGTCTCTATTTAAAACAGGAGTTTCACTGAAATCTTTCCTGTTCTTTTCTGTTGTAAACTACTTGCGCAAAAAGCACCTCGTTATTTGAACATCTTCACTTGCAAAAATTCTCTGATATCGCTTCGGTAGATTTAAAATATACGGAGTTTGTTATCAGGTGAAATCAACGCCAAGGCGTTAATCAACGTGTATAACGTATCGCAATTTCGTCCTAAAAATATCGGTATACCCTTTACGTGTCTAACTATACTTTGGTCAGGACATCTCTTGACGAGTTCGTCTGTCGTGCACTTTCCGTGGGTTCGACTTTAATTTTTTCGGTACTGTTACGTTACCGATTACTGAATCATGTTTAGGGATCTTCTTGGCAGGACTCATGGCTACGGGTGATTTTACACACGAAGTATTTACGAGCACGGGAGTCGGCAGTTCCGATATAGTTGCCAGCTTTGTATAATTACGTTGACTGACCCGTGCAAAGGACTTTTCGTTGAAACTCTCATTTGAGAAAGTACCAATCGAGGCCAGGGCGAATCGTCGACAGTTTTGTTCAGACGAGCCCAACACTATATCTGGCAAAAATCTGAATAATAATAAAACCGCATTATTTCTAAAAATGTATCTCAAGTCGATAATTTTGTTAACTTACTTCTATTTATATTTCCATATCTTTGGAATGATAAAATCAAGTCGTACCTGCCGTGACAATTATCCTGATTTCGAAGCTTGCGTTCACAGACTATCTCCTCGTTGCATATCTTATTGTAACTGATAGCTCCGTTGAGAGCATATTGATTCGGTAAAGATTTCGAAATTCCCTTCACTGGAACACTCTTTGACTCCTGAACAGTGATACCACTTTTCTTTGGAATAATCGTCCTGTTGAATTTAATGTCCGGCAGTCTGGAACGAGATGCGTCAGCCTTCTCCGACGTGCTATCCTATTAATATTCTGTCAGGGTTAATATGCCTCGTTTGAAATCATCTCATTGAACACAAGTCATACCTCACCTTCGAGCCGACATGTTGTAATACATTAAACCCTTTCCTCGGAAATAAATTCGTCGCGTCTGTTTGTCTTTTATCCTCGATAATTATCGCATTACCATTCGTATCGGACTTGGTCATTTCAGTGGAGCTACATTTATCGAATGCAGTTGATTTTGTATTAGGACCGATTATAGCGATCCTTCGGATTTTTGACGAATCTCCTCTTTCAAGTTTCGTCTGGCGATGGCTAGAGACCTGGGGATAAAATAACCGATAACCATCGGGAGGGATAAATTACTCGAATAAGTATTACTTTAAGTTTGCGGCGACGTTCCGATGTCATGTAACTCAAGAGAACAGGATTGCGCCATTGATAAGGATCATGAATAGAGCTCGTTACCATCACGGTGTTGGACGATCTTGGAGATTCGTTTTCTCTAAGTAGAAACGTTACCTTTCTTATCCGACCTTTTTACCGTGAACTTCCGCGATATCGCGTAAAATAATTGTACCGTCGTAATGTATAAACTTCGGAGAGAGAGATCACGGCCACGCGTACCTGAGATCGTTGAAATAACGATGCTCCAAAATTCTCTTCACGTTGCTCCTGTTTTCAGGGTCGTATATTAACATGAGCTTTAAAATGTCTTTACCAGCGTCCGTGACCTGGGGGAGCAAATTATCCACTCCGGAACCTCCTCTCGTAGGGAAAAAGTACTCGCAGTTCCTAGACTTGCTCCTTGTCGCGACAAAATTAAATAGAAATGATAAATATATACATCAGTTAGTGCAGTTTCGTTCACCTTAAGATTTTTCTCCTTCGTCGGAAATATAATACGATCCAATGGGACTTACTGCCTGCGAAATTTGGCGACCAATCTGGCATGCGGGGTTCCCAGGATGGTGTGAATTTTCGTGATCTGGTCCACTTCGTTAGTTCCCGGGAAGAGAGGTTTCAAGCTGTAAAATAAAGGGGAACCACTTGATACACCATAAAACCTGTACACATGACGAGTTACCGAAAATTAAGCGCGATAAGAAATCGATCGATCGGCTTGGAAAGGCGACTGACGTTAGTAATTCATAAAAAACGCAACCGGCAGCCCAGACATCCATTTTCGGGCCGTAAAAGCCAGTTGTTAAAAGACATTCCGGCGATCGGTACCACCTCGTCGAGATGTACTCGGTGTACGGCGGTCTGCTGTAAATCCCTCGTATCGAGCCGAGATCCGCCAGCTTAACGACGTCTCCCTGAAAAGATATTAACATTTTCGTCGATATCGAGATTTACGATTTCGCTCGTCGCATTCGACCGAATACTCCACCCTCAATAGTATATTCTCCGGCTTAACGTCCCGATGGAATATCCCATGGTTGTGCAAGTGCTCCAAACCCTTGAGCAACTGGTACAGGTAGACTTTAACCGTGTGCTCTTTCAGCGTCCTCCTACCGTGGATTACAATCAGTCAGTAAATATCTCCCGAGAAATTGACACTAATCATTTGACAGGAATAAATACCCTTTCCTTGCCTTCATCAAGTCATAGAGGCTCATATCCATTAATTCGAAAATTAGCGTTACCTTGCCCGACAGCGGATCGCTAGTAAAGACTTTCTATGTAAATCTCGTGGTTTTATATCCTTAACGTCGGCCTCTATATACGTGGCGATAAATTCAGAATTTCTACCCGAGAAACTTACTAGTGCGTCTCGATCATGTACAAGATATTCGGGTGGCGAGTGATTTTCCTCATGGCGATCACTTCCGGGCTCTCCGAGATTTCGTTCACACTGCACACGGGTTTGTTGGGGGTAAGCCTCGAGAATTTGAGATAATTGCCCTCACCTCCTTTGCTACTCACTTTTGATAAGTCCTTTTCAGTCGCTTTGCCGCGTACAGGACGCCGCTTTCTCGATTCTGACATTTCAACACCTCGGAAAAGGAGCCCTCGCCTATTTTCTGCAGTATCTTGTACTCTGAAACATCGACCTCGTTTTAGTCTCTCTCTCCCTCTCCCTTCGCCGAATGATATAGGAATTAACGTGCTTTTTAAAAAGGCCGTAGACATCACGCAGGGACCTCGCTTCCGCGTCTACGTAACGCGTACAGACCATCCTTCTTCCGCGGAACCGGAAGGACCATTTCTGGACATCGGCTCGGACGAATAAATTCCCAGAGGCTTTGCGAGATCCATGAAAAGGCTTAGCCGAATTTCCCCACCATCGTTAGAAATAACCGAATACGTCCACGCGCCCGGAAACCCGGAATACACTTGTAACAATATTGCAAAGCGTGAAAAATGAAAAGGAGGTTCGACGCCTTATAACCGACGGGCTCTGACGGGACAGGAAAATAGGATTACAGGATCATAGGATCCGGTGAGATCCTCGCTACGTGACGAGATCTGGCCACGGTTACTTTTTCTTTTCTTGCCGACGCAAGTTCACTTTGTATCTATATACCCGGTGGTATCGATTCCGTAACAAGCTCAGCGCCTACGTCGGGCAGAGAGCGATGCCAAACCTCGGTCTAAGTGATCGTTCGTACTTTGTCTTTATTCTTACAATTACGAAGGTTACATGTTGCGTTCATGAATAATATCATATGCCATATAATAATTGGGAGTACAAGAGTGGCGTGTACGGCCACGGATGGTCCTAACAGGCTACTCGTATAGTAAAATAACGTTAACTCATGATTTTAATGTGGCAATACTCCTATCTCTAGTCTCTCTCTACAAAACTCGATCGTCCCGGGTCCCACTTCGACGAGATCCGGACATCCATGACCAAAGGCATCGCGCTCTCGAATATANAATTTATAAACACGCCCCGATAGGAGCGCTCCTCGATGAACGATGAACTATCGAACACGCGATAAGAGTACGTCCCTCGAGCGAGCCGCGTAAGAACTAAAGGGAACATTCATAGGGAAACCTACCGAAAAATCGAGCAACGATTACCTTCATTATAAACCTACTCGCCACTCCCTCGGGACCGTTTACCGCGAAACGATTCTACTCTCGCTAAAAGGGAAAAAAAAAGAAAAGAGAGATACAGAAACAAACGCAACGCCTGCGTTCCACCGACACATCTTTTTCCCGCTCTCCTGTTTAAGGGGATGCGAAAGTCGCATCCGAGAGAGATCGGTCGTTCGTGAAAGTTTTCCTCCAAACTGGGTGCACCGAATCCTATCAAACATTACAACATGAACACGGAGGCCACAAGGAAGGTCCTCTCATGAAATTTGTTATAAGAAATTTTAAAAATATCTATAAAGGAATTTTTAAAAAGTTGGGAATTTCATGGGTATCAGGACCTTTCTCGTGGCCCCCGTGTTCACATTGATCGTCGCATCGATCGTCTTGTACTCTTGTACCAAGGGGGTACGAGTTTTTTGAGCCGTTTTAACGGACAATTAGTCATGCACTGTTACGTAGATACCATTTAAAGGGAGCCACCCATAAGTAAGAATCAAACGAGGAAGTACGACGGACCAACGAACTAGTTAAAGAGACATAATGCCCGAAAGCACGAGAGTTCAATGCGTGGAAAGCAGTGCCTCGCACCACTCCTTGCTGCCCTCGCAAGTCCTCGTTAACACACCCTGATACGCCTAATATGCACTTATACACATGTACAATGTCCACCAGAGAAACCGTAAATACTTGAGGAATTAACCAGGCTGCCAAAAATTTCGTTCGCACGCCTGCGATTATTATATCGCGTTACCGTACAGTACTCCTCCGTATACGCCACAATTGGGACAGTTAATTGTAAGACCTTTGCAAAGCTATACGATGGCAGGGCATGTACATAGGGAATCGTTTACAGCGTGCAGGTATCGCGATTCGGAGTTTGATTACATGGTCGTTTGCTTTCTTTGGACGACTTGAGACGAAACGAGCCAGGGAGCTTCTTCGAGAACTGCGAGAGGGGTTTCCAAGTTTCGAGGGGTTGCCCCGAGAAATTCGCAAATTCGCAAATTCGCAGTTTCGTGCGGTAATGCTCGCGCCGGGTTGAAATCAAGTGCGCTCGGTACTCGTGGTAAACCGGTGTTTGATCGCCCTAGAACTTATCGTTCGAGTCCGTTACTTGCTCCCAAGGTGGAGACGCAACGCCGCGAGGGTGTCTTTTCTCGATAATACTGAAAAATGGGGTAATGCGAACGTCGCCCGAGCTCATTTCTCGGATGAGCAACATAAGTATACAACTCGTGGGGGGTACAAAAAAGCGACAGCCGAGTCTCCGAGGCCGGCAAAGAGCCACCCAGTGCACCGTCCTCCACCCTCTCCGAAGACTCGAATCCGATCTAACGTCACCGGGAAATCCTTGGACGTAGCAAGGAGAGTCGGTCCTTGGAGCACAGAGCGAGGAACCATCCCCGGAATTTTTTATTCCTCCCATCGAGTCGGAAAGTAATTCCGTCCCCTGCGAGCGAAAAGGCGTAAAATACCGTTCGGGGTTACGGGAAAAAAATGTCAAAGGAATTGACATATCTTTTTTTTCCTCCCGAAAATAGGCTCGGTACTCCAAAGTCCTCGCGGCACTTAACGCAAGTCCCCCTGGCCCTGAGACGTTTCAATGGACGTCAAGGACCTCGCGGATCACGCAGAGGATCCGGAAGATCCGCAGGGGAAGAGTCTCTACCCGGCGCTCGGTCGGGGTGAAAATCCGAGAGTTCGGGTTTACAATTGGCGGCCGATCGCCGTTACGTTGCACGTGGTACGGACATTATATGTATAACTTCTTCTCGGGGCTATCGCCGAAGAGCTCGCTCGTTTCGGAGTGGTGCGGGCCAGGCGACGATCGGGGCCGAATTCCTTCCGAATCTCCGTGTAGGTTCGTCCGACCCTCGTTCGGTCCATTAGGCCATCCTCAATCCTTCGTTTCCTCTCTCTTTCTGCCTCGGCGTCTCGGAATCTACGTCTCTCGTTTCCTTCCGCTAACCGGGTTAATGGTAATGTGAACATTGTGAGACAGTACCTTGCACTTGTCACTCAGTTTGAGCGCAAGCGCGAGTCCTCCATCGCTGCGCCGCGCGTCAACGTGCGTGCGTGAACACAGGAACCGAGATGCCCCGGATGCAATCCACCTCGCCCTCTCTTTCGATCCAAGACTTAACTATCGCCCACCGTCCGAGAGGTGGTCGCCGGCCGAGCTGGAGGGTACACCCACCTTACGGTGTATACAACCTGATTCGTATGGATTCGAAAAATGACGATTCGTTAGATGCCGCGGGAGATCGCCGCGCCACCGGCGCCCCATCTCGCGGGAGCTCGACTCACTAAACGAGCCAGATACAGGGCGTTTCCGCAGATCTTTTCGCCCCGAGATATATCCGTTACGATTCACGATACGGAGGAACGTCCGAACCTTCGCTTCTATCATGGGATTAAAACGAGACCCTGTCCAGCGACGACGGAACCCGGTTCGTTACTTAGCGATCTGAATTACGACCGGGGCTGGCTGAAAAATTGACCACGGCGAGACCGCGTTTCCCTTCCTTCTATTACTTCTGCGGAATCGTGCACTCGTTCGAACGACGGATTCGATCGGTTTCTCGAGCGTTCGCGGTATCGTCAACGATAACGGAAATACTCGAGGAGGCCGGGCTGGACGAAACACCCTGTATACGTGCGCGGATCAGCGCTCCCACAAAGCTGAAATGTGACATCCTCCGCCCGACCTTTCTCCAAAGACAACGTGTGTATAGAAAATATTTATTTCCATCCTCAGGGTTATCGGGCAACGATTCTGCACAATGGGTAGCATTCTCGCATCGTCATCGGCTAGGAAAAATATAAAAGTATGTACAATTTAATAAATTAATAACCGTAAGGACCGGGGCCAGGTACGATACCGTCGCCGTAGAGTACCTGGGCGCGTTTGATTGCAAACCAACTCTCCGCGACCTCCGTCCTTTGATAAAGCTAGAAGAGACGCGTCTCGTCTTATCCCCCTTCCATCTTTTCTAGCGAAAGAGAGAGAGACCGTCGATTCTACGAAGACTCGAGAGGCTTGCCCCTTCGAGGCCAACGCCAAAACGACTCGGAGTCCGAGTCACCTGTAAGAACGAGAACGGAGCGATCCGGTCCTGGCTCGCGAGCGAGCCTAGGTCCTGTGTTCACTATCACAGCGATGCTTGTGCAGCGGGCTCTGTTTTCGAGAGAGGGAACCCTCGCGAGGCGAACGGATAGCTACGAAGTCGGAAGGGACCTACGACCGAAGAAGAACGAGAACGCTCGACGGGACTCTCCGCCGGAAAAGGACTCGCGGCACCTCCACCACTCCCCGAGTCCAACACTCCGAGTCCGAGTTCGGACCGACTTCGCGTTCCGATTGGTCACGCCGGATCTCTATGTACACGCAAACGTCATCGTACGCGTTGCAACGTCGGGACCGTAATTTACATGATCCCCTCTCGGGGCGATCTACTTTGGTCACTGCCGAGTTAGCCGAGCGCATTCCCAGACCTCGCAGCGGTGGCTGGTCTCACTGTTCCACCGCGGGCGGCTCGCTAGGGCATTCGCCGCTGAGCTGGGTCTCTTCGACCCTGGCCTCTACGGCTGGCTCGACCGTAACGCCCGCCCCGGGCTCACTGTATCCGGCCTGTCCCGTTTCATCGAATCGATCCTCCACCTCGGCCTTCTCTACGTAGGGACGGTGCTCCTCGGGCTCATAGAATCCTCCGCCGTCCCCGTCGAGGGCCTCGGAGCCGCGGGCCTCGTGCTCCTCGCGGTCCAAATGCCCAGGTCGAATCTCGTCCATCTGCCGAGATGGCGCCTCTTGCAGGAAATCCTCGTTGCTGGGTGGTTCCGCGCCATCGAAACGACCCGTCCCGGCCTCGTTCGAGCCCTCCTCGAAGTTCCGCGGATTCTCCTCGGCTCCGTGGTTGTTCGAGTTGCTGGCATCACCGAGATCCATCGGATCCTTCGGGTTGTCCTCCGATCCCGAGGCAACCACAGACTCCTCGGCCTGATCCATTGGCGGTGGACTCGCGTTGCCCCACCGAGACTTCCGGTTGCGGTTGCGACTCTCTCGGTCCGCCACGCTGCTCTTCGGATCCGAGGTCTGTTGGACACTCTCCCGGTTTTCGTTCGACTCCTCGAACACATGGTTCTGATTCTGGTCGTCCTGCTGTACGACGGGGTCGGCCTCGTCCACGGGGTCCCAGGACTCTTCCTCCTGCGGCGGACCGTTTTCTTGGTTCCTCCAGGGACCGTCCGGTCCCATCAGCGGCGGGCCCCCAACGGGTCCGAACGGTGGCCTCATGTGAGGCCCCGGGGGTCCTGGTGGTCCCCGCGTTTCGTCGAACGGAGGGCGGAAGCCGGGCTCTCCTTCTCTGGCGTGGAACGGCAGCGGGCCTCGGGGCCCGAAGGGCCTCCTGCCGGGTCGCATGCCCCGAGGACCCATTCCTCGAGGATGGAACATGGGACCTGAAAGCACACCCACACATTGAAACCTGAGGAAGCACCGTAACGCTCGCGCTGAAAAAAATCTTTTGGAATTAACGACACTAAACAAATCGGCCATTGGTCAATTACCATGTTTACGAGTTCTACTCCTGAAACATGTATTAAATTGTAAGTGGTATCGAATGCAACACGGATTTAAGAAGCGGATAAATACAATCCATACCGTGGCCTCGCGGTCCCATTCCAGGCCCCCTCGGTCCGAATCCTTCGGGTCCCATCGGTCCCCTCGGTCCCCTTGGATCCATCATGGGGGGCCCGAATCCAGGTTCCATGGGTCCCCCGAAGAAGTCCCTTCTCCTCGGTTCGTGATCCGCCCCAGGATGTCCTCGCGGGTCGAATCCATCCTGCATCCTCGGTTCGAATCCCTCGCGAGCCCTCATGTCGAAGTCGAATCTCTCCCGGTCGAAGTCTTCCACTGGGTGTCTACCCCTGCCTTCCGCCCTCTCGAATTCCTCCCTCGAAGGGCCCAATCTATGGTCAAAGCCCTCGGGTCGAGGCCCAGCGGGCCCTCTGCCTTCGAAATCTTCCGGAAACCGGCCAGCATGCATCCGGTGATCCGGGAACTCGGCGATTGGAGGTCCTCTCGGCGGGCCAAGGGCCCCTCTGGGTCCGAAGCCTGACCTTTCCCTCTCCCCGGGTCCTCCTCTTGGCGGGAACTCCCGATGGTCCTGAAGAGCGCCCCTAAATTCCGGGCCCCGGGGTCCAAAATCTGGCCTATCGGGCGGGACCCCGGGGAACTTGGGCAGGTCCATCAGCGGTGGAGGTCCATCGTTAGGTCTGCGCACGGGAGGACCGGCTTCCTCGAAACTCCTCTCGGTCCGCTCGCTGCCGCGATCGCTTCTTTCGCTGCCGCGGACGCTCCTGTCGTCGATCGGCAGAGTACCATCGGCGAGTTGCCTCAACCGGTCCGCCAGACTTAATTTGCCCTCCTTCTTCGGAGTCCCCTCGGCCTCGGGCAGGGCACTTGGGTTCGCCAGACCCAGACCTTCCTGGTGACGCACGGCGCTGTCGCGGGTACCTTCCCGGTCGCGATCCCGCCGATCGTCCCGATCGCGTTCTCTGTCCCTGCCGTCTCGCCGTCGATCTCGGCCTCGGTCTCGACCTCGACCTCGGTCCCGGCCACGCTCGTTCCTCGAATCCAGGATGTCTCCGCGGTCGCCCCTCTCGCGGTCCAGCCGATCTCTCCGATCCCGGTTATCTCGGTCGCGGTCCCGCTCCCTTAGCTCCCGGCTGGACGGCTCGTTCTCCGCCCTGTCGATGGCGCCCTTGCCCATCGCTGCCAGGAGCTGGTCGCTCAGGTTAGGCTTGTCCTTCGGTGCCGTGCTCACGTTCTGCGGCATCGCGTCCTCCATCTCCACGTCCATATCGTCGGAGTGATGCTGGGACATTTGCATTTGCATCGGCGGCGGCGGGCCCACGCCGAAGGGCTGCCTCAACATCGGCAAGTTGGCCAAGTTCGTCTCCGTGGTCGGCGGGGGCACGCCCATCGGCGGAACGTTGTGCGGCATCCCTAAATTGTGCGACATCATGATGGATTATATCAAGCTACCTTTTCGTTAGCTCTTTGGAAAAAAAAAGGGAGTCAACTACTTTGAGAACTCACCAGTGGCATTGGGTTTATCGGAGGGTGCAGCTGGAGCTGGTAGCGGTATTTGAGTCAATAGACCAACTCCAACGCCAGCGCCGAATGGGGAATTGACCGAGGGTGTTAACATTGGCTGCATCATACCCGGTCCGAGAAGACTTTGCATGTTTGGCGGTGGAACACCGATGGGAACGTTCGGCATTAGACTATGCGGCATCGGTAGCCCCATAGGTCCGAGCATACCTGTTGCAGTTAATTCGGTTGCTATCGAGAAGGCACAATAAGCGACTTACTTTCTTTTCCTGAACTCTTATGAAAAAAGTGAGATTAAAAATCAGTATTCCCTTTGATTCTCCTTCCCTCGGTCTCGCTTTGAATTACCCGGCATAAGCGGAATTATTACTTGGAAATTAATTAATGTTATCTGGTTAGGGCTACGTACCAGGCGGAAATAGGATCCATGAACAACGATCGAACAAATGTTTGATATAACTTACGAGGTACACCTGGCATCGTGAACCCAGGCGGCATCATTTGAAGCTGCGCATTAGGAGGTGGTAATAATGCCGCAGACGTAGGCGGCCTTATCGGTGGTGGTTGGCTCGTATCGATGAGTTGTTGCGAATGTTGCTGCTGTTGATGCGGCTGAGGTTGATGTTGTAAGTTATTCGATCCTTGCATGAGATTAACCACGCCATCGGTCAGAGTCGGGATTGGAGCACCTGATGAAGATAAAGGATGCTGCAGTTGATATTGCTGCAAACCGTCTGCATGCGATTGCCGTAATTTTCCATCAACAAAAAGTGCACGTTCGAGCACCGAGAGAGCCAAGTATAGCTGCCGATCACGTTGCTTAAAACAGTGTATCATTTTTTACTGGCTTGCCACGATATGACAAACGTTTGATTCAATGACGATATTGACGTAATTTAATCAGTTTCGTGTTTTGAAACGTTACCAGTGGAAGTAACTTTTTCGGTTTGTTTTGAGCATGCTTGACCAATTAAAAGAATACATTTTAATAACTGGCTCAAATGCTCAAATGTTGCTATAGCAAGTTGGTTCAAGATACACGACTGTATTAACGCTTCCTGTATCCAGATTAAACTTGCATGCTACTGTAACTGCAATAAGCCCTACAAAAAATAAAAACCTTTCAATCTGGGGGGCAAAGTATCTTCGTCGATCATCCCTCCTTCCTCTAACAATTCCAGTTCGTGATCCGATATGTTGTTCAATTTACTCCATGGGATATAACTGACGCCCAATTCAACTTCCCAGTAGTCCTTCCATTCCTTGCCTTTGACACCTTTTCCAGGCGCCCAAGCCAACTGTAAGTTTCAGAATTAAATATCTCACGTAACCAACACCCTGAAACTTCTACCACCTTTCGACGATTTTATACATGATTATTAAATTAAAGTGCTCCACCTGATTGCAGTAATACGTAACATGATTCAAAACTTATTATTTTTAATTTACCGTAATTGCTTTTCCCTGCATTTTATGATTCTTCAATTTTGTAAGAGCTCGAAATGCATCTTGCCTTCTGTTCATACAGATAAAGGCACATCCTCTTGGAGAAATTAAGTCAATGCTGACAATATCACCAAACTCCCCAAACGTATCCGATAACTCCTCTTGGTGTACTAGCTTTGACAAGTGTCCTACCCAAAGAGTTGTGCTACATACTGTAACGATAAATATTAATATTCTTGGACATCAAATAATCAGAAAATGGATATAATCGCATTGATCATAAATATTTTGAGTTTTTAACTTATGAAAATCTCATGAACATTTATACATACCACTTAATTTATCTCTAACTATCGGAGGTAGTCCACGTTTTCGACGTTCCCTTTGCTTCTCACGCTCCTCCTCGGACAATCTTTCCCGGCTGTCATCGCGTTTCCTCTCACGGTCCCTTGAGCGTGATCTACCACAGATTTAATGAAAAAGAATCCATAATTTATTAAATTTCATTAAATTTCCATGTAATAATGAAAGTAAAATATGTGTTTTTACCTTCTGCGTCTGGACCTACTCCTCGATCGGGATTTCCTATCCCTGTCCCGATCTCTATCCCTCTCCCTATGCCTAGGGGATCTGGATCGACTGTGACGTCGATAGCGATCCGGTGATCTACTTTGCGATCTGGTAGTTTCACAATTGACTATTTCAACACTGCTACTATCACGTCTAACTGCACCGGACCTATTTCAAAATTATTAATAAATATAATTTAATTAAAGAGATTTACTTTAAGGATTATTACCCTTGATAATCCTCAGATTCTTGCCTTTCATCGACAAGTGGACTCTTCTGGTTTGAATGAGTTAATTGATTGATCGGCCTAAGGGTGGGAGGTGGTTGTGAGACGTACGGCATTGCTGGCGGATACCCAGGGGGTGGTTGACTCATGTCTTGCTGCATTAAGGCTGCAGCATTTGATCCGTATACGCCCTGTTGAGATGACTTCAAAACATCGGATGGTTTTAAGTCACATTCGGAGGCAAATGGTAAACTCTGAAAGAAATTGTTTCATTTAATAAAAGTCATACAATAGAACAGTTGGATCACAGTAGGGGAAAAGAAAAAATATCTTACAGGAACAGTTTGGGCCAGGTGTTTGTCAAACTCCTCTTCTTGTTGTTTCATTTGTTGAAGTTTGCGCATTTTCTCCTCCATCTCATGTTGGGTTACCGTTGTCCCACTTTGCATGGTTTGTTGTAATGTTTGTAGTTGCCTTAAAACCTATAAGGATCAATGTGCAAATTGTATAAATTAATGCATTATAAATAAATTAGTGTGAAGAAAATAATTTGCATAAGAACTAATGCTCGATAACGTACCTCCGGATTGGTAAGAAGAAGACCTAGGCTTTCAAGACTACCACTAGTAGAGGTTGCACTGTGCTGCGCAGCATTTGCTGCTGCTGCTGCTGCTGCCGCTGCTGTAGGCGAACTACCCGCTCCAAGATCATCGTCCTCTTCTTCTCCATAATCAAAGTCCAACAGTTTTTTATCAAATTTTACAGAAGCTTGAGATTCATTTGCTTCTTGCTTCTTTAAAAGCAGTTGCTGCAAATGTTGCAGTTGATCCAGAAATGAAACATCTACTTGATTAGTCCCAGACTGTCCCTGATTAAAAAATTAATTTATTATTTATTTTTAATAAGCATGATAAATCAATATTCTAAGATGATTACCATATTAGCTGTCTCTAATTTTGTCTGGGCTAGCCAAGCTGGATCAATTGGTTTTGACGATGAAAACAGTTTCTGATCCTTTGGAGTATTCTTTATCGCTGATGGTGGTGTTTTTGAAACTGTACTTATGTTACTTATATTATTACCAGAGGATGTATTCACTGAACCTAATTATAATTAATATGAAAAATGCGTATTAAAGCGTGATGTGTTTTGGAAAATTAGGCTATAAACTAAAAAGTATGAAACATTACTTTATAAAATATAAAAAATATAAATTTCCCCTTACCATTGCTATTTATGGGCTGTTCCTTATGTATTGGGTGATTTGGATCAGCTAAGTCGAAAAGTGGTTGAATAACTTCTGGTGGAAATACTGCATTTTTTTGCCAAAGGTTTAGTACACGTATGACTTTGCTTTTATCTTCTTGTGGGCATTTCAATAAATTTAAGAATGTGTTTTGCATATTTTTTGCAAACCTAGGTGCAAATACATCTTTCTCCATGCCAAATTGGTGCCGAGACTGCCTTACAATAGAGTCTATTACATACAGCCCAGGAACTTTGTATTCAGGCTTACACTAAAAAATAAATAAATCGGTAAGACATTTACATTTTCTATTCATGCGATGTGATTTTATTCCTCTACAGCGGTCCGAGAGTAATGACTTACTTTTTGTATGAACTTCTCCACACTTTGTACAACATGTTTATAGAATTTTATTGCCTTAATAGCTCCTCGGGTTAGTGAATTCATCTTAGCCTTCGATATTGGAGGCTTTACATCATACAAAGCGGATAACTGTGAAACGAAAAACATATGCCATTAATTCTTATACCTTCTTTTAATTCAGATATTTTAATCACACGGATACTGCAACAAACCTCTAAACATATTCCAAGTCACTTTTTCTTATAGAGGGGTCTTAAATCAAATTCAAATAACCAATACATGAGTTGATAAAATTTAGTAGGCAACGTTCGAGCGATCCGAGGCAGTGTCCATATAATAATTAATTTTCCTACCGTTACGATTAAATCAACTATTCTTCGAGATTATCGTTAAAAGCATTACACATTGCTGTAATGCTTTCACAGACTAGTCAACAATTAGAGCAATAAACTAGCCATATTTTGTTAGCGAACCAAGCGTCAGTAGTAGGTACCAAGCGTATGAATAGATGAGGGATTCGTTACCGATTATCATTGGTTTCCAGATATAAACAAATACAGCTCTCGTTAATCAATCCGTCCGTCCCAAAGAATCATTGATCAAAGAACGTGAAACGTGTAAAGGCATTCGAAAACCGATAATTATTAGTGTTTTCCTTGGAAGCACGAGGAAAGTGGGAGGGTTGCCTCCGAAGACGGGTGACCTCCAGAATAGCAATAGCGTGGTAATTACCTCCGCGTTAAACGCTTTGACGGCCTCCATTGTGAGCAGACGCAGCACCACACACGATCACTAAATTTCAAATTGTTCCATGCACCGAACCACCGTCTTTTCTACAGAGACTCGTTTTTCTCGTCATCACGCACTTTGTAGCTGGGCCATGCTATCCAAGATGGCCGCTCCTCTTCCCGGCAGGCTTTGCGCTGCGGCGTTGTGACGTCACGCCATACCCTGTCGGTATTCGGTTACCGATCGAAACGAGTCGAACTGACGAACGCGGGACAAAAATGCGTTCCTAGTCTCGCATAATCTCCAAACTAAACTTGCATTAAAATGTACAAAATCTAGGTTTCAAAACCCTAATTTATATAATTCGTAAATTTAATGAATGAAGTGGTTACAAGCTAAATAGATCTATCTGGACAATAATCAGGGTGCCAACCTAACAGAGATGAGTTGGGAGATTGCTCACGGGCAGGGTCGCGCGATCACATCGTGTGCTGCCCTCTGTTAAAATCAGAGATGAGTTGAGAGATTCACGGGAAGGATCGAACGAAGATCGACCAATCACGGTCTCTGAGTTCTTCATTTTTTCAGCCGGTTCTCCGGCTGCCCAGAGTTGTAACAGGTGGCAAGTGCATTAGCCGTCTACATCCTTCACCGGAGGTCGCACAGGACGCGGTCGCTCGATCCTTCCCGTGAATCTCCTAACTCATCTCTGAATGAAAGCATATCTTGCGCGTAAATAGTTTATGGTGACAGATCGGAGTGCACTCTGGTGCATCCATGATTTAGCCGATTAATTGTTACTTGTTCATCTTGAAGCGGGTAGTCCATCTTGTATTCTTGTGCACAGGGGGCGTGTATCGACCTTTGTCAACAGCACTGACCTTTGCCGAAGTGGTCTTTATATTCATTCATATCCATGGTCTGTGACAACACACGCCAATGATGCATTTTTATTGGTGTTTATTTCCATAGCGGGTACACATAACCTATCCATCTGGGTGTAACGAAGGCAGCCTCTATTCCGTGCACGATGAATTGACCGAATTGACTTTTTGGAGCACGAATGTTGGAATTGCAAGCAGAAATCGCATTCGCGAGAAGCGAACTAGTGGATCATGCGACTAAAATGTTCCATCATAGGGAAACACGTCGTTCGATTCCTGTGGACTTGTTATATCTACCTGCTTTTGTTTTCACGGGGTAAGACGAAATTTTCAAACCCTTGTTTAATTGACGTTTTCACTCCTATTTATGACAAAGGTATTTCAAGAGTTACATCTAACCGATTGTTTACGTTAACAGGGTGCGATTCCATCATACCAGAGGCGAGTCAGGAGGGTCCGTTACATCCCTTTAAAAGCTACAGCGATGTTGCTACTTTTCATTACACAGTTCCTAAAGAGGTGCTAAGAGCCACTTGGCAGTTTGCAGCGTTTATGGACGATGGGAATTGTTTGCCACGAGAAGTTCACATGTTAGTATTAACAATGGGTAATGGTGCTTAGCGTGTTTTATTATTTATTAAGTTGCTTTTTTATATTTTAGATACCTGCAACGTGGCAGCTATCCTATTATTTCTGTAAATAATGGATCATTTCCACCGCATATGTATCCTAATCGTAGTGGAACTATAGTCATTTCCGCACTAACTTCTTTTGATTCCAAGACAACCACTATTGTACCGGTTGATGGACCAGAGCCTGGAGACTGGTTCGTAGGTGCTTATTTGTCTCATTGGGATGAGAAAGTTCAGCAACAAGTGTGTACTCTTTCTTTACATCCATATACTACGTCATTCTTTTGCTTTAAGGTGTAATTTTCTTTTTCCATTAATTTAAAGGTTTGTTAAGTTATGACTTGGTAAGGAATTATTATGAATTAATTTTCAGGGTCTTGGCCATAAGTGTCATTACAGTATAGGTTCCGTGGCATTATGGACACAACTGAGTGGTATTCAAAATATTCCTATAGGGTATCAAGAAACTCTACGTACAACCGATACAACTTCTTATTATAAGTAAGTTTTAAGTAGATTATGGCTTGAAAGTGTTTTATTTGAAAACAGTAATTATTGTATGTGTTCCCTAATCGATGTTTAGAATATACATTCCAACTGGAACATGGAATTTTCGTGTACAAATTTGGGCATGCAATTTCACATTGCATGCCTTTCGAGATATCTCTGTACCTTGTATACAGAGTATGGCTTTAAAAGGACATGCTTTGCCAGTTTTTAATCGGACACATCCAGCTCAAATTGGAAATTTGTCAACAACGGACAGTTACACATTTATAGTAAATTCCCCATATGAGGATAGCTATTATTATCTATTAATTGTCTCTGAAACTATAATAGAATTTAATGTTGAAGTCAGTGTTACAGGTAAGCCAACATTTCTTTCCTGGGTTTACTATTTTAAGTTCAAAATACACCACATGTAGATGTGCATTTTTAGAATGCCCTATCGATGTATTGGAAGATTCGTTCATGAGGCAATATTTAATTGCATCGTCTGTATCTAAGTCAATTCAGTTTCATATGAACATATTAAAAAATCAACAAATACGTCAGTTTTTAATCAGTGAAAGCAACTTTCCACTTAATAAAAGTAAGTTGGTCACAAGTCAAGATAGAACGCAGAACGAACAAGGAAACAATGATGATGATGATGAGTGCATCCCACGTTTTCAACTTGCTAGAATTAGACATTCAAAAACATTTTCTGGAGTTTACTTAATGCAGGTATGAGTTACACTTCTCAGATTTATAAAATATACTGTAATTCTCACTGAATCATAATTAACTGTATATTCTTGAAATCTTCTTTCCAGGGAAATGATTGGTTGACACCATGGATTATATTGACAGACACTACTCCAGTGATCGCTCAGTTTGATGTTTTACCTTTAGTCGATATCGGTGGTACTCTTAATATCAGCATTCATTTAGAGATGGATAGGGTAATTATTTTTAATTTTACTAAATAGCGTGCTTCAGCTCTGAATTCGCTTATTTCCATAGCTTCGTTAATTCTACCGTTCATGTACTTATACTTTTAGATAGATTACTGTCAATAGTATTTTCATTTACAGGTGTTATCCAAACAATTAGTCCAATTGAATATTTGTATTCGGCAAGCGCGTGTGCCTGATAGAATGAACGGACGAATAGTGTGTCACGATAGGAACATGTCAATGAATTTATCTTCTTTTGATAATCATGATGGGACATTATTGATACCTTATCCACAGCCAAATACGTGGCATATTGCTCTAGAAGCAAAATGTTACATGAATGGGTAAAAGCACATAAAATCCTTATTCTTCATTGATAAAATTAAAAAAAAAAATTCTCTTGACAAATATTACATTTCTTTTACAGAAATATCGTAAAATGTGAAATGCAAGAAATTTTAGTATTACTTGATATTAAAATGAGACAGTGCGTATTTTCTGGTGAAAATGCATGTGGCCCCCATGGAATTTGTCAAGATATTCATAAAGGTCTTCTTTCCTATACAACATGTAATTGCATTGGAGGTAAAACAGCTAATTAATTAATTTGATAGTGGAACTTTGAATTATTTCATGTTATCTCTAGATAAGAAAACCAAAAATATTCAGGCCGAGCAGTCGGTTAAAAAATTTTTCTTTTGCACAGGATATAGAGGTTGGGGTTGTACCGATGCGACGAATGTTAAATCCCAAGATTCTCTACTGTTAACAACATTGATGCTCACGCTAAGCAATGGATTTTTTTCCCCGGCAATTTATATAGCTGTACGACGAGGATTTTACACGGAAGGTCTAGTCTACTTATCTACAATGTTGTCCTCGGCGTTATATCATGCGTGTGATCAACAATTTATGACATATTGCATTGCAAAATACGAGGTATACACTTATTCAAAACGTTACATATTGTTAGAAAATGAAAATTAAAATAGCTTTATTTATTCCATATAGATTTTGCAGTACAGCGATTTTTTTTCAAGCATTCTTGCCTTTTGGGTGACACTTATAGCAATGGCTGAATTGCCACCTAAGTTTGTATCGTTGTGCCATATGCTTGGCGTTCTTATTATTGCATTTGGAGTAGAATCCAACCGAACAGGATTGTGTAGCATCATGGTGCCCTTGTCCATGGGAATTATGATTCCAGTAAGTTTTAATAAGGAATCTTCTAGGGATAGTTTTTTAACCAACACTATTTTTAGATGGCTGTGTACATGTACCGTTGTTATAAAATCAGAAGATGGAGATGGCCAAGAGGAGCAGGAAAATTATTAATGGGCCTATCATTAGCGCTCTCGGGTTTACTTTTATACTCTTTGGTGGAGACCGAAGAAAATTATTTTGTAAGTATTTTATATTCCCATACTTTATATTTCTTACCAATAAAGTATAGAAAATATTAATTATGCAATTTAACAATTTTCAGTATGTTCACAGTGCTTGGCATATGATAATAGCATTGTCGCTGGTATTTTTATTGCCACCTGCAGGTCTCGAAAAATCTTTATTGTTAAGCAGTAACTCGTTGAGTTGTTCCGATAGTGAATTACTTGATTACCAGAACTCACCGAGTATTCCTGTTTTCACTTCAAATGCTAAGAACACTTTACTGCAATAAGTTGAATGTCAACGGTAAGTGTTGACCTTGTACCAAAAATGTATTATACTGCAAGATTTCACGTGCCAAAAAGACTCTGACCCATGACGTGTATTTTAATGTAACGATAATAGTTAATCAATATTTTCATTATAGTTCCTGGAACTATTATAGTAATAAGACGATACCGTGTGATGACCGCGGTATCCAAAATAAATCAATCATATTACTTACACATTATCTTTTATGTAATATGAACTAACACTAATAGAGAGGTTTAATGTTGAAATACTCTTCAGTGACCAGATTCAAGTCTTGTAGATGTTGAATATATGTATCAATGTTACATCGAATATGTTTTGTTCGAGTAATACGGGATACAAAAAATAATATGGACTTGACACTATCATATGACTTAGGAAATGTTACGTGCAGGTACTCGATCGTATTACAAAAAATAGTTGTACAATATCTGTTCTGCAGGGTGCGATAATACTAATCACACAGATCCTAAATATTTTGGTGCTCTGAGTATTATGAGTACTTATAACTTTGGAACATTTACATTGTACGGAATGTTTCAAAAGCATTCGCCCGTTCGTTTCATAAGTCCATGACATTCATATTCTCTGCTGCATTTATGAAAGTAAAGTGATGCATATTCATAAGACTATAATAATCTTGACTAGACGGTAGTATTCTCACGTCCAGATAACTTCTACTTTACATTTTCAATTCTGTCTGATTACAGTACTCGTTAATTAGTATTTCAAAAATATAATTTTAGAAATAAGAAAATATAGGTATAGAGATGTATGTAAGTACAATTTCTAGAGAATACCGTCGATTTTCATTATAGCGTTTGTCATTTACTTATTATTTTATACAAATGTCGTGTGTATTTTTCGATAGATAATACGACAGACGATGTACCTATAAATTAATTGTAATTGATGTAAGTTGAATATAAACTTCAAACGCATTGCAATGTACAGTAAGTAGGTTAATTTTATACACATCAAAGCAATTCAAATCATATTATATTTTCAGTGTAATCTTTGTCGTCGAGGCATTGAATCGTCTTTCTATTTTATGAAATCTTTATTGAGTCTAAGTATTATAAATTACTTCCATACGTTGTTTACTACATGAAAATAATTTTATTTCATCAATATCATCCAATATGGCATATTATTGTTAAACGTTAGAATTTTGTAGTACACTTCAAATGTGTTCAGGGTCAGAGTCAGAACTGAATTGAGAGGTTTTAGGAAGTGCAACATTAAGATATTCGTTTTAATGGTGCATTTGCCTAATGATTGCAGAGCGGAAAGCGAAGTCTGGATGGGCTATATTACCTTTATTATTAGGATGTAAAACTACTTAAACAGTTTTGGTTGTTAAATCCTTTAAAACAATTTAAATACTTTTTTCGAATCTATTTTACATGTAGATATCAAGATAGGTAATTGTTGGAGAAAACATTTGAATATACTTTTCCAGTACGTAATATTTACATGTATTTCACGAATTTTTACCGTGAATAAATTTAATTTTTTGGTTTAATTTAAAGTAGTATTGAAAATCTGAACCACTTAGCAAGCATTAAAAAAAAATTCCCTGATTTACATAAGGCGATATTAAAAATGAATGGAAAGAAACTAGTAGGAACGATGATTGAATATTGTTTTAAAGTAATTAGTAATATACGGATATACGTATGATCGTAACTCTACGCAGCAGCCTTCCAAACATTACCGTGTTACCTTACTCATATAACCTGTGTAATATTACACGTCATAAGAGCGTAACCATTCATGATATCGATATAATTTGTTATGTACACTTTTTCATCAAATACATGCAATATCTTTACACAAATAAATTCATTATAGTCTCACTTTATCTTTCGAGTAACTTTTGCCTTACTTTTTTTAACTTTGATCATTTAAAGACATTTTCAATCCTTGCCATTGCTTTCACTTATTTCCGATATGTTTTGAGATATTTCTTCCACACTGATTGGTGTAGTTGATTCGGACGTTTGGTCACGTGCGATAACTTTACTCAATTCTATATATAATGTTTCTTTCCATTTCTCACAGATCTCCAGTAATTTTGGTTTCAATTCAGTCATGTTGATTGATATGAAATGAACTTGCACTTCGTCTGTCAATGAATTGACTTTGGTAATCAGATTGGAGCATCTGAATAAAATAGACAATCATATGATTTGTCATCAGTTTCTTGTTACATCGGTCTTGTATAAACACTAAATTTTCGTATGCATACATACCGTAACATATCAGTTTCTAAAGAAGCTCGGTCAATCACATTGTTATCGGAATAAAATTGCGAATCCATAAGAGTATCTATTGCAGAAATCTCAAAAAAGCATTCACTGGATGTTATGGTTTTCTCGACCAATTTACGTACATGTTCTACTTCTATAAAAATCGGTACAGGGCATGTGAAGCTACAATTCTATCTCTCTGTAATAAGAAATGCGTATTTGATAATACCTTCAAGTAATTTTGCCTTCAATGTGCGACATGTGTTGTCGCGTGTGATGATGTCTTCAATTTTGAAAGAATCGACTTCAAAATTAAGAAATTTACTGGGAGCTGTTAAAGAGTACGCCAACGATAGAATCATGTCGTATATTGATGTTATCGCTTCCTGTATTTTCTCAAAGTCTGGAGAAAAAACTATCTGAAATATATTCAAGTCGATTGTGGCAATTAATTTCCTAAGTTCAGTTGGTTGAATGTCGTTCAGCGTTGCATTTTCCACATACTTGTTTGTCGGAATAATTTGCATAGATATTCAGTAGTGGCATTGCTATCGTGATACCGTCACCGTGAAATAGTTTCATCGAAAGGTGCAAGGATCTATGAACCATGTACAAGATCAATTTTTCCAAAATTGAGTCTAGTTCTGTCACGTATTGCACCCAGTGATCCATGATCTGGAAGAATTAAAATTAATTCAATCAATTTTATTAAGTAATTAATATTTCTGCTTAAGTAAAAACGAAAGGGAACAATGTGGCTTGAGGTTTGAATCGTTGTGATTCGGATTCTTGGTTTTTACGGAGATTTTTAGCATACAAACCTTTTCTTCGTGCGTCTCAAAACATTCTTGTAAATGTATCAACAATTTGTACAAATCATTGAAATGCTCCGTCAACTTACTGTTACTATGATTCCTAAAACGAAACAAAAATTAATCGCATAGTGTCTCACGAGGGGAAAAATCTGGAATTACCTTTCCGAGTCTAGATATCTTTTGAAATTTTCCAAATCATATGTCACGTTCAACGTCGGATTAATGAACGTTATCGTCGATATTTTTTTAAACAAGCGTTTCACTTTTCGATCCACGTGTTTATACGTACATATCACTTTTCTAATCTGTAAAAATAAACACAATGTGCGTTAGAATTGTACTTTGACGTTATAGTTATTTTAGTTTGATTTACCATCAACACGTCGGAAATGCACTCTGTGCAGAATCGGACAATGAATTCGGAATTCCAGGTGACTATTTCAAATCCAGGAGATACGGATCTATAAATCTTTTTCAAAAGTTCCGTGCACAAGGGATCCTGTTCACTTTGAAAACATCTTTTAATTCTATTAAACAATATGCATATTGCCCCTGCATGGTCGTATCGGGATTTTATTAAAGGCCACTTAAGAAATTGTTTGCGCATGTTTTGTTTCACATCGTATCGTAGAATGATCCACCTAAAGGTGAATGGAAAATCAGATTAAAAAATAAGAGCAAGAATAAAAGTCTCCGTACATCGATCTTAGACTTTTACAAGTACATACTCTCTTACTTCTCTGACCGTTTCCAAAATAAATACATCTACGTTTACGAGAATCAGATCACCACGGCGTTGAAAAAGAGGTTCATCAAACTCCATAGAAATACCGTTCGTCCCTTCTGTATTCTTTTCCCAAAGTTCAAATAGCTCGTTTTCCTTCATGTCTAGAACACCTTTAACATTCCTGTACTTGTGCAGCACTGTCCTAAAAAGGGTACAGTAATTTGGAAAAAATTTCAGGATTACAGGACTACTAATACAATTGATATGTTTTTTTTGCCTGTAGTCAAAATGTGAAAATCATACGCAAGTTAATTTTACATATACCCTTGAGCACTCCAGTCTCCTAGCCAATCGGAGGCGTCTATCATTATCTCACATTGTCTTTTTATGTAATTTCTTTTGAACCGAAGCGTAGAGCTGCAGCCCGAATATCGCGGCATCGATGGATGATAAAGTCCTGCATCCTCGATAATTTCCACAGCAATGGATTCGATTTCATTTTCGACAGCTTTCCAAATCTGCAACCCAGAGACTTAATATTCTGAAAATGTGTACACCCATTATTTTACCTGTATCCATTTATCGTTTAGAACTTTCTGCAAGCATCGTCGCTGCCGAAATTTTCTGAGGGCGTACAAGGACTCGACACCTTCTTCGGCCGTTTTGATGTTATCGAAAATGTCGTGGATCAAATTCTTAAGCATATTTTCGAAATCCACAACGTCTAGTCTGAATTTGCACATGTAATCGAGCCAGGTAGAATTCGTGATGTCCAATATAAGGCTCTTGACGTTTCTGATTTTCTGGAGACTTTTGTTAAATAATTCTCGTATATTACCATAGTAGTCATCGTGCTCTACACCTTTCACTCCAATGAATATTTTTACCCGGTCCTCGCTGAAAGGAATTAATGAGTATAACGTGGACACAAAAATTAAACAATTTATTCCGTACCTCCCAAAAAGAATTGCAGCATCACATATTTCAATGACATTCCGACATCTCTGTACAAAGGCATCAATGGGGTGAAAAACTATTTTTTCATCCACGTTCCAATTTTTGTCAGGATTGATTTCATCGTTAATTGCCACGAGCTAAATCAGAAGAAACATGTATTTTACCAATTAAATTAAAATTACTTTCAAGCCACGTACTCTTAGATATATGTTCTTGAAAGTGCAGCAATGAGAAATGCATTCTTCTGCAACGCTTCTACCCTTACTGGCATTGCCTTGGAATATTAAATCCAAGTCGATGTAGTCTTGGCAGATTTTCACTACTTGGGAGCTCAAGCAATGACAGAGTGCTTCCATTTTATCCCTGAAATAGAAATAATTTTGATGAGCAGTCAGTGCGTGCGTTACAAATGCAAGAAACAACGCCAGTAATTAACATACATTTTTCCGTAGAAACGTGAATCTAACCAAGTAAATTGTAACAAATGCACTATCTTCGGTACGTATTTCTCTATTTCGCTGGGAAGACTGAATTCCTGGCAAGCGTCAACCAAGATGCTGAGATATTTTATATTCGAAGCAGCTTCATTTATGGCGCCTTGTACTTTCATCGTTAGATGTCGAAATTTATCCGTGCACGTTGCCTGAACGTCCCTCAGCCTTTCAATAATTGTCTGAACATTTGCGTTGGTTAATTGATAATGAAGACACGTCAAGTTGTTATCTGAAAAGTGAAAGAACAAATTGCAATAAATCATCGCGATCTTCTATTTATTATTAACAGTAATAAGCAATGCACGGACATCTCCTGTTCCAGAAGAGAAATTCGTCGGTCATATCGCCGAGATTTGGCCTAACGATAATTACTGCCAATGCCTCGTGGATCTGCTTTACCCAATAGCAAACTATCACCTCCAATCTTGCGATGTACTCTCTTTTCTCGATTTCACATCTTCCGACCTCCTCCTCTCCAGTTGGCTTTACCGAATCAAATCTCTGTGCTTCCAAACCTTCTCTGGGTATGTACAAGACGGTCACGTCCATGGGTATGTACACGAGGTCGGTCAAGCTCATCAAAAGCCCATGTAAAGTCGTATTAAGATTATCCTCGATAACTGTTGGAAAGAAGAGGCAATACCAATAAATTAATTTTCGTCCGTTCTCGATAAAGGGATTGTGGCCGAATTTAGAAAATGATAAAAAGTTAAAGAACTCGGTACTTTGTGGACATTTCTGCTCTCGTAGTAATACCGGGGTGTAAAGGTTCTCCAAAAACTTGAGCATGGAGTTTTCAATGTTTCCGTTGAAGCTCCCAAAAATTCCGGTCGAGAGAAAATTGTCTACGGTGTAAATGTGCCAGGATGACCTCCAGAAGTACGTGAGACCATCTACGGGGAATGTAGGAAAATCCAGCAGGGCCATCAGAATATTCTCCCGATAAAATATCGTCAGTACATTTCTCCCTGGCTCGCGGAAATATTCTTCCACGGTCTTGCAACAATTCTCGTTCCAGTCGGACTCTTTGAGGGAACGAAGTGTCGTCAGATCCTTTACATACTGTACCTAAATAAATAAATCCGGTTTAACTAGCCCTCCTGTATCTTTTTAAATGAGTACATATCCGACAAGGTGTCATTAATCAGTGACATTAAAAAATCACTCTGTACTAATAAGCCTGGAGTTAAAGATTCCTTATCGCGGTACCACGTGTCATACACGTGTTACTTCTAGTCGTGAATAAACTCGGACGTCTCGTAGGCTCGTTTCGTAACTCCTCCGCGACGGGGAGGCTTTGATGTTATTTTAAATAAATAACATTAATTAAATGTTACTTTCAGAGAGTATGTACCGACCAAAGTACGCAATTCGGTCTCGTTGAAAACAGGTTTCTCTGGCTCCGGGGGTATTTCTTCGACGGTCTCTGGGGTCTCTGTAAAATCATCGCTTGGTCGATATTACTGATAATCGATAACTTTTAAATATTTCTATTCAGACCAGTGATTTTATCTTGCGCTCGATTCGAGTTTTACCCTGTCGGCCGAATTCTTCCTCGTCCGTATCCATGTCCAGATATTCTCGATGAGAGTCCATCGAAGCTTTCCCCGATTTCTTACTTTTTTCACCCTTAATTTCTCCATCTTCTTTCTTCCTGTCGCTCATGTCGCTTTATTAAACATTAATTTCACCCCCTACTGCTCTAAGAATCTACTTTCGTAACAGTCGATGAGGAATTAAGGGCGTGCGGTATCGAAATTACGACTGGAGAACCACGGTAGCTACGAGACGAGAAAATAGTTTTATCGATACTTAAACGCTCAATTATGTGCACACTGATGCAAAAATGATCGCTAACGTTCTCTTTCGAGCATCAGATATTAAAATGTATTATTCTTCTTGCCATTATATTTTAGATATAGGAATTCAAAGAATTTTTTCATGGAACATGAGAGTGCATTGCGTAAGTATGATGAAGTAATTCTGTAAAACCACAAGTGACCACAAGCGAGCATATTCTGTCGAGACGTGGATAAGTATATTTCTTGAAAGTCTTCTTGTACCGCGAGTAAAGTGCATTTCTGATATCAGTCCTCCCCCAATGGTTGATCAGTACATATAATCAATTTTGCAAATTAACTGGATCTCTTCGAATTTTGAATCTTATCTGGCTTTTCGAATAATCGTCGTCACGTCCTGGGGGATCTCTTATCGTTACTGTAAGTATTTAGCTCGGGGGCAAATATTAAAATAGAAGCTTAAATATGTAAGCCACTGTAATATTTACATTTTAAGGTGCATGGCGCGAGAAAAAACTTGGCTGCTTAAAAATCATGGAACTACATTCTCGACGTTCCAATCCACCTTCTATAGAGTACTTAACCTAGATTAAAAAATTTTTAACGCATTGTTGTCTACTCGTTTCAATCAAATTTGACACGGATTGACAATATTAAAATCGTATTCTAACAACATATTTCAGACTAAGTTTTTACTTATGTTTCAGTCGAGTAGTTTAGAGGAGTTAGGAGAAAAATTTGGAAAATGGTCCAGCATCTGTTTATTGGTCCACTTATTCATTTTAATAATGAAGGGGAGCTGCGTGTCGTAGAGAATGCTGAAATATTAGTGGAGGATGGAAAGGTATGGGTCCATGTACCTAACCCTAAATTAATGCTTTAAAAATAGCATTTCATGTATTATTTTTATATTGTACAGATAACGAGGGTTGTTGAAAATCAGAGATCTAAAGACGTTGCAATGGAACATGTGACTCGGTTAGAAAACGGACAATTTTTTGTTCCTGGATTTGTAGATTGTCATATTCATGCTGCACAGATACCAAACCTAGGAATTGGCTATGATAAGCCCTTATTAGATTGGTTAGAACATTATACATTTCCGTTAGAAAAAAAGTTTCAGGATCAAAACTTTGCTAGACGTGTTTACGAAGCTGTCGTGGTAAGTTCATTAGGATCGTCTCAAATATGTGATAGGCATAGTATCCTGTATAAAACAAGGAAGTCTACATAAAATTATATCCATTCGTAAATGAATTATAGAAGCGAACGATATCTGTGGGAACAACAACTGCTTGCTACTTTGCTTCTCTTTATGGAGAATCCTCCAAGATTCTTGGACAGAAAGCAGCACAGTATGGACAGAGAGCATTCATCGGTAAAGTTAATATGAACAATCCCCATGAAAATGGTTATTTTGAAAGTACAACGGAATCAGTGTCGAAAACTCTGGAGTTTATACAAGCCATTAATGAAATAGGGGCAAGTTTTTATATTGGAAGAACAAAAAATATAATTCATAAAATCATTTTTATAAAATAAATCTCATCCTGCAGTGGAAATTTCATATGTCTAAATAAAAGCATACATTTTTGCAGAGCTCTTTGGTAAAGCCTATCATAACACCTAGATTTGTTTTAAGCTGTGACATGGAACTTATGACGATGTTAGGGAACGTAGCTAGAGAAATGGATCTTCATGTACAGGTGAGTAAGGATTAAATGAGTTTTCTGTTACTTTTTACTGGCACTTAATTTACTTTTCATTCTTGCAGACTCATATTGCTGAAAATTTAGAAGAAGTGAAAATAGTTTCAGAGACATTTAAACAACATTCATCGTATGCTGCCATTTATCATGCTGCAGGTCTTCTGACCAAAAAGGTAAGTTCCATTTCATATAAGATCGTATTATTATAATCAATTATATAGACATGTTAAAATTTACAGACATTACTAGCTCATGGAATTTATCTCAGCGATGAAGAACTTATTTTGCTGAAAAATCAAGGCACATCTATTGTACATTGTCCATCGTCGAATACATGTCTGAAAAGTGGGCTTTGTGATGTACAAAGATTAAAAAGGTTTAACATTAAAATTGGTCTAGGAACAGGTAAAGCTTTTAAAGGGCTATGTTAATAATCTACTGTAAATGCAATTTCCCATGAAATCATTAATACAATTTTTAGATGTGTCTGGAGGGCATAGTGCATGTATGTTAGAAGTTATGAGAGCTGCAATCCAAGTTTCTTGTCACCTCGCATTATTAACGACGAATTATCAACCATTGAACTATAAAGACGTATTTTATTTAGCTACACTTGGTGGTGCAACAGGTAACGAGTACTAATAAAATTTACCTATGTTATTTTAGTGAAATTGGCGGGGTATCTAAAAAAATTATCATTGATACATTGTGTTTATAAAATTTTTGTTTTGCAGCTCTTACTTTAGACGACAAAATAGGAAATTTAGTTCCTGGAAAAGATTTTGATGCTCTAGTTGTAGACCTTAATGTTCATGATGGGCCATTAGATAATTTATGCGAATACACATTAGAAGAAAAGTTACAACGATTCATTCATTCAGGAGATGATCGTAATATAGTTGAAGTTTATATCGCAGGGCAACGTGTCAAATAAATTCTTGTCAAATATTTTTATAATTTCTGTTATTTTATTCATCTATTTTATACTAAAAAACTGATTAAATAAAAATAATTGGAAGTAACGACAGAGTTGAGTTGGGAGATTGCTCACGGGCAGGTAGATGGCACCGCCATCGCCAGTACGCGAGTCCTACCAGAAATTCATTGCGCCGCCCTTGGGGGCAAAAAACGGTGAAGCTGAGGTATAAAATCAGAGGGCAGCACAGGATGCGATCGAGCGATCCTTCTCATAAGCAATCTCCCAACTCATCTCTGCACTCGACCCACGTGAACTGCAGTGAACTGTATAAGGTCAGAATTAGCTTGCTCCAACGAGAATTAGAACGCTACTGAACGGTACGAACAGCATCTTGAGAGTGCTCTGCTGTTAAAATGGCAAGTGAGAAAGAGTCAGCGAAATCCGCGAAAGGAGCCAAATCCAACGAAGCAATATTCGCTGGATTTCAGGCACTTCGTAATGACCAACGAACGATGGCTGATAAATTATCCGAAATGGAAATGGAATTAAATGAACATAAGTATGATCCCTTCGACATCTAACCTAACTATAGAATATGATTTAGTCATCGAATGGTAATGTCTCTTCCTTCTTTAATAATTAACGTAACAATTTTGTAGGATAGTCATCGACACTTTGAAAAATATTGATCCCAAGAGAAAGTGTTATAGAATGATTGGTGGAATTTTATGCGAACGCACGGTAGAAAATATAATGCCTAGTTTGGTTACGAACAAGGAGCAGGTATATATTATATATATAGGTGTTAAGCACTGATTTTCATAGTATTAACTGTGCTTTGGCAATGTCATGAGAACAATGTATATTTTCAGTTGATAAAGGTCATAGAGGCATTGAGCGAACAACTTATGAAAAAGGGTGTTGAAATTAATGAATACAAAGAAAAGCATAATATTAAAATTAGAGGACAAGAGGATTTGCCAAGACAAGCTGGTGACTCGAGCGATGTTAAAAAGGAGCAAAAGAGAAATCCAATTGTTGTCGATCCTACCGAAGCAAAATCATAGTATTCTGTATTTTATTTTTTGCTGAAGTTTTTATGGTAATCCTTCGTTTCAACTTTCTTAACCACTGTTACCTCCTGCATTTATTTATTAATAAAGTCATCATCACTTCAGTGTACATTTGGAATGTAAAAGAGCTCCAGTTTGTGTTAAAATGTTTTGATTGTAAGACATGCCACGTTTTGAGACAAAATGTATTTTATTCTAGGAGAATATCAGTGGCAAGTATATCTATTTGTTAAGTGTAATTATAATTTACTATCATTACCACTATTAGCCATTTATTATTTTAAATTTGTATTGTATAATAATCACAGCATGTTAAGTACATTTTCTAAGCTCACAATTACGTAACAAAAAAATATATTCATTTTTATAAGTCTGATGTGATGTTACTCACGCTACCATTAAATATTTGCATGTGATAGCCGGCGAAGGGTTATACCATGTTCAAAAATAAGGAAAAACTATTGCCAGGTGTAACAAAGGAGAAAAACGTATGTAAATGCATGGTGGTGGTGTGCTGTATAATTAATTTCTAAAGTTCTCGATAGGGTGGTATGAATATCCTTATTACATCAAATTACTTTTATTTGTGAATCTCAATAAGTACACAAGTGTAATACTCACACATATAAATTAAAAAAACTACTTAAAAAAGCTATATCAATTGGTGGCATTTCGCATTCACCAAAAGTATAAAAACGTTCTTTAAATACATTCGATTCTTGCCACTCGCTGGTGTATAAAAATGCTTTTGAGTACATACAATTTATGCCAGTCACCACAGTTGAATAATGCAGAAAATGGTCTGCAATATCTACTTATATTTGATATGTAATTATGGAATTACATAACTTCATATTTCACCTGCTTAACATAAAAATCCTGTGACTATTAATCCAAGTTCCTCAAGGAAATCAAAAGTTTATCCCTATTTTGTTCCTAGTTGTAAACGTTATTTGCATTAACAATAACAGGTTAGTCTTACGTGAGCACAGTTCAGTACTTGACAGTATGCAGTGGTTAAGTTCACAATATTGATTTGCCATAATTTTCCACTAGAAAGTGAACAAGTAAAATAATGTACCAAATTTCTTCACTTGCAACATCGACCGTATTTTTAATCCTTACTCCATAGCTATTATGTTAATCACTTATAATAGACACAGTTTGTAAACATAGAAATGTAAATATGTCCGTACAAAATGAAGCAAAGATAATTTAGTTTCAATGTTCGATATCAACAAGAGCTCAACTACAAATCACTGCATATAATTTGCTTGGAAAAAGGGTATCGGAATGTTAAAAATATTTTTAAATAAACTATTGGAATGACCCAAAATAAGTCAAGGTATGAGATCAGTCAATGTTAAAGAATGTGATGTCAATGCAAAATTTGTATACACAATTGAGTCGATGAAATTACTTGAATAAAACAAAAAATTTAACTCAGAGTATCTCGATCTCGGTACATTTTTAGCATTTTAACAAGCATGCTCTATAGAAGAAAATTAGCATGGACATTTCTGGTATCACCAGATACTGGTGTAAGTACACAAACGGCAACGGCACTTCCCGCTAGCTTAGCCTACCTCTTTGATAATAAAAAAAACTGTAATGCGTACAGCTTTGATTTTTTAAATACATTCATATACAATAGTAGCGATATTAAAATATCTATAATACTCTGTTGTGCTTTTATCTTTCTCACATTCGACATAAGTATTTAAACAATTTGTGTACTTTAATGTCAATCCTTGTTCATAAAGTACAATGCGGTAATTTTGAATTACACGCAATTCCGTTATGCTCTCAAACTGAAGACCAATAACGGCAGTGAAATCTATTCGCGTGTATAATTCAATATCACCTCAACAATTATCTTTTGAAGAATTCTTAGCGATATCCCCGTACTTAATTTAAACATTTTTGCATAAAATTATCGATATGCACCATTACAAGACAGAGCCTTATCACTCAAGTATAAAATTCAAAGAATTATGAGTATAACTATCCATTTGATCATCATGAAGTAAATAAATACTTATTCACCAGTGCATAATTAGTAGATAAATTAATAACATACAAGCTAACATTGATACTTAACATTGTTTTACGCTGCAGCAAATACATTCAAAAATAAGATTCTTTGAACCTGCAATTGACAGTCTGCTTGAAAAATTGGATACTTGATGGACATCCGGCATAACACGTTAATATCACTAAATGAGTATTGCATTGATGAAATAAAAAACCTATGTATCAAAATGAAGTGATGTTCTGGTTGATGCTATACAGACGTTTCCGAGTTAAGTCTCAAAAGAAACTTGTTTGATTTGGGATGAGCAAGCTGTTCGGTGAGGTTAAAATGAGGTAATCGATGAACTGTACATAGAAGAGCTACTTCGCCCTGCCTCAGTTGAAATTCACACCCAGATGCGAGGGGACGAGAAGGCAGCTCACCTTCGCACACAAGTGCCCAGTGATGTGATCGTCTCTGTCGTTCTTTTTCATTAGACAAAATGGGACTTGTTGTAAAAAAAGGTTCTAAAAATGCTCTGGGGGCAGCATCTTGTGCCAAACAACGTGCCAATCGGCCTAAAATCGACTCCACCGAATGTCGTGGCTGTTGTCGAGTTACCCTCAGGTACTTCTGCAGTGCTCGTGCCATCGATGGGAACACTGCTTGCGCTGCTTCCATAGGATCCATTGGCCCCGGACTGGGAGCTGACTCACCTTCTGAGTGCAATCTTTTAATGTGCGCAAATGCTTCCTCGGCAGCGGTGATTAAGCGAGCTTTCCTTTTTCTAACCCTTCGCTCATAGTCATGTTCCTCGTAGAAACGCTCATTGTGGCTAGAATCTCTGCGACGTGCTTGTGCGGCAAGAACGGCTCTGTCACCACCGACTCCTCGTTGCTGCATTCCAGTGGTCACTCCTCCATCAACTTCATAAAACTTAAAGCTAGATGGTTTCCTGCCTGACTTTGAAACTGGAAGCCGTTCCAAGTATGGGTTATAAATAGGAAATTCGGTGTAGTACCTCTCCAGTACCCACACCGCTGCCCTTTGGATCGACAGTTGACCAATTGCATAAGATCTTGATTCGCCATCTGGAGATCTTACCACCTTGAATAAAAAATATATTTCTTAGTATATTTCACTGATTGAAAAAAAAATATATATTAAACTCGTACACACTTTTAGGTAATATGTTGGCTGCAAATGACGAATTTCTATGAGAAGTACTGCGACGTAATGTATAAACAACAGTGTATCAGCAAGGGTTCCGGCATAATTTACTAAACTTTTGTACTCTGTTATTTCACCATTAGCTGCAGTCTTAGCACTCTCTGTAACCTGTAATTTTTAATATAGAAGCAATTTTTAATTAAAAGCCACAATGTATGAGATGTACACCCTGAATAATATACCTGTACAACGTAGAATAACCAGTAAGTGCATATGCAGAGCATCGTAAGTACGAGAACTCCTGCTCTGAATAAAAAAACCCTTGGCATGATGGCATTTCGTGGTCGTAAAAAAACAGCCCAGCTTCCTATGCCTAACAGCACTAGCTTAAAAGCTAGACCAAGTAACTGGCCTTTACATTCGGCATTGCATGACAATAATTGAAGCCTTTGTTGCAAGGTCAATACGCTCGTTGAATCAGGAAAGAATCCCAATTTTGGCAATATGACCATAGCTATGGGACTCAGAAAGGCGCTTATTCCGAGTATAGCTGCCACCACTGAACCTACATAACGATTACAAGTGAAACCAAACGAATTCTCTCCTTCGATTGGCCAATGGCTAACATCCTCGGTTGACTCGGACCGATCCGAAGTGTTCCCCGTAACTGCTGTGGTATTTTCACCCCAATTCTCATCTTGCGGCAATATTTGCACTTCGATCACTTCTTGGCCTAAATTATCGACGCTATCACCTCGAACGTTCACCATCGTTTGAAAAGGAGCCATTTCGTTAGTATCCAGATTATGTCGTTCTTTCCTTTGACTCCTATTGCTTCTGCAAAAAAGTGTATTACGACACAGATTACATAGAGTACATGAATCGTTTTCAAGACATGTATCGATTAATCATTAGTCGATTAAAAAAACCTTTACCTAGATGTTCGGTGTGAATGCTGTCGGTGATGTGATTTGTTGCCGTGGGATCTATGGTGTTTCTGTGACCCTCGGCTGTGGTGGCTGTGGCTATGCTCGCTAGCCCCTGACTTCACGCTCTCAGTCTCCATTCCCTGGTATAGGCTACCGCCTTTCCTCTACCCCATACAAACATTCCACCGTTGGCAAGCAAACGAATGACAAGCACATGTGTCACGTAGCACGCTGCGATTTATATCACAGAGGCTTTCTATGGTGACACACTATCGGTCAAAGCCCTTGGCGGAGTTCCCACGCCGGATAGAACATGCAGTTTCGCCACATCTACGTTTCCGTCGTACTCTAACGAAACGCTTATTCACCTGCGTCAGTCAACTAAATACAAAAATCTCATTCTTACGTGAAACTCTTCATTTTCCGGTGTCAAAATAGACGCCGACACGCCTTCAGTTTATTATTCCCACCCCCTCTCTGACCGCCGCCATTCGCCTTCTGCATTCCGGAGTAATTGCTAGGAATAAAATACTGAATCTAGGGACTTTAACGCTAAAGTTTCGGCTGCCCTGAGTACGCGTTCTCAAAGACCTCGTTTATGAGAAATACCCAATCTTAGAGTAACTTTGACATTTTTAAAAGTAACTCCATGATTGGTTCTAGTGGACAACTAATTAGCTAGAAAGCAGATTGTTTTCTCGTTATTTGTTTCCAGTTGGATACTTTAAGAATTTTTTATTTCTTTTTTATGAGTTATACTCTGCATAATTGATTAAAAAAGTATAGATATATGCATTTGTATACTAAGCGATAAGCAACAAATACTTATATAGATTCAGCGTTATTGGAGGTATCCTTTTTTGGGGTCTCTATTTCTATCGTCACAGGTCCATCGTTTTCTATTTTCACCTGCATCATGGCACCAAACAGACCATCTATAAAAAATCCAGTAGGATAAATTAATATCTTATTAATTTGCATGCAACGCACTTGCGTATAAAATCACCTTTCACGAATTCTGGTTTGTATTTTGCCCTAAGTTCGTCAACGATGTGCGAAAAAAGCAAGTTTGCCTTCTCCCCTGCCATTGCTTTATGAAAATCTATTTTATTTCCTTTTAAAACATGATATAGAGTAAATTGACTAACGCATAATATTTCATATTGTTTGTCCATTACACTGTTGCTCCACTTTTTATCCTTCTCGTCGTCGAAGAATTTCACATTTAAAATTTTTCGTACTCTAATGAAAAATAAAATTAATATTAATATTTATGTTAAAATATAGGCAATTGTAATAAAAATTCTGTTGAATTATTGTTAATCATTACATGTATCTGATATCTTCTAACGTGTCTTCTCGGCTTATACCGATAAATACGCACAATCCCTTTCCGATGGTGCTGATAACTTCATTATTAACTGAGAAACGAAATTCATAATTATTTTTAACTTATACGTAGATGCCTACATAAAGCGATTAATTTCGTTTTAAAGCACGTGGGAAGTAGTGACCAATCAGAGGCTTTGTAAATGCGTTCCTTAAATCCGTAAATTTTATCCCGTGTTCCCAACTTTATGTTACCAACCTAAAATGAAAGTTACCAGTCTTGCATTTCATGTCCTTAAGACGTAACTTCTTCAATTAGTATGAAAATCCCTTTTCCACTTTAGATTTAATTAATTAAAGAATTCATTTCAAGAGCCAGTAGATAAAAAACATATCGACATTAGATATTCAAAACTTTGCGCGGTTTTTGATATTGAATGAGAGTGTGTGTGGATGTCGAACGTTGCGCATGCGCGAGCTTCGATCGACCCTCTGAGTTCTTGAAAAGTCTTAAGTTTTAGCTAATGAAATAAATCATTGACTAACCGCCAAAATAACCTCGACATTGACGCATAAAACGCAAGAAAGTAGTGTGAAAATTGTTAGGAAAGTGTCGCTGAATTTTTTTCAGTGCGGAGATTCAATAGTCAAAATAGTATCCATATAACCTCAAAGTTATACATCACCTAAAACGCTGGCTGCAGTGACGCGTTGCACCAGAGCTTTCATGCTTGAAGAGATGCTCTTTTCGACCCAAGAGCGAAATAAGTGGTTGTTCGTATTTTTTTATTTAACAAGATATGCTACGATGTCTGAACGTTCGATTCCCTCACACGAATGTTCCAGCCAATGAGAGAGCGGATGTCTCCGGAAAGCATACTTCCCGCGTGTGGACTTCCTATAATGTTGTTTGACTTTTCAAAGATTGTTTACAAGCACCAAGTGAAGTGAATAATCGAAAGAGAAACGACTCGTGGGAGTGTTTTAGGCGGTGTTATGCGCCGACGATATAAGAAAAATGAATGATCTTAATTTTCCGAGCTTATTTTTAGATGTGAACCTCTAAACAAGACTTATATTCGATGACCCACTTGTTGCGTTTAGGTTATGGTGTTATAAACAAAAATATGTGGTGCAGGAACTTTATTCTGCCTGAATAACGCATCTTTGCGATTTAGCAAGGATGGAGGATCCTGGATTGAGCCTCTTTCAAGGCCCTGATGGTATCCAGCTGAACACTAGTTCGCAGAGACAAGAAGAGGAAGAAGAGCAAGATGAAATCGATCGACGCAATGAGGTGTAGATCTTTTGAAACTTTGTGGATCTAACCATTCGATGGTCACTGCATGATTAATACAAAATTCAGTACCTTGGATTAGTATCATTGGTTGGGCACTATGAAACTGAAAGGCAGTTGCCACAACAATGTCAGCGTCAATGAAAGATTTTTGTTATGTCTTTTTTTACATATTTTGTTGAAGATAATAACTACTTTAAATATGCAAACGTAGAAATATTTGTATTACTTATATATTAATTTGGTGCTGATTTTTTTTTAGTTGCAGAACATGGTGGAATGTGAATTCGAAGACCTAGACGATGACTTTGATGCTAGCTCAGTCAATAGTAGTCATTATCAAGATACAGGTCATGTTGATCATAGTGATATAAACTCATCCCTGCATCCAAATGAGGCAGAAAAGATTCAAACATCATCAGAATTTCGAAGAGATTTCAGAGTGTTTAATCACGTGGAAGAAACAAACAATTGTGACCAAAGTACTCTATCGATTCATCGATTGGACTCGAACAGTGGACCAACGGTATCCGATATACAAAGGGATTTCAATGTGCACAGCCAAATTGCAGTGTCTTGTAATAAATCTGACAGAATTGGCAATATAGCTGGTAGCGCTTCAGAAAGTTTATATGATTTACCGAAGCCACCAATGTTAGAACGTGGTCATAGTTTTCGAAGACCAGTGAGTGATGAGTACAGTTTTAACCATGGCTATCCAGACAACTATGATACTCCAGCAAATCATTATGACAGGAGGATAAACAGTTATCCAAATAATGGGTACATAGACAGGTATGGAAGCAGTGTACTTGATAAGGTTCAGGAGTTAGGAGCTGGTGACAATGAGAGTAATGACCACATTAACCGCTACAATAAACCTGGCTTAAATGGAAGATCGGTCAATGACAGTACAGCTTATAAAATGACAGAGTACCAGAGTAAAGAACAAATAGAAGTTTTATATTCAATCAGAATGCGAGAAATTGAAAAATTAACCGATCAGTTGGACCAATTAAGACTTGAAAAGAAAGAAGAAAAAAGTCAACTTGATAGGAAATTGGCACTTGCACAGGCAGAAATTGAAAGGACAAAGCTTTCTAGAAATCAGGCTCAAAATGCTCTCGGTAAGGAAACAAAATGCATTGAATTAATATTTGAGCAAATTAAAGGTTTACAGGTACTCGTATTCATTGAGAACAAACACTTTATATTATTAATATTTTGCAGTTGATGCGAGAGCTGAAATTACTGAACTTCATACTCAAATGGCAGCTTTAAAGGAAAAGATTGCTGTTCTAGAAAAGACTAATAAAAACGTAATAGAACAAATTTCTTATTAACGTGATAGTTTTGTTATAATTACCTTAAAGTTGTAAATAAAAATTGATATACTTTTTTACTTATACCACAGATGTCAGAAGACTTATCGGTTGCAAGAGGGTCAGTGACAGACTTACAGCATAAAGTAGCTGTATTGGAAGGCATACAATCGCTTCAAGCTAATGATAAGACTCATGAAAAATTTCTAAAGCAGGCTCAAGAAAAGCATACAGTAGAAGTGCGAAATATGCAGACACAAATAGATGTATTGACTGACAAACTAAATACAAAGGTATACATAAAATTTTATACATTTGAAATTTTTTTTAAAATGTGTGTGATTGTGTTATATATAAATGCCATGCACTGTAAATATATAATACTGATAATCTCGTCATAGCTTATCAATACGGATACCAACGTTCACTGCATTTGGGCAAGTTGTTTGTAGTTTTCAATTCCCATTTTATAAATACAAGTATATGATTTTTTGGATTGTTCGCCATGGAACTTTCATTATATTTAACACTTAAATTATTTTAATATTGTAATGCTATTACTAGCTGTTTTATTGTTTAAGAAATTTATATATATATATTTTTTTCACTATTTTAGGAATCCTCTTACGTTGCACTGGAAAATAAATTGGCTGATGTGAGACGGGCTCATGAGACACTCATGGTGGAGAAAGGAGATACCATGAATCGTCTAGCTGAAGCTTTGGAAAAAAGTCAAGCTCAATATCGCAATCTTATGGCTAGTAATAACGCTCAAGAAATAATGCAACTCCAGACACAAGTAAAACTGGCTACACAAGAAAAGGAAGAATTATTGAAAACTGTACAGGAACTGCATGTAATGTATTTTTTATTAGAGTTATATAAACTTTTTTCGTTTTTTAACCATTCACTAATTATCATATTCTGTATAGCATAAGTTGGAACTTGCGAAAAGTGACATAACACAGTACGATTCGTTATTGGGCACAACGTGTGAGGAAGAATCTGACTCCATCAGGCAAATGAAGTTAGGTGAAGCTTTTCATAAATCTAAATGTAAATCATCCGAAGATATCACACAGAAATTGAAAGGAGAATTACAAAGGTATCGACTTCTACTATATTTTTTAATTTATAAGTGGAAACAGCCGTTTAAGCCGATGCTCGAGTCATATCTAACATTTGTTAAGAAGAAAATTGTAAGTAAATATTTTTTAGGTGTTTAGCAGGGCAAGCTCTAAAGAGAAAAGAAATAAATCGTCTAGAGAATACTCTTGCACAAAAGGAAGAAGAACTTGAGAAAGCTTTGAAGCTGGCGGAAACGTGTCGAGAAGAAGCAGCACGTCAGGCTAAACGTGTCAACGAATTGGAACATGAACTTAAATCTTTACTTACGGACAAAGCAATGAAGGCAAATATCCAGATACAAAAGTTGTCGGATCATCTACAAGATGTGAAGAAACAATACGAAAATATGAAAGAAGAAAAGGAATCGGTAGAGCAAAGATTAAAACAAGCATTAGCTGCTAACGAAGAGACACTTAAGCAGCTGCACAAAGAAACGCTGGAACAGCAACAACAGGAGGCAGTCGCTGAGTACAATAAAGAATACTTAGAGATACATGACAAAGCTATAGAGAGAGTGAGGCAAGAGGCGGAAGTAGAAATAGTGCAATTATCGTAAGCATACCAATGATTGAAATAATAAAAAGGTAATAAATGTACAATGACATGTTTGAAATTTATTTTCAGAGTGCAATTACAGGAAACTCAAAAACAATTGGATAGTGTTAAAGAAATGTATGTAGATGTTTGTCGTACAAAGGAGCAATTGATAGCCGAGCACAAGAAGGAAATAAAAGCTTTAAAGGAAACGTATTTTAATTTGGAAGGGCGAAAACAAGAGATGGAGAAAATGGCAATTGATTTAAGTACACAAATCAAAGTTACCGAAAGGTTGTCAAAGGAATGCGAAAACTACAGGAGTAAAGTTAATGAATTGGAGAAAGAGCTGTCCCAGGAAAAAAAGAAAAGAGATGAGTACACGAAGAAGATCCACACTGAAATTGAAAGAGGTATTAGGCATTGAATCTTATGAATGCGTAACATTAAATTCGCGGGTAATTTAAGATTTCCTTAACGCGTAATCTAAACGATAATAACTACTTGTTTTTTTTTTTCCAGCAAAAGAAAGCGCGCTACAAGAGTTACGAAATGCTTATCCAAATCAACACATCAACATTCATCTGCCCGACGCTCATTGTTCCGAACATTTAGATAAAATTACACAGGTACGTTTTTTTTAGTATACCTTTATTCACAGTTCATGAAAGGTGATATACAAACTTTTATTTCTTTTGCAGTTAGAGGATGACTGTAGACGTTTGGAGGAAAAATTATCTGTTGCTGTCGAAGAACAAAGGAAAATGTCGGATTTACAGACTGAATTAGATGACACCAGATTAAAAATTGCTCAAATGGAAATAGCCTATGAATCGTTAAAAAAGAAATATGAAAATATTGTTATCGAAAGAGACAGTCTCAGTTCGAGGATTTCTCAACTAGAGGATGAGCAGCGTAATGCGAGGAAAAATTCGAAAAAGGAGGATTCTGACGATGCAAAGTTAAAAATTGCTGAAATGCAGTTGGAAAACAAGGCACTGCGTGGAACCTACGATGTCCTGTTGCGAGATAGGAATGCTTGCAAAGAAAAAATATCTAAATTGGAGACTGAGCTGGCCGAAGCTAAGCAGACAGTGTCGAGTCTCGAAAGTAGGTTAAGAAAATACAGCGAATCTTCCTTAACGTCAAGGAGCGAGGTGGACAAGGAGTTGTGTCAGTACAAAGATACCGTAGTTCAGTTGACGAGTAAATTAAATAGTTTAAAGGACAGCCGCAAAGGAGACTTCATCCTTGAACAAAGAATAAAGCAACTTGAGAAAGATTTACAAGACAGGGACGACAAATTACAGAGATTGAAAGGTTTTGAAAATATTAAGGAAGAGAGGGACCAGCTTGTCATGAAATTGAAGAATCAGGCCAAACAGTTCGAGCAGTATATAAACAGCCAAAGACAAGTCTCGGCTGAATTGAATTTGTCTCCGCGTAGTGGTGGCGATGGGACGGATTTTCAAAAATTAAAAGAAATGACCATAAAGGAGGTTCGCGAAGGAATGGAACAAAGGGTAGCGGAAGAGTTGAGAGCTATCGAAGAACAGCACCGAGAAAAACGGTTGGAAATTGAAGAGAAATATAAAAGCCTGTTGATGGAGCTTCAAGCTAAGTGTAATGACAAAACTAAAGAGGTAGAAGCTATGAAAGAGGCCTTGCTCAGTGAAAAAGTAAAACTCCATTCTTCGTTCAAAGCTCAGGAACAGATGACTCAAATGACCGAAGCTAGATTACAGATGTTCCATCAAGAATTGATATCGAAACAACTCAGAATAGAAGAGTTGCAGGTTGCTTTAAGGCAGAAAGAAAACGAGGTCGAGGAGGAAAAGAACGTCATGACTCAAGTAATATCCGAATGGACGTCGGAAATAAAAGAGATTCAGACGAAAGAAGGAGAAATGAAGGATGAGATTCGAAGGTTAAAGGAAGCAGAGGAACGATTGACCAAGGAGATCGATGAACTACATGAACAGGAATCTCAGATGAAAAATAGTATTGCTTCGCTAAAGGATAAATATCAATCTGCTAAAAAGATTGCAAATAATTACAAGGTTGGTTTTAATAAATCTTAGACAAATTTAGCAATTGCTTAAAGTTTTAACAATGTAATGCATTTAATACCTTTTTAAGAAAAGAAAAGTAAATATAACTTTTTTCAGAAATACGCAGAAAGTAAGGAGCAATTTTTAACCAGCGAATACAAGCGTATAAAAGAGGGTTATGAAAGAGCCATGATTGAAGTACAACAAAAAGCCGAAGCAATTCTCAGTACTAACGAAAAGTTGACAGAACTCGAAAGTCAATATGAGCAACGGTTGGAACAGATGCGACTTAAACTGAAGTACAAAAATAAATGTTGAAGTATGTATTAATATCGTTAGTATGCAATATAGCTTTTCGTAGATTAGGATAAATTGTAGTTAGAAGAGGCTAGTTATTTTTTAATTTATAGCACTTTATTGTACAACATTTTATCAGAAGAGTTTTATTATAGGGACCAATTAGTTACATTCAGCCACTGCTACCTGGTGAAATTGTATTAAAAGGTTTCAAAAATATCTAGGTTCTTCTCATTTTCAATGTGAATTTCAGAATTCTGAAATGATCAAGTTGATCGTAACATATTTCTGTATAGCTCGATTTTTTTTTATTTGCCTTTAGTAACCGTTTCAGAAACAGTATTGTTAAATTGACGTAAAGTAAATGTTTTTTAACATCCTAGCCGATCGATGAACATGAAAATGTTTTAGTAGTACATTTCGTATTATATTTTCAGTATTCATTTCTTGATAAATAAGTGCCTTTCCGAAAGCTGTTCACGATTAATGTATTCTCCTTTATTTCAGTATTTTACAGACGTTAGTTCATTGAATTGCATGAGTCGAAAATTTGTAATAATTTCTTATACTCTTTAAAATAGTTTATATGCGAACCATCTATTGGACAATCTAGAGACAAAAGAAGTACTTATAAAAAAAGAGCTATTAAGAAAATATTTTTCCACCGGTGAAAAAAAAAGAAATTGTTTTCGTAAAATCGGATAGAATGATTTTAATTTGTTTCTTGAAAAGAAACGTTGCCTCCCGCGTGTACATAAATTCTGAAATAATTGATAATGAGATTACTGATTCATGATACGCGGAATATGAATCTAAACTGCTCCGACAGGAAGTACGATACTTTAAGATATGGAAAAAGCATAACAGACAATCGCCTGTGCTATGCTTAACGGGTTTTTCGAGTTTGCCAGTAACATTGTGTTACACAGAAAGAAATACTTATTTAAGTTCTTTATATTTCGGTCCAACCTGAGTGAGATACTCACTCCGTGTCTACAAAATACTTGACATAAGACTGGATCTTAATATTTGTCATAAGGTACTCGAAGTCAGTACAGTTTTAACAGTTGTATCAGAGAACAGACGCCATTTAGAATGAAATATGCCCTTCCATGGAGATTATTCAGTCATTCGCAATTCCCTCTAAGTTCACTGGTACACGCGTGTGTACCGTGTGTTCAAACAAACTGAGATTAAATCATGACAAAAACGAACAAGTTATTAGCACGTATAGTTTGTGAAATGTAAAAGGTTTGATTTCTACGTGGAGCCATTCTTTGATGATTTAGTTTTCTCCTTGAGAGATCGTTCGATTCTCAAGCTCGAATTCTCTGTTTCTCTTTCCGCCTTTGCCTATTTTCTTGCCTTACTCCTTCGAAAGTTTGCTCTCTATAGTATTTAATAAGAAATCTACCTGTACAAAGTGTGACTCTCCAATATACAAACATTTTATAAGATTTCCTGTACAAAATATTGCGCGGCCGACTTAATGTAAGCAACCAGGCTCATAAATTTAATGTGACATACCGTAGGCAGAGATTATAAGAAAAATTAAGTTAAGTTTATCTTTATCGACTAGAGAATAAGAATGTTACCGTACAAATTTTCCATAATATTGAGGATATTTGAAATTGTAGATACCAGTATATCTGCGTCTAGGAATAATGTGTATAAAATTTCGAACATTTCGCGGTTCAACCGTTTCTGCACGAGAGTACATAATTCACCTTCCACGTGGTTAAAAACTACCGGAAATACGTCGCTTCAAGTATTCTTCAATTCAGGCGTATTCCATCAGATATTTTGTTTATGAATATAACGCTGACACGAAATTTTGTAATATATCCCATGAAAATTATAATCCTTAACGCCGATACCATACAATTTTCGAAGTCTACGGTTAATCGAATGGACATTGGCTGTACATTCTTTTAACGTGCGCTGAAATTATGCAACTATTCGATCACTGATGTCTAATCGATTTACTTTCCTCCACGTGCTTAATATACCCCATTCGAGTAAATTTATATATATAAATATATACACACATATGTAAATCACGATAATATAAAGTACTAACTTGTCAACGCTGTCATGCTTTTCTACTAATGATTCTTATAACATTACCGTAATTACTATAAAAATCATCACTGAATAGAGAGTATTATTAATATTAATTAGTTATGTATTTTTGTATTTAGAGTGAATTAATTTATTTTTTGTAATAAAGATTTTATGTCATCTTCGTTGGTTCTTTCGCGTTGTCTTTCGTCCGGCGCGATAAGTTGTACAAAGGATAAATATCGAATAGATATCTTTAGAAAGCCTGACCTTATTGGTATTTGATCAATATATCTTATATTATCAGGACACGCTATCTTTTAGAAATACATATGAACAAAACGAACACCTTGGATCTTTCAGTAGACGAACAATGGCTTTCAGTTTATTCCGCGGATGTTTATTACTCTCTAGGGAGTAATGTAGATATAAAAGGGATAAGGATATCACAGCCGAGGGTCATATCGATACTAACTCAACGTCTCAGTGAGTCAAACTGAAATTGTTCTAGTTAGTTAGGTCAGCGTCATTTAGTCAGTCAGCGTCCAGTCAGCAATCAGCTCTCGTCGCTGACACGTCGAGATGGAGTATCGCAGTTTCTCCGTTGCGTTCTTTTTATTCCTGGCATTTCAACTAACTGCATCCCTGCTGCTATTTAAACAATTGGAAGAGTCAGACTATAAATACGAGATAAAGACCATTGAACTTCCCGTAAGTAATCGACGCATTGTTTCGCCTCCGTTCCATAAAGTTAATGTAACGCATTTCATAGATTAAGTTAACCGATTATATTTAACAGTTTCTCTTCCTCGCAAAATGAGACATGTAATGTTTAAGGTGGACCACTTCAGTTTTGCTGTAAACAATACGTTTAAGCTACGATATCTCGTTAACGATACTTGGCAAAGGGCGCAAGACTCGCCGATTTTCTTCTATACCGGAAATGAGGGATCCATTGAACTGTTTGCCAAAAATTCGGTAAGAGATTTAACCAGTTGTATCGATCCTGAAGGGAGTTAAATCTAGGTATAATATGTTATGTTAATTATTTTCTCTTAGGGCTTCATGTGGGACATCGCCATAGAATTTGGAGCCGTCTTGATTTTCGCTGAACATCGTTATTACGGGGAGTCTCAGCCCTTCGGCAACCGATCTTTCTCAGACCCGAAATACTTGGGGTATCTGACCTCTCAGCAAGCTTTGGCGGATTACGTTGATTTAATCCGTTATTTAAGGAGTGACCCCAGGAAACGGGAGAGTCCCGTGATCGCATTTGGCGGCTCCTATGGAGGAATGCTCAGTGCCTGGATTCGCATGAAATATCCTCATATCGTGCAAGGGTACTTGCTCTCTTTACCTCGCTAAACTAGTACAATTGACTCGCGTCGAGTAGCCCTATCGGGAGGATTCATAAACTTCCTCCAACTCGGGATAAATATTATCTAAGTACATAGTTTATCGGCGAAGGTCAGTCGCTCGGTTCCTTGCGCTGCTGGAATAATAATTAAGATTTCCAACGTTAATATCGCTAATATCGGACGGGGTCCGTAAATCCTTGAGGGGAAATCTCGCGGCTTGTTTTTTCTTAGAATAAATTATATTGGTTGATGCATTAATTGTGTATAATTTCAGAGCGATTGCAGCATCCGCACCGATACTGTACTTTCCGGAAGTGGTATCCTGTGGGGCATTCTTGAAGATCGTTACTTCAGACTTCGGTGCAGCTAATAGCGCGTGTCCCAAGTTAATCCGAAAATCTTGGTCGGAGATTACGAGTCTCGGCTCGACAGGTAAACTGCAATTCTTCAACTTCCAATGAGTTCGGTTTCAGTTATAACAATGCAACTCGAGTCGGCCGGCTCTGCTGCCCGAGAGTCATTTTCCACTTATGCCTGGTTGAGTCAAGTAAAAAAAGAAAAGCAACTGTAGATATCCATGCGCAATTACATAAGAACATGCTCGAAGCTGTAAGCAATGCTTAACGACTGCTCAAAGCGGTGCCTATAAAATCGCAATAGATTGAGATTTCTCTGCGTCGGATGTGTACAATTTCACTTATTATTAATCTATATTAATAGCTGTCCGTTTCTTCTTCTTTTAAGCCGAGGGACGAAAATGGCTGACTGAAAATTGGAAGCTCTGCGAGCCGCTAAATAATACGACCCAAGTGGAAGGTTTAAAATCCTGGCTGAACGATGTTTATGGGAATTTGGCAATGGTTAATTATCCCTACGAATCGAATTTCCTGATGCCTCTACCTGCTTATCCCGTTTCGGTAAGCGACATTTTGGATGGAACAAGACTGCGACAAAGGTCTTAAGACATTTTTAAGGTCAGAATATTTTCCGTTTGAGAAACGTCTCTTGCCAGATACGCTGTACACCTTGATAGTCTGGTACAGGTATCTCGTGTTGCAAGTATTCCGTACCCGCTGGGTGAGTGACCGTTTATTGTTCCCGGTACTCAATTTCGACGTTAATGGCAAGGCGCTGAGATTTAACAGTCAACCATAAAGGAGTTCTGCGTTTCATATAAACGTTTGCCTGTCTCTGAAATGTCAGCCACGCGCGGAAACCCGTGAAAGTGGAACAAAATCCAGAAAGATTGTTACATATAAACCGACGCGTACAACTTGATCCTTGGATCAATAATTTATAATTTTAAATTGGATATTCTTTACTAATTGAATGTCACGCATTTGCAGGCCGTTTGCGAGCATCTGACGAATTTAACTCTTACTGGGAAGCCTCTTTTGGAGTCGCTGTACAGATCAATTAATACGTACGCAAATTATACAGGAAAAGCAACTTGTTTAAGCACGGATGAGTCCGCAGAAAATCTCGATTCGCATGGGTGGGAATATCAGTCATGCACGGAAATGGTAATGCCTACATGCTCCGATGGTGAAAATGATATGTTCGAGCCAAATAAATGGGATTTTAAAAAATTCAGCGACGACTGCTATGCAACTTACAAGGTTCGCCCTCAGTCGTACTTAGCATGCCAGGAATATGGATGCGACAGTCTTTGGACAGCGACAAACATTGTATTCAGGTAATCATTCCTGTTGATCCTGATAATTATACCCAGTACTGTACAAATCTAGGTAATGTATTTCATACGGTAATGGTTTTAGTAATGGCTTGCTGGATCCCTGGACAAGTGGGGGAGTTTTGAGAAATGTCTCTTCATCGGCTATAGCTGTAATAATACCGGAAGGTGCTCATCATTTGGATTTAAGGGGTAGGAACCCTAATGACCCATACAGTGTAATCCAAGCCAGAAAGTTCCATCGCTATTCCATCAGAAAATGGATTAGACAACATCGTGAAAATCAGGTAGAAACCATGGCAGAATATTAGAAGGTAGTTTTTCCTCGAATCGCTGAATTCTCTGACATTAATAGCCAGGAGTAAATAAATTGAATTTTTTACAAGGGCACATCTTAGCTGATCCAACGCTTATATACAGTGAGATAGTTAAGCTGCAAGAAATTAGTTAAAAATCCTAGCAGATTTTTTTACTATTCCATGCGCAACTGAAAAATGTCACCAAACTCGCGGAAAAAAAAGTTTAAACGCTTTCGACTAAACAATAGCTTTCTTCCTCTGCAATATTTAACTTGTTTTATTGGGGTAATCGTGCTTACAATAAATAATAATGCATGATACAAGTATTAAAACTACATAATACGTCGGTGGTCCTTTACCTAAATGAACAATTAAAAAATCATACGAAAAAGTAAGCTTTTTCGATTATCACAGAGTATAATAAATGCATGGAATTGGTTATTCTAAAAGATACATCTTCTGAAATAAGGAGAGGGATCAAGGGAGACTCCTTAAAAAATTCACCGTGCGGCATAGTGTTTGGGTTACAATTAAAATAAATTATAACGCTCATTGTATCAAGCTCTTGAGGAATTAAATATGTTATTACCTTTTGGCTAATCATACTTGAACATCTAAAATATTCGCCGAGCATCTTGACATAGTATAAATGGTTTTATTTTAACTTCTATAATTTTCGTAAGGATTTGTTCTTTAAACAATCGTTTATACTTCATGTAATAATAAGTGCAAGATAATTATTTTTATTTCTTGGTTCTATTCTTGTTATTTTTATTATCGTATCGAATGTTGAGTTTAGGCATCAACGACCAAATGTATTAGTTCCATTAACCAAATGACTAACTTCCTCGTGCATTCCATAAAAATATTCAGGCGTTCTACTTGTGCCCGTAAACAGTTTAATCTTTCTCTTTTAATGTCGGAGAGTTTTACTGACCGATACATGTAGCCTTCTGATGATGTTTAACGGATGACAATATTTTTCGTAATTTAAGAGATATCATCTTCGTCTATACACGCGATACATCCCTGATGGATGTAATTTATGCGGAGTGTTTAAAACTGTACAAAAACCGATTAGATGACGCGTTTCCTGTATTTGTGATATAGAGCGTTAAATTAAAAATGCTAAAGGGTCGATACAAAATGTTCTAAAAAAAATTCTCTAATAAATAAATAAATATATATATATGCGAGGCTCATTTGTCTACTAAATGTTCAGTGTAGTGTGCGCCGATGAGCCGTAGTTGGTCTAGGAACACCGGAGCGACTTCTGACTTTTTTTACCTGCGCAAAATTAGACTCGACTCCCGTATTGTAGGAAAGATAAATATTTGGTAAATCTGGCTGTGATTGCTGTAAATAAATAAGGTCATTTTAATTTCCCAGACTTCTATTGTAATCTCGCAATGCAATTCCTTACAGTAAAGAAAAAATATCAATGCAAATATTACGAGTACTCACGTCTTTATCGTTATTTAACAAAGTCGTCACTTGAGCTTTTCGCATGTTATTTCCTGTATATGCCACGCATTTTAATTGCCATTCTCCAATATCTTCATTCCAGTGGACATATCGTTCGATCATTCTCTAAATTATAATTACAAGGTATTAGAATGGTATATTCTGCTTACCTGTATTTCTTTTTTAATAGTATGACTAATTAATATTGCAAACCTGATATTGTTCCGGTATGTAATTGCTCATAATCAGTTCATGGAGTTGCAATTCTCTTCTAATGCCCCGAATCCCTTCGAAAAGTCCCTCTGTTTCTCGGTGATGTTCTAGTCGTAAATCTAAAAATTCAGCTTGAAGCGACATTAACATCGTATGTACTCTAGCCAATTTTTTCGTCTTTCCTGCAGCTTCTTCTTGGAGCGAGGAGTATTTTTCTTCGATATCTATACGCTCAGCTTCCTTCTCTTCGATGGCTTTTTTCAACTGTTCTTCGCGACTTTTTCTTTGCTCCAGTTCTATCGCAGCTGCTGCCAAAAGTTGTTCTTGAGCTTCTGCCTTTTCTAAGAGATTCTCCCCTCCGACCAAGATTTTATTTTGCAGATTTTGCATTTTTTCTCGTAATGCTTCTTTTTCACTCCTGTCAAACAGAAAATATTAGACAATAACCTTTTTATTCATCCTGTGAAATAAATATTTGAAATCTATAGTTGATGCAAGGTACATTGAAATATCCAATTCAAAAAGAGCATTTTTATGACAGTGTTATGGTACATTTACCAAAAGTAGTTTTTCCAAAAGTCATTTTAAGGATACTTACTGAGTTCTTTTTAATTCAATGAAATCCTTATTGTCCGGACTTTTGTCATCTTTTTCAGCTTTATCCATTTTTTCTCTGTAATCCAAATCCAAGTCCTCCAATTCGATCATCGTTAACATTTGGCTTCTTCTCTGTCGAGCTCTTTTTTCTCGTCGTGTTTCACCTGTTTTGTCAGACTCCTCAGAATCTCCATCAGATTCCGAAACTTCCGCTGCATTTTCTTCTAGTTGTTTTCGCAACTGTTCAATTTCTACTTGGAATTGACGTAACAAAGCATCCTTTGGATCTTCATTAATTCTTGCTCGGTTCTTTATATTCTTTGCGCGATTGGCGTATCGCAAAGTGCTTATTGTTTCATCGTAGTTAACATCAGCGGGGCTGATATTTGCACACTAAGAATAAGAAAAAAAGATATGAATATCGGTAGTTAAGAAAACTACATAAATTATAATTATCATGATATACCATTAAAGTTTTGGAATTTCCACCTAGTGAGTCTTGCAGTAACCGAGTGAGCTTGGAATTTCTGTACGGAACATGAGAACTCTGTCCATCTACTAATGCAGATATGACATTTCCCAGTGTCGATAACGATAAATTAATTTTTGTTGCCTCTCTCAATCGCATCCCAGTGGCTTTGGTTTTATTCTGTCTCTCGGAACCCTAAAGTGTAAATTGAACATTTATTTTAAATTCTTTGAAAGCAATTGTTATTACAACTAAGAGCGTACTAACAGCTAAATCAACCAGATGGAGTTTGCCCATTTTTACATGCTCTTGACCATCCTCTCCAAGTTGGCTGGATTCAACAGTAATTGTAAAAATAGCATGAGACCGCGAACTAGAGGCATTCATAGCAGTTGCACCAACGACACCTTTGAACAAAAATTGTCTTAGAAATAAGTACTAAATTTACATTATGAAATATTTTTGTCAGTATTTTCAGTCTTACGATTTTTGTTTCCAAGTGACATTATTCGATCCAAGTCATCGGCATTGTTTACAACATAGCCACTTAAATCTTTCACAAATACTCCAATATCGGGTCTTTCTTTGACTTCCAATCGAGTGTTTTGATCCTTTCCCAATAAATCCCTAACTTCTTCATTATATATTTCCAAATATGTAGTACGAACTAAGAATCTATAAATAAAATGCATGAGTAATTTGATATTTTTAATGATCGATGAAAGATAATACATACTTTTGATGATCGTCAGCTTTGGCAATGTGGCCAAATATGTGTGCAAACGTATTTGGGATGATGCCCCGAAGCTGAGGCGAAGTCTTTGTTCCGGACATAGTATACGTCTTACCCGTGCCAGTCTGGCCGTATGCGAGTATCGTTCCATTGTACCCTTGTAGCACTTTGTCAACGATAGGTCTTGCGGTTTCATTGTAAACGTCAACTTGCGTCGAGTCTGTATCAAAAACGGCATCGAAGGAAAATACTTTCGGAGGCTCCCCTGGTGCTGCATTAGGATTCTCAACGGTTATTTCACTGTTCAACGCATCCACTGTAGTGATGCACTTGCAGTGGCCATCCAACTCCTTTCCATTCAGTGGTCGCACTCGCACAACGACTCTGACATTTTCAATTTCACCAAGCTCCGTAGTATTGTCCTGCGGAAGTATTTTCTGCATGTTATTTAATTCCCAGGTAACAAGGTTGATTTTTATTACATAAACTACAAACAGCAAAGGAACGTAACTTAAACGATCGAACTTTACATATACCACTGCATCCTTGAGTATGGAATTAATAAACATAAAAAATTGTCGACTCAACCTTGACACTCCACATACGTCGAGTCTATGCCCACGGTAAACGAGGATTTTACACATGTAATAGAAGTCGTGTAGAAAAATATACTAACTCCATTTCCTGGCATCATTTGAGGTATCCGTAACGCGTAGAGAATTATAAAATTTACTGCATAATATCGCCAAGGAGATTTAATAAAATGCCAGGTTCGGACCACCACGCAGCACCAGGTCCAGGTCCTTCAATAGATTTGCCTCGCAACGGGGTTTTTTATGACACAACGTTGAACAGGAGCGCAGGGGTTAACGCGACGTAACAAACGTAGGTGGTTGCTGTTAACAGCAACGTCAATGTCGGTGTTGGTTGCTGTCACACGCTAGCAGACGACCCTGTAAACAATTCGATCAATTTTCCAACCCCCGGATAGTTGCGCCACCTAACCTAGCCAACGATATCTACGTTACCGATAGTTGTCCACAAAGTCGACGAAGTTCAGTCGGTACATATTAGTTAAGAAGAAAGAAAAAGATCAAACCTCAAAATTAACAATACTTAGGGAATCAAGAAATTCATATATGTAACCGTTAAATGGTATATACTTGTACAAATATTTTTGATCCAGGAATCATTTTTATACTGCTAAAAAATGTCTCGTATATATGGAAATTGTTCGGACCGCGTAACAACAAATTGTACGGTTTAATTCATTCTTCTTCAGAAGTAGTCGGAGGCAGAGTTTACGATAAGTCGTGGGCTTTCTCCTGAATGCTCATATAAGAAGTTTTACATTTCCGTTGCATTCACGATGGCTATCCACGTCGAGTGGTTCGTAAACGCCTACGCGATCGGAATTCAAGAATGGAACAGGGAACATATAAGGCGACGATACGTTTGCAGGAATTTTTATCCGATAAAAAGATATCGGAGTAATGGTAAATGGTACCGGAGCTAAACCAAAAGGACTGCGAGCAGCCACCACGGTCTAAAGAATTTCAACGTACACTTAAATTCCCAAAATTATCTCGGATATTTAACACCTATTAAGGAATCAACCACGGTCTAAAGAATTTCAACGTACGCTTAAATTCGCAAAATTCTCTCGGATATTTAACACCTATTAAGGAATCAACCCCAACGGCTAGAATTTTAGAAGGGGAATCTAACCTAGAAGTTTCCCACCTACAAATTCCCACAATCTCAGGATTTCACCTTTACAGCTGTAATTCCCATATCTTTTATTATTGCAACTGCAATGCACCCGCGTCTACATTACAGAGCATGATAAATCCACGCTTACAGTGCGTAAGAGAATTGCTTTATACATTATATTTTACTCTGGTACTACAATTTATATTTTCGTTCGTCATCCTAACAGAGATTTATTTTCAGATGTCGAGACGGGTTCAGATCAAGATGTACACGTAGAGGCGCCTGAATAATGGCATCGCCTGCTCGAGGACAATTCCGAAGGCGCAAACTTTGAAGAACCGAGCGCCAATTTGAAGAAACAATCATTTAGCACGAAAGCCCGCGCAAGGGCGAGTCATACAATGGCGAAGTAGCCGAGCCGCCCCTCTCGATGCAGTGTTCTCCTCCCCGGCCTGTTTTCTGCACCCCAACCCCGAAAATATCCAAAGCCGAGGAGGCTCGCTGAAAGCGGGGCAGCTGACGGTCGTAACAATGCATTCTTCCCTGACGAGGAAGTTACGCATCGCGGGACTATAGCCAACCATAATCAGCCATAGCGAGCGTTTCGAGCTGGATATTAGATAGCGATTTTTCTTGCGTTAAATCCCAATCGTTCGGAAAAAAATACGACTCGCCTGAAATAGGAAACGGACACGAAAATCTAATTTGTAAAAATCTGTAAAAATGTCAACCAAGGTGGTTACACCGGTAACGACAAATCCCAGCGATTCGTAGCCCGAGTTAAATCGAATTGTATTTGAATTTGTACGTATCGGTTTGCACGGAGTCATAGCGAAGATTTATTGTTACGTACGTAGCCACCTTGGAAGGCGCGTCGTCGGGTATCCCAGGAACAGGAAAAACTTCCGAAGAAGCGATTTCTAAAGGGAACGATTGTAGGTTGCGCGATCTCTTCTGGGATAAACTCTGTTAAACGGTGCGCAGGAGGGCTCGGTGGCACGAAGAATAGAATACGCCTTCGAATAGAAAGGTAACGACACGCGTGGGTGGTAAGTCAGGGTTCCGACTTTCATAAGGGAATGGAGCCATTTTAGGTCGGATGGAACGCGGCCCTAAATTCTGGGAACATCGAGCTAGGCGTAACTTCTCTTTAAACGTATCAAACGGGGACGTCTGAGAGCTACTTCGCTCATAATCCAATTTCATCCACTCTGCCCGGGATAAAAAAGTTGTCGCGAAAGGTCGCAAAGCCTACCCTCCCGCGATCCCTCCACGCCGAGACCCGGGGCGTTTTACACCCGGAGGGCGATAATTTCTGAAAATCCTAATTACGTTAATCTACGTAGAGGAGCGATTAGGTAGGGACTCCGCATGCTCCCTGTACAGTTGAGGACGAATTTGCGGTGAAAACGAAGTATAGCCAGTAATCGGATATCTTACACTCGGCGACCGTCTACCCGCCGATGGAGTCGGCGGTCGGCTCGATTCTCGATCGAGGATCTCGAGGGCGATCGGCAAATTCGACGGAACTTTCCCATCCATAGAAAAAAAGAGAAAAAAAATTCAACGAACGAAAGAAAAATATCTTCAATTCAAAGAACAATGATTCGTCTCAAACTCAAATAAATCGTCATAATCCCGAAGAAACGTGGCGTTTAGTTTACTCAGAAGTGAAATAATTACTTTTTGAATTGACGTAATATTTATATGGTTCGATGAGATTTTATTCTCGGGGAGGAGGTGCGTCGATCGCGACTCCAAAAAGGCCGTCCTATGGCGGGGAAAGGGTTAAGGTGGCGGCACCGAAAATTGCGCCTTTTCTGCGGCTTCTCGAAGGTACCGGATAGCGTCTCGAGCTTCCGGTGCCCGTGGGGTGACCCGGGATGCCCCCGGTTCCCCCGGGACCCTCGACCGGGGCGTTAACGTCGACGGACTATACGGAGCGCCTCCGGCACGCATCCCTCGGAGCTACCTATTCATTCGGCATAATCCGGTAGTGCAACTCGTGTCGCTCGCGACAACTGCATCCTCGTAGTATCTTCGCAAAGGATGATTCGTCGGGCCAAAGAGGTCGACCCGGGTGCCGCGACCTCGTGACCCGGCCAAGTCGTCCTCCGTCCCCAGGGCGGATAGTTGACTCGAGTAAAAGACCCCCCAGGGTTCAATTATTCGCGAATCGGGATTAATTCGTGATATAATGGTGTAACGGTGAATCGTCTCCGAAGAGTTCGACCCGGGTACCGTGACCACGTGGCCCGGCGAAATGTCTCGATGCGGCTCGTCGGTTCGAGGACGAGACCACCTAGGAACCGATTAATCGTGAATCCGAGCTAATTAAATAAAAAATAAAATTAAAAAAAAAACACGAAGGAATCGTCTCCGCTTCCCGATCAAAAAAGCCGAGTGACCGAGCGTCGCGACGCCGGCTCGCCCCCCACGCCGGGCCCTCCCTCGAGAGAACCCCAAAAGGAACCCCCGGCGGTGCTCCGATCGATCCTCGGTCCCTAGGGATAGCCTCCACGCGCTTTTAAAGTCCCTCATGGCGGGGACTAAATAACTCGTGCGAGTCCACAAGGGATAACCGAGATTCTTTTCGAGCGCGTCGACGGAATGAAACATCGTTCTCAAGGATCAAAAAATCCCGCTTAGCCAAAGTAATCACGACAAGTGCGAGTCGAAGAATTTCTCTCGACCGAATGAAGCCCCTCGATATCGCGAGTCGAAAGATCCTAATCGACCGAATTAAACCTCGCGGTCGTCGGTAAAAGAAATCCCGACTCGGCCGAATTGAACGGCATCCTCGAGGATGAAAAAATTCCCCTCGAGGTAGACCCCGCAGTCTCGAGTCAAAAAGTCCCTCTCGGGCTCCGGTAAACACCGCAGGGGCAAGTAGAAAAAAAAGTTCCTCTCGGCCTCCGGTAAACACCTCGGTCGCTCGTCGCCTCCGAGTGCCTCCGAGTGCCTCGAGGCAGGCCGAGGTACCCCGAAGAGCGTCGGCTACGGAGGAGAGTAACCGCGAGTGTGCGGTGTGGTCCAAGAACTCAAAGAAGGGAGCCCCGGCTGGTGGCAGGTCAGTGTTGGCTCGGTAGTGGCGGCGGACGGCCGGCTATCTCCCGAGATCCTAACCGAGATCCGCCGCCGGTAAGGGTCTCCTCCTTTCCACGGGCCGATTTTACGGGCAATCTTGCGGCGAGGGCCCGGAAGGTTCTACGTGGTTCTACGTGGTTCAACGAAACCCGAGGAAACCGCGGAAACGACGCGGCACTCGGCGGGTACGCGAGGTTATCGGCCCGCTTTGTAACGAATGCGATAAGCGAGGACGCGACGTCCTCCTTCCTTCTTTAACGTTATTGTAACAAATATTGCGGTCACCGGGGTACAATGTGATTTAACGCGGTTATCGATTCGGTTTTGACGCGGTGATAAGCGAGGACGCGACGCGATCCTTCCTTTAATATTGTTGTAACAAATTTTGCGGTCACCGGGGTACAATGTGATTTAACGCGGTTATCGACCCCGTTTGGACGTGATAAGCGAGGACGCGACGTGATCCTTCCTTCCTTATCATTGTTGTACAATGATAAGGGGTACAATATGATTTAACGCGGTTATCGATTCGGTTTTGATGCGGTGATAAGCGAGGACGCGACGCGATCCTTCCTTTAACATTGTTGTAACAAATATTGCGGTCACCGGGGTACAATGTGATTTAACGCGGTTATCGACCCCGTTTGGACGTGATAAGCGAGGACGCGATGCGGTCCTTCCTCCCTTATCATTGTTGTAGCCGGTTCGATATACCTATCGATGGGATTTTAATGCGGTGATAAGCGAGGATGCGCCCTCTTCCGTGGCATTGTCACGACATCGCGATATAGTGCGATTTTAAAACGATGATAAGCGAGGATACCGCGCGTTTCTTCGTTTCTTCAACGTCGTTACGACGTCGATAGAACGGTGACCGATATGAAGTGCAGTTTTAACCCAATATGCGAAAATACGGTTCTTCCTTTATTATCGTTACACAGTCGACGTCGCGATGACCGGAGACACTTTGCGCGGTTGTTGGCCCGGTTGTAACGCGTTGATAAGCGCGGTTACAACGCGACCGGTGGTGCCGTTATAACGCGGAAATACCGCGCTTATTAGAGCGGTAATCAGCGCGGACCCGACGGGAGTTTAATCGCGAAGGTGTCGTTACAGCACGAATCGAAGGTTGAAGCTGCAAGATGAGGCGAACCAGCGCGGGATCTCTGCCCCTGGAAGAGTTCCCCTAGCCTCCTGGAGGACGTTCCTTCGGATATAATCAGAGGTGAGAGAGATCCGCCCCTTAGCAGGGACCATCTCCCGATTTACCGGACCGAAGTAGAGGTCTCAGGGATCCCTGGTTTTCCTCGCTCCGATAAGATCTTCGGAAGGGATTAAAGGAACCACTGGGAGGGAAAGAGAAAATGAGAAATAATGCCCCGGGTCGCCCGTTCCAACGACGACCTCCCCAAGGGTTACGGCTAGACCTTAAAGTCGGTCGTGAGACCGAATTTCACGTCGCGATAAATCCCCGGTTAAAAAACTCGACGTCGAGTTTAACTCGCGACTAAACGGGATTATTTTGACTCCCAATCCTCGGAAAGTTTTGGCCAGCCGTGGCAAGCCGAGATGAGAATTATCGACGTGCAAAATCTCGAAAACCCTCGACTCGTTCCCTCGTGGCAGACCTCGGCGGATCTCGAGTAAGAAGTCGAAGGAGTAATCTCGCGCGGTGGAATCCTCGGGGAGAGTCGGCGCCGAACCGGCCGCCGTTGCAAAAATATTTAACTTGTCAATTCCTTCGCGAAAACAGAAACGAGTCCGACAGGTACGCAAGAACGCTCGCCGAGGTGCCGTACCTGGATGCGTGCACGGTAGGAAGTCGTAACGCGTACGCGTAAAACATATTTTTATCAGCCGCCCAACAGGTTTCGCACAATACCGAAACCGCTCCCTACATTGCCGACCGAGTCCGCAACGCCGTCCTCCTTCCCCCTTTTACCTGGCGAAAACCTTACGCGCAGGGAAATTTTCCGGATCGTTCGCTCGGAAACTCGACGAGTCAACGTCCACGCGCTGATCCGATAATTCGGTAACCGAGCCAAATCGTTCGAATTACCAGGCCGGACGTTTATTTCTCGATTCCCCTGTGGACGGTAATGACTACCTTTCGCACATCGAGCAAGGCCCGGTGCACGGGGCCGCGATTCGGACGTGCACCCTGAACGGCTGTTTACGGGGAAGAAAAAAAACCGTTTTTGCGTTCCACACGTGCGTGTGTCTAAAACAGGACACATGGGTCTTTGAAAAAATTCCCTGGTAAATTTACACCCAAGGAATTTTTTATTTTATTTTAATATTCCCTTGCTTATAGAGCAAGTCGCTAAGAGGTGATTCAATGTTGCATGTTTTATTGTAAATTATTAACCGATACGTGGATCGTTCGAAAGTGAACCGTTGAGCTTTCAGAGATTTTTTCCGAGGCCAGGGAATAATCTAGTACATGGTTTAGTATATAGTGGTTGTCGCGAGGAAAAGATCGCCGCCGCGCGCTCGTAACTCACGCGTGTGCACCGAGCCAAAAGCCACGGCCACGTGACCGGCACTCGCTCTCGGGTCACGGTATGAACATACGTACCTGGGTACGTGTACGGTATCGCGAGTTTTCCCGTAACTTTACCTAAATCGCGTGAATTGTGCCGAGCGATCGACAAGGGGCGCGTCTCGCTGTCAGGTACCAGAAGTACCAATTTGCATGGCCGGTTCGTGCGCGCGCATCGGACGCGAGGAGTACCCCTCGGAACTTGGTTTTTCGTTTTTCCATTACTTATTCCCTCCTCGAAGGCCGATTCCCTTGGTCGGATTCTACGAAATCCCGGATGAAAATTCCCGGAGCGTTTCGAGGCTGCGAGCGACGCATGTCGATAAAGTAACCTCGACGGTTTACATGTAAAAGCGGGAGACGCCCCGGTTAAGAAAGGTGTCGTTAAAAGTGCCCTAGAAAGTATGAAATAATTTACCAGGGCAGGCTGGACGGTCTCGCTGTAATTCGGTCGTAATTTCCCGACGTCTTGTACTTATTTACATTTTTTTCTTTCTCGCCCAGCCGAGTATAATAAGTCTCGGAAACGTTTTCGCGAAACGCGGTTCTCGCGTAAACGCTTCTTTCGCACCTGCCACCTCCTCGCGACAATTTCACTTGACGCGAGTTCATCTCCGGTAATCCTGGCCACCGTTACGTGGTATTATTTAACGGGCGTGAATTAAACATTAGCGCGGCCGGGTTGCACCTGCAATTACGGTGCCATCTTTCCGGCGCGTCGCTCGATCGCGCCGATTAAATGACACCGGTAATCTCGGGGGAATTCGAAATCCAATCCATTTCTACCTTATTCGGGTCGCCTCGATTCGAACCGGCCGAGTATCGATCCCGAGTGGAATTCGGTTAGCGCTAAACTTGTCTCGACATACGCGTAACAATATACGATCGGCCGAATCGGAAATATTAACCTGATATAAACCTCATAAACGCACAATTTGGAGGACAAAACGAGACTTTAAGGTAGGTAGATGTTAATGGAATTACTCTCGTTTGAACCTCAAACATACACATGTGTCCGTTTTTTTAGGGTTGAGGTTCAAACGAGCACGAGATCGAGACTCGGATAACCTCAAAAGCCTCAATCTGCAAATACTCGATTGAGCCTCGTCCTCGAGGTCCTCCCCTTGCCGCAGGAATTTATATAAAATACTGACATAATTCGCACTCACCATTTTATCCGAAGACTGCCGCAAACCGCGTCGGCTAATTATCCGAATCGCGGTTCTTTCCCTCCGTTCCGCCATTCCGCGTTTCCCGGCATGCCTCGCGCCCCAAGATGGCGCCGCCATCTTGGGGCCCAACTTCTGCGCGGAAATCTCGGCCGCAAGAAGCCGCGGAATGCGAAGAGGAGGGAGCATTTAGCTCACTAAGGGTGAGAAATTACCGCGAGATTACTTGCCGGGCCTTTCTTCTCTCCCCCCCGACAAAACGCGGCCGCTTAAGCGGAAATGTCGCGCGTTTACCGGGCTCGGTCCCGGCGTCGATACCGGATTCCTCGATTTTCTTTCCGCTCCTCTTTCGCACCAGTGAGTTGATGTTAGGTCCCTACCTAACATTTTATTTTAAGTAATATTAAGAAAGAGACTAAGCAACGCGTCTCGCGCTCCAAAACGCTCCTGGAGACATGCTCTCCCTCGTTCTTATCTCCCCTTTGTTTATCCGAGTACTTCCTAACCCCAAACTAGATGACAGCCCTGGGAGACGTCAAACATTCAGATTCTCTGGAAAAGGACACTTTCGACCTGTCCCCAAGCCAATCACATGAGACATTTCCCTCCTCAATCTTAAAAACCCACCAATAAGCATCCTCCTCCGCGCCTAGGAACATCCTAGGTCAGTATAATCTCCATCCTATAACCTCCATCCTATAACCTGCGTGCGAGGCACCTGTAACTCTCGGCGAACGCTAGTCCCCTTGAGTTGACCGAGTCTACGAGTCGTTCCTGTGAACCAAGAGGCATCGAAAATAAATTATCTTCGTTACTTTGGTCGTCGAGGTCTTTGGCTGGTTTCAACCATCTGGAAGCGAGTCCCAAAAACAAAACCACGAGGCCCGGTTCGATCGACATCCTCGGGTAATCGGTATCACCGCTCCCGAGTAAACGATCCCCGACCTAACATTGACCGGTCGTCCGGTTCCCGCGAGATATCCCTCCGGGGTCCGATATACCCGGAGATAGAGTAATTACGGCGATTCCCGGTTCTCGGTCGGAGAAAGCGGGCCCTCTTGAAAACCGTGTCGCGCGTTTGGGGCCCGAGGCCGCGAGATTGGGAATATCGTCCCGTTGCACGCACGGTTCCGTTAGCCAACGGGGCATCGGGCCCAGGACGTTAATCCGGCCGCGTTTGCCGCCGTCGATTATTCCCATTACTCGTTGTGCTAATTGAACAGTAAAATGATTCGCGGGCCCCGATGGCCTCCGCGCCGATTCCCGGGTCCCCGGGTTTTCGTGCCGAGCCCGACCCGCCGCGGGCCTTGAATATTGTCATTAAGCTTGTTCTATTACTTCTAATGATACACCGGGGCCCGAAAGGCCGAGCCGCTCGCCCGGGGCCCGGTCGCTGTTGGCGCGCCGGCAATAAAATCCTCGCCTCTTTCCGCTAAGGGATTACGCGATCGTTATTATTTTAATGCGCGAGATCTCGGGCCGGGGCACCCTGGTGCGCGTCTCTCCCGAGGGACTCGCCGAAACGGCCTGATTTCGGAAAATTCATCTCCCTCTCTCATTTTACACGCCGAGATCCCTGATAATACGAAAGTGATACACATACCAAAAAGTGAAAATATTGATAAAACTATTCTCCAAATTGGGCGTACCGCGTCATTTCAAACATCGTCACGAGATTATAGAGGCCCCAAGGAAGAACGTGAAATTTCATTTTTCGAAAGGAAAAAAAATTGTATTTATCTCGGACGAGAACCAAAAAGACATTTTCTTTTTTTTCGAAAAATGAAATTTCATCGCGTTCTTCCTTAGGGCCTCCGTAATCACCTGTTAAAGTTTTAGATAATTCGGTTAACCCAGTTTGGAGAAAAGTTATATAAATATTTTCACTCTGTTATGTATATCACGCTTTCGTATCACCTTAAGGACACCTGGCTATGCCGACGAAGGTAACTCTTCCTCGGGGTTGGAGGAGGTGCGACGAAGGGAGCGGCGCAGGCGCGACCTTCCACAGGAGCGATGCGGCGTTTCCAGCAACTTCAGGGGGAACGAGTTCGGCCCGAATATGCCGGGAACAGTTCGATTCTGCGCTCGAGGATGGGAACGAGGAGCGTTGGACGACTCCTGCCTTGGGGTGGCGATGTTGGAATTAACCGGTGAATTATCTAAAGTAAAGATTACGGTAGAGATTATCGTACAAATTATGACCGATATGGGACTCAAGTGGAATGAAATCCCCCTCGCGGGGTAGGCGACGCCAGGAAAATCAAAATCCGGCAAAGTGCTCGTGTTGGACTATTAAGGGTCGCCGGAACCACGTGGCCGTCTCTGATCCGTACCTGAGAATGAAATGTGTAGAGCGAGGGTCCCTTAAGGGTTTACAAGAGTAAAAGGAAGGGTGAAATGTGCTTGAATCGATGTAACTTGATTTTTTACCTGATTTTTAATACGGTAATGGGCTGACTTTTTAAGTCCCACTCGATTTGGGGTAACAAAAGGTGTACAGGACTGTGATCTAGAAGAGTGAGTTTGGCTCCTGGGTACTGCGCGATGTTCTTATAACTATCCGGAGACGAAGTATGCAACTCCTCTCGAACTTCATGGCGAGGCAGCTGAAGAGGGCGGCGTCCCTGAAGAAAGGTACGGAAAAGCGGTATCACGAGTCTTGCCCTCGAAACTTCGCGTAAGAACGTTCCGGCAAGAGCAGGAGCCAGAAAATTTATACCTCCCTGCGTGCCAGTTATTCTTTAGGACGAATCGAGAAACGCGTGTCAACGGACAGGCGCGGAAAACCCGCGGAATCTAGCCGGAACGAGGAATTTTCCGCGGAAACGGAGGGGCGAGAAAAACCACTCGGTAACTTAATTATCTCCTCTAGGTAACGTATACATGTGAGAAAGAGAAAAAGAAAACGATAGAAGGTGGTAATTAACCCTTTGACCAGGGAGCCATTTCGACGGATGGGCGAAATTCGTCTGACCGTGCAGGCGATATTGGACCAAACGTCGGGCTTAGTAGTCAAAGGGTCAAAAATATGGGATAATTAAAAATATACATGGAATGTGAAATATCCCCGATGTCGAGGGGGAAATGGGGAACGGGTTTGGTGGACCCTGGCAGACTTCGAATCGCTTTCAAATTTACTCTCTGGACCCACGAGGAGAGACGTGCACCGGTTAGTGGGTTAATTGATGGAAACAATTTCTCCGGCCTACCGAATACGGCTCCGTTTTCTCTCTCTCTCTCTTACTGTTCGAGACCAGATGCCACACGACGAGATCCTTCGGGCTGGTCCAGAGATCCTTGCCCTCCTAGAAAGCGGCGGAGACTTTCGAACGAAGACGGCTCCCTGCATCGGACGTGCACGACACCTGACTCGTACGACTCGATAGCCGCCTTTCTACCTCTAATGAAACCTGCCTATGATTTTAATAAATACCTCCCACCGTGAACAGAGTCGATAAGCGATTAAATTTGAAAAATATGACCGCCGACCTGGCAATTAGTTGCAACTCGTTACCGCAGCTCGCAAGGCGACCAATCCAGATCAAAGGCGCATGATCTGATACTTTATTTGATCAATATTTCTCGCAATGTCTATACGTCTAAGTAACAGTACCAGCGATCACGCGATACCACGAGTCAGTGCAGTGAAACCATCGCTTGCCCTGTGCGATGCACAGATTTTCCGGGAAGACTCGGAAAAAAAAAATCCGCAAATCGAGACGGGATTTCGATATCATTCCTGGAAGAAAAAAATCCTGTTTAGCGATTGTTCTAAGAACCTAACTGTGAGTCGTGATCGCGTTAACGGAATTGTTTGTATGTAATATCGAGTCGACGTGTACAGAATCGAAAGGAACGAGGAGACCGTTCCTTCTGTGTATTTATTTCTCCCCGGTGAGAAATTCATTCCTGGATTTTAGTTATTGCGCCGTCCGAATAGGATAAATATTGAACGGAGAGATTCGGTAATCTACGTGGATATAAAAAATCACCGACTGCTGATATTCGGGGTCGTTAACGAACCGCGGAGACCTTCCTCGAAGGGGGGGCTCGACTCGTGTCGCTGATAATTGATAGGGTCAGGAAACGGTAAATTCCATTTTACATTTCCCGTATAATGTCAAGGGCACCTCGTCTTCGCCATAAAGGCCGTCTTAATAAACGGCTCGATAGATTTCCGAGATGTAGGTCGTCGCGGAAGGCCTTCACCCGCGACTCCCGGCGATCTTCAGAAATTCGCCAGTTTGATTGACCATCATTAATTAATTACTCGGTTCGGTCGGTTTTCATGGTAAAAAGTCTGGGAGGTGTAGTACGCCGCGGCCGTTGTGCGATGTCGAGTGGAACGATGTTTTAAACATCGCCATGTTGTCTTTGGCGACAGGCCAGGAGCTCTTTTAAGCGGTCCAAGGAGTCCGTTCCTTGGGCTGTATTCCGTATGCAAACGTTACCTGCAATGTCAATTAGGTACAAGGGACACTCCAGTAGAGAGTCGAGTATTGTCCGGTATCCGGTGAAATACGATCACGCGATGTGAAATCCTGATACGTAAGGATGGCCGAGGAAGCGGCTTTGATTCCTGGAGAACGGGGGATAATTATTCCCTAGGCCGTGCGACATGAATTTCCGGATTTTACCCTGCCATTCGACGATAAACATCTTCCCATCGAACGACCTAATAAATCCACAGACCGATAAGAAGCCGTACTTTTATCACGGTGAAGTCCACGCCGTCATGGGGAACTTTTGTTATGGGGAGGATCGAGAGAATCTTTCGGGCGATCGGGATCCCAGGGGGTTCTCGATCCCTCTGAATTTGCTTTTCCTCGCTAGTGGGGACTGCGTTAAGATACTAGCTTACCTAATTTTAGAAGTCATACGTGGCCACCAGGAGTAAATGCCGTCTCGTTACTTTGCAGGGAAACGCGACAGTGGCGGCTGCAACTCCATCGGGCTTTGGCCAGGTCCATCAGGGGTTCCCTTCAGACCCCTCAACGAGTCCCTTGGCTACGCCGTTGACTCAGGGACCTCCAACATGACCCCGGATGACCCAGCTCCCGACGAAGAGTTTGCCTTAGCCGTTGACCAAAAAGCCCAGGTAACGACGATCCACCTGTAAGCGTAACGATAGACCGTATCGTTGGTCGCATTGCCGCCTCTTGAGGCGAGCCCACGTGGTCGGGACCATTTCTTGACTTAACAATTTTAACAATAATTGTCGATAAACCGGGACGACGTTCGGTACCCAAGGTTTCATCCGAGCATCGCTATGAACGTCTATCCGTACAGGCAACGCCGAGAGGAATCGTACTCCAACCTTTTTACCGGTTTACAGGCCGAGCCTCGTTTATGCATCGCTTTAGCAATCGTAACGTCGCAAATGGACGCGGAAATCATTCCCGGAACCCGAGGATGAGGAGGCTCTGTTATCACCAAATTGCCCTTCTTCGCTCGCGTAATTCTATCTACCGATCGGTGATTCTTTTCTAGGGAGCCCTGCGTGCAAGGAGTCGGAGTCGCTGCGGAAGGAAACCGCGCGGTAATTGTTTCCGTGTAAACCGGTGCCTGCCAAGCCACGTAATGAATAGACATTTTCTCCGGGGCAGAGGAACCCACGGAGGATTTACTACGTCTAGGCTCGAACTTTCACGGCGTCTGTGCCGGGGTCCTCGAATTTTCTTTTACGCCCCGACAAAACTCGGCCGAGGCGATCGAAGCGGAACTCTTTCTACGGGGAAGCGAAACCGAGGATCGCGAATTCGAGGTCTCACGGATTAATATCGCCGCAATGAGATCCCACGCGTATACAGGACGTGGTTACGAGCGTTACTCTGGTATTTCCAGCGAGAAGTGCGCGCTCTTGTTATACCGGGTGGTTCGGATTGTAATGCTGCCTCGCATGAGAAGGAACGGAAATTTTATGCCAGGAGAAAATTCTTCCGCGGTGTCCTTTAAACTTGATCTCGTTATACCTGATGGTTCGGGTTGTAATGTTTGCCTCGCACGTGGAGGAACGGAAATTTTATACCAGGAGAAAATTCTTCCGCGGTGTCTTTTAAACTCGCTATCGTTATACTACGTATCTCGGATTGTAACTTTGCATGCGAAGAAACGGAAATTTTATCCCAGGAGAAAATTCCTTCCTTTCCTTCCGCGGTGTCCTTTACGGACGACGAAGTATCCAGATGGAGGCGGACGTCGTGTCGATTTATTCCTAGGCATGTACCGGTTAAGAAAACGCGGTGCTCTTTGTGTCGGGAACCCCTTTGGCGGTGGGCACTTTTCAGCCGATCCCAGGGTACGTGCCACGTGACAGGAATCCTGAATTTTCTCGCAAGGATCCTGGCCGACGTGGCGGCGCAAATTCCGCAGGCTCTTCCACTTTTCTCCGGAGATCCTGGATCCTCCGGTGGAACGCGCCCTCGAGATGCAGCTGCACTTGCGAAAACTGGACTCGCCGTTTTCAAGGAGACAGTGTGGTTTAGAGGAAAAACCGGCGAATTATGCACGAGCGGCCGGGAGGGAGCTCGGAGAATTGTTTCGCCTGGCGTTTCTCGCTCCTGCAATTTGAGAACTCGTTCAGCACTCCCCGGTGAACGCCGGTACTCGAGGGGGCACGCCACCGCTGCTCAGATTATTCCGAATAATAAAGGATAATGATGTCGAGGAAGAAGAAGAAGAAGAAGCGGTGGTAATGATCTAGAAAGACGCACCCTAGACCCCGAGGTTCCCTTCTGCCAAGGATCGAGGATCCGAGGACGTCGAGCTTGAGCCGTCTCTTTCGGGAGCGTCGCTTTGTTCCCCTCTTCCTTCCCTGCACATTCTTCGTAACTTCAAGTCGAGTCCTCATTACCTTGCCGTACATGATCCCTGATAATTGCAAGTCGACCAAATCCCCATAGCGGTCTGAAAGGAGATAAAAATTCGTCAGAAGGAAACGAAGAGCACGCTGCCGGAAGATCGATACGGATTATTTTCTCTTTTTTTTTCTTTTTTTATCAACTACCTGACGGCGGAATATCTGCATCCTAGGATCGAGGGCCCAGACTAGAAAGATGGGAAGAAACGGGTTAACAATGCTATCAGGCAACCTCCGCAGCGATTTCCCAGGCGATCGCCGCCAAGGCTGTCCCGTCCTTCGCCTTCCTCCATCTCTCGCTCTGACGAAGGTGGTATAATTATCAAGTTTCACTGCCCACCGGGTTATTTTACGAGGAAGTCGCCTCTCCTCTTTCTCACGCGGGGAAAGGGTTCACGAAATCCGGACGCGAAAACGCCCGCGCCTCCTTTCGTTCCCTCTTATTAAACCAAAGTCCCGACCGCACTCGCGTGACTAGATACCTCCGGGTTCGTACACCCCGAAGAAGGGGTTATGAAATTCGGAGTAGCCGCGAGTAATTAAATATGAGGCCCTATAATTGGCAGAGACCTCGTATGTCGAGGGTTGCCCCTTTCTCTCCGGCTCCATATCACCCATTGATAAGCTCGAGAGCGTAATGACGTTTTCCGTGACGTCACGGCGTAGCCCTTAATCTCTGGGCACGCGAACTCGCGTGTACTGGTGACGCATGTCCTACATCTCTATGCGGTGGAAAAATCGGTTGTTTCAATTTATGGGACGTCGTATTTTATCCTCTACGTCTCGGACGTTGAAAGCTTTTCGGCGAAAGGGGTAGGTCGACCCTGTCGGGGTGAGATTCCCCTGGATCGGCGCTTTCGGCGTAAGGTTTAGGCCTGAAATTTATTTAGGTTTGTGTATAAATATTTTTACATTTTTTTTTTTAATAATTAAATTTTATAGGTACCAGGATCTTCTTCGAGGCTCCCATATTTACGTGGTCGAGTTTCAGATGATTTGGAATATACAGTTTGCAGAAATGTTTCGTGCTCGTGAAATTTAATTTTTCGACAAAAAATGCTTCTTTTTTTTATTTCCTTCTTGTCCGAGATAAATACATTTTTTACGAAAAATTAAATGTCACGAGCATCGTCTTCTTCCTCGGGACCTCCGTAATCTCGTGATGAGGTTTCAAATGATTCGGTGCGTCGAATTTGGAGAAAAGTTGTTAAATTAAAAAAATATTGAGACTTTTTGGGATGTATGTATGACACTTTCATATCACCTTAAGGAGTGAATCTTCTTTCCAGAGGGACGCGGAGGCCATTCGAGGAGCGATTTACCTCGGAGGGGCGTTGACGGCGGCCTGGATCGTCGGCGCCGCGGGTCTGTCCTTGGCATGGCTTGTCCTGGTGCTGGCCCTGGTCGGAACCATCGCCAAGAGCCGACTCTCGAGGCTCCTGCAGACCGCTCTTCGGCACGAGTTAGCCCGCCTAAGGAGGCGAAGAGCCCTCTACAAGGACGAGACCGCCGAGTGGCTCAGCATCCTGGTGAACAGATGGCAAGTACCCGACGACCCCCCGTCACCTGAAAATACCGAAATATTCATTAAATAAAACATGCCCATTTTAAGGCATAAACTCATAATAAAGTGAAAAATTCGAGGTCTTACAGCTAAACCGGCGCACGGGAAAATCCATTGGGAACTGAATGGATTTTTTATTTTGCGACGTCTCGTCGGAAATTCTGTTAAATCTCCCAGGAAGCTCAGCGCACTCGTCACCTAGGATTACGATATATATGCGCTTGTAGAGTGTCTTGATAAATTGTTAGAAAATTATAATATCTTTCCCGGAGGGGGGTAAGAGGCGACGCGTGAAAATCCTCTCGCTCGACGGATGACAAAGAGGGTGGAGGTTCCCGATCGATCCCCGGGATTTTACGCTTCTGCCGAGACGCGCGTGAGACGCGCCCCGGGTAAACGAACTCCGTTGAAGAACGGGCTATAGAGATTTGTAAACATTCCACATTCCTCCCGTGTGGCTATTGCCTTTCACATTTCACGCGGCGGGACGCGAGCGTGCACGCCGTGCCCGCGGGACGCGCTGCCAATGCTCGATCCCGACTGTCCCTCCGAGAATGGCGGCTAGAGAGGGACGGGAATGGAACTGGAAAGAGCTCTACTTATTTGGATAGTCGATAGACCCGTTCGAACATTCCGGGATACCCGAGGGAACGCGCCGAGAGAGCTTCGCGGTCTTGATCGCGGATCTAGGCGCCTCCATTGTCGACAAGAACCTCGGAGATGAATCCCTCGTCTTGCCTCTGTCTTGAAATCCATCACCTGCTCTTGGGCTCTCGCTCTGCCATTGGTCCCCCCGTTGATGAAAAAAATCACCGAAATTTTCTAACAATTTTCTCGGGTTTCCTGATAATTTTATAATGTACCCTCAAACGAGTGTAATCATTTTCCCACGGAATTTCTCGAGCTTCCCTCAATTTACACGAATAAAAATCTCGCAACGTCTGTCAGGACGAAGGAAAGAATATTGGAAATAAATGCTAGAACGTATAAGTTTTAGAAATACATATTTATCTTAAATTGCTTATGGTAAAGAAAAATCATAAAAAATAAATCACCGCGTAAATTGAGGGAAGGGTGTAATTATGAGTCTGAATTCTGTGGTAAATCCATTCCATGTTAAGACGTCGAATTGATGATTTCAATAAGGACGCGTGTATTGCGAAGTGTAGGACACTTTATGGATATTTCAACCTCCTACATAGTAGGGGTCGGCCGGATAGCGAGGCTTTGTACCCGAGGTGACCGCGGAGCCGAGTTAATGACACGAATTCATTACCATAATGCGCCCAACGAGAGTGCCCGGAGATAGGGCACCGTTTCCAGCGGTATCTCCGCACCCGATTCGCATTTACGGAGCACCGAGACTCTCGGTACCTCCGGGCCGCATGTCGCTCAAATTTTAAATTCAGACCAGGAACTGCGCCCGTCATCTATTTCTGACTTGGAAGATTAACCACGCCTTTAACTCGACAATTAGCCCAGCCATATATTTGATAACTCCGTCTTCCTTATCGCCTACCATCGCTTCCTTATCCCAGAAAATCGACGTCGACGGTGTCCCACAGAGCGCGTCGACGGTCGCACAGAGCGCGGCGCTTCTCTCCGCGATGCCGCGGAAAAAACTATAAAGAATGATTAATGTATCATATCGATCATGTAAATTATTTTCTTCAGATTCATAGGGATGTCTCTTATTATACTATACTAGGCATTAAACCGATTACCGTGAATTTCGCAGACTCATCCGACAGCGATGACAATCCTAAACATTCATGAATTACGAAGTACAGGTGGAAGTTCACGGGCTCGGTCGCCAGATCGATCAATCATTTATGACAGGCCAGGAAAGGTTAGATGCACCCTACTGATACGCTGGATATTAATATGCCCCAGAATAAATCATTACTTTGGGTTTGGGATTGGAATTACTGGCGGGCGTGATTACGCCACGCGTCGCAGCTTCCGATGCAAGAGCCGTGAAAGGAACAATGAAACTTAATGAAACCCGACATTTCTCTGTGCCGGGCATTCCTAATCTCTCCGATAATATATGAAGTACTTAACGAGCTCATAAAGTCTATTTCCGCGATTAGGATCTACGCTGATTGATCTATTCGAAAGGCATGCGGTCCGGCGAGCTCGTTTCGTCTCGCGACGACAAGCACCCACGTTATCGAATCAAAGTGAAAGGTAACCCAATGACAAAACCAGGAATTCATATCGATAGTACCTTGCATTTTGATTAATGGGAGGTATTATAATATTTACAGGTATTCGCAGGTATGTTGGTACCACTAACTGACTTAATGGCTACCCGGGCTATCACAACTTTCAGGATAAATCGACGGAAATCGCAGCTCGCTATCGCGCATGATCTGACCTCCTTACCGAGTCCGTAATTTTCTCCTGGATTCGTACAAGCGAATATAAGTTAAAATTACCGTCTCATAAACGCGAGAGGATTTCCATCGAATCGATTTAGAGGCGGAACGAAGGCCACGGTGAAATAAATCCGTTTCGCCGCGAGGACTCGGGCTTACTTTTGCGGTTCATTTAACTCGTAGGTGGTATTGTTGACATGGCAATTAAAATGTTGAATTATTTATGCGCCTAAGTGGAGCAATCTGGCTCGGCTGGATGTGCGTCTCGGAATATGCCCGGAGAGGTATGAATTAAACATGCGTTGAAAAAAGTCCGGGATATCGCGATGTACCAGCGAAATAACATGTTTCAATAGTACCGCTAAAAGTGCCTTCTCATTCGGTAATTTAACCAGTATTTTTACTGTGACGTCTCTCATTGAACCCTCGTGATTATTTCCACCGATTCTTGTTTCAGGTGGAGGTTCAGTGCGGCGAGTATATTTTCCCTGGCGAAGGAGAGGCTGGAGCCGTTATTAAATGAGGCCAAGCCTGGAATTCTAGGTAAGGGATGATTTTTCTAAATCACCTGAAAAACGAGGAAGTTATGATTAATCGTATAAAATTACAAAAAGGTCCCCTGGAATTGCGGGAGCTGACTCTTGGCGAGCAGACCCCGTGCGTTACTAGGATTCGTACCTTGGATTATGCCAACGACGAGGACGTATGCGCTCGTCCTGGATTCACGAAGTTGTCCATCGAGGCCGATTTAAGACTGGATTGCGAGCAATTCCGTATGCTCATCACCACCAGACTGTTTGGCAAAGGGTACCGCTTCTGACGTTCCCTTTCCTATTTCATTATTTAACTATATCATCCTTTCGTTCATTTTAATTTCATTTAAATCTTCGCGGACACCTCGCATGGCGGTAAAAACTGGCCGATGAAATTTTGTAAAATTCAATATGGCGTCCCAGGTTCGCCAATTACTGTTGTCCAGTTTTTGCCGTTTCTTGTGTCCGCGAGAAGTCTTGTACCTTTCTTTGATTTTTCAAGCACGTCGTTTTCTTTTCCAGCGTCGGCATGGACGTCGATCTCGCAGTGGAGAAGCTCTCGCTCTCGGGCACCATTCTCGCCACCCTGACGCTAAATTCTTCGGCGCCCTTTCCTCACGTCACGCATCTCACCGTCAGCTTTATAGAAAAACCGGATGTGTGGTTCAGCGTGAGAGTTTTACGGGCCGTTCAGATGATGGAGGTGCCTCTCGTGAAAACCTGGATCCACGCGGTCGTTTCCGATGCCCTGGCCAGCTGGCTGGTGGACCCTGGACACGTCGAGCTCGACCTGAGGGCCCAGGAGAGACCCAGTCCTGGACTGGATTGTTTAAACAACGCGATTCCACAAGGAGTTCTCACCGTTACTCTCAGTCAAAACGGATGCGCTGGTAAAATTGGCAATACAATGGCCCGATAAATTTCTAAACAATTTTTTTTTTAATTTATTGCAATCCATCAACGACCCATCGTGGTATCTATTTTTTCATCGTCGCAATTCAACGGTGTAATTTCTTTCTCACAGCTCCAACTGGAGACGAAGTAAGGTGGCTTCTGGTTACGATAGGCGACCAAAGACTAGTTACGGCTCATCTGACTTCGACATGGGCCGAGGACGTTTCTTTCCTCGTTGGTCCTCTGGATAACGAAAGGATCATGATCAAGCTGAAGACCAAAAAGCTCGTCAGCACGATAACTCTGGCTCAGTTTGAATTGGCCCTGGGAGTATACAATTGGGAGCACTCGCAAATGTACTTCCTTCCATAATTCTTACTATTACTCCCTTGCACGCGAAGCCTGCGATCACTTTACAATCCGCCAATAAGCTCGGGATCTCGTGAGCGAGGTTTAATCGAGCCGATTCAAAACGGTCAATTGCCCCATAATCCAGAATTTAATTTCGACTGAGATAGACTTCGTTTGATGGAAATAATTGTCAGTCTAAACATGGAAATTCATACGAATTATATTATACCAGATATTCATTATTTGTTAATAGAGTCGATGCGGTTTTGCAACAGAAAAAGCCGTCACGGAATAGCGCCAACATTCCCAACATCAGTGCAAGGCTCGAGTACACCGCATTGCCAAATTTGGATCCGGATTTGCCGCCGCCGAATTTTGCCGATGAAAATCTACACCCTGCAGGTGATTCTCTATTAATGGTTAACGTGGTGTTAATAAATAATTATTGATCTCACCGAGCGGTGGACTTGTACTTGTTCGCGGTACTCTTCGGCTCCGGCTTAGGATACTTGCGCCGAGTGCTTGGCATCATTGAATTTTAATATTTTCAGCAGTGCGAAAAGTTTCATACGGAAAATGTAGAGCAGGTAAAACTATACGAACAGAGTGGAGTTATGAATAGTATGCGTTATCCGCAGGCACACGGCTACATAGATTCGTTTTTGACGCACCCTTTACACGACTTGATGCATCGTCAGTTTGGAGAATGTCGGGGAATATCGAGCGAGCGATTCGTTTTTTCGCTTTGCATGTGACGTAGTAACCGCTAATGTCGAGCTTCATTTGCATAAACTTCCTTACAGGAGTTCTCGTCGTTTACATCCACTCTGCCGAGGATCTCAACAATGATGCGAACCAATGCAATCCCTATTGTATGCTGTTCAACAATCGCAAAAAGGTACGCTTGGTAATTTTATATCAACTTATCGATTAAATTATATGGAATTAAATATATATTTTAGATAAAAACGACTCACTATATTCGCGGCAGTACTTCTCCTCGTTGGGAAGCAAGAGCACAATTTCTAGTACAAGATTACACCCAAGTGTCTCTCAGTTTTGTCATTTGTTCCTGGAGTATATCAAAAATGGCAGACACCGATATGCTTGGACTCGCTATGCTGTCGTTATCACAGGTATATTAATAACAAGAACTTTTGGTCGGTAAATGATAATTAAATGAATAATTGTATCCACTGACCTACATTATTGTTTCAGGACCAAAGGTGGATCGTAAGGAAGGAACTGACATTAAGTGGCTCGAACAGCATGTCCACGTTAACTGTATCCGTACTGTTTTATCCTGTCAAAAGTGTGCAACAAGTCGTTACTAGTAGACGGAGCAGTATGGTCCCTGTGTCATCGGACGAAGAGCCAAAGACTAAACGAAATAGTCTTCCTTGGATGCAGCAAGCGGTAAGACACGTCTTCACTAAAATATTACAGTGTTAATAATTAGTTGATAATATAATACATGATAAGGGTCTTTTTTTAGAAACTGCTACTTACAAGAGATGTCGATCCAGCATCTTCCGATATATCTAGTTTACTTTCCACTGGCAGTGGCTTAATGGAAGTGACATTGCTACGTGCTAAAGATCTAGTTGCAAAAGATCTTAATGGGTTCAGCGATCCTTTCTGTGAGCTGAAACTGAACAATGAGACGAAGTACAAAAGCAGCGTGAAAAAGAAAACCCTTAATCCTTGCTGGGACGAAAGCTCCATCATGGGTTTACCTAGAACAGGAGAAACGTTAGATATTGTAAGAAATGTTGTGGATATATTTTTGGTTATGTTTGAATTGTAGTTTAAAACTTGATTATACTTATTTATTTTTTAGATGTTATGGGATCACGACACGTTCGGTATGAAGGATTATTTGGGTAAAGTCTCGTTAACCTTGGACGACATTAGGAAATTATCTGTCACCGATCAGTCCCACTGGTTCGTACTAAGAGGAACCAAGTCAGGATCTGTTGAACTTAAAGTTAAAGTCTTGTCCGAAGAATGCGAGGTAATTAACACTGCTTAACCTTGTGAACTAAAATTAATTATTTACTTATCTAACGACTTGGTCATAGACTCAAAGCACTTACGCTGCCAGTAATGTCAGTGAAAGTTCGACGAGGCCACACACAGATTTGGAAACTTCATCGAACATTATTAGAAGGCCATCGATGGAAAAAACAAAAATGAGATTACACGTAGATCCTGTAGTACCTCCGCCACCACCTCCACGTACTGTCACCTTGCTGAAACCTACCATATCTAATCAATCTGGTATATTAATTTCGTATTCTAGATTTTTTTCATGTTCATTTACAGGTGTTTAAATTAAAACTAAAAAAAAAAAATGGTAACGCCACCTTCGTGAATACTCTGAAAATTTAATATTTTAAGTAATGGGTTGAATGTGAAATTTTTCTGTAGATAAGATGAGCACAACGAGCAAGGAGTCTGGTGAAATTAATGGAGGGTCAAACAATTGGATACCTCAGGTGCCAACTGATTCGGCTCCAGATGCAATCGATGAAGCTGAATCCTTAAAATTGACCGGAAGACGAGCCTCCAACAATAGTTTATCTCCAAGTCCTGTACAGAGCTTCGACAAGAAGACACCGCAATATAATAGTTTTCGAGTAATGAAGCAAAAGGTACCTTCAATAAAAAAACGATGATTAAATAATTTTAGGTTAAATAAGAAACGTTTTTAGCGTTGTTCTTGATTTAAGGTAAAAAGAGGACTCAAGCTTCGCAGGTTTCGCTCGGAAGTAAATATCGAAGATAAAAGTGAATCTAGCAAAGGGGTTACTTTAAGTTTAGAGCCAAGAGGAGGTGGTGAGGCTGATGCTACGGAGCTTTTGCAAGGAGCTCTATCGCATGCAGTTTCACAGCCGGATATGCTGGGAAGAATAAGGCAACCTAGTCCTAGACTGAGAATAAGACCTAATGGTTTGTTATTACATATTCTTCTTACATGTTTCTTTTCGGTTGATCATTGTCTTCATTCATTATTTTTTTTACAGACCTAAAAATTACTAACGGTACGAGAGAAAAATATACCGGAGTGGAAGGGAAAGTACTCCAGGCTCAAGGGCTTCACGTAGCTCACATTGCTCAGTTGTACTGTCGTGTAAAGCACCAAACGTATGTATACATTTCAGTTTGAAAAATTAGTATCGGTCTTGGGTGTTGGAGAATGAAACATGTATTTTACAGATGTACAAGTCCTGATAAAATTGCATCCTCGGCTAATGGTGGTAAAACAATTGCAAAGTCGCGGCTTCTACCAGCGATGCCAAATCCGCAATTTAGCATAGACTTCCATATGGATGGGGATGGTGTACCGAAACAAAGTGTATTAACTTTCGAAATACGAAGTGCCAGTAAAGAATTGTTGGCTAGTCGACGAATCACTCTTCATGAACTTCTAGGTAAACGATTAAAAATATCAAAACCTATCCAGAATAATACTATGGAAGATTTATTTCCTTTATTCCAGGAGTAACTGCAACTTCGAACGAGGTTCATACGTGGTTGGCTTTAAATAACGGGGCATCCCTAGAGGTACAAATAGCACACGGAAAGGAAGTTAAAAGTAAAACGTCTAAAAAATTATTCCGATCGTGGTCTGTTCATCGAATTGGGAAAATATGAGATCGAATTCACGTCAGAATATTCTGACTCTAAAACCTCCAATCAAAAACGATAATCAAATCGTACTCTCTGAAAATAATATGTATAAAGGAGCGCTTCCTGTAAATTGCGTTTAATCATTGTGTTCATGCCTTGTGAAAGTAACTTTTCTCTGCGTATTTTATTCCAGTGTACTTAAATTATGCAGCACCCTTTCATGTGTATATGTATATGAAGTACAAATATCATTCATAATATGTAATTACAAAGAAAAGCTATATTGTACATTTTTTAAAACAGAGTACCAGTTTTATCTTCTGCGGCATAAGATGCACCATATAAATGAAAGCTTTAATTCGAGTACATATATCTTTACATATATTGTCTGTGGAAATTATTTATAAAATCTTACCATATCTCGGACACTTAATGGAATCCGATTTTTTCAAATAAAGTTATGAAAACATATCGAACCTTCATGATTCCTTCACCAGTATTTTCATTCACATATTAAAAACGTGCGAATTAACGTGAAATAAATGTATTTATATATATATATGTTTACATCAAAAAATTACATACAACATTTGAGACATATCTCAACTTTAGTATGACTAACCCACCATATGTACAATGACTATTGTTTCACCAAACATAATAAATACTATACATTTATAGGTATATGTAGATGTTTACAAAGTATTTTCTGCTTTTTATATGAAATTGAAAGTTAAAAATATCACAATTAAGTTGAATATACTATACATAAAAAAACTAATTATGTTAAGTGCATTTTAAATTATTCATGGATGTGACAGCTGATTTAAATAGGTGAGTTCAGTTCACTTGCCACTGAAAAAAAAAAAATGTTAAGAGTATGAAGGCACTTATTAATACTTAATAAAATGTATAAAATATTTAATAAGTACTCCATTAACATTTTTTCCATGTACCTTTAAGCCTGTCTCGGGATTGCTGCCTGCCAATTCTTGACGCTTTGCAGCTGCTTCTGCTCGTCGTTGTTGAGATCTAACGGCATCAATATTCCCTATCCCTCGACGTTCTTGTTCTTGACGTCGTTTTTCTGCTGCTTCCATTTGCTGCCGTCTTCGGATTTCCTACAAGCATAAATATATGTACATCAACACCAAAATAATGTAATGTCATCGATATGACAAGACAACAAATAAAATAACTTGAATTATCAAAAGCTGAATGTACAGAATTATAACAATCATTACTAATAAAAACTCTACTTAGAACTTACAGTCGCAATTCATACGAGAATAATTAAAATCATTGAATTTACTATAATCAAATATTGATATAACCTAAAATATATCTTACAGCATCTGGTGTAAGGTCCTCGTACGAAGTTGATTTCTGACAGCAGGATGTAAATAAATCGCAAAAGCCCATGTTTCAAGGAATTGTTGAAAACAGTCGTTGCGCCTTAATTCTGCAAGTGCGTTCATAAAATTAGGAAATTCAAGCAAATATATTTACGAGAGAAATAATTTTATCAACTGGGAGTGATTCTCACTAGGAACTACAAAAACCGATAAACTCTATCAAATTACATTGTAACAAACGTGACAACATGAGACAGTCACTGCACTTTTCGTTATTTCTTGGGCGTACCTGGGCGTACCTGAAACGTCTGTATTTACTTTCAAGATGGCGTCTAATGTCAACCACGCAATTCACCAATGATTGGCTTCACATACTGAATAAACACTCGACATTTGCCTTTCCTGCTGAAAGCTATGTGGCGTTAATTTATTGTCATTAAACCAATCGGAACTTCGTAAGCAGTTGTACTGCTTTGTGAAATGTTCGCTCTAGGAGAAATTAGTTACGATTGGTTATTCTGCTCTTTCGTAAACGCGACCTTCTTGAGCAGTACGATATTTAATTGGTTGAATATTTTAAAAAAGTAATTAGAATAGATTAGTCTACAACTATTCTATTGCGCATTTATCTCTGTACTTACGTATATCTGTGCATTTGAATAGTACTGTACTCCATTGTGTTTTCAAAATAATTACAGATGAAGTGACAGTGTATCGTGATGTAACGTCATATTGTGTCATAATCTATATGGTTCAAAAACAGTGATAACATGTCGAGCTTAGAAAATTGAGAAAGAATAGATTAAGATACTTGCAAAATAAAATTTTCTCTGCAGCAATTTGTGTAAATTGTTTGATCGACCATCCATTCAAGCAGTTTTATATTTCAACATATCCACGTTTGGTTATTTACCTGATAAACAAATGTTCTACAATGTATCCAGTGTTAAATACTTGGCCAAAACAATTAATTTATCAGCAGTACCTGTTGCGATAAGAAGATCGTCAACGGTAAGATATAATTATAAAATAATGCAAAAATACTGTATACTGTTTACAATAGAAAATTAATGATAATGATATCTAAGTCAATTTTAAGGATTTCTTTTTCATTTCAGTTACAGAAGTTTAGAGAAAGGCTAAAAAATGATATCGAGGAAAACATTCTCACGGACACATTTGGACGATATCACACATATCTTAGGATTTCCATCACCGAACGTTGTAATCTTCGATGTAAGTTAATAATTTCTTAATCTTTATTAAAAATAATAAACAAAAAATTTTCAGGTAGATACTGTATGTCTGCCGAGGGTGTTAAACTGTCCAAAAAAGAGGATATTTTAACAACCGATGAAATAATTTACTTGGCTGATCTATTTGTTAAGGAAGGGATCCGGAAAATACGTTTAACAGGTGGTGAGCCAACCGTTCGCAAAGATATCGTAGATATTGTTGGTAAGGTATTGAGTTAACGTGGAACTTACAAATTTATAGAGGGCTGTAATAATTATAATTTAAATTTATACAGCTCGATTAAAGGCACTAAAGGAGTTGAAACAGCTTGGAATGACAACAAATGGCATAACATTGATTCGACAATTACCTGCCCTTCAGAGAGCAGGTCTAGACATGTTGAATATTTCATTAGATACTTTAAAAAAAGATCGTTTTGAACAATTCACTCGCAGAAAAGGCTGGGAAAGAGTTATGGCATCCATTGACTTAGCGATACAACTTGGATACACGCCTGTCAAGGTGAGACAACTTTCATCATAGTTTTATTTGAATACAAGGTGCCTTACAATTGGTTTTTTCTTCGTATTTTCTTTGTTAGATCAATTGCGTAGTAATGAGAGGATTCAATGACGATGAATTAGTAGACTTTGTCAGTCTCACAAAAGACAAACCTATTGATGTTCGTTTCATTGAATATATGCCATTTGACGGCAATGAATGGAAGGAAAATAAAATGGTTTCATTCAATGAAATGAAGGGTATAATAAGAAAACAATTCCCAGATTTTCATTCGCTGAAAAATGAACCAAATGATACATCAAAGGTAACTTTAAAACAATCCAGTTGTTTCAGATTGTATACGTACAATGAAACTTGTTAAATTATTTTTATAGTTACCTAGACTGTACTGATAATAATAAGTACTAGTTTTAATAATTTTAATAGGCATATGGAGTACCTAACTTCCAAGGGAGAGTAGGGTTTATTACGTCAATGAGCCAGCAATTTTGCAGTTCTTGTAATCGTTTGAGAATAACGGCAGACGGCAATTTAAAAGTATGTCTTTTCGATGGAAAAGGAGAAGTATCATTAAGAGATGCACTTAGAAACAATGCTTCCGAAGAAGAATTGAAAAATCTAATAAGTGGCGCCGTGTCACGTAAAAAGAAGCAGCATGCAGGTAATTAGGTGGGCTAAATCTACAGATTACACATCTTACCTCATATAAACAAATGATTTATGTTTCAGGGATGTTCAATCTGTCTCAAATGAAGAATAGACCGATGATCTTAATAGGAGGTTAAATGAATTCAGTAAAAATTACGTGCATGAATTAAGATGTTTTAATTTTTTACGTGTATCAAACATTCTTGACGAACCAAGTGAGCCGCTGCTCTTCATTTTCTATATTTAGTGAACAAATAATTTGTAGTGAAATTAAAATTGTTCTCTAAAAAACAGTAGGTATACAAATTTTTTGGCACAATCGAATTTACTTATCTGAATTGATTCGTCAGCACAAATGACCTCAAAATCAAGAAAAGTATTCAATGGTGCCAATAAATGATCATATAGGGTATCGATCCACAATGTCTGACATGTAATTCCTCGTTATAACAGCAAGGATGTACTCTTCTTTAACACACGTGGACGCCGATACTGGGAAAGCAAAAATGGTAGACGTCGGATGGAAGAATGTGACCGAACGAACGGCAAAAGCAACAGGAATGGTGAAAGTGGGACCAGTCATTAGTAAATTAATCACGGAAAACAACATGAAGAAAGGGGATGTCTTAGCTGTTGCGCAGTTAGCCGGTATTATGGCTGCTAAACGCACATCAGAGCTTATACCATTGTGTCACCCTTTACAATTAAACTACATCGACGTTCAATTGCAATTGAATTCTGAAACTCATACCGTTGAAATTGTGTCCGAAGTTAGATGTACAGGGAAGACAGGAGTTGAAATGGAAGCATTAACTGCTGTTAGCATCGCTGCTCTTACGGTGTACGATATGTGTAAATCAGTTTCCTCCCCAGGAATTTTGCAAATATGCAATGTAGAATTAATTTTTAAAACAGGAGGTACGAAACAAAATTTCTCAAAGGAAGGGTCAAGTGCAAAATTGTAAGACTGTTATAATGATAATAATTCCTGTCGAAAATTAAGAATGTCATGGATAGAGTACGCATTTCAAGATATACTTTGTTTTCACATTATTGTTGGTGTTGGTTCACGGTGAGATTATCGTGTTAATTTTATAAAGGTGCTGGTTGCCATAATATTAAAATGAACGAATGAAACTAAATGCATTGCAAAAAAGTTAGACTAAGTAACAAATACCCTAATTCAAGTAACCGTTCGATATATTGTTTTTATACTTAAAGTCTGGTTGTTGAGTTTTATTGTTACGACCTATTGAATCACTAATATAATTGGAGACCATTTATAATTTATTAGCGATTAATATTATTATGCTGGTAGCAAATTGTATAAATATAACTATTTTTTAAAATATGTACATGTATAAAATACAGTATTTCAACTATTTTCTGTATGCCCAGCGTTCTTGTTAACTAAACCTGCGCGTTAGGAATTAAATTTAATTTCTTTGAAACTTCGATATTTAATCTGAATTAGTCGTTGCATTAAATTTTGGTATCAAGGATTTATACTTTATAATAAATTTGTAATTTTAATAACTACCTATTTACCATTATTCAGTCAATGGGGAATGAAGTTGATATCACCAATAGCTTAGTGATCATGGTAGTTTTCGTTTCACTGGTTCCTCGTGTACTCTAACTTGAAGCGTGGAACGTGGACCACATTTCCAAATGTTCCCATCCTTGTCCAATATACTGGCACTTGCAGTAACTTGGTACTGGCCTCCACCGCCTGTATTACTAGCACAACCAGTTGGACCTATTTGCGGGCTTCCCAAAGATAGCAAAAATTCACAGGCGAAGAAATCACGATGCGGTGTAACCGTTTGTTGCAGTTCATTCAAGTTGGAATCCTATAATACATAATATTTATAAAAACGATAGAGTTACATTTCTTAACTCCTGTAGTCTCATTTCCTTGATATACGTCCATTGATCACAAATACAGTGCTTACCTTCTGATCGGAATTTATTTTAGATGGAGGTGCTGTCGAAATGGATATGCATACAGCTGCAACCGAACGAAACAGAGAAGCTCTTCGTCCATGTCTTAATACTCCTTCAACTTTCAAGGCTAATTGACTGCCCTGTGGAACTGATACCGGTTCACCAAGTACTCTTGGTTGCGGGGACACCGATAATTTTACACTAGTTGATTGCAGAGTTTGGAAGAAGTACCGAGGTATCGGAAGTCTCATTTTCCCTCCAGCTAGCAGCATAATTTGGGATATCAAAGAACCCACTCTCGAGTGACTAATCGCAGCACACTCGCCTTCACCTTCCCACGGAGGTGCTAAACGCTGCAGCTCGGTACAACATCTCGCCAAGTGGCGCATTTCCACAGAATTTCCAAAATTGAAACTTGCTTCGCCTTGTTGGCACGTGGGCATAATAGAACCACCGCAAACACGTTCAACGCTAGATGCCATTAGTTGACATATTTCTTGTAATCTATGTTCATGCATTAAGGATTTACTAATGGATTATTTTCAATATTTTGATGTTACAAAGAAAATATGAAAGGATACGCTCTAATATTAACCAAAGTTTCAGGATCGGCGTCAAATGCTGATTGGTATAACTTTTGATAGTTTTCGGCACATGTTCTCAAGTCCTGTGCCGATTTTCTGAGCTGCAAAGGAAAATATTACCATAAATATTGGATTGTAGTGATTCAAGCTATTTTCAGGCGTACCTGTTGAGTGACTCGCCCAAAACGCTGTAAATCGTCCTTTGTTGCGAGCACTACTGTTACTGCAATGGCAGGGGGAGGTGCAGTACATAATGATCTGTTCAAAAATAATAATTAGTGTATAAAAATGTCTTAAAAAAAAAAAATTAGTGATTCAAACAAACCTGCACGAATGCAATAATTGCACTAAAGCCTGCAGAAATTCACAGCGTAGTTTGGAATATTCACTGGCGAATTGCAAACTACGTAATGGCGTACTTGCAGCTTTCAACGAGGCAGAGGCACTTGCATATCGTGCTATAGTCCCATTTAATTTTTCTACAATTTTTGTCTTTTTTACGCTATCGGTTTCCTCAGCGATATCTCTGTTTTGAACAAGTTGCTATTAGCAAAGACTGTATGGTACATTTTTGTTGAAAATACGTACATAAGATGACTTTCCGCACTGGTAACTAATTGTAAACCTAGCAGCCAAAAGTGAAGTTGCTCCGATGCTACAGCTTCTTTCAAGTTTTTGAATATTTGAGTTGCAATATCGTGATGACCGTATCTTGTTGCACCTCGAGCAATACGATATTTCGCCCATCCATCTACACTTTTTACTACGTTATCTACAGCTTCCAAACACTCACTGTTCCATTCATAACCACCAGCTACCATTTGAAACAACAATGTGCATAGCATGACCTGTATCGAGATATATAATGAAAATTATGAAAACGAATAAAATAAAAATATTTTTCATTGTTCCATGCAGGAACAAATTTATACGAGTATCACCTTTGTATTCACATGGAGTGATTCTTTCAATTTTGTCAGGATGTCTGGAAGAAGCGGTAGAAGGACATTTTCTTCAAAGTTTCCAATTGCTCCCAATGCTTCGCATAATGCCAAAGCCTGTCCTTCGCTTTGTACATTACTGGCATTTGAATTTCTAAGCGTTGAGCCTATAGCATCAACAAAAACATAGCAATGACTGGGTTGGGCTTGACAAAGTTTAACGGTAGACTGCAGACATTCCTTCAGTTGACGAAGGTATCTATCATCTAAAGCGAGCAACATTATCAGTGACTCGAGGCAGGAGACAACGTCTTGGGCTCCATAAGCAGGTAATCCTTCCTCGTAACTAGTGAACAAAATTATTTTATATTGTATTATGCATTAAAATAGAAAATAAGAAAATGTTGCTTCATACCAGTAGCAAGCAACTCTTCCAAGAATAGTGACTGCCTTTACAGCCACAAAAGGATCTGGAGAGTAACAAGCATTAACACACAAAGATAGAAGAGGACCACCCTCTTCCATGTTAGCGTCACATGTTACAGCACTCTGGCTCAACACCTGTAATAATAAAGTTGCTTAATTATATCTTCGGTTGTAAGTATGAGTGAAAAAATAAATGTTTTCAAGAGTACCTCGATCACATCCAAAGTACGGATTAGAAGATCTGTATTGCCAGTTCCATCTTGTAATAATTTAGTTGTACTATCTACAACAGATCCCAAATAAAATATATTTTTAGATAGTTCAAAGTTTAAGTAGATTTTATATTTTATTCTTTTTTGCAATATAAATAGACATAATGTATGCACAAACCTATTAAATTGGTCAATGCACCTTGTGGCCATAAGTGAGCACCCCTTCTAGCTAGACAATGTAAAAGACGTAGAGCATGACGCTTAACCGATAACCGTGGGTCATCATGTAAATAACGCAACAGCAAGGCTACTTGTCCTGGAACGTCGATTAAAGTTGCAGAAGCTAGAGTACTTAATGCACTTAATGTTACTCTAACAAATTCTACCGCTGGATAACTCTCAAGAAGTTCCATACATAATTCATTTACCTGAGTGTAAAGAAATGACAATATTTGAAAATTGGAGTATGAAGTAATAATAATTCTATCTCAAAGCTAAGAATTTGTAAAAATCATACCATTGATGCAGTAGAAGTGTCATGGTGCATGTATTGTAAAATAGGAATAAGTTGCAGTTTCATTGAGGCAGGCGTCGCTTGTCCTCTGATCATATCAGAAATCTTACTGCACATAGAAATTGCAAATAGTTTCGATTGAGCTGCAAACATTTGCGCTGCATAAATGGCTGCTTCTACTTCAACCGAATCATGAGAATCCAAGGATCTTCGTATACTGTGATGAACCTTTAATGTACATATCACAATATCAGCATCACCACTTTATTTCAATTAAAGTATTAAAGAAATTTTTGTACCTGTTGTCTCTCCGGAATAATTCCAGCAACACTACCCAATGTGCGTAATGTAAGAGCTCTTGCCACTGGGTCATTGGAATGAATGACGCTATAAATTCTTCTAACAAACTCGTCAACATTTAAAATTTTGTCTAAATGTTTTTCACTTTGTTGACAAACTCTAAGTACCCAAACTCGTAAAAAGTTGCTGCCCATACGGAACACATCCGCTAATTTAAGCAGTGACGAATTTATTAAAATTGGAAATGGGTATTTTTCAAAAAGCCGTGGAAAACGTACAATCGCTTCACACTGCTCCCCAATTTTTGCTGATCGTAAACCTGTAAATAATATATATTTAGTTAATCCTTATCATTCATTAAATGTACATGCAGCAATGTCCTTTAAATAATTTTGCTCTTTTAAAATATACCTTTATCAAGTTCTATCAGTGCAGAATTGGCATCTTGTTCGGGTTCACCCAAGCCGGTATCATTAAATGCATTCATCCTCATACTAATCATATTGAATTCTATTTGTAACTTTCAAATTTACTGTTTTGAGTAATTTATATTAAATTGTATGATTCAATTTTCTCAAGTCAATGCACACTTACTAGTAACATTAGTGAACATTAATCATTCAGATCAAACAATATTTTAATCCCATTGTTTTGATCATATATAAACTAATGCAACTTTCAGGATTCTTTTTGCGTTAACAATTATAAAACGCAGTCCATACGTGCATTTATACATTCTACGTTTCACCGATTTTCTAATAACCGGAACTGCCGTGTAAACACTGTTCTACACCTTTTTTACCGATATGCCGGCCTAAAACGGCGTTTACACCGGATTTAGGACCCTCCTCCGCGGCAGATTCAAAAGCTAGCAAAACCATACGTGAGCCGCCAACGGCAACTGGTAGATGGCACAGCCATCGCGAGTGCGCGAAACCCTACCAGAAATTCGTTGCGCCATCCTTGGGGGCAAAAAACGGTGAAAGCTAACGTACGAAATCAGAGGGCAGCACACGTTGCGATCGCGCGACCCTGCCCGTGAGCAATCTCCCAACTCATCGCTGGTTATACCACCGGCGATGATAAAACCGTTGCAAAGAAACGTGTGTAAATACATCCGTTGGATATTTCTTCTGTATAAACTGCAAATGTCGCGTAGGAAAGCGTTCTCAAAAACGTAGTTTAGCTGCTGGTAGAAACGTCCTTGCAGCTATTCAGTCCAGTTAAGTCCAGTTGACAATCAAGTTTTGGCAGGTAATACTCAGGTGGTTTCGTTCAGAAAATAGGAGTGAATTTCGAAGTTTCTTTTATCGAATAATTGTGCCCAATACATAATTATAGGTGACGCAAATTTCTAACCGAATAATGGTCGATTATAGCAAGTGGAAGAACATAGAAGTAAGGATAAGTATACATGTATTTCAGTAGAACTAACGTGAGGAATATTCCAGAATGTTTTCAGAAACTTGGTTTAATAGATTTTATTTAAAGAATTGACGGGTTAATACGGTGCTATGTACGTATCATCGTGCAATTTATATGGAAACGTCTTTTTTTCTAACATGTAATGCATTGTAATCTTGCATATAGGTTCAGTTAGAATTTCTATTATAAAGTCGTGAAATAATTATTAATGTCCTTGCGAAACATCATTCTTACATATCTGTATGAAAATGAGTCTATAATATCATTAGATAACGATAATAATAAGGTTATGATTGATGTACGTTGCATATATTTTGACGTTTTAATTTTTATGATTTCTAGATCTCTGATGACGAGGATGACACGCACCCTAATATCGATACACCATCACTATTCAGATGGCGACATCAAGCAAGAATCGAGAGAATGGAAGAAAGAAAAAAAGAGAAAGAGGAGCACGAAAGGAAAAAAGCACAGTAATAATCAATTGTGTAATTTTTAGTAAACAATGTTAAGATAAACTTAAATGTAATTCTAAGAAATTTTGACATTTTTTTCTTAATTGCTTCTGTGACAATAGGACACTGAAAAAACTTAAAGATACGAAGGAAAAGCTCGCAAAACTGGAAAATGATCAAAAGGATTCAGCTGATTTAACCACTCTGACAAAGGCACTGCAGGAATTGGAAAAAGAGGAAGAAAGGATCAAGAAAGAAGAGGAAGATCTGATGAAAAAAGAAAAATTGGCTCCATGGAATGTTGATACAATTGGTCAAGATGGCTTTACTAAAACTGTAATAAATTCGACACCTATACGACGGGACGATGATTTGAATATTTCGGATGAAGAAAAGGAAAGGAGAATGAAAAAATTTGTTAAAGACAATGAGAAAAATCTGAAGAAATTCGGTATGCTCAGGAGGTATGACGATAGTAAAAAGTTCCTTCAAGATCATCCAGAATTAGTATGTGAGAACACAGCAAATTATTTAGTTATTTGGTGTATCAATCTTGAGATTGAAGAGGTACGTTTTCCTTTTTATCAAGCAAATCATTAAGAATATTGTTATATCCTACATTTTTATATTTATCTTAACAGTTATCATTTACTTATATCTTTTTTTTTACAGAAACATGACTTAATGGAGCATGTTGCTCATCAATGTATATGCATGCAATACATTTTCGAGTTGTCAAAACAGTTGGATGTCGACCCAAGAGCATGTGTAGGTTCTTTCTTCAGTCGAATACAGATTGCGGAGGTGGAATACAAAAATTCCTTCGATGATGAGCTTAGATCATTTAAAGAGAGAATTCGAAAAAGAGCAGCAGAAAAGGTTGCAGAGGCTCTCAAGGAAGCGGAAGAGGAAGAGAAGAAAAATCGACTAGGCCCAGGAGGTCTTGATCCTGTCGAAGTGTTTGAAAGTCTTCCTGAAGTAAGATGGACAATCATGACATCTTAGTTATTTAATTCACGAGAAGAATAATTTATACTAACCAATTCAGTTTATCTTAAGTATTATTCTTACTATTATTTTTTATTTTAGGCTCTACAGAAATGTTTTGAAGCGCAAGACATTCCGCTGCTTCAGCAAACAATAGCTGCAATGTCTGAAGAAGATGCTAGGTACCACATGAAACGGTGCATCGACAGCGGACTCTGGTTACCAGATGCGAAAGCAAAAGAAGATCAAGGAGCGGCACCCAAAGATGAAACAAGCGGGACGCCGGATCCTGAATGAACCAATAGAAATACTATAATATTATGTATCTATTTTTTCTTTAATGCAACTCACACACTCATATAAATATCTTACATATAGTTCTTAAAAACTCTATCAAAAATAAAGTTAATATCAGAAGCGTTACGTCGTGCCTTCATTCTCGTAATTAGAGTATTGCGGGTCTTTTATTTAACAAGGCACGTGATTAAACTCTGTATTTTATGCGATTATGGTTTGTAATTACGAATTGTTTTTGCATAAGATTAGTTTCTACACACCTCGAGATAATGATAATATTCTGTAGAAATACAAGGGAAATTCATTAAAATCGATCACTCTAATTATTTCGGAAATGTTCATGAATCGTTTCTAAGAATGAATTAGCTATCTTCGCATTCAATTCTGTGGGTATTTTAAATTTGAGCGGTTTTCTCGGTACTTCGATATATCGTCGAGTTTCGATAATACAGATACGGTCTCGTTCGACCGGATGTGGGGAGCAGTCGAGTCTCGGACTTTCGAGATCGTCCTCCTTTTCCGGTGCTGTGTGCGACAGGTCCTTGGGTAATATTTTTCATCCTCTATACAAGTTTGTATCGCGTCAGTTCTCAGCCTTGTGGAAAACTCGCTTTGCTTTCTTTGCATCGGGTAAACTGTCCTCCTTTGCTGTACATGAATTCCGACGATTCTAATCACTAAATTGGTTGAAATTCATCAAAATTGCGTGGCCAGTCTCAGCTCCTCCCAAGTCCATGTAGCGTAGAGCCTATAATTCCCTATATTCCCTCCAGATGGCGCTGTCGTTGTCCGCATGCTGACGTCATTAATATTCATATAACGCGTAGTAACGAATCACCTGTAATCAAGCTATACCTCTGCATCATCTTTCGATTCTTAATGCATAATTGGGCTCCTGATCGATAATCGAATTAACGTCGATCATTTCCATCGGCAATTCCAACTTAACATTCATAGAGTCTGTTTAAATATTGGATCAACTTACAAAATTATGATGTAACTTTAATGCTATTCCTCCTAGTTCTACAAATTTTTCTAAAATCTGTTAAACGAACTATCAAGACCGTATGTAAAAGCGGATCATTGGATTACATAAAAGATGGCGAACGTGATGGCGTCCTTTGAGATGGTCCCATCAGGAATCCACGTGCCTGAAAGAATCAACTTCCTTTCATTCTTTCTGTTCAAAGTGAGGCCAACATCGGTTCAGATTTTTCAAGCTACACGACCTTGAAGTCGAGGACGGTTTTTGGTTTTCGATAACTGCGCATATAGCGGGAGTCATCGAGTGGAAAAACGGGGTGCAGTGCATCTTGGGTAGATTTTCCTCTCCGCGTAACCAAGATGGCGGACGTGCGCGGCAATCTTGAGATGGGTATGTTCGATTCGAGTTTCATACCTCGCATTCGCGTGTAATGGATTAATCGATATGTCACGAGTAGAGGGATTTACCATGCCAGGAAAGATCTTTTTCTGTTGAAAATTCGGAATTTTTGATACGAGACGGTATGTGAGGAGGCAAAATTGTCCGTTATGCGGTGGTTGAAGGGAAGCGGTACGGCGCTCGGATCGGCTAATCGCGTTTCCTTCGTGGACGGAGAGGGGGCACGCTCGCGGTGCACGCTGGGTCGGCGACTCGATTGGCTGGCGGGGTGGGGGGCTTGGGGAGGGCGGACGAGTGAGTCGGGTTCACAAAATGGCGGCCAAGCTCGGGCCTGCGAACATATAGTACGGGAAAATTCGATAAATTTGTGCGATGTCGCGGCTCTGTATATCGAAGATCGTTTAACATTGCGAACACGTGTGCGCCCGGTATTATTAATCGCAATCGGCAGTCCGAAGTGGCGCGATTTGTGGCCGTAAGATCCGGACCTTAGTGCGACGCGTAGACGGGACGATGCAGGTGAGTGGTCGGTCACGAAAATGAGTTTTCCAGCTTAAGTCCGATTTTTTAAGCGATAATTGTTTCGCTCCGTTGCCGAGGCGAGCATCGCCGTGGATTGGCGAGGTCCGAGTCGCGAAAAATCGTCGCGATGTTGTTTGGAACGGGGGGAATTAACGTTGCCACATGCGTTTCGGTGTGCTCCGGGCAAGGGAAATTCGTGTAAAAATTGTATTAAACAACGGGGATGCGATTTAACGGTTCCTGCGTGTAGGGTGGGGCCTTGGGGTCTTCCGGTGGCCCGGGTCTTGGCGCTCTTGGTCCTCGATTTTGTCCAACTTTGAACAGTTTTCAGCCTCTGCATTAACCTAGAAGTTTGTTTACCTCTACTCGAGACAACGTTTTTCACTGAAAATAATTTTGTTCCACCCTGATTTTCCTGTAGAACGATTCTCCATCATTTCCTTCATCTTCTGTGTGGGCTTATTCGAAAATTTAAAATAGACCCATTTTTGCAAATTGAGCTCAAAGTTGGTGGTGCATGCTTCCTCGATCGTGTCAGGTGTGTCTTCGGTTAAGTGATCAAGCTAAACCCAGCAGTGTTCGTTCCTTTACCTCGAAACTACTTTGGACAAATGACCGATTTGTCAAAAATACTTACGATAGATTATATTTCATCCCATTTTTCACAAAGTAGCCAGCGTCATTTTCAAAGGGAACTTCTGTTCATCCTAAGAATTATGTGGATTTTCTATTGCTTCGTGCTTTGCAATTACATCAGAAATGTTTACGTTATGATGGGAGAAAAGGTTTTTGAACCATTCAAAGAGGAAGGTCTATGAAACAAGGTAAAAATACCAACTTCCTTCTGTTACTGGATGTTTCAAATGTTTAGCGAACACTCGACTTTTCGACAGATATCGATTATATGATTTTTATCCATAGGTAAGGAACCATTAAACATTTGACGATTATGATTTAGTATAATTCATGCAGAGAGGTGAAGTAATCGATGGAATGATCTTAAATTTAGGTACTATTTAAGGTTAAAGCTAAAATTATGACTAACTGCTAGTTGTTTTTCAAAATAAAAATTTGTATTGCCAAATATATTGCCATCAAATTCAAAACGATCACTAGTCTTACTGGTTGGTATTAGAAAGTTTATTCCATGAGTTTGTAGTAAAATGTAAACTTAAAATGAGAAAAGGAAAATATTGGGAATATGAAAGTAGTTTCTTCCAGATTAAGTGTACATGTATTTAAAAAATGTGTAGCTAATCTTTTTTCTTGAATCGAGTGCATTGATATAATTTTTTTCATTATCGTGTGTTATGCTTGTTATCGATTCTAATGGGAAGTTCAAACCGATCTGTTTTTTAAACTGAAAATTCTTAGCGGTAGTGTTGGTTTTTACCAGGAATTTAAAATGCAATTGCTACCATATTAATATCATTGATGACGTTGGTAGTTTAGACCATTGGTGTTAATAAATAATATAATAATATCCTTTCATTCATCTCTTACCTTTTAAAAATCTATGTAGGTCAAAGTTGTTGCTTTCTCGATCAAAGTTCATGCTACATATGCATCATATACTTAGGGATTAAATTATTTATACATACCTTAAAATCCATGCAATGGTAATATGTACAAATGAATCTATACTTGATATGCAGCCAAAAAATAGCACGCATACATTATAATACTATAAATATTTCAATCTCTCAAATAACAGCTCTCGATTCTCTTTAAACCATGCATACTTAGAATTTTTAGCTGTCCAGTAAATTCAAAAATTACATTTCAAATATTTCATCAAAAAGAACCAGCTTGAAGCATTTCGCAGCTGAAATCAGGATGAAACAGCTGAACTCCTTGTGTCTTCGCTCTGTAACATTTTCAAAGAAACGGTAAAATGTAACTACTGAAGTTCTCAATAAATGAACCAAGTCTTCAAGCGAAGTATGTCATTATTCGTATCACCTACCACTCCCTTGGCGGTATGGGTAATTATCTTTAGAATAAGCATTTAAGGATTCATTTTTAAATGTCTCTCTCTAATGTGAATTATTTTAATTACATGAAATGGAATCAGAATTGCAGCGGACGCACCTGAGGTACACAGGCAAACGAGGCAAAACGAATTGCCTCTACTTCGGTATATTAATAAATTTATGGCATGAATCTCGGAGCAGCGTCTATTTTCAGTATAGTCTCAAAATTTTCACGCTCGACCCTCCAGAGTTAATTATTTCAACGAATTCTCGTGAGTTTCTTGCGGACGTTGCGTTCTGATTCTTCACAAAATGGCGGCCAGAGACACGAAATGGCGGCGCAAAATGGCGGACTTGAAACGAGACGACATGAATATCTCTTCCCAATGAGGGTGTCTCGGCGATTAAAATATCTTGTTCGTGACAATGGCACGCAGTGGTTCCGAACCGCCGATGTGCTAAAATATTTTTAACATAACTCGAACTATAAAAAAACATTTAACATTATTTGTAGATATTAAGGTTACTTCGGGCAACCTTCCTCGTCGCGAAAAGATCTAACCGCCTTTGTGGATATTTTCTCGCTGAACTGGGATAGAGTTATCGTGTGCTGATTAATATAGGAATGAAGAAAAAAAAAGATATAAATGATAAGGAGACGTTCGGAGTTCAGCGAGGATTTATTCATAATCGCTTATGAATTTTTTTCAACCTATCGAGGTTAGCCGGGATTCCGAGGGAACTGAAAGTTGGGGTATTCGCTACGATGACGCGGTTATAACTCGCGTGGGCGTATATGCAAAATCTGCCGATAAAACGCAAATATTAGAAACGATTCGAAGGGTTCGTTCCAAACAACATTGCGGCCGTAGCGTAGAATAGAGATGGTATTTCATCGGATGTCTTTTCTTCGTCTCCTTCCAGAAAACGTTAGAGTCGGAGTCGGGTAAAGAGTCTAGATCGGATTCTGAGAATGAGAACGAAAATGAGAATGAGAATGAAAACGAGAATGAAAGTAAAAGCGAGAGCAGCTCCTCCGGAAGCAACAGCGGCTCCGGCTCGGGATCCGAAAGGTGCGTATTAAGAAAATTTCGTTAATATCCTTTGATATCAGAACGTCTTGCGAATCGAACGAGCTTGCATGCGGTACGTCAAGAATAAAACTAGCGCCGAACTCTGCTTACTCCCTCTTCATCGTAAGGCTCATTATCCCGTGCCATTGCCTTGGTAATATGAGCCTTACCGCGGCGGGCGAATAAATCGAGTTTCGGGGGCGACCTTGGGCGTTCTCTTGGTCGGATTAATTCATCGAAAGGACGATGCTCGACCGTTTGAGCGATCGTCGCTGGAATATTTTAATAACGAGTTTTCCGGGGAAAATGAAGATACGTAATTACGCTCGAGGCGGTTTTACTTTTTCATGCATTAAAGAGCTGCGGTTTGTTCGGACCGCAAGAACTGGTAAACAAGGGATATTAATCGAGGAATTGGTATTCCTCGTTGCCACGTGTTTGTTCACTTTTGTTCATTGCAAAAGCCATTGAAAGCACTAACGATCCAAGTATCCCGGCTTTCTTTTTTGCTAACTTTCCAACTGTTGGTGGTCTTGTCCTTTAAGGAGGATTTCTCCTGGATCTCACCTCGTCTGCACACGATTGTTTTACTTCCGATGTGATTTTTAGCTTTCAATGATAACACCGTTTCCGGGGTGATCGAACCGTGCGAGGCTTCTTTACCCTCATTCCTAAGTAAATATTAATGTTTTAAATATAACTTGGTAATGTGACACTGGTACATTTGCGAAGGTTAGATCTTGGCCAGCACCTTGGAAAATGCGAGAGCTCGAGGGTGTAGAAAACGAAGAATCGCTTTTCACGTCACGCGGACGTCAAGAAATGCCTAGTGTACGTAGTCGCCCACGAGGGTGGCCAAAAAACGTTCATTTGCGGCAGGAGATGTCGCGCACGCTGACTCTTCTAGGAGGAAAATTCCGAACACCGTGGTTAGAATTTAAAAACAGGAATTTTTTTTTTTTCAACATCTGTACGCTCTCTCACGCCAATTAACGTATTCTCCAGTGACGTGCAAGTTAGACGCTCCACTCCGTCTCCCTGGGAAGCGTACCTAAATTATCGAACTTCATTCTAATTTTATTTTCCGAGCAACCCTTCGGGCCCAGGGTTAAGAAATCAATAGTCTTGTTTCCTCGAGAGACCGGCGTTGCACGCGTAAAAAATTGTACACCGCGCGGTGTATGTGCGGTACTCGTTACGCGGTACTACTGTCATTGTCCAGGCTCGTATCAATCCGCAGCTGATAATTAAATCCCCGTTGGCGCGATGTTTCGAGCAGACGAGAGCATCGACGCCACGAGTGGCCCATTTCCGAGCCATGAATGGAAACCTGAGAATTAGCGATATGAACTTTTTTTTTTCGCCTTCCTCGAGAGTTGACTACTGGATTTTTTTTTTCGGAAGGTCATTTGAACGCTACAAATGAGAAGGGATGGAATATTAACTTAGTAAAAAACTCCTAGAAATGTTAACTTAAATTCGAGAAAGGCGAGTGCACTTGTACAGTGGTGGACATTAATGTCTCCTCTGCAGACATGGCGTCGCCGGGGGAGGATGAGAAGGCATTCGTGTCCATCGATGTACATTCGGAGTGCATCGTGACTTTTCTCGCGGGACGACGATTGGGAAAATATGGAATACCGGGCGAAGAGTCTCGGGACTTCTCTCGCATATTTCAAGGTGCTGCCATTGGTCCGTTAAACGAAACTGGCGAGATTGAAAGAAAGAACAAAAAAAAATATTGCCCGGCTGCTCTCGCAGCGACTCCAGTTCCTCGAGCGGTTCCGGCTCGGCCTCGGGCTCCGACTCGGAAAAGTCGGAAAAGTCGGACGCACCTGCACGGAGCGATAGCTTTCAGAGCCGAAGCTCGAATCACAGCACCGACACGAAAGTTAGGCATAAGAGCGACTCTAGCCGCGAGTGGGACGAGAACCCAGATATATACGGCATCAGGAGGTCGGCTCGCTCTAGGAAGGAGCCCGAGAGGCTCGCCCAACGCGAGAGCGACAGCGCCGATTTCCGCAAAAAGATCAAGAAGAAGAGGTAAGCACGCGACACCTACCCATCGAGGACCGACCCTTCGGCGTATTTTCATATCTATTAAGAGGATATGAAAGAGTCAGCCTATATATTTATCTGGGATGTCAAATCGTTGGGGAAAGTATTCCCCGTATTGGGCGTACCGGTTCGTTTCAAAATTTATCACGTAAATATGGAGGGCCTAAAACTCATGAAATTTCATTTTTCATCCGAAATTTATTTATGAACTAGAACCAACACGGCTTCTTGGAGGCTTAGAGTCGAAAATGAAGAGTTTCAAGACCTGTCCTCATCAAGGCTTGTCCTGCGGCTGACGCGTGTTTCTAGAGCAAAAATTTAGTTGCAGCTAGACGTCACAGATGGCGACGTTGGTTCGTCAAAAATATATATAAAGCTCATGTTACCACTTGAGTATTCAAAAGGGCATAGATCAGTTTTACTTTATCGACGTCGATTAAATTTCTTAACGCCTTTCATATCCTCTTAATATTCATTCATATTTATTTCCAATTTTCTACTATATACACGCAACTTTTCAAGAGTGAAACTTCTTATCACGATAGTAAAACGCTGAAGGGTGAATGTTTTATTTTACCTTTTTCATTCTAAAATTAATTAATAATCCCCATTTATGGCGGAACTAGATCTTCTTGCAGCGTTAATGCATTACTCTCGATTAATATTTACGGTGAATGAAGAATTAAGAAGTTTCACTTTCTAAACGCGTGGCCGCCATTTTCTTTTCTTTTGTCATTCCAAGCGGTCGGGAAATAATCGTTATAAAATCTTCGCGTCGTGGTTCTTGATCAAGTAGAGTTTCTTTTTTGTATTATCATCCTCTCGGTAAATCTCCAGTTCGAGTAATGCATCGTCCAGCTTCGGTTTTCAATTGTATTATATTTAACGATTGTGTCTAACAAGTGACGGCCCGGCTTATTAATTAATTCGAAGAGAGTGAGACATCGTTTTGGCACGGCTGAAATACGTTTCTTTGGCGTGTAAAGATTGCTGCTTTCCGACAAATAACATTCGGCCGGCGTACGTGATTTTGTGCGTGTACTCTTTTGTAATCTCACTTATCCGACGATTGCACCCCATGGTGTACGTGAATGCAATAACGGAGCACTTGCATCTCTGACGCTTTCTCGTCACGAATTCTTTTTTTTTTTTTCTCTCCCGATTCACGCCGTGATACGTAGATGTATTCCCGTTTCCTTTTTTCGTTGCTCCGATGTGTTTATTTAGAATCTATCCGTATGCCAGCACTTGACTGTTATCATTCAGTGTTGTTGGAAATTAATCAGGCTTATCGTGTAATCGTCTTGTAGAGCGCGTCTCTATGATGTCGACCATAGGCAAATTTAATTGTTGTCGATGTAACGATTTACAATTTTTTTTTTTCGTCGTTTACGTTGTATTTATAAATGCAAACGAGGTGCCTAATCGAAGGCATCTCGTTTGCGTTTCAACTTAGGGGGGGGATGCAATTTATTGTAATGAAAATGTTGCATTTTAGTTCGCAAAATTCTTGGAATTCGGAGAGCTCGGATTCGGAGTCCGACGAGGCCGAGAAACGACGTCCACCTCCTAGTAAATCGTTAAATCGTCGAGCAGCACAAAAAGCGAAGGCTAATGCTCGGGCACGAAAGAAGAGGATATCGGATTCGTCGGAAAATTCGTCGTTCGACTCGGATGATAATAGGAGGTATTTATGATTTGATTCCTGCTTTTTTACGCTCTCTTTTATTTATGAGGTGCTATTCTAATTTTGGGGGGTAATTAAATCTTGTGATTGGACTTTCAGACAGGTGACCAGGCGAACTGGAACTGCCGTGAGTTATAAAGAACAAAGCGAAGAGGGGACTGATAGTGAAGATATCGTCGAGGTTGACGAAGCAACGGCGGCACAAGCTGAACCTGATAATGCAGAAACTATAGAGCGCATTTTGGGTCAGAGGAAAGGGAAAAAAGGCGGTAAGGATATTTTTTAAATATATGCAGTCTGGGTTGTATCTTTAATTCCGTTAACCTTGATAATACGCTAATCAATTGTCATTAGTGACGGGAAATGTTACGACCGTTTACGCCGTCGAAGAAAATGGAGATCCTAATTCTGTACATTTGACCGACGGAGAAATTGAAATGCAGTACCTGATTAAGTGGAAGGGTTGGTCTCACATACACAATACTTGGGAGTCGGAGGATTCGTTAAAGGCTCAAAAGGTATATTTATTCCTGTATCGTTAGTGCAACCATTTCGGTGATAATTAAAAGCTCTCATTAGAGGTGGCCAGTATCAAGTTTATTCCATTTACACACGTAGACGTCATTTCCTGTTGTAGGTAAAGGGAATAAAAAAGTTGGATAACTTTATCAAACGTGAAACGGAAATAAAACTTTGGAGAGATTACGCTGGACCTGAAGACATAGACTATTTTGAATGCCAATTGGAGCTTCAGCAGGATCTCTTGAAAAGCTATAATAATGTTGAAAGAATTATTGGTGAGTTTTCGTAAGCGACGGCGAAGTATTAGGATTAGGAATTTTTATTAAGAATAATTTGAATCAAGAGAGTGTGTACTTGTAGCCGAATATAAGAAACCGGACTCGGATCATCCTGACTATTATTGCAAATGGGAAAGTTTACCTTACTCGGAGGCTACTTGGGAAGATGGGGCATTAATAGAAAAGAAATGGCCCGAGAAGATCAAGGAGTTTCGAGATAGGGAGGATTCGAAGAGAACGCCGAGCAAACATTGTAAAGTTCTTAGATCTAGACCCAAGTTTCACCAGGTTAAGGAGCAGCCCGAGTACATGGGAAAAGGCAAAGAGTTGATTCTTAGGGATTATCAGATGGACGGGTTGAATTGGATGATTCACTCGTGGTGTAAAGAGAACAGGTAATTCTACAATTTTGTGGCTCACTGTGGAAATGTATTTTTACAATTTTACAATTTACAATTTACAATACATAATTCATATTTCAGTGTGATCCTGGCAGATGAAATGGGTCTTGGAAAAACGATACAGACAATATGTTTTCTGTATTATTTATTTCACGCTCATCAGCTTCATGGTCCATTTTTATTAATAGTTCCTTTATCGACAATGACTTCGTGGCAAAGAGAAATGGCACAGTGGGCGCCGGAGATGAATTTTGTTACATATTTAGGCGACGTGACTTCTCGTAATATTGTAAGTATCAAAGCCAATTACAATGATTGTTATAAAATTCTGAAACTGTGTGAATATTTAATTTGTTAAATTCTGATATTTTTTTTTTTTTGTAGATCAGGGAATACGAATGGTGCTACAGTTCGAAGAGATTAAAATTCAATGCTATACTCACTACATACGAAATAGTACTAAAAGATAAAGCATTTTTGGGAGCTTTGAACTGGGCAGCACTTTTGGTGGATGAGGCACATCGGCTGAAAAACGATGATTCGCTTTTGTATAAAGCTCTTTTCGAGTTTCATACCAATCATCGATTGCTGATTACCGGAACACCCTTACAAAACAGTCTGAAAGAGTTATGGGCGTTGTTGCACTTTATCATGCCGAACAAGTAAGATCGTCTTACAATGAGCTATTATATTCTTATATACTTACTGTGGCAGAAATTCAATGTTGAATTTTTTTTTCAGATTTAATTCTTGGGAGGAGTTTGAAAAAGAGCATGACAATGCCGCTCAAAAGGGTTACTCCAAGCTGCATAAACAATTGGAACCTTTCATCTTGCGTCGAGTTAAGAAAGACGTAGAAAAGTCTCTGCCGGCAAAGGTTGAGCAAATCCTGCGAGTGGAAATGACTTCCTTACAGAAGCAGTATTATAAGTGGATACTCACTAAAAATTACAACGCTTTGCGAAAAGGTGTCAAAGGATCCACCATGACATTTCTAAATATCGTGATCGAATTGAAAAAGTGTTGTAATCATGCTTTCCTTACGAAACCTATGGACTGTGAAAGGAAAGAAAGCAACGAGGATTACTTGCAGCAGCTGATACGCGGTTCAGGCAAGCTGGTACTTTTGGACAAGTTGTTGGTACGTTTACGCGAGACAGGTCACAGGGTACTCATTTTTAGTCAGATGGTACGAATGTTGGACATTCTTGGGGAGTACCTGCAGAAGAGACATTTTCCATTCCAAAGGCTCGACGGAAGCATAAAGGGCGAACTCAGGAAACAGGCTTTGGATCACTTCAATGCCGATGGATCTCCTGATTTTTGCTTTCTATTGTCAACCAGAGCAGGCGGTCTTGGCATTAATTTAGCCACTGCGGATACAGTAATTATTTTCGATTCCGATTGGAATCCACAAAATGATTTGCAAGCTCAGGCGAGGGCGCATCGAATTGGTCAGAAGAACCAAGTGAACATTTATCGTTTGGTAACGAAGAGCTCGGTCGAGGAAGAAATCGTTGAGCGGGCCAAGCAGAAGATGGTTCTCGATCATTTAGTTATCCAAAGGATGGATACTACTGGTCGGACTGTGTTAGATAAAAAGAGCGCACAAACAAATAGTAATCCCTTTAATAAGGAAGACCTGACCGCTATTCTTAAATTTGGTGCCGAGGAATTATTTAAAGACGAGGAAGACGGCGACGAGGAGCCGACGGTAAGTCCTTCGCGACTTCTTTTCAGGATTGCGCCGCGTTTCAATTAAGTTCTAACGAATTTATATTTTCTCCTGGACAGTGTGACATCGATGAAATTTTAAGACGTGCGGAAACGAGAGACGAGGCACCCACTACTGTAGGAGATGAACTACTTTCAGCTTTTAAGGTGGCTAGTTTTGCTGCTTTTGAAGAAGAAGCCGAACCAATAGCTCAACCTAACGAAAATGACGAGGAAAGTAAAGACTGGGTATGTCGGTTTACAGTGACGCTTTGTAAAAATATAATACATTGAGAGGAATACGTAATTTATAGATTTTTAATCGAATATGAGAAATGTAATTCATGTATGATTTTTGCCAGGCGGAAATTATTCCTGAGAATTTCAGAATGAAGGTCGAGGAAGAGGAAAAGTCCAAAGAAATGGAGGATTTGTACCTTCCGCCCAGAAGTAGAAAAACGTTGCAACAAATCAATGAGTCTGGTGAAGGTAATAATCAATTCCTTTTTTCCATATTCAGTAGTTTCTAATTATTGAGTATTCGATATTAATTGATATACTTGTCGAAGGTGGGAGAAAACGCAGGAAAGCTGGAGATGACAGTGAAGAATTCGACGAATCAGGTAGTGACTTGGAAGGCAGTGACGACGAGAGACCTAAAAAACGAGGCAGGCCAAGAGTCAATCCTCGAGAGACCATTAAAAGTTTTACCGACGTTGAAGTAAGTTTTCAATTTTGTTTCTCTTTTTTATCATACTTCCGACGAATCGAATACTGTTTTACTTTCTCTAAAACCCACAATTTTTCTTTGACTACAGATAAGGAGGTTCATAAGAAGTTACAAGAAATTCCCAGCTCCTCTGAAGCGCCTGGATGATATCGCAGCTGACGCTGAACTTCAAGAAAAACCGATGTCGGAGTTGAGATATCTTGGAGAACAGCTGAAATCACGCTGTGAAGCTTGTCTCCAGGAATTTGAAACTGCAGCTAAAGACAATAAAGTTGGAGAAGAAGACGCAAGGTTACGCGGGCGTAAGAGAGGAAAAGGCCCGACGTTTAAAGTTTCCGGCGTGATGGTTAACGCAAAATCGTTCTCTGCTGCTGAAAAAGAATTGGAGCCTTTAGATCAAGTTCTTCCATCCGATCCCGAACAACGAGCTAATTGGCACCTTGACGCTAAGTAAGTCATATAGAATATAAACGTGAACAAGACATATTTAATATACGGCATAAAGAAGATTATGATCATTTAATTAGATCGTTCAAAGTATAAAGCATCGAAACCTCTTTTAGATTAAAACCTGCGAACTTTGATTGCGAGTGGACAACGGACGACGATTCAAGGTTGTTGAGGGGAATTTATATTCATGGAATGGGTTCCTGGGAGGCCATTAAAATGGACGCCAGTCTTAAACTTGGCGACAAAATACTTCCCAATGCTAGCAAACCTCAAGTTAAACAATTGCACGTACGTGCGGAATATCTCCTTAAAATATTGAAGAGACAGGTCGACCTCAAATCAGGAGTGGTAAGATTTTCTACTACGTTGATGTAATAACATTTTCCTCACGTGTTTCCCATCCGTTAACAGAGTTACATCCGTCTTCCTGTCCCGGAAATTGAACCGAAGGTACTACTCTCTTTACCTTTACCTGCAAACCTTTATTCCTTATCCAGTTTCTAAACAGCTGTCGTCTCGTTCCTATCCCGTTCCTTAAGTGCGATAAAAGTCATTAAATTTCAATCCCTACAAGCATAATTAAAACTGTATCTCGCAATGAATTTAGACGAAAACGAGGAAACCTAGGAAACCTAAAGAAATAAAGACTGCGATTACGAAAGAAATTATTGAAGAAAATGACAGTTCCGGCGATGAAAGTAAAAAGCCAAAGCCGAAGGTCGAAAAGGCAAGTGATCATTGAATAATGAAGGTGTAACTTCGCTTACACGAAACTCGCGTCTCCTTATTTACATGTTGAAGAGATGCTTTGAAATTGTAGGTAACGGTGAAGAAGGAAGAGGAAGTGGTAGCAAAAAAGGAAGTCAAGGAGGAATACGACGCAGTTTGCGAGGAGAAGAAAAAGGACAAGAAAATCAAAAAGGATAAGAAGGAGGGGAAGAAACCGAAAAAAAGCAAGCAAGCGGCTGGTCCAATGCACTTTACCGCCAATAACGAGCCGAGAGCACTCGACGTCCTCGGGGATTTGGATCCTTCGATATTCAATGAAGTGAGTGACTCAATTAAAATTATTCATCTGCTGTAAATATACAGTGGGGTGATATTTTCTATTTTATTATCGACGCAGTGCAAGGAAAAGATGCGTCCCGTGAAGAAAGCTTTGAAAGCACTGGACAAGCCGGATCAGTCGTTGAGCGAGGTCGAGCAAGTGGCTCACACTCGTCAGTGTCTCGTTCAGATCGGCAACCAAATCAATACTTATCTATCGGAGTACAAGGATCCGGAGCAGATCAAAGAGTGGCGGAGTAACCTCTGGTACTTCGTCTCCAAGTTCACCGAGTTCGATGCGAAGAAACTTTACAAATTGTACAAGCATGCGACGAAGAAAGGCGAGGGCAGCATAAGCGCGACGTCCAGTCCAGAGAAAAAGGAAGACCTCGCAAACGCAAAGGTACAGCAATGCATACGCATTTATACCTCGGTAAGTTTACCTTTTAAATACAATACGTAATAAACCGTCTTTCCATAGAAACACAATGAAAAGCAGCATGACAAACATATCGAAAAGCACTCTGAAAGCAACAAGGAGGTCCGCTCGGCGAAACGGCGGATCGACGACGTGGAGGAAAACTCGAATAGCGGGACACCGAGTAAAAAGCATATGGTGTCTACCACGGCTGTTGGAGGTGGTACCATTACTTTCAATACCGGTGCTATAACGATAACGCCGATTGCACCTGGGACGCCGACTCCTGTTTCGAGTACCTCGTCCACGCCTGCGGAGCCCACTAAGCATAAGGACCAGAAGGAATCGAAACATAAGGAAGTCAAAAGGGAGAGGGACAGAGATAGAGACAGGTCTCACAACGACAGAGGCATGGATAGGTTGAGCGGAGGCAAGGACGAGAGAATTAGAAGAGACAGTGGAGGGTACAACCAGGGAGGACATTACAGTGGTAGCAGAGAAGAGGACCATTGGTTGTGCAGAGACGGGAGGGATCCTCGAGACGGAAGGTAAGGCCGTGCTGTTAAACATTTTGATTGACATTCCAGCTCCAACTGGGTCCATACAAAAATTTCCCGTCATGCCTAACCATTGTCCTTGCGATCCACAGGTTTGGAGATCACAAACGCGACAGGTTTGAATCTTATGGCCGGATGTCGGGTGGATATCATCGAGACAGAGACAGAGACCGCGACCGTGGCATGCATGTAAACGATAAAAGGAAGTAAGTGGAGTCGAATCTTGTAATCGTGGCACGTTTGTTGACGTTATTAATTGGTGTTCTTGATTTTTCAGCGACTACTACCGATATCCACAGGGTCCCCCGGGTTATGGGTACGGAGGACCGGGTGCTTACGGTGGTGGAGGTGGCGGTGGTTATCAACAGACCGATATGCCACCGGGACACTTTAGGGGACGCGGTTATCCTGGGGATGGTTATCCCAACGATTGGCGACCTAACAAGGATTATAGAAGAGACTACGATAGAAGGCCGCCACCCCCGAACGCCAACTCCTAGTGCTCCTTCCTTGCCACCGTCCTAGAATGTGTCGTTAATCGATTGTAATTGTAATCACGCTACGATCGTGCGTTGCGGCTCTTTACCTGGCTACGAGTCATCCCGAAGGTACCAGAGATGAAGAGCGCGACGCACCGGAACGTTCAGTTGATCGATCCTTTTTTTAAAACCCTAATTTACGCGCCGACATCTTTCTGAACTGTAAAAAGGAATTCCTTCTATCGCTGTCAGCACGTGATACGCGGACGCGGATTTCGAGAGCGATACGGCGATTTTTTTAAAATGCTCGTTTAGACGTAGGTCGCGGCAACGCTCGACCGCGAGGAAAAAGCTACCATTAGTAGGAGATAATTGATAAATTTTTATATATATTGGAGGTTCTTGTAAAATGTCGATGACGGAGAGAACTTATTGGGTTTACGATCATTGATTCTAAGTCTGTTTTGTTCACGTTAACGCGCCTCGAGTAATTTCCAAATGTGCAATTCTTGCGCGTGGGGTAAATGATAAAGAAGGATGAGCCCATGGGATTCCAGTACGATATACGATAATACTTTTGTCCGCCGTTCGTCATAATCCGAAAGCCTTCCTTTAACTGTAGCTTATCGACGCGTGTAACATATTTTGCATTTTCAGGATCAATTGTGAATATCCAGTTTAGATTTAAAGTTCTTCTCCTTTTCGTACAACTCGCGCGTACCGTTTTCTCAAGCAAGTAGTGGATTAGCTCTGGCAAGACTTATGCCCCGTTTACAAATTATTTTGCAAACTCGGAGGATGCCTATTTTAATCGTGACCGAAATATCCCCGGAATTTACGCAAATTGGATCTACGAGGTGGGCAGACTTTCTACTCGCAATGGCTATGCACTTTGGATTTTTTTTTTTTCTTGCTGTCGCGTTCTTGCACATTAGAACCAGACCAACAACGTGGTTGCGTTAGATGACATTGAGAGATTTCAAAGATTGCATTGTCTCGCACCAGAAGTAGTTTGTGTTTGTCAGTAGAGATTTATCCGATCTGCTAAATCATGTTGTTGTTCCTGTTGTAATGAGGCACAAGTCACGTACTTTTGTATAATTTACCCCGTAAGGGATACCCTCCGAACCTTTTGTATTCTGCGAAAAAGAAAAGTGAGAAATGTAGATTTATTCAGTTTGGTATTTTACAGATTAAGGAAAATGAAGTGTTAGACAATAGGCGTATACGTGGGTAATACTTTTGGTATTCAGAGAGAATCGCAAGGACACTTGCTGATGTAACACTTCAATATTTCCCGTGCATGTACATTAATTCATTTCTTACCATACCATACGTCAATGTTCTAACTATGGATTACCTTCGTTGCGCTCTGCGTTTATTAGACTGCGTGAAAGATAAATTATTTTGTAGATTATTTTAATTACACAGATCGAGGTAACGACGTTAATAACAGTAGCAAAGTTTTGCAATTTTTAGTGTGCATTTGTGTAAATAATAGGACGTATACATACATATTGCATACCTAGGGATGGACATTGATTTTGAAAGTGTACAATGTACCAAACACTTGCGACGAAGAGAACGTATGATTCACAGCCTGATAGAAATCTGCTAGTTTAGATTTTTCTCTCTTGGGATGGTATTTAACAAGCGACGATAGCGAACAGTTTATAATTTATTACTAGCAGAACACCCATCACGATTAATGTTAAAGCGAGAACAGAAAAAGAGAGAGAGAGAGAGTATGTTGTACATATAGATAAAAGAATAAAGTGATTAATATCGTACATAAGATAGTTACGATACCGTATCGGAATCATATGAATCGCGCATTACATAACAGCAATGTATTTTATCTATCTTCACTGTAGAATATAAGATATTTCTGGAAATATAATTAGAAACGGAATTTCGAACGTGATTCGTTGTTTCTTGAGTAAATCGAGAATACATTGGTGGAATGCAGTCTTGCACTTTAAAGTACTAAGACAAAAACTGTCATTATTCAATGGCAGGCTACTTTTATTTGTTGTTCATTTTATGGAATTATTCAAAAATTGAAGCTGACTAACATTTAAAATATCAACTGATGTAAAATCAGTTTCATTTCCTAATGGTGTGATAACGGGTGAAAACCTTAGAGGTTAACGGTTGCATGAGAAAAAGGAAGGACCTCTCAACAGAGATGAGTTGGGAGATCGCTTACGGGCAGAATCGTGCGATCGCATCCTGTGCTGCCCTCTGGTTTCGTACGTTAGCTTTCACCGGTCCTGTCTACTAATCTCTGCTACTAACGAGGAGCGTGACAATACTAAATGTGGAACAGTTTGAGTACGCGGCCGCGAGGTGGTTTCAATGCGGTAATCGTAAAATGAATTATGGGTATTCCCTCATGGTTCCGTTTGTAAAACCGGAAATGACGCCTAGCTTGCGTGAACTTCCAGTGCCCACACCACGTGGGGTGTCGTGAATTTTAGAATTTATGGATACAAATCAATTTTCCCTATTAAGTGAGACCTGAAAAACTAATAATGGGGAAGCCAGGTAATTTATTTTGTTGAAAATGTGGAATTTGTACCAATATTTATTCATAAGTGAGTAAGTTAATCGAGCTGTTCTGTAGACCGATGTCCGATGCCGCATTGTAGCATAACCTCTCAAATTGAGTAAGAAAAGGCAATTTGTTCATAAAGTTAAATTGAAGATGTTTTTCTTGTGAAAAAAATAAGTGACTTATTATGGTACGATATGATCTTTAAATATGCGAGTAGTTGCGTCATAATAATACTTCGTTAAAATCCAGTCAATTCATGCGCCGACTAACCTAAATTTGATTTCATTCTCGAGTTCCTCCTGTTATAATTAAATTAGTTTTCATTAAATGTATTTTAGACGCCCATATTAAAATAGTCAATGCAAATAGCATTAGCATTTATAATAAATTTGGTAACACAATGTTTTTTTGTTACATACATAATAAATTTGTTTAATTTTATAGGTTTCTCACCGGGTGGTGGAGGCGGTGGCGGTGGCGGTGGTGGTGGTGGCGGTGGCGGCGGCTTTAGAGGTGGAAGAGGTGGCGGTGGTGGATTCAGAGGCGGAAGGGGAGGTGGCGGCGGCCGTGGAGGCAGCGGTGGTGGTGGTGGCCGTGGAGGCGGTGGTTTTCGAGGAGGCGGTCGAGGTGGTAGTCGAGGTGGAGGAGGACGTGGCGGTCCTCGAGGAGGTGGAAGAGGTGGTCGGGGAGGCGGTGGTTTCAAAGGAGGAAAAACTGTTGTTATTGAACCCCATCGGCACGAGGGTGTATTTATAGCAAGAGGGAAAGAAGATGCTTTAGTCACATTAAATTTGGTCCCCGGATCAGAAGTATACGGTGAAAAAAGAATTAGTGTTGAGGTTCATATTTTAATGTATTATAATTTTTTTTTTCTGATTCTATGAATTAAATGAATAATGAAAATTACTATTATACTTTATGGGCATTTTAGGGGGAAAACGGTGAGAAAATTGAATACAGAGTGTGGAATCCATTCAGGTCTAAGTTAGCTGCTGCTATACTTGGTGGAATCGACCAAATCCATATGCCACCTGGGAGTAAAGTATTATATTTAGGAGCTGCTTCTGGGACAACGGTTTCACATGTTGCCGACATCGTTGGTCCGGTATGTTCACATTTGTAATATCTCTTGAAGAAAAGTTATTAGAAATATAAGTATTGAATGAATATGGAGCTGATGAGTAGTTAATAACTATACGCATACATTAGAGCCAGGTTAGTTCATTCTTGCCAACTTGGTGTCGAAGTATTGCAAGATTAAATTGTGCACCTTTCTTTACAGTACAGAGCTGTTATTTTGTTGCCCTGTCTGAGAAATTTGCATACAGTTTTAATATGTTTATAGACCATTATTACTCACATTGACATCCATGTAACACCTCAAACCTTTTTATTCAAATTCACAGGAAGGACTAGTGTATGCTGTGGAGTTTTCTCACAGATCTGGCAGAGATCTCATAAATGTTGCCAAAAAAAGGACAAATATTATACCTATTATTGAAGATGCCCGACATCCTCATAAATACAGAATGCTCGTAGGCATGGTGGATACTATTTTCGCAGACGTTGCACAGCCAGATCAAGCGAGAATAGTTATTTTAAATGCCCAATACTTTCTTAAGAATGGTGGCCATTTTGTTATCTCAATTAAGGTAAGATTTTAGGCACTGCCTCTTCTTATTCCCGTACTGGTACATTATAAATCTTAATTGTCATGGTTGTTTAACAGGCAAGTTGTATAGACTCTACGGCACAACCTGAAGCTGTTTTCGCAGCTGAAGTTAAGAAATTAATTGCCGACAAGTTGAAACCTCAGGAACAAATTACGTTAGAACCATATGAAAGAGATCATGCTGTGGTCGTTGGTACATTCAGGCCCCCACCGAAGAAAGCCACTTAGTTATGTAAATATTATAAGATCTACATCAGAAATAATTATTTTTCCATGATTCCATGTGTGTTCGTATGGACAACTTCACCCAGAATTAAATTACCCGAGCATCATTTGATTACAGAATTGATGATAAAATTGATTACAAATGTGGTATCGGTAATTTATGAATTTTTAAGTTGTGAATGAATTTTTTCAGTTCCATGTACAGTTTAAATGCTAGGTAATGTGACGCGATTAAATTTACATACCTCATCCTAAACTTGAAGTCACTAGCCATTATGCCATATAAGAACAGGCAAATGCATAATTTTAATTTCCACATGATGGGGTATATTTCCTAAACGACATTGTATTGTACTCAATGCAGTAATTAATAGATATCTCTAACTTGTATAACAGAAACTGCAATGATGTTACAAATTCTTTTATAGGAATTACATTTTATAAATAAATATATTGAAATATTATTCACATCCTTTTTGCATTAACTACGCTCTCAGTTTTCAGTCCGAGAAAGAATTATGTGATTCTGCTTGAGAAAATTTTATTACGTATGTAAATTACGCACGAGTAGTTGTACAGGTAATGAATAAACTCCGATATAAAATATAAATATAACTTTATGTAATATCGTCACAAAATATCATAAATATGGAATCTTCAAATTTTCATAAATTACCCTGCAAGTCTATTTCTTCTCAATAATAGTCGTACTCGTAGATGCACCAGGCGGATGTCCAGAGAACGCTTGCATACGCATTATTATATCGAAGTGTCTTGCGCCGCACGATTTGGTCCGTGCATTATCGATTTGCAAAAATGGGAAGTAATTTCTCCCATTTTTACCTTTTCTTTCTTTTTTTTTCCAGCTAAACCATGCCAAATAATTGGGTACGCTTAAGTACTAAGACGGCACTCAAATTGAAATTTTAGTGTAATCACTGCTAGTATCGAGTTTTGTAATTCCACTTAAGACAAAAGTAGCTGACGAGTCGTATTTAATTTCGAGATAAGAAATTCAAATGTTCTTGCCTCGGTAGAAAAGAAGAGAAGAAAATTAAAACATAGTTACACGACATGCGTAAACGAAAGTACGAACATAATCGATCTGAAAAAGCTCTACGTGAGGCATTGTAAATGGCTGGATTACTCCGCGTCACGTATCGCATGACAATTGATCCTCCTCGATACACCTCTCAATATAATTCGATGAACTCTTATTCACGCATACGCGTCGGCAATCGATCCCAATTAATTTCACCCAGGATCGGACGCATAGTAAATACCCCCTCTAGATTAATTTCTTTTGTTTTTTTTTTCGTCCTTTTTTTTTTGTTCAACTTTCTATCGGTCAAATAATGCACATATCACAAGGCTCTCGATTCTAGATTTCTCGATGGACTTTTATAAATACGCAAAGGTACCTAAGCTAACATAGGAGTAGATTGTAAAACGTCCAACTTATGGTTGGATCGCCCGCGAAAAAAAGCCAACCCGACATTATAAATAAATATTAATCTACGGAATATTCGCTACCGTATCTAGGAGATGCTTTTGACAGAAGCGTGTGATATGTGCAATCGCACGACTCTTAATTTAATTCAACCTATGTCGATCCGTTATCGCGGGTCCCTTTAATAAACGTCCATTGCACATACGGTACTTGGAGAGAACATACCGATTTGACGCGTTACTTGGACCACATGGAAGAGCAACATTAACAGATCCTCTGCTACGCGTTTTCTCTTTATATACATCGTTCGATGGGTTTTTCATTTTTATCCGGAAGCTCGTTTTTCCGGTTTCAATGATCTTTGTACGGACTTTCCTCCATCCATAAATAGTTGAATAAGGCTGCCGGATTAATGTACTACCTACATACACGTTACCAAGGGTGGCGGTCATCCGATAGTTACATTGTTTCGAGCTTCCGTAAACGGTTAAAAATATATAAATCTGTCGAAGATGAATTTTTGTACATTCCAATTTTCCCAGGATCATTCCGCGGTTCAGGGCTGTACCTTAACGATCTACGTACAAATTGTCGCACTGAGAACAAAAAAAAAAAGAAGGAATCATCGAACCAGAGGGACGTTTCTTTAAATTGTACCGAGGAAATATATTAATCATTCGGCTCAGATAAACTGGAATAAATTGGATTTAACATTTCTTCGGAATGATGACAATTTATTTCAGTTTGTTCGAGTCAAGTAATTATTCTTTGAATTAATGAGACACTTCTCTGGTACTGTTTAACGAAGTATTTCTTTGGTTCGATGATTGTCTTCTTTTTTTTAATTTTTTTCGTTCTCGGTCTCAGTTAAATCGCGCAATCGCGTAATTAGGCGTTTAGGCGTTCCTATCTGCACCGACTAATTTGCACCGGTGGTGAGGATCAGGGATAAGCGGTTTCCTACTCTACTATTCCGCCATGGGCGTTATCGTGGTCACTGATATGCAGAATATATCGTAATAACTGTCGATCGCAAGAGGCATGGCTGTCGCCTCTCGCGATCTTATCACGTTTGAATTGTCAGCAAGGGCAGCCCGAAAAAATTGCCGCCGCTAATTGCCACGAAGTATCACAGTTGCTCCGTAGTGCATTGAGAAGTAACGATTTCGCATAATTTAACATTAAACAATGAACGTCTCCCTGGCCGACGAGGTAATCAACGCGCTCTAGGACAACAATTGGAGTACTTTTCTATTGCAAAAAAATCCCCCTCGAATCTGAACATCGCGAAATTGTTCACAGAGACTTTCTATAAAGGTTCGTTGCCTCCGGAAAAGAAATGAGGAATCGAAACGTAGAAATATAATTATCGTACCGCAAATTATTAATTTTAGCACTGTAATAATATTTCTCTCGTTTTCGTAGCGTTCAGATTCGAGTCTCATCCGGAAGTGTATTGTCAACTGAGGGAGGTCCTGACGACTCTCGTGGGAATTCCAAGGATCAAGAGGAAGACGCGTCGCGTTCCTCGTAATTCCCTGGAAGAGTCCGTCCGTCGAGCGCGTCCAATTTCCGAAAGTCCGCTCCCAAGGAAACGTATCCCGGAGCCCTCGGCTCGCCTCGCGCGGCCATCTTTCTTTTTCTCCTTTTCCCCCAGCTTTATCTTTCCTCCACACGTCGCTATCGCTTTATTGTCTTTATGTCGATCGATCAGCAGTCCAGTAATGTCGGCCAGGAGGCTTATTACCGTTTCCCGTTGAACTGTAAACCCGACCCTCACCGGAATGGCCCGTCGAGCGTTACGGCGACTCCGAGAGAGCCTTCGTCGCGGCCTCGGCTCTCATTTTTTCCCTCTCCCCTCCTCTCCTTTTCGGCGAAAAGTCGGATTTCAGTTTAAATACGCGGCGAAGTGGTCCCCGGTGTACTTTCTTTCCGTCGAGGAGTCCTTCGGCTCCCGATTTCCATAAAATCTTCCTCTCTCGAGGAAGCGCTTCCGCTGGCCCGAAAATCCCGGGCGCTCGCTTACGCGGACCGGCGCAAGATCGGACAGATAAGAGAATTAAATGGAAAGAAAGGAGCCGATCTTTTGTCCCTGGGGGAAACGAGGACGTAGAAAAGAGTTCCTCGAGCCGGATCCGCATAACTCGAGCCTCGGGACTCTACTTGGAATGGACGAGGTTCAGGAATTCTTCGCGGGTCTTCGAGTCATCCCTGAAGACTCCCAGCATGGTCGACGTGACGGTCTTGCTGTTTATCTTCTGTACGCCTCGCATGACCATGCACATGTGCCTGGAAAAATAATACGAGGTCGTCTTAATTTTACACTTCGCCAATAATAGGCCTAAAAGCCAATCCGCATTTAGAACGCGTTTAAAGAAATATTGAAGCGTAAGCTCTCGACCCATCGCCCTCGGCTAGATAAGAAATACGTCACAAGCCGGATACTTAACTAATTGGCCTTTCCGTCATTTTTATTCTTCCGCGTCTTTAATCTCTGCGATCGTGAATTCCCCCCAAGAATCGTCATGATATCGTCTATCAAGGCGTGGACGATCTGATGCATAACGCATTAGACTGTTCTCCGTTAAACCATAATATGTAGACCGGTGAGAGGTATGCCACCCGACACTTATGGCTAAATAACCACTGAAAATGATGTATACCGTGACAGGACAGGTTCGTTACGTGTGCGATCATACGGCTGAACTATAAGAGCGGGAATGCAAAAATCTCAATAGACGCTTTATTGGCACAAGGTCGAATTTTTCCATGCGGCGATCCTTGCGAAAACCTATTGCCTAAGACCGAGGTGCAATGAATTGGAACCAATGGTTGTACCGTCGTAGCCGTGGTCTCCTTTCTTCCCCTGTATCATTTTTTTTATTTATTATTTTTTTTTTGATAGCCGTGAATCGCCGAAATACGGTACCGCGGATAAAGTTGCAAAACGCTCTATATCTTCCATTGGATCAGTACTACAATTCATGTATTATCGTTTACAGATACGTACACTCCCTCGACGACCACTGCAACCCCTGCTGGCTGGACGGCTTTGGTTACTGCAATTGCGATCTGCTTCGTGAGGCGTTCCTGGACCTGCAGGCGCCTGCTGAAAATCTCCACGATCCTGGAATTCAAAATTCGACCCTAAATTAAACCACCTGAAAGGGCTCGCCCAAGAGCGAGTGAAAAAAGTACCGCTAGTGCGCATTTAAAAAAAAAAAAAATTCCTCGAGATAGTTGGCGAGACACGATATCCAAGTACACGTGCATTTGGCGCGAGGCTCTGCCGAGTTTCCAGATATGCGAGTCGCCTCTTCGGGATTATGAATCGCGCCTTGATTAATTGCGTTCGATCTCTTCCTGCTCGGAGACTATCGATACCTGTCTCTCCTGATTTGTCGCACATTCGCGTGCATCCAGATTTTCGCAGGAGACTATCAGGGATGGTGTATAAAAAAATCATTAGGCTTCCTTTCTATCGAGGGTCGATTCATCGCAAACCCCTCGGTAGAAAGGCTCTCGTTACCTCTAGGACCCGCGACTGTGATTTTCCTCCGAGCAGGAAAGGACGAGGTCCTTCGACGCCTTTTTTTTTCGATTTCGCTACCGTCGAGTGGAATTTCTAAGGAAAGGCTGCATTAAAGGATCTCGCCAGGGCGAGTGGAAGGTGAATAACCGGAAACCTGGGGGTCAGGTCGTGTAATTCGGCACTCGGTAATTCCCCGGGCAACACCCGGGGACGTCTCGACCTTGTCTTCGAGGTGGTTTCCGTTTCTCTCCGGACACCCCGAGTGACGTTTAACGAGTAACTGGACAACCCGTTGGCCGCAGCGTGAAAGTGCTCGGCTGCCAACCTTCTTAGACGCGTTTTCCTTTTTTTCCCTTTTTGCCTTAACGCCGCGAACCAAGGCCACATGGACGGCGATGCAATCCATGATCAATGAGACACATTGGCCGAGCCTCGGCGAGCCGATTTAATCGTTAGGCTTAGAATATCGCCGGATACGATATTCTCAAAATCTGCGACGCCACCCCCAGGACGGATTTAATCAAGGAGCCATTGATTTCAGACAATAAATAACGATGCGATTGGCCGACAAGGGACGTTCGGCCTTTAAATCTTATTTCGGTGATTTATGATTGGGATTTCCACCCGATTTCCACGGGATTTCAGGCGTTAAGGGGATATGAAAGTGGCACCCGAGAGGTCGATCGAACTGGGTTTACCGAATCGCTTCAAACCTTACAATGTGAACGCAAATGCTATAAAGAAGGTCCAAGAATAATGTTGAAAACATCTATAAAGGAAATTATAAAAAATTAAAATTTCATAGGTGTCAGGACCTTTATGGCCTTTACATTCGTGTCGACTCGGTACCCCCGACTCGGAGAAAGATTTCATAAACGAGACCTCTTTGAGTTCACTGCCACATCCCCTTAAAATCCATTATCTCATGAGTAAATACCCCCTCGGATTTAATATCCACGTGATATCACCTGGCCAGTTTGCTGAGGCCGAGGATCTTCTTACACGGGAGGTAGCCTATGGACACCTTGCCATAAAACGGGACCAAGTGGTGCTCGCACATGGAGAACATCTCGATGTCCTTGACGACCACCATCTCGTCGTGGTCCTCGTCGAAGACGGCGTCGTTGATGACGTCTGTAAAGAGAACGAAGAGTCGTGAGGAGCATTCCGAAAATCCTGGCAAACCCGGAGGCCCCCTTTACGCCGATACGCTATCTCGGCGCGGTTGCTTTCTTAACCGGCGACGTGGATGAAAAACCGCATGGCCTTAAGAAGTAAAGGTATCTCGAGGTATGAAATCACCTCGCGGGTTAAAGCACTCCGTGGTACCCGGTTGCGATTTACCCGATATTGACCTAGTTAGGTGGAGGAAGGTGGTGGTGGTGAATGGGTGTGTGTCAGCGTCGACGGGGCTCCCGGGTGGAGGTAATAGGGGTGCTCTCCACGGTTTCCACGGCAACCTTAACAAGAAACACCTTCGCCATGACCGACAAAGGTGGAACGAGTCCGCTCCTCCACCTCCACCATGAAGGAGACGAGATGTATCCTCTATTAGGGACGAGTCGTTACTTAGTACGGATCTCCGGTAAAAATCATTATTTACCAGGAATTTAGTATAAAACCAGGCCCTCCTCCTTGGGAATCCCTTTAAACAATCCAAGGAGTCATTCTATGTACATCGATCGTCGTTCTAGTACGGGATGATTAAAAAAAGGAATTTTTTCTAGGATAATTTTCGTTCTTTCTCTTGGCCTCCATAATCACGGGGCTGCGGTTTGATTATGATCCGGTGCACCCTGCTTGGAGATAGGTTTAAAATATTTTTATATATATAGAATGACCCTTTCGTAACACCATTAACCGAATTATTATCTCCTGCCAATCCGGAACGGTCCAGGTTCTCCCCGGAATCGCCAGGTAGAGGATCGATCTCCTAGGGACGAGGTTCCCAGTTCTTATATCCGAGCCTCGAGGAATTTCGCGAAAATTGCGAGGGGAGAACAAGAGTCTCGAGGTGGAGTGGAGAGCGAGAAGTCGGGTCGGGGGACAAAAGAAGGGGGAGGAACGGGGGGAGCCGGAATCGTGCCGTGGTGGGTAAATCCAAGGGAGGTGGGCATGTCGCCATGGCCGAGCTTTCATGGTAAAGTGGCGCCGACTCGTTTCGGATTCACTGGGGCGCGCTACTTTCCCCTTAACGTGGATAGATCCAAGGGTGGAGCTCGGCTGGGAACGGAAACGGAATTGAAGCTCCCGGAAAGGCCTCCACCACCTGTAGATACCTTTCGAGGACTCGGCGACGTCTCTTTGGGGCTGTACTACTGTGGACGTCGATAAAGATTACACATCTTTGATAATTCTTTTCTCAAGAAATTTTTCCTCTTACTAAAAAATACATATTTATTTATTATTACAAACACGTAGAGTAGTAAGAAGGAAATTGTTTGCACCTGATGTGATTTCTCGATAACGGCTGAACCGATCGGGTTCAAATTTTATCACCGTATTCAGCAAACACATGGCTATCGGCTGTACTTCAATCGTGGTAAAAATTATAATTTTAATAATTATTCATACTTTTGCCTCAAAAATGTCATCTTTTCGAGGTTCACAGCGGTGTAGCCTCTTAATCGTTCACCACCTCTTGTCGCTCGATCGCGAAGGTAATGCCACGCTATGGGAAGAATATAAAAATATAGAGAATAGCAGAAATCGGGGGAGGATATCGAATCCGTGGATGCAGTTCCTCGGTTACGTAAAATCCCAGCGCGGCTATCGGAGAGATTAAAGGCCCTCGGGGAGATTCTTGTGAAACGAGAGGAATCGTCAGTAATCATTCCCAGAAGATTGGCAATGGCTGGACTTTAGGCGTGGATTAATCGGTTTAATTAACAGACGATTCTGTAAATTCCCGCGAAAATTGAGCGAATGGCTTTGCGGCATTCCCTTGAAAAAAGGGAATGAGCGATATATCTAATCCGTATCGGAGTGCGCAAGGGTGGAGGGAGGAAATTGAATACATTCTCTTCTGGAATGCCTCCTGAGTCCTCGGGATTCATTTATATAGGAAGCTTTACGTCCACCCTCGGGTCCTCTAGGGTCTGCAATGAGAGAAACGACGAGGGGCGTTTCTGAGATCGCGGGGAAAGAAAAAAAAAAATACTATCGGCTCTCGGCTCGAACCTCGAGTAGATCCAGGAATTCCTCTCGGGCCAAGATCGACTTTCGATTTCTATTACGGATTCCGACTGGACACGCAACTACGATAGGAATGACACGAGTCATCGGCGCGAAAGTCAACGAGGGCTCGCTCCAGATTTACTTTCGATGACCGTATTGACCGTGAATCGGTACCGCGAGGTGTCGCAATAAGGAGCCATTTTCTATCGACACACATATCGCCGATCAAGGATCGAGCCAATTAGACTTATACACCTGGGGCTACGAGAGGTGATCCAGAGCTGGCTACCCCAGTGACGATAGATCCTTGGGAGACGTCAGATAGAACGTTGGAAGCCGATCCGCCTACATTCAACCCTACACCGATAACAATTTTCATTGAACCAGAAAAAACATTCCTACGAGTAGTACCAAAGAAATATTTTCATTCTCTTCAAGAATAATTATTTACCTCAAATAATATCGAATAGAGGGGACGTGACGTTTCCTCGGGATTGTGGGAATTTATTCCAGGCAACCGATTGTTCTTTAAATTAAAAATTTATTTCCTTGGCTCGATGAATTTTTTTTTTTTTCGGGCGTTATTCTACTCTTAAACGTTCGAACCTCCTTTAAGAGTCATCTCGTGATCGTCACGAGTTGTCAAAGGATTTGGGTGATTTGCTGATGGCGAAGTCGACGGGAGAGTCGTCGGATGACCGACACGAGGTGACGGAACGTATCGAGATTAAATTTATCCTCGACGGTGCTAATTGGGGGAATGTCTTTTTACTCACCTTCTAAACTCTGGTCGTATCCTTTCGTGAAGAAAAGCATGGCCTTGGCGGCTCTCTCGGGGGTCTTCAGGAGTCCTTGCCGATCGGGGTCCTCGCCGAGTGAGCTCAACAGGAGTCGGTAGCTCCTTGACATTTCGGGCAGCAGAGCCTCCCTCGTGGGCGGCCGATGATCCAGCTCCAGGTCGTGGTGGAACGTGCATTTCTCGTGCCCTGCAATTTATCGGGGGATTTAAGGAGATCGCGTTTCCGCAAGAATCAAGGCTTAACCCAAGCCCAAGGAAGTCGCATCGATTTTGAATTTCGAGGAGATACGCCGTAGTGGATAAAATTGCCCTCGCCTGTTCTTCAAAAATTCCCCCTTTGTATAATTATATATCGAATATATACGTTATTTTTCTAAGCTCGAGGTGAATCTAAGAGTCCACTATTCTTTTTTATTTTTTTTTTTATTTTTCGACCTGGACGATCGCGTCGATGGCGCACTCCACAGAAAAGACGTCCACTCCGGTCGGAGCTGTCTTCGACACTCGATGCCTCCTATACGAACGCGGAAATGCTCTCCATTTAAATGACGAAATCACTTTAAGATTTCACAGAGAGCTCTTAACGGTGAGACGATAAGGACGTCGACTATCACGTGTCACGACCCCTCTTGGCGATATCCAGCTTCCTGGCCACAAGGGGAGGGCAAACACCGTTGTCGAATGTTTCTCGGTATCTTATCGACGATGGCGTTAATTCGCGAGCCGAAATGTGATTTCCGATTTTTTCCCGAATCGGGGGAAAAATAAGCCTCGATGAGAGCTCGACTTTGGGTATCGCGGGATGTATTTGGGGCGATCGAAAAATTCATTCCTGCAAAACTATTGTTGCAACCACTTAAAACATGGTAAATCTTAATCGGGCCGTTACGGGGATAGGTTAGATTTTGAAATAGATGTCCGGGGCATCGTTTGGAACACTATGCCGATTTAATGCGAAGCTGCAAAAGGTCGTACTTGTATAAGGAAGAGAATGAAATCCCGGGCGGGGACATGGTTGTCGGAAAGAGACTCGGCGCTTTCAAGAGTCGAGGCCCGTGAACTTGTTCGAGATGCTGCCGCGTCCCTTGATTCGTCATTACGTCTAGCGTTCCCCGGTCGGAGTAGGGACGAAACACGAGCAATAACCAAATGCTTCCTGCCATGGCTTGGCGAGGTATATTCCCCACAGTACCTTCCGGGAAGCCGAGACTCTTTTCCTCCTGTACGGGAATCCTGTGTCCGCAAGGCCCGTTACGGGAAACTTTCTGACGCCGGCTACTCCGTAATGAAATTAGATGACTCACGTAAATTTCAACGATATCGTAGACAAGCTACGTCATTACGGGAAACCTAAGGACATCTTGTGCAACTAGAGTCGGGACGAATTAGAATAATCTGGGGTCTAAATAAAAAAAAATTCTATCCAGCAAATCCTAACCCTGGAAAACGTGCCGGCGTAATTTCTTTTTTTACCGCTCTCGCTGTATGGACAATTTTACAAAATTCTTCTCCAGCGACGACAAACCCTACATCCCTTGATTTTCATTTTCAACCCATCCCTCGATTTAACGATCACGTTTTCCAAAGGGTTAAATCCGCGTTTGATTTTTCACCGTAATTATGTATATTATCGCAACATTATATATATCAGCAATCCTGCCTTTCCTTAGGCATTTATGTAAACGTCTTTTTTTTTTTTTTTCAGGGTGCATTTAATCACCGCTATCGCGTTATCCTTGCGTCTACCTGGGGTGGTGGAGGTCCTGGGAGTCCTGGGAGTTCCCGGTATCTCCAGGTCGGTCCCCTCGACGTTCTCGCTCCAGGAGACGGTCCTCAACGGGCCTGGTTTTTTCACAAGGTGGGACTCGTCCTTCTCGTAAATGGAGAACTCGGAATTCCCCTTGGCGCACTGCTTGCTTATCCCATTCATGTTTACCTGGCGGCGATTTTCGCCGCTCGACTTTCAGCCACTCGAGACACTTTTTTACGCCCCTGCGAGTCGAGACTTCGATTTCCCCCAAGTCTGCGATTTCGGCCACCTTCGGTTCTTATTCTGAAATCCGAGGCACCCGAAAGGTTTTCCACGAGACATTTATGAACTTTACAGAGGACTCCGTACCGTGCGAGGTAAAACGCTTTCGTCTCATTGAGAAAAAAACTTGCACGGTAAATGATCGTTAATTAAACTAAGTATCCTTTCATCCCGAATTCGGGGACATTTTTACTCGCGAGAAATTCGTTTCCTTTATTTTCACCGCGCAATCTCAATCTTATGACCTCTCGGGCGGAGTTAACGAATCCGTCCTCGTAAACGCGAATCCAGAGTCTCCTATCTGGCAAATAGACAAATGATACCTAATTTACGAGTTAACCAAATCGGCTTTTGCAGCACCATCCGACGTTAATCCAGATATTAATGACGATTCCGAGTCGGGGAAGACACGTGGACGAGATTCGTGTAGGCGATTTGCGTTTAAATAAGTAAATAAATAAATTAATAAAACGTTCTTCGCTCCGAATGTCCAACATTTAGTCAACTCGTTAACGGAATAAGCACTTTAGTACATGTGTTACTAATCGCAATTCCGATAAGCTGGATACGAGAGAGTTCCCGACACCTCGAGAGGGAAAAAGAACGAATTTCGACCTTCTTTTAATAAAGTTAATAAGAATTTCCTCATAAACGGATTTCCTCTAACCCGGTCTTGCGGAAAAGTTCCCAAAACGCGTAATTATCTTTTATCGTTTCTCCCAGGTGAAATACTTTCACGAGCGGCTTACTGGCCGAGTTTAATGTAATTTCATGTAATTCTATATAATTCCTTCCGCAGTAAATTCCTTGTTCGGCCAGGCTAAGAAACGCACTTTGTTCCGATTTTCCGGAGTGCAACCGTTGCACCCCGATCGGTGCAACGTGCAACTCTTTTCCCGACGGATCTTATTTTCTCTCTCAATTAATGTAATTTTGCGTAATTTCATGCAATTCCTCCCACAGTATGTTGCTTGTTTGGTCAAGCTAAGGAACGCACTTTGTTCCGATTTTTAGGAGTGCAACCATCGAGAATGCACCCCGATCGGTGCAACGTGCAACTCTTTTCCCGACGGATCTTATTTTCTCTTTCAATTAATGTAATTTTGCGTAATTTCATGCAATTCCTCCCACAGTATGTTGCTTGTTTGGTCAAGTTAAGAAACGCACTTTGTTCCGATTTTCCGGAGTGCAACCATCGAGAATGCACCCCGACCGATGCAACGTGCAACTATTTTCGCGACGGGTCTTATTTTCTCTCTCTCTCTCTTCCTCCGTGATTTTTCTAACTCTCGTCTCCTTGAAGAAGACGTCGTGATTACTCACTCGGAAAGTTTCACCGCTAGCATTTACAACGACCTCCGTTATTCCGTTAATGCTATTTTCCCTCCCGGGTGTTGCTTTCCTCGCCTTTCAAAATCAGCCTCCCCGACGCGTTATCATTAATATCACTGACGCCATCGAAATCATCGACAATACGTCGCACGGTACCGAGTCTCATAGATTTATGGAGAAAAATGTTGAATGAAAATCCGAGGTCGCGGGCAGAACGGTGCGACATTTCCAGCAGTTTTTACGGAGATATAAGAAGTGGAGAGTCGACGCGCGATATCAGTGCGGGGGTACTTGGCGCGAAACTCCACCGAGTCCCCTGAAGGAGGTACTCCAGGTGGAGGATATTATCGTCGGGCGAAAGTTTCAGTAATACTTAACAATATATCCCAATATATACCTTTTAACAAGGCAGAGAATCGACGCTCGATATTTTTAATACTTTCTTTTTCAACGAAAACTTCCCAAGGTGGAGGGACGACACTCGACATTTTTCAATAATTTTTATAAACAAGATGTAATAGGGCGGAGGGTCGACGCTCGATATTTCAAGTACTTTTAACTTTTAACTATTAATTTTCAATTCGATTTATTCGACGGAGGGTGGACGCGCGATAGTTGGACTAGTTTCTGACGAGATATACCAAGTGGAGGGTCGTCGTCGGGTCGAGGGAGGAAAAACGAAGGTCCGTAGCGGTCCGGGCTGTGTTCGGGGGGGTCGGCGGCGGTCGGGCGCGGAAAGTAAGAGCGAGGACCGGGAGCGGAGCGGAGCACGAGGTCGCTCGCAGGAGTGACGCGGTGCGACTGAACATAAATGAAATCCCGGCTGGCCGGAGGAGTCCCGCGTGGCCCGTCTCTCTCGCGCTGCCGCCGCGCGACCCGCCCGGAACTGATTGCGAGAGGCGAGAGGGCATCGTCGGCACCTCCGCCAAAGCGAGACCCCCCTTGAGATAATTCCCGATAACCGAAAGGTGGTGAACGGAACACGAAAAGACGAGTCCATTACAGCCTAGACATCTAACGAAAAATCTGAGCAGATTTGACAGATGCTATCATAGGACGATTTAATCGAACCGATTGCAAACCTCGGCGTTTTATCGACGCCTAGCCACCGAACGAGCGATACGGAAATGCGAGGTGTTGGAATTATAAACCTGAAGATTGAGGCTTATAAATGAAACAAAAACCAATCTATGTTTAATGCGTATAGAGAGAGAGAGAGTCTGGCCTGTGTTTAGTGGAGGGTTTTCGGTAACGATAAGAACCGTTGTTCGGATTATGAGGAGACGCAGAGTAGCACCTCCACAAAGAGGGTCCAGAGAAAGAATTTAGTTAAATGAAGAATAAAGTCTTTGTTTAATTAAATACAATAAAGTGTATTATTCTGACATCCCATTTCCAATGCGAGGAAAAGTGGTACGAGGGAAAAGCCTCGAGCTGTATACCGCCACTTTGGGAAATGGGCAGTAAAGCTTGTTAGAATTTTACCAGCCTCGAGAAACGTACCTCTGGATAGGATTTTAGGCTGTTTGCGCCATTTACGTGGGAAAGTATACACGACCGCGTGGTGGAAACCTGTCGCCTCGAAGGCGACCACTGTCTCGAGTTTAGTGTCTTTTATGTTTTAAAACAATTCCATTGTTGAGCCTGCTTGGGCGATTCTCTCTTGCGCTGCGTGGTTGAATATTTCCGCGCAATACGCATAGTAATTACACATAGCAATACGTATAGTAGTATTTGCTCTAAATCAATTATTTATCACAGCGCGGATGACGGGATTATAATTCTTCCGCGATATTCGGGTCGGACAATTGGTAACATTTGCGGAAGGACGTTGGTATTAACAATGTCGGTGCTGGAAATTGCCTTACAGGGGACGATCGATAGCGCCTCTGTACCGATAATGAGATTCTCTCCTCGATGGAGCCATTCGCTTATTCGGGAAATTTAGTTGGCCGCTACTCCGGAACTTTAATCCAGGCATGAAGGTAACGCAGGTGATTTTGGCAAAAATCGAATTTTCTAAAGCGGGTTAGCGTTAAAAGATCTTGCGCATTCGATTAAAGAACATAGACCCATCGATCACCGCAAACAATAAGATTCTCTCGTAGATAAACTATCAGGAACCCCAAGAAATATCGGTATCGGTGGAAATATTTCTATCGCGATGTCAGGTCTCAAAAGCGTGATCTCTTCGACCTGGGGGACTTTCCGGTGATTTAAAATACGTACTTACATAGAGGGAATTACACCTCGACGTTTAGAATGTTTATTGGATTTTACAAACCGTCGGGCACACAATGAAGGACTTGTATAAATTTTATTTCTACCGCTTCCAATAAAACCGGGTGATTCACGCTACTTAGGGAAACTCAAGGCCTTTGACAGTACGACCATCACTGCACATATGTATATATATATATATTTTTTAGACAAGCGAATAGAGTTTCAAATTTCAACTCGGAGTGGAAGAAAAAATTACTCAGGCACCCTCCAGTAAATTACGATGTGTTTTAAGGTAACGCATACCACCTCGTGATTGCCAGCTTAATTTCTCACGTCCCTTGTAATGTAATACCTTATCCATGTACCGAACCTGTTATTGAAATTTATCACAAGTCACCCGAAAATTCGAAAAATCGCCTTTACGGCCCATTTTTAACCGCCCGGTAATTTAACATAAAACGACCGCGCTCGTTTCGCGATTCTGGAAAAAAAAAAGAAAATGGTTATAAAGTGTCCGCGTAAAAAATCGACGTCCGTGCAATTGTTCATTCTTGAGCATGAAGATATATGGGTTATAATCGTTAAGGCCTTCACGGATAACTCGCGTAACGGTATGATAATAAAAATCAGCAGAATTGCCAAGCATCGATTCCATATTTGTTTTCTCTTTTTTCGACAATTTGCGATCCCGACGAAAATAATTACAAAGCGCATGGATAAAAAATAGATATGTGCGATTATTCATTATTGAGCATGCATACGTATATAAGGCTTTTGTAGATAACTCGCGTAACGGTGTGACAAAAATTGATAGCACTGCCAAATATTGATTCCATATATTTTTTTTGTTTTGACAGTTGCCATCCTAACAAAAGTAACTATAAAGCGCATGGGTAAAAAAAAATTGATATCTGTGCGATAGTTCATTCTCGAGCACGCGGATGTATGCGTGGATATGGCTCTTTGTACAAGGACCTCGTGAATAAGCTCGTAACCGGAGATACGATTTTCTCACGTTAAGGTACGCCAGGAGCACTTCGAATTACACCTTTCGCGCATCAACTGCTCGGGAGACCTTCGAGTGGATCGCCAATCCATAAAACCAATGTCGGCTGCTCTGGCGTATACGTACAACAAATGCAGGAAGTAGTAAAACAGGAGAGGAAAAAAAAAAGAATTCAAGTGCAACCGCACGGAATGTAATTGCCACGCGGATAATTAAGCGGGTTGGAATAAACCTACGTATCACGGACATCGGTCGTATGATATTTATAAAAAGTATGATTTTTGACAACCAGGCAGACACTTAAGATAAATCCAGAGAGAAGCTCCCAAAGCAGTGTAACTGAAATATCAATTAAAGGGATTAAAAGCTTGCAAGCGGTAAATTCAGGCCTTCCTCACCTGTGCACGAAAGATTAGAAAACGAAGCGGTGATAGAGTATTGAAGAATTATTTTCCACGGTAATCAGGCTCGGCCCGAAAATATTCCCATCCATCGCTAACGGCGCAACTAATGAACAAAGGTTTACATAACATCCCGCCAAACATTTATGGATCGTATAAAAGAAAAAAAATGAAATCACGCCACGCATACATGGTGAGTTGATCGATGTAGTAATTACCTTTGCTAGCAGGCAAGTCGCACGTGCAGTGCCCGTTGCCGTTCTCGGAGTTGTCCTTCGTCTTCTGGTCTTTCTGATCCTTCATGATCCGTGGCGGGTTTAAGCAGAGGCCTAATGGGTCACCTTGGACTTCCTGCGGGACACTTTGAGGAATCGGTAGGTCTTCCGAACGGCAAACGGGAGTCGGCGATGGCGGAGGGCTGTTTGCTTCGACAGGGGAGTATTGACTAGAGTAACTTCGGATTGGGGCAGCTCCTAGAGTTTATATGTGGAGGCCACGGAAAGCCTTTAATGGCCGACCCTCTCCACTGGTGCTCCGTTATGCTTTGTAGTGCCTACCGACTCCTTCTCGCTTTTATTTCACGTCGATGTGTCCCCGGTGAATTTTTCCTCACGGCCGCTGTCAATCGGAGCACCGAGACATTTCACGTGTCTAGAGACTCCGGTTTGCACTTTGCTTCTCCGAACTTCCGCTCCTTGGAAACTGGACTTCTGAGGAACATTAAAGAAATATTTAATCAAACTTTAGTTGCACGACCTTACCTTCGATCGACTCCACCGTCTCCATCATTTTTGACATCGATCCAAACCCTTCCGTGTATCTCTTCTCTTTACGTAAAATCAGGAGTTTATTTTTTTTTTTCTTCCAACTCCAACCACCGATTTCGCAAACACCTGTTGCAGACAATTGGATTACGTCTTTCACGAAAGATTGAGAATCTCGCCTCGAGTTGGTGTTAGATGTAATCGAGATTACGTGCTCGTTGAATTGGCGGCATGACGATGAAGGATGTACGTTAATTGAGTTTTTTCTTTATCTGCTGCTCGGGTCGATTTTCTTCGAACCGATTATGATCGCCTTGCTCTTTTAACATGGCCAGGTAGACTCTTATTTCTTATGTAAAGAATAAATGCGACCCTGATTTTAGAGCGTTAGACATTCTATGTTTAATAGTTACTTGTCTATTTTCCCAATTCGGTAATGTCAACGTCGGTAATTTAGGTGAATAATTCACTGACGTAACACGGGATTTAGATATCTTCTCGTGACGTTGAATGCATTTCCCGCGATCTAGGTATTATGACGTTTGCTCGAAATTACCTGACAGATTTTTCATACTAGGAAGTGGCAATATGTGAATTACTCTTCTTTTTATTATCGTAATTCTCCGATCGGGTGTGGTTTACGCGTTTCCTTCTAGGGAATTTCAAAGCTAGTTTCCTCGGAGTACAGTCGCGTCTTTCCTCAATGGAAGACAAAAAAAAAAAATTTACATGAAAAGTGAACACGTTGAGACAATTAGTAAATATCACTTTTATTAAAACACTTCGGTATAAATGTGAAAGTAATACAAGCTTTACGAAAATTAAGTGTACTTCTAAGACAGTAAATGGTAACGTGTACTAATTACGTGTACATTAGTAATTGTTGCGTGGTTTTACATGGAAATTCTGCATCGAGGAATAAATAAGTTATGGTAAATTGCTTGTAAATCTTGTTAATGCATTTTCCAGCTGCGAGTAGTGCAGGCAACAATTCTTAGACGAATAGCTTTTGATAATGCGATACAGATTTTCTCCGTGGAATATAAGTAGAAAACATATATATATATTTTTATTTTCTTCACCGCTTTAAAAAATTAATATCACTATATGTTACGCTTGAAATATCTAGGAGAGATTCGTAAAAAGAAATGGTAGAAAATGATATTCAAATGCGTAGCTTCGTAAACCGTCTAAATAATAAATTCAATGAATAATAACGTCAACATTGATATATGATTCTGACACCTGAAACCATAGAGAGGGTAGAGTTGATATTCTTGGATTTTTATATATTAATCAGGGTCTCGTAATTCCCTTTGCGGTAGGGCTGTGGTTATAGATTACGCAAATGAATCTCCTATTTGCATTAAGAAAATTGACAATCACTTTAAAGGTACCGTACGATAATGTAAAATTTTAATATGATAACAGAAAAGCCATTAAAGTCGATTATAGGATCTATTACATTTATTCAGTAATCAATAAGTTTCTTTCCCGCAAATAGTTTCCGTTTTCTTCAAAGTAATGTTATGTTTTTCATGAAATGGTAGGGATATATTAAATACCGGTCAACAGTGTATACTTTTGATCTACCCTCTCTGTAGTCACGTTGATTCCCGCAACTATTTTTTAAAGTATATTCCGTATAACAAAAATAAATATATCTTGTGGTACCACGCCTCTTACACATTCATTGAAGATTTAGGAATAACTGTCCAAGCAATAATTGCAACATTCATGCTCGAATATCCTAATTAACGCACGATAATTTTGCCAACTAAAAGTAATATTTGGTGAATAAGTTGCGTAGTCGACCATAAATCTTAGCATCGTTTAAATCACATCCCTGTTAATTTGGTCACATAAGAAAATATCGACATCAAATAGAACCTGCCAAAATGCCGTTACTTTTCGATAGACGAGATGACTTCAAATTTCAGGCCGTTTTTATTTAATTCTTCAATTAAAGATGTTTTACTGAAAGCGGCTCCAGGGGGGAATACACCGCCACTGAAAGTAGATAAACAATTTTCATTCTGTAATCTGATAATAACACTAATATATCATCTAACTTTATGATGGATTTTCAAATAAACATGTTATGTATTGCAAAAACAGAACAGATGTGATCGTCTGGTTCTTAAAATATTCATCTTACTTATTAGGCATCTTATCGGCTTCTTTGAGAATTGTAATAGCTGAATAGACTAAGCAAGTACAAGTTGCCCCGTATCCCGGATCCTTGCCAGTCACTTTAGTGATCATTTCTTTATTCGGAGGATCTGCATGCTTGTCTGTCGGCTCTGCTAAGTTTTCAGTCCATCCAATTGCTTTAAATGTTATTGAAAAGTGTAAGTTTTCCATCGTTTCTTTGCTTGGGCCTTCATGGCTAACAAAACCGCCTGAAAAGAAGGAAGGATACTGGAACACACAAATGACGATTTTCAGTTACTTATTAAATCAATATTAATTCATTTGAGAGTAATGTATGGTGAAGGTACCTTTAAGAGTAACTTTCGTCCACAACTACATTTGGTTAATAACGAAAATATCATTCCCATGAAAGCTACTTGCAGGACCGACAGTAAAGATCTATAACAAAAAATATCTTTTATCATGCAAAATACTTTTATATAACATTAACACAGAAGATTATTGGTTATTCGATTTACTTGAATGTTATGTAAGTTTGAATTTGAATTGGCCTCTGTTTGTAATTTTCATACAAGAAACGTTGTGAACGAAGTGCCACTGAGCGATCGGAGCCAGGAAATACCGCAGACCATCCATCGGATATAGAACTTCGATGAATAATTCCTCTAAAATAAAATTGTCATTTATGCTCAGATTTAATCAAATGACAGCGATTGGATATCTGTATCAAGTAGTACTTTGTTTTTAATTTCGGTTCAAAATTAGGAAGTCGCTCAGGGTATAACTTCGATCGAAGTTCACGCAGCTCATCTGCATGTGCAAGACCATAAATAGCTGATTCCCATGTCCCATAGTGAAGTTGTGGTCCTGTAATTTTACTTGTCGACCAGCCCTTCAAATACGATTCGATGCTATTTATTTCTCCATTAAATTTTTGTTGCGTGAAAATTATTCCCAAGTCACATGGTATGCTATCAAAACCACAGGCGCTGATTACATACACTCCAGCTTCTTGGGCTGCTTTATTATATTCCAACTGCATTCGTTCCATATACTGAAAACATAAAAATAAATAATCATATATACAAAATACATGAAAGAATAGAAAAGTTGTTTATTACCTGAGGTTCTCCACTGACATCGACATGATGTGTACCAGCAGCGATACACGCCTTTACAATGGGTTCCCCATAAAATCTATACGGTCCACAGCAATTAATTATTACCTTTGCTTGTTCTACCATCTTTTTAATCCCATCTTCGTCCTTCAAATCTGCCAGTATGATGGGAATATTTTCTAAAACGAAAATGCATTTATTGCACAAGCAACTCTTTAGCAAGATAAGTTAACGTTCGATCTTACTAAAAAATTTCATATATGTATTGGCAATGCGGAATTATAAAAGGTTAATTATACCAGAATCTGATGCATATTCTTTTAAGACTGCTTCTAGTGCTTCTTTACGACGGCCAGCAATACCCCAAGAAAGCGATTTCTCCTTGGCAATTCGATTAACCTCTTTGACTGCATGTTTTCCTGTGAAGCCTGTTGCTCCAAATATTACCAAGTCCAATCGTTTTTCCGCCATGCTAAGAAACATGTATCACATTTGTTTATTCACATCCATTTACAGACATTGAATGTAGGTAATCCCTTTATGACAAAAAGAATACTTAATTGAATTTTTGAAAAGAAAGCTAACAAATTACACTTCATAACGTAATGTCTTTAATGTTTTTTTTTTTTTACTAAAGTCTGTCAAGGTTTTGAAGGAGAACAGCTAATGAAAAGGACATGTCCATAAATTTTTTATCACTATGATGCTTAGTTAGTGACGCAGCATACTTGAACAAGTTGGCAAGTTGCAGATCACCGTAGCTGCAAAAAATATTCTAAAAAATTCTGCTGTCCGAAGGGAAACAAATTTTTGCACGATATATTCACATCTGGAATTTTAACTTTGTCGTAATCGCCGCCATGACTTCTCGCCCATTACATTAAAAAACGTTCTTTCATGGAAATCCGGTGCCGGTAATCACGCATTTCTTTTATCCAGATTGTAACGACGCAGAAGAGCGAACGTCGGTATTTTTAAACCTCATACGTAATCATTATCGCTCATTATCAACTCGAAGAAGGTACATAAGTCTCGGATTAATACCGAGGTGAGCCGTACACGTCTACACACACTCGCACTCGAAGGCACATACATTCGACACGGCTTCACGGTTGTCACGACGCAGTCATGTCACCGAGCCGGCATTCGAAAACTTGCAATTCTGCCAGTGATCATAAACCCCGAAATAACACCCTCGTAACATGAAAAGAAAGAGGCACCATTAAGATCTAATAGCGATTAAGATTTACAGTCTAACGTTCCGTACGTACCTTCAATTAATCGGCAGCTAAGTAGCGCCGGCTGATCTGACAATCCGAAATCGTTAGTCACGTTCCAAGGTGCGTTCTAACTTGTTACAAGTTGTTGCCAGTGCGTGGTAAAGCGCTAGAACGCCGCCGGTAGTAGAACGATCTTGAAAAAAAAATAAATGACGACAGAACGTACAGTCTCTCCTTTGTAAGAAAGTCAAACAATGGTGAAGGCCAGTCGTTTTCTGTCCCCAAAGTGCAGGATGCAGGGTGGAGTCGATGAATGCACGTCCTACACCATAGTCCGACCACAAGGCGGATTCTCGCGATCGCCGCGCCACCTCGGAAAAGTTGCGCGACCTTTCCGTTGGATCGCGCTGCGAGTCGCCGCTTCGACGCGCCAATCAGGTCGCGGCATGTTTTTTTCCCGTCGCAGATGTCGAGCGTCCGATTGGCCGACGAAGAGGTTAGGGAGGTCCAATGGAAACTCTTCGACAAGCGCGATTGAGCGGTGAGTCATGCGCTGAATTTGAATCCTCTCGTCTACGTATCCTTCTTTAGTCGGACTCGCATTGGTATGCTAAATCGATTCCGAGTCGATTGAGATTCTTTTAATGTACACCGTCGGACATGAGTGCTATTCCATCGTGGAGTGCAAACGCTACATCCGCCGAAAAGGCAGTCATGTCCATCAATGTACCCTCGAGCTCGATTGCGACCTCCCGCATATTAATATTTTTAAACGCACGCATCCTTTGATACGTGGAACTCGATAACGTTTTATTAAAAAAAAGTAACGCGTACAAAATTATTCAGAGTCGTTATCAGCTAAGAGTACAGTCTATTACATTACACGTTAAGCTGTATCGTAACGCATCATTACGGCAGAAGTTCGTCTACATTTCGGAGACTTTTCCTTGCATTAACCGTTGGTTAAAGAAAATCGTTAACACGCGAACAGATCTAATCGTTCTAAATTCAAATTTCGGTAAAATATTTATATTCTATTTAATCAGGCTCGATTAAATTTCTTGCTTTAGTTCTAGCTCCATGATGGCGGTGTACGGAAACTTCTGGAAGAGCAAGTGGAAGGACGCTAAGAATTACGTAATCTCGTGGAGTCCTCTATCGCACTTCTAATTACGTTATATGCGACTCCGTCGATTTTCTTCGTTTCTTTCTTATGTCTTACGTGAGTATATTTGTTTCGAGGGAAGACCGCAATGTGGAGTGTCCCGTTATAAAGCGCTCCTTCTCTCTCATTTTCGCAACGCCGACTCGGCGAATTTGTTATCGCATGAACCGTCAGCAGATACGCTCAAGTCTCATGGTTTCGGCTTAACTTTATTATTCTTTACAGAGCACGGTGTTCCACCAATCGCAGCGTTTCTTGATCTCGCTGAAGGCAGTTCCAGCCGGGCAAAGAGAGGAGGTCTTCAGCCAACCAGAACAGTCGTGGAAAACCTGGAAGAAAAACCGAGAAGGAAATTCATGAGTTTCTGCACATTAATCCCTTTAAACTTCCGAACGCCCGGTGAGAAGCGTAATCGGATAAAGAGTAATTTCTCTGACTGCATGTTGAGCCAAAAGTGCCGGTTATACCGGAAGCGCCGAGGAGAAATCTCGGTGGGCGTTGCGGAGTTCAATCGTTCGCTTCGTCGGGACTCCGCAAAATTTCTGCGGCATATTGGATCGACATGCTCGTCATTTTCATGAATATTTGGAGGAATCAGCTCGCACTCTCGTTGTTATCAAATACCTCTTAGTCAAAGTCTTTAACCCCTTTCATAAAAAAAAAAGTGCCAATGTGTCTAGAGGTCTTTTCTGCATTGATCATTTATTGGCCACGATGAATTCATTTCAAATTATGATTGAATATTGAAATATGTATAGAGAGATGGTTGAAATGCCTAGGATATGAATAGTGGTCTTTTTTTCCAGGGTCAATATTTCCAAAAGTAGGGTAACAGTGTATTCCAACGTGAAAATGACGCCTAATAATGGGAAACTGTTCCTTACTGACGTCCCAGCCGCGAAAACATGAATTAGAACTGAAATTATAAGCGAAGCTTGCCCGTAATATCATCTATTAACGCCAGTAACGCCCTTTCTCTTTTTCTCCTCCATCGCTTCCTAAGATTTCACTCGCGAATGCCGTGAATGAGATCTGCGTGCCTTCGGCGAACTTGAGATATGACTTTAATGAAAAAGCGTTATTAAATTTAGGATGTGTCGAGAGGGATCGATAATTAATAATCCTGATTTTCCATTTCAGGAATGGACTGCCGATGATAGGGAGCCCCGACTCGTTCCCTCTTTCTCTTTTACGGCTCTAATGTGAATGGCCTGATGCGAAGGAAACGTGCATGCCATCGGTGAACTTGCGATACGACCTTAATGCACTCTCACATGATGCGAATTACGTGGAGTACCGGGCGCGTGATGCCTCGATTTCCTTGTTACCACTACGTATGTACTTACGTTATATTACGCGGTAGTGCCCGATGGTATCTATCGTGTGAGAAAATCAACGAGCGACCATAACCATTGAAATTGCACTTTCGCAACGACTCGCAGACTCTTCCTCCTACGGAGATGCTAGATCGTAGTCTTACCATCGACTCTACCGATCGCGAAACATGTTTTATGGACACTCGTTTCACCTCCGGAAAATTCTTTCTCTACGCAAATACGCTCGGTAATTACTGCTATTTGGATTGCTCTAATCCGGACAAAATAATTAAACGAGATGTAGCCCACATTGGCGAGATCATACGTGAAATGAAATTCTAAAACACGGTAAAATAGGTAAAACTCACTTGGCACTTGGTCTCGACGTCGGCGTACATCCCTTTTCGTCCTCTACAAGAGAAATTAGTCTTAGGGATTTCCATCAAGTCCGGGTAGTCAGAACTCTTGGTCGCATGTCCGAAATTTTCCAAGGAGCTCGTCTCTTTAAAATATTTTTGAAAAGGCGCGGACGATGATTTCCCATTTCCGTTCCTGACGTCCTCGGGGATTTTTCCCAAATTTTTATTTCCGCCTTTCGAGTCGATGTGGCGCAACGGTCGTCCGTGGAAATCGCTCAGGAATCCCTCGTAGTCTGAGATTATCTATGAATCGACAGAAAAAGGACAAAATTACAATTGTACCAAGAAAAATGGAGAATGGTTCTAAAATATCCTTTATTCAAATCCTTGGAAATTTATTGCCACAACTTTAATGCAATTCTATTACATCCCACTGAATCGTGGAGTGCGCGAGAGTGCATTACCGGAAGACAGAGTGGGATGCTGAAATTTATGCGTGAACCGGCCTCTATTTAATTTGCATACCCTCGTTGCGTTCTCGAGAGGTAGCTCTTCGGTTGCACTTTCATTTGCGGCTACATTTGCAAGTACATAGGTACACCTGTAATTCGCCTACGAGTGGCGACATTGACAGCCGTAAGATTCTCGATCTTCTGCAATCCGCCCTGAGAAATACCGGGATACTCGCAAGAAACACGTGTCGGAAAGTGTTCAGGATCTCGTAAAAAATAAGCCCTGGGCACTTATTTCATCCACTAATTCCATGCATGATTAGACCACGGCATAATGACTACCGAAAGAGTCTTGCGCAACGTTACATAATTTTCGATATTTCTTTCAGCACATCCGAACGTTTAATGCACGAGAAAGTGAACGAGAACTGAATGGCACCTTGCCGCTCTTTGTGCGTCAATGTTTTTACACGTCAAAAGTGTCATCTCGACAAGACTCGTCACGGTTCGTTATGAATCTCGTTCCAGTCGGATTGCATAAAGTCCAATTATAAACCCATTTCACCTATTCGTGACCGTTTATTTGCCCAAGGTAGAAGAAGACCAGCGATTAGTGTTGTTTAAGAGCAAGATGAGGCAACCTCGATGCTTTCCCCGCCATGACGCGTTGGTTAATAAGGTCATAAGGTATTAGCCCTTGGTTTTACATTTAGTCAACGGGTACCCTACCTGGTGCGAATTGAAAACCGTGACTTTGTTGGAGAAGTAATCCTCGAACGTCTTGTAAAAATTGTTCCAGTCGTAATCGAAGTCCCAGAAGGAGTAGAAGGGCACTTTGGAGAAGTTCTCGGACGTCGCCGGCAAGACCAGCGAGGAGATGACGGGCTTGTGAATCTGCGGCTTCGTCGACGGGACCGGATGCACGAAGTGTTGGTAACTGGTGTAGCCTTGAGGCTTGACGTATCCAGTGATTCTAGGCTTATGTCCCGGGAGATCGTTGACGGATTTGTGATCCGAATCGCAGGAATAGGGCGTGCGAATGATGTATGTCGTGTCCACGGTCTTTGGATGGTCGTAATGGATCCTTCCCTCTGGCGGGGTGTAACGACCATCGGGGGTCAGGTAGACCTTAACGAACAACGGACGAGTTAGACGTTTCTCCTGGTTCTCGGTAAAACTGGTGGCGATTTACGAGGCGCGCTTTATTCCCCGGTAAACGTGCTTTTTTACCGCGCGGACTGGATAAACGAATTGGACTTTTCTATCCAAAACACAGCTATTGAGACAAGTGCCGTGTACGAGATAGGGAGTAGTAAATCACGAGTCAATTTCTTACAGGCGGCAGTGGTGGAGCCGGATCTACTAGACATCAACGTTTAAACGAGTTTCCAAGCACGTTAGAATGTGCTCTTCTTGCGATAACACGTAAATCACGATGATTAGAGAATTTTTAATTAAAATCCAATCGAGAGTAATTTCTCGCTTTCCGGCTAAAGCTTAGAACCATGGACAGGATCATTGTACAGCGAATCGCTCTTGGGTAAGGGATTCAGCCACTATTAAACTGATTGCAAGGCTCGGCTAAAGGCACGTCTAATTCCAGGTCGAGGATCTGGACCGTTGGAGGTACCTGTCGCAATAGATCCCTATTGACCTACCTTGATTACTTGATCGGGCATCGAAGTCACCGCATGATGCTTGTGCACGCTACGGGCGTCCAGGACGACTCCATCGGGAATCGCTATGCCGTCCTTGTTGAGCCGATTCAGAGCCAGACGATCGGTCCTGAAGGCTTCTTCGGGTATTTTGCCACCCAACGATGGCAGTACCTGCTCCCTGAAGATCTGTCGTTTTTGCTGAAATCCAGCAAAGATCACTGTCGGATTTCCACTCAACGTCGCAGTCGATGACACAGTGGCACACTGTCGCATCTCGTTACGTGTATTTAAATCGACGTACTCGGTCCACGGTAAATTGTTAAATGAAACGTCACCATTGCCGATGAAGCGAGAATGGGTCATTGTCGGTAACTTAATGGGACGTAAAGAGAACTTATTAAAAAAGTGTACCTAATCGATAGCTCAAGAATCTCTGTTTTATTTTCTACTAAAATGTAATTTAATAAGAACTCCGCAGTTGCTGGTCGGGCGCATTTGACCGAGTTCGCTTGGCTATCGTTTATTACTGTCATTGTAACCGCGGAGGTATCTGCATTTTTTTTCCCCCTTCAAAAACCAGTTCTAACCGTATCTCCGTTTTATTACAGAAGAGTACAGGCACTCGAGCTATTCCGCGTGTATATCATTTCGGATCAATCATTCGCAATAAAACCAAGAGCGAAGGTACCTGCAGCCATAACTTCGGATTTACGGGAGATATCTCAAGTAAGGATATTAAAAGTATCGGGAATATTTCCAATAAATTCTAATTATATTTTTATCAGGTAGGATAACGTATAAACGGAGGAAAAATGCAGATCCACAGGACTCGATCGTCGAGGTCAGATCGTTACACCGAATCGATACGTTTGGGTAAACGATCTCTGGCGGCATCGTTAAAAAGTTTCACTTTCGCAATTCCGGATCGAGTCGATGGTCTGCTACAATGCGGAGAAAATACGTGCCAGGCACTCCTCAGGGCGCCAGGGTAGCCGGAGAAAGATGAGGAATTAATGAACCGTGACAGCTTGCAAAACCTTCGAGCATGTGATCTCGCCTGCCACTACCGAGATGCGAACGTGCAAGACGTACCTTCCATTTCAGAAAAGTATCCCGCAATTGCATTTTCGAGTCTGCCAGAGGAACGAGGCACACAGTCCGTCAGGATGCAAACAAAGTGCATCGATTTCATTCAACGACCTCTCTCGTTGTGGAACAAGATCCCCGGTTTTTGACCATGATCTTCGGTCGCTTTCGTAAGCCGCTTTTTTTGACCCGGTGATTTCTCCGAAGTTTTGCGAGCCGATTCGGTTTCGCTCTCTCCGATCCATCTTGGCCAAGGCGCGGTATAATTCGCGGAAAAAAAAACGAGCCTGCTGATGAAGACCAAAGTGTAGTTTCAAGACAAAGAAACGTTTCAAGCCGTAAGGACGAGCACTTCGCGGGTCTAATTGGAGGCGAGTTGGCTCGTAAACCTCGACGTTATTTTCTTCAGGGAATTTAGCGGCACAGGGATACCGACTGACGTTCTTCACAGTGGCTGGAAGCATCGATGCTCGACATAGACATAAAATCTAAACGGGTCGCCGGGGACAAAAAAATAATCGAGGATTCAAGCAAGAAGCAGGACTCTTCGGCGGTGGTTCCGCTAGGACCTCTTTTCCAACTCTGGTCCTTTGAAAATCCTTCGCGAACGACAACGAACCACGGCGAAAGTGCTACGATTTATCTCGCCTTAACTGACCTTTGAACGTAATTAGAATTTCTAAATAATGCGTGATAAACTAGCTTACGTGGAATAAAAGAATAAAATGTGGAACTCCATTCAAATACGAGTTAGTCGCGTAAAGATGTCGGATCTTTACTTTGAGAGAAGCGACACGGTAAATGGGCGGCTAACAATGGAAAATGGTTGTTCCCATACGTTAGAATATCCTTATAAGTGATAAGCTTGGCGAGCACTTCTTAGAATCCACGTCGAAGCCGAGTCCTTAAGAGGGCACGTCGCCGACGTTATCCAGGACCTGGGAAAAGGCCTGAGTTGCGGCAGAGGGCGAGATTTATGCAAACTCTCGCGTCCAGCGCGGAAAACCATGCGTACGTAACCTTAGAATATAATTAAATAATAAATAAGCGTCCTCGGCGCTCCTATATAATTAGACAAAATTTCTTCTCGGCAGGTGCCAAGGAGTGATTCGGAGCGGGGTCCCGGGTCACGTGGAGTCATTATCCTGCCGAAGTAACGAGGCCCATATATTATGCAATTAATCACCGATTTCCTGCTACTGGTTAGTGGCCTATCCATCGGCCTCCTCTTTCCCTCTGTTGGTTAACCGAGATCAGGAGAGCTCGGTGTTAAATGGTCCATTTCGACTGTGCTCGAGATGGGAAGGCAAGATCTCCTTTTAAGAGGAAAAGATTGCTTCATTAACGATTCCTTGCGTACATTGTGCACGTGAAATTGGGTTTCCTTGCACGGATTTCCCGGTATGTAGAATCTTCTTCTCACTCGATGGGAAATAAAAAGTTCCGGAGGATCGTGTGAGAGTTTAATTCATTCTCACATTTCGAGGTAGACTTGTCTAAAGTGGGATCTAAAGTTAGATATTATCGCGAGCGTTTCTTCCTCTTTCCGCACGGAATTATTATCCCGGAGGAAAATACGTCCCTCTTTAAGGATCCTCGGCAATTAGATCAATTTCCCGTATTTTTATTTTCGTCCGTGGTTTTTGAGTGCGGTGAATTTCAAGATTTTCTCGGGCTTTAAAGAGCGATCCTATCGCGGGTAAAGATATTTTAGAGGATAGTCGATACGTTACACATTTAAGTTTCGTTACCCCGTTGCGCCATTCCTGGTACTAATTAATGCAATCTCTTTCAGATAGTTCTTCAAGCGTGTAATTTACCTCAAGATTACGGAGATCGTGACAAATGATTTAACAACCATGAGAATCTACGGAGATCGTCGCCGATTCAGCAGGGGAGTGTACATGTCGTGTACATTCGCCCGTGGCTTTACGTATCTGTAAGTATCTTCTGTAATGTAGTAAGCCCTAAGTAGGGGCGAATTTTTCCGATAAAGCAAGAGATATTTAGAGAAATTTCTCTTATCAATTTTTGATCGACCGCTTCGACGTCCGATGGACTTTATGAATGCAAACCTTTTCAGCGCCGATGTGAAGCAGGCTCGTAAATATCAATGCCAGTTGTAACCAACATCTTCCAGTTGTCTTCATCCTGATCGGTCTGGACGTGTAGTTGCATACTAGGCCAGCATCCTTTCACGAGTCATTCCCCACCCGACTCGCGCCTGCAAATTCAAGTTGCAGTGAAATTATAACAACCACTTTTTAAGTGGAAAGAAAGAAAAAAAATGGGTCATCGCAAAACATTAGTAAAAGTCCTTTCATCCGAAAGGATGGCACTTTTCAAGCCCTGATTCACCCGGGTTTGTAAAATGTCGATTTCTCCACTGCCTCTCGATTTATAACAAGATAGGGAATTATTTTCTTGGAACAAGGAACGCTTAAGATAACTATTAGTAGCCGAGAAAATCACCGAGAGGGCAGAGGAGCGCAATTATCCGAGGAACGATATCGATCCGCATAAATTGTTCGAAATAAGCGATCGATGGTCGTTCACTTGTCATACTCACCGCGGAACATTCGAGGCACGCTGTCAATTGCATTTGGCCTTACGCAATTCCTCGGAATTTCTTCGCAGATTTCCGAGTGCGTTTCCGTATACACACATGCCGGGAAAGCGTTTTCCTTCGTTACGCGGAAAATGCCCTCGCGATATATCACCTCGCATGGTAATGCACTCTTTTGCAAGTGCGAGCACTGGCGCAATGGTGCACTCGTAATTTATAAATGACTTCGGCTAGGGCACGGACACGCAATTCTGCGTGGCTAAAAAGTTAATGGAGTCATAAAGGTGCTAAAAAATACGCGACAGCGCAAGGGATACGGAAATACCTGAAATACGTAAATTTACGCATGACGCATGCAAGTACACACGGGTCGAACGGTTCCCTTTCGGTTTCTTCAACTCTGACACGAATGCACGGAAAGTGCATTTAATGCAATCGTGAAACTGAAGTCAACCATCCGTGAAACGAGATGAAAATATTCCATAACGGGCCGTACCTTCTCTCGGCTCGTTCCTTGCGGCATCGAATATATATTTCTTTGAGGAAAATGCTTCAATCTTTCATGTTCCATATCTCTTACAAATTCCAAGTACATACCGCACATTTTTAAGTGCACAATAGAACCGCGATGGATTAAAAATTTTTTTCTTTCGTCATTAGAGCCGAGGTATATCTTTTAAGAGATCAAGGCTCTTTGCTGGAATCTATGTCCATTTTGCAGGTGATCAGAAACTTAATGCGAGCATAAATTTATAGATCCCTTGTTTGGATGCATGCTCATTACGCGTCGTTATATGTCAATTGTACCTAGGCATACTGTATACTTAAGCAGGAAAGAAATATTTCCGTTTCGTTTATCGGGTCCCAAGTGCGTTTCGCACTTCTTGCGTCGATTAGTTGCGCAATTAAAGTACCGCTCGGTGCGCACGGTAAATGCGAGTAATGTTTCTTAATTAGTACCCGTGGCATACCGTTTCGAGGGAAGACAACTGACAATCTCGCATCTCCTCTCGCATTTTTACCGCAAATTTCACGCAAGTTGGTCCGAGCAAACGGAAGAAAAACCGAACAACCTGGCCAAAAGTCCATTTTGTAATTTCCACGAGCACGGGGTAAAATTCGTTTTCTCTCATTACCATGCCGGACGACTGGCAGGAAACATATCTCAACGGGCCGCACTAACTCATTGTTCTTGGCAAACCTCGGTTTTTCCACCTCCTTTATTCCGATCATTGTCTCCCTGGTATCCCATTAAACGGATTTATTACCAAGATCCAGATACTTAACTGGCTCGAACTTGAAAAATCCATTTTTTTTTAATTACTCGCAATCCGTATGCCTCGAGCCTTCCCGGATCATACGTTGTACAAGGCGCAGAGTAATTGGGGCGTTGTAGATACGAGGGCAAACAAGCGATATTACCATTGTCCAGAAATGGCATAATTCCAGGCAATACCGGTAACGCGGCATGGTGTGAGAATGTCCCATACGAAATGAAATATCACGTTGCCGCAATTTGCACCTGATGGCCTTAAGGCGCCTAAAAGAGCGACCGGATCTGAAATTAGTCGGCGTTTGCTCGCCCTCGCACGCAGATTTCCTATCTGGCGTCTAATAACAAAGCCGGCGGTTCGCTTTTACGTATAAAAAATGATCGGCTCCGCAAGAGCTAAACTAACCACCCTTCGTGAGCTTTCTTGCAGGAATGCGCTTATTACTCCAACCCATATATCCACTTGGCCGTATCCGCGTTATGCAACTATGCTCCGAACGGGCGCACTTGCATGCTCCTATCAAAGATGCAAGATGCAAGATGCAAGATGCAAGATGCAGGATGCAAGACGCAGCGGATCGGATAAAGGAGCAAAAGCAGTGGAGGTCAGGAGTCATGGAAAGGCATCGCTCAAGAGTCCGGTGCACCAGGAAAGGAACACCCTCTTCCAGGTTTGCTCAAGAGTCATCTACCTCTCTTTAAAAAAAATCGTATTTCCATCCTCGAATGCTCATTACGTATTTTCGCACGGCACTTTGATCCGAATTCCGGCACGATTAAACAAACCGAACGCCCCGTGGACAATCAGGTATTACTTTTCGTTTTACGGTTCATGGCGGCTTGTTCATGGGAACCGAGCGTAAAATGGTGAAAGCAGAAATGGTCCGGTACCCTAGTGCTATCGTTTTGGAAAGACGATATCTCGAAGTCCCACCATCGGATTTACATCGGATCACCTCGATCTAGCCGATCAATTTTAATCCTGGATGAGGTGGACTGGGGATGAAGAGTACCAGAATATCATAACTCAATAATTGAACCGATTTGCAGGAGTGTGAGTACCGGGATGTCGGAATTAATTACAAACTCAGGATTTAGAATACCAGGATGAAATTCAACTGAACCGTCGAACCGATTTTTCAGGATCGTCGGCGAGTACCTCTAATCCGATTCCATCAACTCGAGAGCAGGATTGCCCAACGGAACCGAGATGACTTCATATCGATCTGCAAACGAGGTAGACTCCATTGCCTCTCATTAGGCGTATTGCAACACGAGTTCAAGACCATCGGTTTATCCGCAGGTAGCGCAATTTCCTGTCGTCAGATTTAAGTCTGCGTCAGGTATCTCCTGGGCGGAATCGATCCTCCAGGAATGGTAACCTTCGAGTCTTCTCGCCGACGTCCAACCAAAATCCACCGTTTCACCGTTTGCGAAACCGGACCGTTGAGACGTTCCTGCCCAAATGTCAATTCTGCCTCTGGGCGACTGTGCCACGTTGTTATAATGACCTATCTCGAAAATTGGGCAACCTTTCGAGCGTCCCGGAAAGACCGAAGAACTCGACCTTGTGAGCGGTTCCGATCCGGTTCGGGATCTAAAGACTGGTCCCGTATTCGTAGACCTCGCTTTCAGGATCTTAAGAAGGCCACGTAACGATGAATCGTCTCGATTAATCTGTACCGATCTGACCGACGCGATGCGGTCGTAGAACTCGATTTAACGATAGATACGGCTTATCGTTACGTGTCCGGCCGCGATCGAACGGGATTAACGATCTTTGGCAATTCCGGATGATCGAGCGATCCTGGACTCATCCTCGGCGGCGTTTGTAAATCCTTCACGACAATCGCGCAACTCGGATTCGCAATAACGAACGAACGTAACGAGACATCGTGGCGTCATGCCCCGTTCGCACGGTATCCAGCAAACGTTTTGCTGGATACCGTGCGATCGCGTTACAAGATCACCAGGAATACGGATGGTGGCTCTTTCGCTATCGGCTTGTGCAACCTCGAGATGCAACATCCGCGGTGCATCTCGACCGATTCAGTCCCGGCACGAAACGTCAGTCCGCGTCGGGAACAAAAGATGTCGAGGTACTCCCCTGTAAACGATTTGCAACCATCCAGGCCGGTCGTGAATTTTATTTCGCGTTGAATAATCTGAACTTTTGCGGTTGAATTTTTACGTCGAGTGGCCTGAATTTTCATGTTAGAATTATTAAGCGAATTTTTACGATAATGCTAGGAGTTAATACTTCACCGCCGCCTCTTCGAGTACCTCGGCTAATTCGACGCAAGGAGAACCAAGTAAACCGATGCACCTTTAACCAGGATCTGGAGCAATCGCTTATATCGTTACGTTACGCTAGATTATTGTTACGCTCGGCATGATAAGGACCAAGCGACAACGATCGACGATGTTATTACGTGCGGAGTTACGACGGTCGTTGTCATCGGCGATTAGCATTTTTCAATACTCTCCGTCGTGCGCGAAAGAATACGCGAATAAGTATTATGTCGTTCGACGCTTTTATAGCTTTTCTCTTTCACATGAGTCAGACACGTCCCACGTAAACCTTCCTTCGGTTATGGGGCAAATGCGACTTTCTTGATGGTCCACTGCGGGCGGTAATAACATTTAATCACCCTGATATATATATCGCACAACCAGAGACGAGCTTTTACTTGGCTCGGGTCGATACGATATCTCGAGTCTCGCCTCCTTTTTACAAGCATTGTTGACCATTGTCCAGGTCGTCAATAAAGAATAAAATATGTACCCACGCGTTACCCATGCTTGATCCTTCGCGTAACTCGAGTTTAGAATGAAGTCTATCGCGGTTAAACTACACTGTTAAGAAAAAAATTATAATTTTGTAACTTTTTTGTTGGAAGTTTCATTCCGACATGATATATTAATTTTATCACGCATTTTCAAATAAAATGTATAAATTTAGTACGTATGTATAATAAATTTATAATATTTGTTAGAAATTTCAGTTGATCGGTACTTGATATTAAACGTTTTTTCTGCAAACAAACAAATTTTACATATCCATTGTAAACTTATGTAAACGATCGTGTAATTAAAAAGCCATCTAAAAAATTTCCAAACAACGCGTACTAAATGACTTTCGAATATCAGATTTATAATTTTACTGCAACCTTATGTACTAAAAGTGTATGAATTTTTCTGACAGTGTAACGATTGAAATGTCTGAATTGTAGGAAGTAACGGGAGACACGTGCCGCACTAAAAGCATCGTTAAGATTATTCTTCCAATTTCACCTTCGATCCGAGCCAAAACGCGTAAGTCATAAAGCGTGCCATTTTGGGAAAACGGCGTTGGCAACTTTCTCCAGCTTCCTCGCCAGCGATAAATGGAAATACATTAAAAACGTATTTTACATCGCGCCGTAAGACACTTCCTTGAACCCCTGACTACCGATAATGAGTCGCGACGATCCTGGATGAAATTATCATTAAATTCCTACGCAGGCCAGAGGTTGTACCGGCGGTGTTACGTCGATTTAAAAGGCGAAGAATGTTTCGGAAATGGGAAAGATTTTAATAATGGTTTCTTTTCCAGAATCTGGATCATAGGTCAACGAGGCGCCGACAAGAAACACGTGCTGCCGTTGCAAGCGTGTCGGGGGTGTTTTATGTCGCTGTGGACACTTTTTTATCTCCTGGCGAAAACCGTGGCGATCGAAAAAGCTAGTCCCTCGTCAAGGTATAATTCAGCTTCCGACGCGGGCCTCGCGAAGCCTATATTTAATGCGCAGCCCCGGGCAATCGATAAATAAATCTAAATCCATGGAACTCCCGGCTTCCCTGGCACCGAATCTGATCGTTTGATCGGTTTAATGAAACCAAACGATCGACAAGGGCCGGCTAGATTTATGGATCGATCGGCACGAGCGTGGCGATTGAATTAAATCGATTCTGCTTCCAATATTTTCCTTCCCTGACAACGATTCGTGGTATCGCGAGATCGGGCATCTTTTAAACGACTGATATGAAATTTGGTAAAAAGTCATATTGGCAGCGAGGGAACATCAAGGACCGTGATTGGATGGGGGATCGTTCGGCTAATTGCTGTTTGCGGTCCAGGCTCATTTCGTCGACACCTAAAAATCTATAATTACGCGAAAGGAAAGGTCTCCTCCATATTATCTTTTATACTTTCCCGGGACCATTCGTGGCTCGTAATTGCGTTTCTTAACTGCACTCGATTGCTCTGAACTAGACATTCTGACCCGGAGGTAAAGGGAGGCTTCGGGAACCGATTCAGACAACCGAGTACCGTTCGGCTAGAAACTAAGACTTATACTTCGAAAACGTTCATTTTATTTACTTTTAATTCTAAGTTTAATCTATTAAGACGCGGAATTATTGCTATCGAGAAGTAGGATAACCGCGATTAATTTCAGGACACGCGACGGATCGAAGCAGCGACTTCGGCGTTTTTCCGCTGGAGCGATATCAATGTTTTCTGCCGTCTGATCTTCGCTTTCTTCGACGTGAACTTTCTTCCGCCTTGAATCGTATCCCGCTTTCAAACGTCGGTAAGAAAATACGACATTGCATTAAAGTTAATCCCAACCTCGCGTTAACGGGACGATGCATAAATAATGGCTATCTGCCTGGAAGGTGTAATTAAAAACTCGAACTTCCCCCCACTGTCTTGTCCGGAGCTTTCGCCAGGTTTTCAATTTATTAAGCCCTCTATTTCTCGATTCTCGAGTAGTCGCGATTATCACGAGTTTACCTCTTTCAGGAAAAAAGAAATCCCGAACGCCGAAGTGTCCCTTGGACTCGGAACTTCACCGGAAACGGCGGGATTCACTCATCACACTGGAAAACCACCCACTCGGACACTCGGCCAAGATGTCGAAGGACGGTGAAGATGATACTGAGCTTGGCCGCACGAGTACCCGGCGTCATATACTCGGGGAGGCTGAAGCACGTGAGCCGACCAGGACTTTCACTGTTTCCGACGAATTAAGAGCCCGCCATCTGACACCCTTCTAACGCAAGAAGGTTCCCCCGAGGGGAAGGTACCGAAAAGCCTGACACTGAAAAAAGGAAAAAAGAAAACATTCCCTCCGATTGGTCGACGTTGCCCAATCGCTTGGCTTCTCCTCGTCGTTAATCCGACTTTTCTGTCGCAGATTTGCCGAGGGGGGCCGCGATGGATTTTCTGGAATCAGGCGATCTTTTTCAGCCAACGGAAATCATTTCTCCAGCCTTGAATCCGACATCAGTGAGGGTAAAAAATCACTCCTGTAAACGAACTCGCGACGTCTGGCACGATATTCACTATTCTATCGAAGCCGTAAGATGTACTTGCGCAATTGCGAATGTATGACATAGGAGAATCGTCCGTCGCCTACGGGTATTGTTTTCATTCGTTGCAATTTATGCATCTATTTATGTTCATCGGAACCAATAGGAGTTCCGATTTCCTCTGAGGTATGCGGCCATGCATTGTTGTAGGGGGAGCGTGTATTAATTTTTGGCCAGGTGTTAAAATCGATTCTTGGAAAATAATTGAAAAACTATCATATCCTTCTGTAGATGCACTTTATGGCGAGCGTCACGTGGTTCTATTTTGACATGCATTATGGAGACCTACTAGTGGATTTCGTCCTGGTTGGTCGGCCAGTCTTGGGAAGGTGGACGTAGGTGGACACGCAAATTGCTCCAGGTGGAAAATAATCCCGGCTGATCCGATGTATATGCTCCCTCTTTGCAAACGGCTATTCCTTAAATTTCTTTCATAAATTCTTTCCTCCGTAACGGTGGCGAATAAGGACGTTACGTACTCGTGCGTACACGAGCGTTACATACCGCGCATAACTATATCGTCTGCAAAATGTTTTCAGGATATTATTGATGATTGGCAGTACAGTTTCGCTGATTGCCCGAGGCAGTAAAAATCAAGGCGCGTTTCGCGTTGATTTTTCGAACGTAAATCCGGATTCTTCGAGGCTGCACGAGGGGAAGCGAAAATTGACCATCCAACGATCGCACAATTTCGTCGTTTCGTCTCTTCGCACCTTCCGCCTAGAAAGTTTTATGACTTTTGCCCGCCGAATATCCACATATCTTTGGAGGTCTTCGGATCGTAAGTTATGAAACGGGTTTCCGCAACGTGCATCCCGTAATGAGTCATCTCATTATGCACCACCTCCTACACCTTCAGTGAAGAGCGAAATTGCAAGAAGGTTTAATCCGAACATTAAGGTTCCCTGAATTTCCATAGGCAAATAGGCCTCTCCGTTTCTCCGGTGAAATTTCCGACCCCGAAGAAATGATAACAATCGAGATAATGTCCGCCATTATCGGAGGCCTGTTGTCAAATTGTTTTCCCTTGCCTCGAACATCGCTGTAGGTGTTCCTTTTCTATTTAGCCTTAAAAGGTTCCTTGAAGCCTCGAGATGTCCATTATACGGACGCCTTGGCTACATGAAGGCAACATGGCGCAGGACCATAAAATTCACTTCCTGTTATCAACCTCGTAATTACAGACGCGGGTCTCTTGTGCATAACTCTAAATGCCGTAGCTTTTACTAACTTTCCTGGATATGTTTGCCTCCACGTTAAAGAAACACTAGGAAATCTCACACCGTAGGTGGCCCGTCGTTTATCGCACCGTTAATTATTTCGTTAACGATTAGGCCGGGATAATTAGACAATCGCTGGCAAGACTGCTCATACCTCGCGCATGATTCATATCTCTCGTTGGTAACGCATTGCACAGGTGCAGAGCTCGTTTTAATTTCCGAGGAAAAGTGAATTTAGTAGATCGACAAAGCGATGAGTCCGGTGAAAAGAAAGGCAACGACCGAGGAATCGTTACACGTGGATTTCTCTCGGCCTTTCGGACAAAAGCTCGTCAATTTGCGTATCTCAAATTTAATACCACCCGTGAGTTACGCGACAGACTATCAGGCACGTGGTTAAAAAATAATCACATTGACGCGTCATGAAAAAATCCCATCGGGGAACAATTAATGAGAAATTATGCCGTAGTAACTCTCATTACGCGGAGGGTACATTTTAAACGACCCCCCGGTACGGAATTACTGTGGGAATAGTAAGCGGTACTGCTTCGGTAAAGATGAAATGAATGAGCAGAACGCCGGCATATATTACGTAAAGAGAGCATCCGTTTACCCATGTACCATGTACATACATACTCGTGCTACATACATGCAGATGGAACGAACGTTCCTCGAGATTAGCACGAACGTGTTAAGATCCGCAAAAACGATCTCCTTGGGGCGTACTCCTCGAGACAATCTCTCTGTACACGTGACAGTACAGCGGTATTAAAATAAAAATTGTGTATAATTATTTTTGCCATTAAAAAACCTAATTTTCAACGTAGCTCTGTTCTGCTGTCCTTCAAAAGCCTTAAAACGCCGAGCCATCGAAGAACAAATATCGCAAAGCGTTGGGGTATACAAAATTTAATGCCAGATATATAAATATTCCAAGAAAACGAGTGATCTTAAATTTTAAGAGATCTCATAAACGTCCTTATATACATCTCGTACAAGCCTACGTGGTAAATATATATGTAGAAAAATACATTCTCGAGGCAGGACTCTCGTCCTCCCTGGTCGTGAAAAGTCTCGAAATGATCTTGCGAGGGATCTACCTTACGATCCGACGCTACAGATCCAGAGATCCGTGATAAAGTAGATCACTAGGTCCTCGGTCGATAAGCGACCGCGGCGAGGAAAGGAATCGCCAACTCCATCGCTGAAAAGAGTCTGGAAAGGACTGAGTCTCCGGCTGTCGGTAACAATGGCCCCGGAGGTTCCAGGATCCTATGCAAGCCGAGCTGCAGGTGCGCTAAATATCTGCCAAGGTGCTGTCCGATCCTTCATTTCGCAAGGACACGTTGGCCACGCTTGTTCCTGTTGGCATTGACTTTGGCCTCGTGGGCGGATGCACTGGCTTTGTACGCCGCTTGTTTCGTGTTAGCCAGGTCTGTCTTTGCACATTGAAGATTTTTCCCCAGCTCCTCGACCCGATGTCGGGCAGCCTCGACCAATTGTTGCTTCTCGGTCAACTCCTGTTCGGCGCCCTGGGCGGCAGCCTCGGCGTTCCCCAAATTCGCGTTTGCCGTCTGCACGGCTTGCGTCAGAGTCTTCAGCTAAATTCCGAAAGAAGACATCACCGCGAGTAAACCGTCCGAATTATTCTCATAGGTGAATTATTTAAATTATTTCATTTTTCCCAGGATACCCCGAGAGAGCACGATTTCGAGGGACCAGCCAGGGTCCCAGGGCAAAATTGGCTAATCAAGGAAAAACGGTCTGGCAACCGACAGGGTGGATTCAAGAGAAGCATTGGAGGTAGAAACCGGGAATTGCGAAAGGATAAACCTAGACGGTAACTAAAACTAGCAATGTAAACAGCGTGAGGGTAAAAAAAATTACCGGAGTTACACCCGGGCACCTGAGCCGGCGTCAGGCTCGTTACGCGATCGGTCGGCGTTACCGTACTGTATCCGTGAAACCGTCGGTCACTCGGCGTGTCGCAAACGAGGCTCCCATTCAATTTTTCACGGGATTAAATTTCGCCAGCGATTAAATCGTCAATGGGTACTCTCGGATTCGACATTTCATTTCTCGCGGCGTGCGTGCTCGAGAGTTAGCACGAGTCGCTTTCCTCGAGTCGCGAGAAAAGGGCGACGTTAATTAGCATTGCGACAGAACGATTGCTCAAACCTCGACTGGTTTTTTTTCCTTTTTTTTTTCCACGGCAATACTTCGTTACGAATTTACCTCCAACTCTCGGTTTTACCTCTAGCTGCGCCTGCTGGGCAGCCTGCATAGCGGCGTTGACGTTGGTCTGCGACTGCTGGATGGATGCACTTTCCTCCTGCACCACGGCTTCCGCTTCCTTCACTTCCTGCTGCAGCTGCTCCACGATCGCTTCCTTTCCGGCGAGAGCAGCTTCCGCCGCCTTCGCCGCCTCCACGGCCTTTTCGGCCAGCTGGGCTTTAACCTCCATGGAAATGGAAAATCCTTGGGATTAAGGACTCCCCGAATTTCTTTACGTGTGATTTAATTTTCTACGGATTACATGCTTTTTTTTATATTTATTCCGTCTTAAGGGAAAGTATGACGCCGAGACGAGGTCATAGGGTACGTAGGTACCTTACATTGATCTTGGGATTTAATGAATCTAGGTATCTTTTTTTTTCCCAAGGCTAGATTGGAAAAGGGACAACGAAGTCACCTGGTGGGAAGCTTGCGCTCCTGCGATGTTCTGCGCGTCCGATGCAGCTTTCGCCTCCTGGGCGGCCTTCTGCGCGATGTTGGTCGCCTTGTTCATCTTCCTCTGGCCGATGCCGTTGCAGGGGATCTGCGCGAAAGGTAAATCTTTAATGCGGCAACGGTTGCCTCGTGTCTCGCCAAAGGGATTCCTCCTGGTCCTTACTTCGCGAGCTCTCCTGGGTCTCCTTGCGTCCGAGTAATCCAGGATCACTGCAAGTCGTTAGAATTTTCTGAGATACTCGACGAAATCTTGCGAGAGACTCAATGACATTTTCCGAAAGGGACAAGAGTAGAACGATTGCTCACGCATGTACGTCAACAGCAGCAACGGTGTCCTCATGTTACGAGGGGGAATTTACTCGCCGATGATCGCCTCATAATAGGTGTATCCGAAAGCCCCGATGTCCGCGTCGAAAGGTGTCCAGGATTGACGGAAAGGGAAAGCGTCACCGATAAACACATGAAGGTGCGCCAAGAAACGTCTCTCGAGGTCTCTTGCGAATTTTCTCTCGATATGAGGATCCGCGGCGAACTTCAGGAAGCATTATGCCCTCGAGAATCGCGAAATCGTTCACTCTATCGGCTCGACTTTTGAAGATCGATTATTCAGGCTCAATTTTTAAGGCTCGATTTTTCAGGCTCAATTTTTCAGGCTCGATTTTTCAGGCTCGATTTTTCAGGCTCGATTTTTCAGGCTCGATATTATAGGCCCGATTTTTCAAGTTTAACTCAGGCTCGATTTTTCCAACGGCAGGAATAGAGCCATAGGTTGCGACCAGTCTGGATAGAACGTCGTCGTCACGTCCGACCTCCCTTCACTGATCGACGACTCTTTGTCGGCGAACGCGACTAGAATCCGAGGGTTCGATCAGGGCCGATCGCCTCCTATTCCTGGTGGCGTTGATTTTGGCTTCACGAGCCGCGGCATTGGCCTTAGCCGCTGCCTGGTTGGTGTTGGAGAGGTCGACCTTAGCAGCCTGCAGCTGACTCGTGAGCTCCTCGACCCTCCTCTTGGCCGCCTCGAGGAGTTCCTCTTTCTCGTTCATCGACTGCTGGGCACCCTGGGCGGCCGCCTGCGCGTTCCCCAAATTCGACTTGGCGGTCTGCAGGGCATGGGTCAAGGTCTTCATCTGTACCAAATGATCCTCTTTAGAACGAATTTCATCTCACGAATCGGTGAAAAGTCCCCTATCGTCCTCGAGAAAAAAAAAGGATGCGCCCATAGAGTCGCATAGCGCTGGGACCAAGGCCGCCATCTTGGATCCTCGATTCGAGAGCTAAACGAGGAATGTATCATTCCTGCCACGATGACGACGAAATGACGCTGGAATTGCGATTAAATTACGACGTGATAACGTAGATAAGGTATCGAGGTATCGGACCTGTTGCTGCGACTGACGCGCCGCTTCCATGGCGGCGTTGACGTTTGTCTGCGCCTGCTGCAGAGATGAGCTCTCTTCTTGCACGACCGACTGCGCTTCTTTCACCTCTTCTTGCAGCTGCTCCACTATCGCCTCTTTGCCGGACAGAGCAGCTTCCGCTGCTTTCGCAGCTTGTACCGCCTTTTCAGCCAGCTGAGCTTTCACCTGGAAAACGCGGCGTCGTTGCGCAATCCCGCGATCGGGAGCGTTCCTTCATCGGAATTTATTGCCGGCCGCGATTATACTGAATGTTTTTTTCCGGGATATTAATGAGTTTATTATGAAAAAAGGAAGTACCTGACGAGCCGCCTGTTGGCCGGCGACGTTTTGAGCATCCGATGCGGCTTTGGCTTCTTGGGCCGCTTTTTGAGCGATGCTGCTCGCCTTTTCCCCGTTCTTCTTGTGGCCCGTGTGACACGTCCCCGCGTCCATTCCGCTCACGTCTCGAAGGTTCTAAATTAAATCGAATTTTAGGCCCGTTAAAAGCTCCTCAGGGAATTAAAATCAGGTACTCTCGAGTTCGACTCACCAGGTGAGCCGGGAACCTGCGAACTCGCCGGCAATCTATGTGCCCGCACGCCAACATGACTGCGATAGGTTAGATTAGGAGTCGCTAAAGCTCGCGATAAGCTCGTATTTACCTGCGCAGAGGATGTAAAACGAATTTCTCATCGTGGCCAGGAGCATCGAATTTACCGAGTCGCGCTGCCGGAAGGCAGACCGACCATCTTCCTCCCGAGACCTGATAAACTCGTCCAAATTGAACGGTCGTGAAGGTGATAAAGATCGACAAAACTAGGTCGAGAAATCCGGAGAAACGGATGAAGCGCGCGAGGGTCGACATTAAGGCGATTACCTGCTCCGCGATAATCGTTGGGATAACCCATACAATACATCTGTACACCTAGAATTACATGCACTATAAATGGTTAAGGTGTATGTATGCATTTATAATTAATATTCGAGCTACGATGCGGCGTTTCGGTGTAGCGAAATCAAGCCGAGGAATTCCCGGTGAAAATGAGAAGTCTAATTGTCGGCGGGGAATCCGGCACGTTTTGGCTCTAAATTTCTCCCGGATCGGCAAGAAAGTGTCGGCGTGAGGTCTTGTCTCTTGCTCGGGATAAATACCTGCCCCGGGAGTTTCCTGGCGGACGTAATCGCGATTTACCGTGGATAACGACCGAGGCGACGCCAACGAGGATCGATAAGTGCGATCGGAGATCTCTTCGACCGCCGGAAAACGTGCCTCGCCTCCCGCTTTTCCGCCGATTAGCTCTTCGATAATCTCCGCGCCGATTATCGCCTCGCAGGGCTCGGTTACGCTTTGGATCCTTAAGCGATTTCCATCGAGACGTTCCGGCGAGAAAGCTGCCGCAACGACTTCATGGAGCTTAGTGACATAAGCATTGCCTCGTGAATGGCAAATGGAGGTCCGGGGAGAAGAGCGATCGAAAACGCATCTAACCCGCCGAGACCGCGAATCCTTGCCGCGACAAATGCACAACGAGCCGCAGCCAGTACTAAAACGCTGCGGAAATCGGCACCGCGGTGCGTTCCGCAGTACCGTGCTTTATTCCCGACCACTCGACCGAGCGATGGACCCGCGCGGATTCCGCATTAAATAAAAAAAACCGTCAGAAGAACCAGAATTCCGGATATCTTGCCTGGATCTGGATAATAAATATCCAGTTACCGTTTTTCTGCCCTAAAGTACCGGATTTTTTTACAGAAATTTTCCCTGGGAAATTTTCTTTTCTGGTGAATTCAAGTACTTGGTTATTTTTTAGTCGTGCTCATTGGCGATGACTGGGAATCTTTTATCTAGGCGCATGTAGGAACTTATTTAAGGAGCTTTTTTCATGAACGAAGAATGGGTCGAACGCGTCAGACTCGCCGAAACCGCGAATCCTCGCCGAGACGAATGCACAATGAGTCGTGGGCTGTGCTAAAACGCCGCGGAAATCGGCATCGCGGTGCGTTCCGCAGTCCGGACCATTATTCCCGACCACTCGACCAGCGCCGTTCCTGGACCTCCGTGAATTCCGGCTTTCGAGAACGGAACGCTCTCCGAGTCCGATGGGAGATAGTGTCGGTGTTGGAGGCGTGCTTCTGACGTTTTATTCTAAACGCGAGGGAGAAAGGGTACTGACCATGAACGCGCACTGATCCCCGAAGGGAACTTTGATTCCAATACAAGCTGGGTAATATTCGCCAAGATGGATAGATAACTCGTTATTAATCTTGCGAAATTCCAAAGGATACTTTCATCTTAGGTCATTTTAGGGCGTTCCATGATTTTTTCTAATCCTTCTACCCTGGGAAAAAAATCCATCGCCCCGAAGAAATATTTCGTTAATCCAAAGAATAATTACTTGACACGAGTAAACTCAAATAAATTGTCGTAATTCCGAGGTGACGTTGCATAGAATTTATTGGAATTTATTTTGGAATAAAATAATTACACTTGGGATTAATTAAATTTTTCTTTGATTCGATGATATTTTCCCTCGGTGTAGGAAAGGACTTTAGGCGAATGCAATGAATGGATCGGATTCATAAATCTGCAATATATGACGATTAGCATGGGATTTGCCAAATTCTTGAAATTCTTCAGGAAGAGACATTTTTTTTTTCTTGTCTGTAAAACGCTCGCTAATGACTGTCGAGGGTGTATACAATTATCTTCGGCAGAGAAAGTAAATACACGGCTAGGAAGTTTTATCGTCGGTTCTACCGTCGAGCGTTTCTTGTTCTTGATTTTTTATCTTTCTTAAATACCGCAGCGTGTGCGCCGAGTCGATATTTGAGAATGGACTCCTCACTTTGAGCGACCATATCGGGGCAAAAATCAGGCCACCTGTTTTTTTCCCCATTGTTGTACACGCTAACAATGCGCAAGATTGTGTCAGATCATTTCTTAGAGCAGTTTCCGACATTTTTTATCCGTAGATCGTCAACCGCTCGTGTCACTCCGCGTTGAGGTCGATGCAAGACATTTGACAAGTTGAAAGTGAAGGATTGCATTGTACCGAAGAAGGGGAAAAATGTTTAGACGGATGCACGGTTCAATTAGCACTGTTTATCCGCGTTTTAGCTCACTTCCTGGGAGGAGGAAGACGAAGGATCTGAAGGATCACGTAATTACGGTGGCAGCGTCGCCCAGCTTCTTTCAGGACGCGACCCAATCGAGAGCTTTTCCTTGAGGTTCTTCGATTAAATAATCCCCAGTAGTTGAAAACATCCCAGGGGTATTTAACGCGTCCTTCTTCAGCCTGGGATTCTTTCTCGTTAGAGGATAATTACGGAACGGCTGAGTAAATAAATGTTGCGGTGCGGTAGAACTTAGTAAAACATCCGGCAACCTTACGGTTAAAGACCAAGGTAACATTTCCCGGAGACCTGCTCTTCGACGTTTTAGCCTCCTAAGCTAATTTAAATAGTCAATTAATTCTTATCCCCCGATCGAAGTAATTAAACGCCCTCGGACGGAAGGTGCAGACTTCCTCGCAGATGTAAAAAATTCTACGTTACATTTAGTTAATGTTCTTTACAGGAGCGTTACGTGAAGCTCTCGCCAGGGAAGGTCGTTACCAGGGAATAATTAATTATTTCAATGTTGTTTTCCTTTCTTATTTTTACTTTTTCATCCTTTTTTTCATTTATTTCTTCAAACACGTCCGTGCATTACGGAATTCACTACTGAATCCGCGTCGAGCGTACTTCGGAGCGCATCGAGCAGTAGTAACGCTCATACATGGTCAGACGTCGCCGGTTTACCCCTCTCATCTTGACTGCGATTTATTTCGCGGCCGATACTCCTGACACGATTAATTCGGGAATTCTCATTACGCCGGAGGGATGTGAAGCGAGCTGCATAAATTCTCCGACTGGTTTAACGGGCGATAAATCTGGGCTCTCTTAATAATAAATTCACAGTTGCAGTTAAATCACAGACTGAACGGGGTGCATAAAACCTAGTTATGCAATCACCTTTAAAGCGCGTCAGACTTCGACTTATTGTATAAATTTAAATCCGAGCAGAGACCGCATTCGTGGGAAGTGGAGTTAACGTAAGCTTTTGATACGGTCGAAGATGGTCGTTTCCAGAAACAGAGATCAAGATTCGTCGCGGCGCGTTTCTTCTATCCGTCTGCAGAAAATAACGAACGATTCGCGGAACGTCGCCCGTTGATCGCAAGTCGCGGATAAAAAGTCCCAATCTCGTGGGGTAAAACACTAAACTCACAAAACTCAAGTGGGTGGACAGGAGAGAGAGAGAGAGAGGGAGAGAGGAGTGTATAACATTTCCCTGATTTCTTCAAACAATCGATGTCATTTTCGACTTTGGGAGGGGAAAGAAGCCGACCGTCACGTCCACCGTAACCACAGATTTGATTATAAACCGCTGGTGGGATTTAAAAGAAAAAACTAGACTTCCTCGCCAAGAGTAAGCAGCAGTTCTACCTCAACCGTTTTTCCTTCCCAAATGTTTACACAATTTTTATTAACATTTAAACCGCGACAAACTGGTCATCGGCCCTGTCCTGGCGTCCTTGGATGCGAACAAGAAGCTGGAAACGTCGGCAAGAAAAAATGAAAGAAAAACATATCACGGGTTAAGCGATCTTGTTAAATCACCGATTAACCCGTTCCCGAACAAACGAGGCGTGGAACATGAAAGTAGCGTTGCACATGGTCACCCGTTGCAGATCTTGCACTTTTGTGCAGGCATGATAGTTTCTTGCGCCGAAGAAAAAATGCCGGATCGTGGGCACGTTATCTGCATACGAGAGGTAAGTAGGCTTGAAGTGTCTCGTTATCGAGGTGCGTATTTTTTTTCCCAGCTCCGAGGTCCAGGAGGGACCATCCTCGACACGTAGCTCTACTTTGCAAGGAAACTGCATCGACTGCAGGCCACGCCGAGTCGGTTGAGCAGAATCCTGTCGCGCGCCTTTTTGAACGTCCACAACCCCTTCCGTGGGTTTGACCAACTGGCCAGCAGGACTATAAGAGGTCTGATGACCGAGCAAGTGGTATCAGTTCTTAGCTGCCTCCCAGAGCCAAGGCAGCTCTAATTCCCACCTCAGTCAACACTGCGGTAACCCGTAAGTATGCGACCCGCCGACGTCGACGACGTCTTCGACGGTTTCGACGGTGCTGCGAGTGGTCGCGTCTCTTCCTAAATCTCTTCCCACCTGAAATCCCTCGACTTTCGAGATGGGAAGCGCGGAACTCCTGTCAAGCATCGTTAATCGGCCGGAATCTGGAATTGCGGAACGCCACTGGAGCAATGCTCCCAGGAATTGCCAGTTTTTTACGGTTTTTCGGCGCCCCTTCGATTTCCATCGGATTGATCTGTCGCTTTTTCGATAATCATCCGTCCTGATTTTTTTTTTTAAGACTTCGAAGAATTTTTCTCGAGTTTCTACGTCTTCTCCGGTTTTTCTTTTCTTTTTCATCATTTTCCTCCGCTGCTTCAAAATCGGGACTTCGAGCTTGGGAAATAAATTTCAGGCACTTTCTTGGATTTCTTGGATGTCTATTTCCATTGGGATGGATTTCTTTAAAAATATAAAGCAACAATATAATAAATTCGTCATGAAATTAATTCGTCTCCGACATCTCCATATCTCTACAATTTATTCTACCGCGCTTTTATAGCGGATGTTTTAATAAATAAACCTCTGGAGTAATTTTTCAAAGATCGTATTTCAAAGTCGACCGATTGTTGGCGGATCGCTTTTGTTACCTCTACATTCGTTTGGATTCCGCCTCGTAAATCCTTCCCAACGCCAGCGGAAATTGGCACGCACGCGTTTCCGGATTCTGGCCGCGAGTTCCGGTAGAATGGGATTGCAAATCTGGATTTGAGCGATCAAAGGAGGTGAATTTTTTATTTTACCGCGAACCGCCTTCTCGAGCGAGCTGCACCCAGTGGGTTCCCTTCACTCGAGGAGACCGTAGGATCGTTTTGTAAAACTAATTCGAAAGGGTGGTGGATTAAGGAGTACTTGTATATGCGCTCGGTGCACGTGCACATGCCCGACGGCCACGAGTGCTGCTCTCATTATACCGAATGTATGCTAATATTGTTACCAAGCGATCGAACCACTCGAGCGACGCGAATTTTTCAAAGAACGAATTCCGACTTCGATAGTTTACCGACCGCGTCGGAATAATCGATTAAAATGATTAATTCCCGGAATTACCAAGGGTCATTATCGATCATTAGAAAATCTTGAGACGTTAAATCTCGACGTAACGAAAGACACGATACTTCCTCCTTCTTTGTCAAGTTATAATATTTAATTCAACCACTTTCGGTAATTGCAGAGTGGCATTACGCTTTTCCATAGATGCAAGAGTTTCCTCTTTTCCGAAGCTTCCGGCAGGAAGTATCGTTCCGCCGTTCCTTCTTTTCCGCCGAAACTACTTCCTCCCTGGGAATAATGGCAACTTGAATTTGATCATTGAGGTTTGTTACGTAACCAATTGTTAAACTCGGCGTTACGACGAAAAACCGATACTCGGGTTCCAGGTGCAAGCTTCGAGGGGACAGGAAAGATAATTAGTATCGAGCTTTTTTTTTTCTCCTCGATGCAAGGATGTATCGACCCGCGACTTCGATACGTGCAACACGCTCCGTTAAATGAAAAAAAAAATAATAATATAAATAAAATCCGTTCTTCCAGTTCCTCGAAGTAATGGTCGAAAATTACGACTGGTTAACTATGGGCGGTAATAACCGATCGAAATCGTAATGTGTAGTCTCGAGCGATTTTCCGCGAGAGAACGGAACTTGCATAGACCCCCCGCGAAAGGGAATAACAGAAATGACCAGAAATCGCAGTAATTCTAAAACACATTAAGTCTTTATGCGAGCAACTCCCGTGCTCTTTGGCGATCTCTCCAACGAAACGGTTCAATTTCCAGGGGGCGTGATAAAAAAGCCGCGATAAGGCAAAAGACATACTCTCGTGGAGTACTTACGGCTCCTGTAATCGTTACGTTCCCCGGTAATTCCCGCAATTTTCCGCCGTCATGCAAATCGTTTTTACACGTAATTAAATTCGGTTTCCAGTGCGGAAACTGCACGGGGCATTTTTGCGGCTCGTAAAAAATTCTGGAATCCCGAGGGATCCGCTTCCGTTCCCCCGTTTTTCCTACGACTCGGTGACTTCCGGCGATCTTCCCGCGGGATCGAAAAATTTGGAAAAGACGTTAAGGCGTTACATCTCGCCGAGACGTCATCGATAATCGATGCCGATCGGTGTCGAGGGCCGTTTCTTTCGGCGGCGAATCGATTCGGAACACGTTCAGCGCGGCCGAGCGTCCAACCGTGCGCGGAGCGAGACGGACTCAGAGAAATTGTCGAGAGAGTCGAGAAGAAAAGTTGAAATAAAAAGGAATTGTGTAATCCTGTAGCGTAAGTGCTGGGCTGAAACGCGCCGCTGCCCCGCCGTCGCCTCCGTCGGTCTTTCGTCGATGTTTTCTAGGCAGACCCCCGGTGCACTTCCACCGGCCGCCTTTTAGCTCAGTCATCGACTTCTTTCGGAGGTGCTGCAAGTTCCCCGACAAGAACCCGACATTTTATCGCTCTTCTTCACGAATTCCGATTTTACTTCCGTCACCCCGCAGAGATGGGTCCGAAATGACGGACGTTACGACGCACGTCGTATGCACTTCTACAACGGAAGTGGCGTCGAAGGGCGACGTGCGTCGGTCCTTCTTTCGCGTAACATCCGAGCACGAAAAATCCCTCCTGCGCTTTCTACGATCAGTTTTCAATTTTTTTTCTCTATTTTTTTTTTAGGTACTCTAGGAACTCGCAAGGTCGATTTTCACGAATTTCACTATTTTCACGATTTTCACGATTTTCAGACTTCCCACTTCTGACACCTCGAAAGATGGACGATTGTCGCGGCCGTTTAATTTTTCCAGGGCGATGGGCAAAGTATTCCTTGAAATCCGCTCGAGTTCTTAATTTCACGTCGGGCAGAGAAGAAAAAAAAAAGAATCTCATCGCGGTGGACTTTCGCGTCCCCTCAAAGTCACTCCACTTTCGAGACCACTTAACATCGAGAGAAAGGTCGGTCGTTTGATCTTGCGGAGTTTAAAAGTCAAGTTGAGCAAGAACCTCGGGCAAAGTTGACTCGGAAATGTCGGCATTTCCGTTGACTCGACCCGGTCGAGCTTCACCGAGCGCGATTCCGAGGTCGAGGCTTTTTTCGCGTTTCCGAGTGATCTCGATATTTTTTTCCTTTACCTCGGATTCCCACCAGAGGCCAGATAAAAAATATGGTAAAAGTGCTCGAGCGGATTTTTCGAAGGGATTTGAAAAACGGGACCAAATTGTCATCCGCTTTTCTCCAGAAACGAGTAGCCTAATCGGGTGCCGGCAACGGTCGTCGTTCCTCGGTCCATATTTCCCGGCTTGACAATCGTAATCGTCGGTCTGCCCTGGCCGATAAATCGTCTTTACGAGCGTCTTTTTTCGGCCGATCGTTAGATTTTCTCTGTCGCTGTACCATGACCGATCCATGCCGGGCCACCGGGTGCCACCGCGCGAAAGTCCGCGTGCCGATCTTGCCGGTTTCCGGCATCGTCGACATCCGAACGCCTTCGCTCGTACGCGTAGGAAAAAGTACAAACGACCGATTACAAAATCCAATATCGATCGCGACAAAAATCGCACGACTTCCGAGGGCGAGATTTAAGGTCTTCCCGGACATCCGCAAGTGGTAGGAAATACAACTAATAAAATTTCCGAAACGAGACGTTCCATATTAAATTCTCTGCAATCGAATCTTCGGATACCTCGCGGGTCACTCATCGTAAGGGTAACGATAAGACCCCCCCAGTTGCAGAGAATTGAATACGGGATAGAAATTAATATTCATTTGCGAGAAGCATTTGCAGAGAATGGAACGTGGGATAAAAATGAACATTTCTGCGTCCCGTGGACGTAGGACCGCGTAGATCGGTACAGCCGAAAAATTTCGATCGCTTCCTCAGCCCAGCCTCCGAGAACCGTGGACCGGCGTTCGCCGCGATGAAGGTCCTCGTCGCCCTGGTCGCGTGTCTGGGTCTATCCTTGGGCGCGCCGAGCAGCAACAAGCAGCACGTGCCGGAGGAGGAGCTGGAGGCCTTCGACTACGAGTACGTCAACCAGCCGTTGACGGCCCAGTACGTGGACTCGTCGCCCTCGGCGACCCAGAGTCACGGAGGCCACGGCAACGGGCACACCCCCGGGAAGGTCGGCTACAGCGCGGGCGGAGGGCTGGTGAGTGAAGAGTTCCAACCGCAACATACCGCATAAAACTCGGCAAATCCTAAAAATTCTCTTTAGAGAGATTTTTACACAGTCTACCTAGAATGTACAATTCCACCTTGAGAAAGAAATCCCATTGAACCGAAGAGATATTTTTTTACGCATTGGATTAAGAAAATATCTCCTCGGTTCGACGCATTTATTTTTTATTCTCAGGGTTACCTCCCTTCCCGAGCATCGGAGAGGGTTATCCTTAACACGTTCCCTGCCAGACCGTTTTTTGAAGACTTTCCGTTCAGGCCGCGTGGAGCGTATACGCCCCACGATCAAATGAGCGCATCAGCAATAGTATTAAGATGCCCATAATTGACTGCATAATGAATTTTTAAAAAATTCTTCATTTTACAATGATAATACCAAATGGCTTGAACGGAAAGTTCAGCGCGGGGCGCATACGCCCCACGCGGCAGGGAACGTGTTAATTCGAGTCTTGGGTTCCTAGGTGAGCATCGCTCAGGGCGCGGCCGAGCAGGCGCACACGGCCATCTTGAACCAGCACACGGCGGCCGGTCAGGCGGCGTACCAGGCGAAGAACACGCTTGCGCAGTCGGCGGCGCAGTCGGCGGCGACCGCGGCGGCCGCGCTGGCCGGGAAGCAGATCATCGTGATGGGCCTGGAGCAGCAGTCGCGGGACGCGCACCTGGCGGTGGACGGGGAGAAGATGCAGCTGCAGCAGGCGCAGAGGGCCGCGACGGCGTCGCAGAACACGGCGCAGCAGGCCATGCACCAGGTGCAGGTGATCACGGCCGCGCTCAACGCGGCGCAGGCGACGGCCGACCACGCGGCCCAGGCTGCGGCCGAGGCGGCCGCCGAGCTGGCCGCTCAGACGACCATGGTCGGCCAGGCGAAGGCGCGCGCGGAGACCATCGACGACCAGCTGGCAGTGTCGAGGATCGACTTCGAGGCGACCCAGGCGGCGGCCAACAAGGCGGCCGCGGCCGCGCAGACGGCGCAGAACAACGCGGCCGCGGCCGCCGCGCACGCGGCCAGCGCAGCGGCCGCGGTGGCGTCCGGCCACCACCCCGCCAGCCTCCACCACTCTCCGCCTCCCGCGCCGCACTCGGCCGAGACCTACGAGTACAAGTCCGGCTACCTTCGCTACTAGGCTCCTTCGGCCATCTTCGCGCGAGCTCGGCAAATTTCGGCGCGAGGCCGCTTCCCGCGGAACGGCTGGCGACGCGACGGCGCGATCCACTGGGGTCGCACCACCCGCGTCGGAATTTCATTGGAACCCCCATAGAAGGTTTATGAATTACTAGAATCGAACGAAAAGAGGGCTTACACCGAGAACGAAATTTAATTGAACCTAAGAAATATTTCATTTGGAAAATTCAAGGAACGATCATTTAACGCGGATGCAACGTTCCTTCGGAATTGTGACGATTTACTTCGGTTCTAGTCAAATGATGATTCCTCGAATGAAAAAAATATTTCTTTGACTCGGTGAATTTTTTTTTTTCCTCTATGTAGGGGTTACGTGGGTTTAAAATGGGGATGGAATTTCGACTCGGGGGAAAGGAATTTTTTTGCGACGCATGGAAGGGCTTGTCCCGTTAGGGTGACCCCGACGCACTCGGGGCGGCGCTATTTGGCGTGGAACCGCGAGGCCAGTCGTTTAATCGGAAGCCGCCAAGCGATTTGGGATTTGTGCGATCGGCACCCATCTCCGGCAGATTTGGACACGCGTCCATTCGGAATCCATTCGCGGAAGTAATTGGCCAACCGCTTCCAGAAAAATTCTCGTCGCTCGATCATCTGGTTACCTTCAACCGGGTGATCGAACGCGATTTCGGGCGTGCTCATCTCTGCCCAGGTCGCCGTTAACCTATGTCTAGTTTGTTATGCCGTTTTATACTAGCGTAAGGCCTCTTCCCCCACGTATCGATCCCCGTCCCAGTCATCGTTCGTTGATTCGAGCCAGGATCGTCGGATTTTTTACAGCTTAGCGTCCTCCCTTCGCTCATCCCTTCTTTGAATTTTTTTTATCGAAGTGCGTCCAGTCGGCAATCAAATTCGGGGCTGGACATTGTTGTCGGGAAATGGCGTTGCGCAATCGTATCGCCGTCTCGCCCGGAAACGTGTACAAATCGGCGAAACGGCGGATCTGGGAAGGCGGGAATAAAGAAAATGGCAGGACGATTATCCGACTTCCTTCCTCGTCAAGAAATGCCGGAACGATTATCCGACTTCCCGTTTCCTCGATGAAACTGTCCAGCCTTGGGGATTTTAATCCTACGTTTCGCTGTCGCGTTCGATGCGTTGTACCTTGCTCGACATTTTGTTATCTAAAAAATCTAATCCATTTTTCCTCCTCGTTCTGGCGTTCTAAACGTGGCCGTCTTCGGCGCTTCTTTGTTCCTCGTCTTTCCACTTCTGTTCATCGCCTCATTCGCTCCTTAGTTATTCTTTTTTTTCCCCTAAACTCACGCGCCGTGACGCGGCGTACAATAAAGCGTTGTTGTCATTTGACCACGTGTCTGCCATTTTCCTCCTTTTTTTATGTAAATTTAACAACGAACCTCTCAGTAAAGTTTCACCTTACATGACGCGGGTAGGATATTCCGGAACGGTGAGCTGTAATAAATAATGACATTTTCATAAAAGTGGAAATTTATAAGTTACAGAATTTTTCGCGTGCCAACGATGTGCAGGTATCTCCACCTTATCGCTAAGGTTTCGGAAAGAAGTGCTTATCTGTTACTCCCGTTTCAACGTTGAACAGAAATCCTGAAAACCCGATACCACGTCGAGGTAACGAGTGTCGATAAATATTTATCACAAAATCGTTTAACTATTCGTTACTGTAACGACGTAGAAGGTATTCAACGGAGAGGTACGTACAGGGTAGTAAACGCAGCGTCAACGCAGTTTGTATGAAAAATTAACAATTCAACAAGACGTATCAACTATTTACAAAGTGACCTCGACAAAGGTAGTTCAAAGCGACAGCTTATCGTCCCGTGTCCCGAAAGATTACATACTTCTTTTCGTATAAAACTTAAATCCCCTTTTAATCACGCCACGAACGTCGCATATTTCCCGTCTGGATTTAAAAAATTATTAATACACGACGTGCCATGCATATTCGTTATTTCTATTTCTGATTCTACCGCACCAATCATGCCGAACGTCGCAAACCTTTGCAATACCTTTGTCAATATTTTTAATCAACCTCTAGAAGGTATTCGACGTAACTTAAAATCTATTTAAATAAATATATGTACACTCTTACGTTTAAGGCAAGGCCCTGAGCGGGGTCTTATGATAAACTAGATCTTTTTAAGCATCGCCGTAACTCGTGAGACTGTCACTAATTATTCTTTAGCGATAGTACCACAGGTGCGAAAACCTCGTTTTGATTAGATACCGGGTTAATTGGAGATCGAATCGCCGTTTCTACGAGCGATTCGCACCTTCGAACCCGGTGAGCAAAACTTGCTCAAGTACTTTTCTCTTACATCGTCGGAAACCAAAGGGCGTCCTACCGCCATTCGAGGTTTCTTAACAGAAAACATAATCCGACATGAAACCTTCCCTGGGACTAAAATCTCGTCAAGGAACCTTCTACATCTTTCCGACTTTCAAGATTTGTCGCTTTTGGTCGCCTCGGCGGTTCCATTGTCGTGATTTTTGTACGCCGAGAAGAACGCCAACGCCTTCATGAGCTGATAACTCTTGCTGATAGGAATGTTGCTGTCGTACAGTGACTTTGAAGTCTTGCAATCGACGTAGAACCACCAATTGCACTTCAAGATAGTTTGATCAAAGAGAGTAGACTCTGGGCATAGAAAACTCTTCATGATCAGTCCATCGTCCGTCAGAGCGCACACGTGGAAAACCTGTGAAAAAAGAAAAAATGAGTACACGGTATAAATATCTAGATAAAAAAGAAAAACGCCATTACCATGCATCCCAGATCCTCGTCGGCATAAAGACCAGGGAAGTGTTTCTGATCGCCGCAATAAAAGCTCGTTTCAGGAAGGTCGACCCGACTGGCAAAGTTGTCGTCGAAATTCTTGTCATACCCCACAGGATAATACTCCCGAGGCGCGTTCATGACTTTGGTCGCCCCCGCGTAATTGTTCTTGCTGGGAAATGATCAGAGTCCAAAACTAGGTTGCTTAAGATTAGGAATATCTCGGAGAAAAAATCATATCAACACTGAATACCTCTTAATAGGAGCATGGGTGGTCGTGGTGGTTGTGGTGGTGGTCGTCGTGGGTCCCTGTTGCTTCTGCATCAGCTGTTGCTGCCTCAACAAAATGGCAGTTTCAAGGGCCTCCAAAGTGATGTTGCTGGCGTCTGCTAGAGCTTTCAAGGACGTCTCCATGCCATGAATAGGTTCAAGAGAGGGAAGGGATGGGATCGCGGGCTGCAGCTTTTGAAATTGTTGCTGGGAGACTTGTTGCTGAATCGACTGGATGGACTGAAGGGAATTGGCCATTGGTTGAACGGAACGAAGCGTCAGCTGATTGACGGTGGACACTGCCTCGTCCGATGGCATGAGTGACTGAAAAAAAGTGCCAAACATGTTCAGCAATTAATGCACCCGAATTTATATCCTCTAGATATTTCTCGACGATGTTCCTAATTACCGAATAAAAATTCAACGACATCTTACCTGAGACGAGTCGTCCTTTGGTACTTCGTTCACCGAGTCTTCCAACAAAGTCGGACTGTTGCTGATTCTGTCGGTAAGTTGAGCGGAGGACTTCGGCATCGCTACGAAAGGAGGTAAGCCATTTTCCCCGGCGACGACTCCGGACCCCGGTTTTGGGACTTGAGCAACGACATTTTGAGCAACCGCGTTGTTTCCAGGTCCAACAGCCATGATGATGTTCGGAAGCCTTCCGGAAGTCGCCGGCGCCAAGCCCTGGGATAAAATCAAGAGAGATATTTAATAATCTGCACAAGAAATGTGCCCGTAAAACTAGGATGGAAAGTAGTTATATGTAAAGTACGACAAAAAGCCGACTTCCTCGCTTGAGAATTTTCCAACCGCATTCCTGGTATCAGATGCGGTTACTCTCTCGTCACCGCCCTCGAAAGAAAACGGGCAATACCCTTTCAACAATTCGTCGCGGTAATACCTCCAAATTAGGTATAGAAAATATTTATCCACCTCCGACGATCGGGCATAAAGTATAAAATAAAAAGAAACCCAGCGCCGCCAAAGTCCCATTCAATGCGGAGAAAGTTGAACAAACGTGTCATTGTGCTCGACGTAGTGCCCATTGACGGTGTACATATCAATGGCACTCGATTCAAAGAGGAAATTATGCGCGACGAAACTCGGATGCATTCAACGATTTCCAATTTTATACGCCACAAAGGCTAACTTATTAACTCGGCAACGGAACGCTCTTTCTGAAGAGGATTCTCTCCTCATCTAAAACCGGAACACGTCTCGGTCGTTCTGCCAATACCGACAGAGGCGTCTTTACGTTTTCAAGGAAGGCACCTCACCCGAGTAATGCACCGCTAGGCGTTCCACCTTTATTTGCAAAACGCGAAGGATAATAGCGAAAAGCTCTTCCAGTAAAGTAGGTTTTCCGGATGCAGGAACATGCCTCGCAGTAATTTGCAAACCGTTAGGTTGCACTCCCGTAGGTATGCACCGCGTTACCGAGTCCACCTGTGCACTTATTCCCGTTGCCAGGTGAATTTTAGTAACAACCTAAATAAATCCAGCAATCACCTGCACCCTCATAGCAGCCTGCTGTTGCTGGGCGAGTTTCTGCATTTGCTGTTGCCGCATGGCCTCTTGCTGCTGCATTTGCTGTTGCTTCAGCACCTGCATGGCCAGCGCCTCCTGCTGCAGCCTCTGCTGTTGCTGCTGCTGTAACTGCTGCTGCTGGATCTGTTGGTGTTGCAACAGCTGATGTTGCTGCTGCAACTGCTGATGCTGCTGGAGCCGCATCTTCTCCTCCTGCTGCAGTCGCTGATGCTGCCTGAAAGCCTCCTCTTGCATCGCTACCAAGGAAGGTGCAGGCATCGTCTTCAGGGCAGTCAGATTTTGTTGCACCACCAATCGCTGACGTTCCGGTTGCTGGGCCATGGGACGAGCTGCACCCGGTGGCAAAGGCTTGAAAGGTGGAACCACTCGGGTGCTCTGTGGAATCTGTCGGGGATCATTCCGGTTTGCGACCTGGAAATTCATTTTAACGTTAACACCTAATTTAAGAGACCTCCAACTCAACAAGTCTCGATATGACGTTCCTATTTCTGGATTGCGGAATCAACCCAAAGGCCGATTTTAATCGCGATTCTTAGCTCCTCGGGATTTAGGACGGCAGGAACGTTAAGGTAATCGACGGCTTTCTAAATTTTGACGCCGTGTCCCGAAGCCATCGGGGAATCCATATTACATCTGACCTTCTTACGTAAAATCCTCCAACGTGGGATGGTACCGCCTCGAATTTACGAAATGACCTTTTTTTTTCTCTCGTTCTTTTTTTCCACCTTTTTTTTTTTTTTTCTTCGAAACGATACTTCTTCTCTCCGTCGAAAGTACAGAAACTTTAAAGGCTGACCTTAAGAACCTGATTTCAAGGAACCGAGAGTTAGCGAACCTCCGCGAATTGTCTCATGTGCGACGCCATGACGTGTCCTTTGCGGCCAGTGCCATTTTGCGAATAAGTCAAGAGGTGTTATATCGATGACATCTACTTAAGTAACCGGCTCTCGAGAAAGAATCGAGGCGTTCGGCAATGACAAAGAGCCCGACTATTCGAGCTGTTCTCTATATTATGCAAGCGGAATTAAATAATTCCAGAAAGTAAGAAACGAGTCACCTAGTCAGGTTTGCCGTGTCAACGCGATAGTTCCTCTCACCGTAAACGGCCGCGTGCGAACGGCGTCCTTGTGAATTTTTACGAGGCCAAAAAATCGTCCCCCGTGCACTTTAATCGACACCGTTGCGTAATTACGACCCCAGATCGGCGTAAAAACCGGCGATTAATTATCCGAATGTCCTCGGAAATTCGGCAAAAATCCGCGAGAAGGACCTCTCGGCGGCGTCGCGTTTAACGCGTCTAAATCCAAGGTGACAACCCGGAGGGTAATGGCGCTCGGTAATGACAGAAAGTAAGCCACGTGCAGGTGCAAATTGCCCCCCGCGGATACACTTTCAAGCTAGTATTTAATTCGGGGAATTGTCCGGGGTATTTTGCAAACCGCTGCTCCCATTCGCGAGATTTGAGTTCGCGTAGAGAGACGTCGACCTCGCCGGGGCTCAGTGGACAATTATATTCGTGATAACTATCACTTGTCGGTAATGCGACACCGAGGAAGAATCCCGGACTCTTCCTTTGGGCTGGGATTTTCCATTTTCGCCCGGAGTAAGGCCGTGGATGCGTTTCTGCCCGAGCTGCTGCAGAAATGCATCGTCCACGCCGCCTTGCACGGCGTGACTGCCGGATGAGTTCTTTCATTCCTTTTCTCGTGGCAGACACATTATGAAACGAAAGTAGTCCAGCCTTGCGATATTCGATTAGCGGCGGCAACGACCGGCTCCTTGTAAAGCAGCGTCCACAATGAAACGGCCACTCTGGAGCAAAGTCCGGAGGCTCGGGCTAAAAAGCGATCTCTCGGTGTCGTGAATAATCGCGAATATCCTCAAGAGAGAGAAATCGTCTTTCCCCGGACGTAAATAAATACACAAAGAACCTCGTTTTCCCCCGACAGCGAACCCTGGGGAATTATTAAGGGGGATTTTTACATTTTTATGGTCTACATTCAAGGGAATATCTCCTATTTCGAAGTCGGCTTCGCGGAGATGGGAAAACGCACACCGCTCGCTGTGCCGATCGCGGGAAAATCCAAGGAATTGCAAGTATCACAAGGACGAGCTGAAAGTGGATCGAACTATTTGAATGTTCGTGCTCCTTGTGTATCGACGAAGACGGAATGGTGCATCCTCCTGGACAAAGGAGCAAAAAATCCCGGCCTCCCTGGGGAGGGACGGGACTCCGAAAAGGAAAAGCGAGGCGATTAATTGCAAGCCACGGTCGGTGAAATCCATCCACGAAATCGCTACCGAGGTCAGGGAGTCGCTTCGAGGCGGAAAAAGAGCGAAAAGAAAACGGAGGGTCGTAATATTCCGGGCCGGCTTCGCAGTGAAACGATCTCTACGCGTTCGATCTTTCCGACTGCGAACTCGAGACTTTCCTTGAACCGATCGGATCCGAGCTCCGAGGAAACGTCGTATCCTTACGAAAATACGCAAAAGATTGCCCTCGACACGCTCCATTAACTCTCGGCTAGTGCCCGGTATCTGCATGAAATTTCTGCATGAAATTTCTGCATGAAATTTCTGCATGAAATTTCTCCATAAAATTTCTGCATGAAATTTCTCCATGAAATTTCTGCATGAAATTTCTGCATGAAATTTCTGCATGAAATTTCTCCATAAAATTTCTGCATGAAATTTCTGCATGAAATTTCTCCATGAAATTTCTCCATGAAATTTCTCCATGAAATTTCTCCATGAAATTTCTCCGTGAAATTTCTCCATGAAATTTCTCCATGAAATGGAAATTCCGTCACTCACTATGGGAGATCCTACGGGAACCGCGTTCCCTCTTCCCACTTGGACGCTCCTCCTCTTGCTGCTCTCTAGGTTGGACAAGGAGTCTCGGAATCCCAGCTCATCCCCGATGGAGAATCCTGAAACGTGAGAGAAAATCAGCGGCTACGTTATCACCTTAATGGATAAATAAATAATTACGATAGGGAGTTAAATCTAGCCACGTGGACTCCCGTGCGGACCTTCCACATAAACCGACAGGCTGGATTTCTTTTTACAGGGGAGGGTGCGTACTCCAATTATTTTCTATTTATCGCCGTCACAAATTGCCGCCCTCGGGGCCTCTTAAAAAAAATCGCGAAACATGTTCGCCGAACCAGTGCCGAGTAATTACCCTTCGCGAGAGAACCGTGTAAACGCAATCCCATGATTAATATCATATAACGCCGACTTAGGGTGATATCCAAGTTATATACGTATGTACATTTTTTTTTTTAACCTAGTACCATTCCCACCGAATATTAAATTTCTCCTTATTTACGCAAGTTAATTATCTGGATAGATAATGATGCCGCGATTAAATGCGAAATATATCCCTTGAGCGGGTCTTTTTCTTTGCGTACTTTCCATGCTCGGGTTGCGTACTTTCCGGTACGTAGGAACGGGAAGTACGATTTTCGTCCGGGACTTTTAAACGCGATCCACTTTGTCCTGGTCCACGATGCATGGCACGACCAACTGGCATGTAACTACCCGATGCACCCGATTCGACCAATGCAATTGCGACGTAATCCCGGAATAATCGTACAATTATTCTGAAAAATGTCGAAATTCCAGAAGAGGGCTTCCCTCGACATAATTCGTTCACCATGAGAAGGACAGGAGAAAAATGGAAGAAAGCGATAAAAATCAGAATTCCCCTCGAAAGGGGAAAATTAAATCTACGAGAAGGTAGGTAAGCGAAGTAACGAGATTCCGCGATTGCTCATTGAAAATAAAAAAAATCGAGCACAGGTGGAGGAACGCCTTCAGCTTGGAGACGATCGAGGGCATCGCACGTATCTCGATCGAGACACTTTTTCCAGCGATCTAAGCTAGGTCGAGACGATGAATAAATCATGATGGACGTTTAAAATAATCCTTTTTTAGGTCGACGTGAATACTTGGGTTAGAACAAGGGGCAAGGCGTGTCGCAAGTCGACTCTCCCAGACTTTGATCCTGTACATGCCCTGAGGATAAAATTGCGCGACGATTGCTTCGATACGACAGGAAGGTGCGAATGATTAATGAAATCATCGACGATCGCTTGGAAACGACCCGAGGAAATTCTCTGATAAGACGAAGGAACAATTGAATTCATCGATACCGAGTCTCGCCTCGAGTAGACGCGACCAGATCGGTAGCCAGCTTAAGGAGTAGCCATTCGACGTAATCGTGCCATTTTTTTTCCCGAACCCACGATACGATAAATGCCGGCATTACGGTAATTATATTCCTTCAAGGTAAACGTGCGAGCGTGGCGGGGAAATTTTCCCTAAGAGATGCTGAAAGAGCTATTGCACTCCCGTGTTCCTCCGACTGGCTCTCAAGGGTCAGCCATTATGAACAAATTTCTCCCTTCCTCGATTAACTACGAAGAGGGACTCCTAACGAATCCCGTCGTTATTAAAGAGGGCAGGGTGCATCGTTTACAACTTTTGCGCAATTAGGCGCGCACGTTAACTGCAACCGACTGTCCATACGTCGCAACGGTGACACTTTGCACCTGTCACTTTTTACACCTGACATATCTTTCTAACCCCGACTTTCTACGCGGATCGTCGTCGCGCTCCGATAGGCTCGATAATTTATGACGTATTAACCATCCCACTCGGATGTCATTTTTTGAGGCCCCCTGCACGTACGCGCTTATTATCTTTCCCCTTAAAAATCGAAAAATCGAGAGAGACCTAATTACCCGTACACCGTACGGGATAAAACAAACCTAAGTGGCCGTTAATCGGGAATACTCTTTTGCGTTGATTGCATTTCCCTTGTTTTACGGCGTCTACCTTTACGGGGCAATTAATGCTAACGCGTTACGAGGTCGGTTTTTCGCCTTTTATCGACGGATCAAGGCGAGGAGATAGAAATCTGATTGCAACTAAGCCTAGCTCGTTTGCCGTAGATCCGAACGAGAAAACCTCTATATGTGTAATTAAAAATAACCGTGCGCGATGAACAATATTTATAACGGTTCATGCAGAATCGATACAACAAACCACTCGCCCTATCGCGTAGGGAATTACTCGGAGGCCACATTTGCATCACAGGTCGGATATTTAACGAAGACCTGGAGCATTTCGAAACCGATCGGTATTGCTCACAGTTGAACACACTATAATTTTTAAGACGTTGCCCTTGGACATTGCACAACGTGCGGCCTTTTACTCGCGGATGAATTCGTAATGATCGGAGAGCTCTCCATCGATTCGACGTGCTTTACGGAGTCGATCCGCGACATTTGTAGACCGACGAGGATGAAGAGCATTTTTTTTTCCCCCAAGACGTGATCTATTATTTTTTATGCATTTTTTTTCTCGAATTTCCCTTCAATCGTATTAACCCGTCGGTTTTTGGTAATAAACAAAATCGGTCTCGGTCCGGGTCTTACAAAAAATACAAAACTAAGGCCTAGATGTGGACCGACGAAAATGAAGAACCTCTCAACCCATCGTATTTTTCGAATCCCTTTGATATTATTAATTGTTGTATTAATTAATAGCTGAAGAAACCTTAACGTAACGATTAGACTATGGTCGCGCTACTTTCGCATCGGTTTCAAGGTCACGCGTTCGACAAGAGCTTCCCCCTAAGTATTTCAAGGCCACGCGAAGAAGTCGTGCTTTTGCCCTGAGAATTTCAAGGTCACGCGTTCTAGCCGTGATTTTTATTTTTTAAGGTCGCTCGAATTAATCGCACCATCGGGGGAAAATGACCATTGTGTTACGAATAGGTTCGATTGGGAGGGTGATATTTCTTTTTTTTTTTTTTCAATTTGAAGCTTTTTTGAGCTCATCTTCAAGTCGGCGGACACTCACCGAGGCCGACGTAGCCTTTGACGCCCCCGAGGTTTCGAACTCGGAAGAGGCCGGATTTTTTGAAGGCGCAGTTAAGCATGAAACCAAAATCCGATTCCAGGACACAAGTGCCTACAGTCTCCCGCCATGTGCACCCTAGAAGCAAACCGGAAACACCATCTTTTAGGGGCTGTTCAGCGCCATTTTGCCGGGTACACCTATACTCCCCTCGTGAAAAAACCTCGGCCGTGGAAATGGACGCCCTCGGGCTCGAAAAGCGAATTTCATATCTTTCCTCGATTTCGAGTCGATTTTCGAATTCGAGCTCGTCCCATAACCTTCGATCATGGCCGAGGCTTTGACGAGGGCTGTGCTATGGATCCTCGCGTCCGTAACGTCTCGCGTCTCGTGTGGTCTTTGTATAAATACTCGATTTAAATGTTTCCAGGTCTCACAGGAGGTGGAATTACATGGGTGAAGTGAGACTTTCAATGGCTTTCGAGGGGGGCGTAATGTGACATTATTAGGGGTACTTCGCCGATCGGGCGGAGGAGGAGAAAACTCGACGGTGGGTCAGCTGACCCGGATTTTTCCTCACCATCTCGTTTACGGTAAATCAATCATAATGTTGAACGAGTGATCCCCCCGTAAATAAATATCCCGTCCCTGGGTAATTGCGGCAAGAAAGCCTGATTTCGCTGTTACGCTTTCCCCCGCGTTGGATGGATTTTAGGCATCGATCCTGGTATCGGAAGATCCTTTCTAAAATCGACCCCTAGGTAATTTCCCGCGGGAATTGCCCCGATCTCCACGATACGCTTTTTCCCAAGTTACAGCCGATATCGATCTCGATCCCGATTTTCGAACGTTGGATCGCCTTCTCCATACCGTGACGATCGCGGCCGCGGATGAACGATCCCTAGGAATATTCCTGGCCATTTGCGGAGAAGTAAGAACGGCCTCTCCGTACCATCGCGAAACTTCTCGCTCTCCCTGTCAGCCTCTAAAATCGCGATCTCGACTCCCATCTCTGTACGAGCGATAAATATTGCAAGCGAAGGCAAAAGTAGTTTCACGATCGGCGTCCAGCACATGGCTGCTCCACATTTCCACATCCTGCAGCCTATGAGCACTTCGCGATTCGGGCCTTCCTACTTTCCGCGGAGTGAAAAAATATTTATAACCCGTCCAGACATCTCGATCTCCGATTCCGATATCTACCGAGACGCCTCCTGGAAATTCAGGTGTCTCGATCCGGTACAGTCGTTCGCGAGAAATCCGTGAAATCCGTGAAATTGGTAATATCCGTAAAGTTAACGAAAAAAAAAAAAAAATGCCAAAAATCCCGGTAACGAAATCCAGCACACCGATCGGTTCAAGATCCTCGTCTCTACGTTATCTCGATTAAAACGATTAATAATTGTTCGCCGATTGCGACGGAGCCTTCGAAATTTTAGCCGCTCTCCTGCCCTCCGAGCATAACGGCACTTCCCCCAGAAACCAGATTAATTTTTTTATTCCATCCTGGAGAAAGTGCTCGCGATGAACGCGAGGGAACGCACGTTCGATATTCTCTTTCGGGTCGGCGGATCCGAGAAAGAAACCCTCGATAGTCGATTCGAGGAAGCGCAAAGTTGTTCGAAAAAGAGAGGTCGTCGAATCGGTAAAGTCGGAGACGAGTCAGCGGGCCATAGCCCAGTAACCCACTTCAAACCTGAATCCTATAATATCCAGGAAAAATGACTTTCTCGAATCCGCATCGCTAAACACCTTAATACCCCTCGCGACGTGGCTTTTTAAAAATCTTCAATTTTTTAAATTTTATCCGAACATCTCGATGCCACTGTCAAAGTTCCTACCCAGTAGTGTTAATTCCTCTGGGCATAAATTCTATAACCCAGGAGAAATGACTATCATAATTTGACATGATTCTAAAAAATTGCACATTTTTATCTCGCTATTCGGAAGTATTGATTGTCGCTCATTTTTTAACGACTCCGGGCGATTTGCAAACATTCACAATCAGAGTGGCGTTTACGCCTCTGGGAATTACCGCGGTTACCCCGCCCCGTTGTGTAATCATCATAGTTTTCCACGAGCGCAATTGTACTTGTCGAGGGTACTAAAAGTGCACCGTGACTTTTTCCACTAACTAGGAGGGTAATGTCGTAGCCCGTGGGAGAAAATCACGCGCCTCTCGTTTCATTGTCCCATGGTCGATGTGTCTTTCGTTATTTCCCGAAATAAAGAAAAATTTAACGAGGTAATTAAACACATCCTAATTCGACGACTCGGCCCGATTCATTGTTCATTCTTCGAGGCTCGTACTTAGGATGGAACCGTGTCACTGCTTTCAAATGTCCGCCTAACTCGATTGCTCCAAGAATTGTCGGGTGCGAAGAGCTAAGCAAACCGAAGGATAAGGTCGAAATCGTTACCGTGAACGTCCGCGTTAAGCAACGAACGTAAGAATTCGGGTCATTGGAAACGAAAACGACTATTTCGAGTCATTACGGTTGCCTCGTAGGGGAAAAATCTCCGCTAAAGCCTCGCTTTGGCGCTCTTTTGAAATAAACGAAAGGATGGGCTCCGTGACCGGAGCAATCGAGGCTAGAAAGTGTCCACCTTCGAAAAATCTCAACACACTTCGACCGGCCCGATTCCCTGAATACCTGATCGACGAAGATACAAGAAAACAGTGTGTGGGACCTTTTGCTCGTGAATAAAACATTTATTCCAACCTGCGGTCTGATCGACCGACATTTTCCGAATTTCCGAGTTATTAAAAGAGAAAAAAAAAAATCAAGGTCCCTAGAAATCCATTCGAGATATTTTACGGACATCAATTTAACGTCGACACGACTCGCTGGATATTTGGTCCACCGAAAAAAAGGGAGTTTCGTGTAATCCCCTCGGCAAAACGTTAATCCGCTGAACGAGAACTACTGGGGGGCCCTCTTCTTGTCCGCGACTATTTAGTCGTTCAACTACCATGACATAAGAGAGTGATATCTTATGAAATATTCCGGTAACTCGGAGACTATCGACCACGCCAAGTCACGAGAAGAAATCCTCCTCGTCATAGTCTCGTCCTCGAAATGAGATATTAATATGTATGCCCCACTAACTCAACCCCTGGAATATTGCTTGGAAATAGGAAACGACATAAACCCCGTTGCAAGAATTTTATGAAGAATAGTTAAGTACGTTAGTATTGCGGTGGAAAGTCACTTGCAGGATTCCGTAATTATTTCGACTTTTTATTTTTTTTTTCCTTCTTACCGACGCGTAAGTACCGTGACGTAAGAAAGAGCCGACTGACGTGCACTTGCTACTATGTTCAATTTACACCGCGGATGTCCAGGCGGTAAAGAAATCTTCTTGAGAAAAAATTCAGCATATAAATCAAATTCCACCGCGAAGCGAAAGTATGACTTTTACTGGCAATGTGTTAGCTGTATACTAATGAAAGATCTCCCTATAAGAATCTGAATCGCCAAGAAACTTTTCCCAGGATTTGCGATAATTATTTTTGCATTTTCACCCCGTTAAGATATTTTTAAGATCCACAGATTTTTGATACGCTTTTTTTTTTTAACAATGCAGGATTAACGGGGACACTTTCCGAAAGTTCAACGATGTCCCGCGATCGATTTCATTAGCTGGAATATATGGAATGTCCATTTTCCTCCCCAACTAAACGCCCCCTTATCATTTCTGCTTTTCTCTCTTTTCACCGTCTTTCTAATATCCGTACAATTACAGACTCTCGATACCAGCTCGGCCCAATTTTCTAACGACCCCATTATTCTTGCTCGATGTACCGGAAACCATAATTTCTACACATTTCACTAGTCTCGACGTACGTCTTCATTTTTTTCCCCTCGCGATTACAAAATTAGAATCACGTTCCTCGTGACCGCTAGAATTAATTACACTCTGTACGTTGACATTACACGGGGGTGCGAAAAAGCAGGAAGTACCGGTACACCGGAAATTTCGGGGATGTAATATCGGAATGCTATGTACAATACTTGGGGGAAAAAAAAAAAAAAAAACTGTCTACCGAAATTAGTTAGTGGAATGAGAACTGAAGTCATAGATTAATGAGAGATGACAGAGTGGTAATAGTCAGTCGAGAAGTCAGGAGTCAATAGCACAGAGAGAATTAAGTGTTTATAATACAAGATATAATACAGGTTATAATACAGCGGATAATATAAAATATATCGATAACGTGCTCAAAATCGATGTCCATTTTTCCACTCTCATTACAGACTTGTCTAACATTCACGGACAGTTAATTAAATTTAATTGCTCGGCGCGAGTAAAACGCTCCGTAATTATCATTGATCGCGATCAAATGTAATTGTAAAGAACGACAGTGGAAAATAGAAATTGATCTTAAGCGATTAAAACAAGTCCGTGGTTCAAGTCCACTTGGCCGTAAAAGCCACATCCTTGTTCCGTCCGACCCAATACCGTTTTTGCAGCAAAGTGGACTTGCACTAATTGCGGACAAAGTCCGCAGACGTTACTTTTAAACCGACCCATTGTCCGTCACTGACCAGCCCAACGATTAAACCGAAGATAAAGTAAAATCAAAGCGACCCCTCATTGTGTGATAATTCCCGCTCGGTCGCGACCTCGCATTAATTTTTCCCACGAATTAAATCCCTCGTCCAGAAAATCTGAAGAGTCCATTTTCCAAAAATTCCCACGTCCCATCATATTGTTATCAGGGAATAAAACGACTGATACGGCGAAATCGAGATCAGCAGACCGGCAGCTTTTCATTTCCACGGTAAATCACGAAAAGAACCGGTAACTAATTAGAATCACGTTTCGCGGTCATTCCTGGAGATTAAAACCACATCCGTTATCATTTATTAGCATTTACAAACTGCCGAGAAATTCAGAGGTAGGTAATAAGCGAATCCGGTTCCTCTCTCGAGACGACCCGGAGCAAACCAGGCCGCGCACCAAAAACGCACACGGTAAGCACGTAAAAATAATTTCAATCCTTTAACGCCCCCATACGCATGTCCATCTCGCGCGAATACATTAATCCTACATACACCCGCATGCGTATGTCCATCTCGCGCAAATACACATTTGCCTTAAATCCTCGAATAATTAGCACCGTGCATACCGTATGCATCCATGGTGTGGACAAGTAAGGGGGGAAAAAGATTTAGGCCAACGTACCGACCACCACGAGGAGAAACAAGGTCGTAGGGATCTTCATGGGTGCTGGTCCGGGCGTCGGTCGTCAGGGGGAAATCTTGCCGCCTGGCTCCGACTTTCGGAGCCGAATTTAAAACCCGAGAGAACTCTCGAGTCCGCGCGACAGGTGCCTCGTGCTCGCGGTCACTGATATCGAGCTTATGCCCGAGGAAGGAAACCACTTGGCCTTAGTCGGAGTACTTTCAGAGCGTCGAGCCTCCCCCCTCTCGAAGCGACCCCACCGCGCGCGCGGGCCCGACTGGTCCCGCGTGTACGGCACCGACGCGTTTCCATGTACACATAACTTACCGAGAGGTGCCGTCGATGCCGCTGACCCACTCGGACGAAACGATAACGGTACTCGCCCTGGTGCGCCGGCGCGAGAAAACCGAGCCGAGTGCCTAATCTCGGCGGCCGACTGGACCGCCGAAAGGCGGGGAAAGTCCTCGAGGTCAAGGAAATTCTAATCTGGATTGGAACGGATCTTCCATGAGATAACTTCCGCGAGGACGTCACACCTTGACTGTGCGCTTTACCCGAACAGGTCCGCGCAGCATCCCCTCCTTAACCCTTGATATTAAATTCAATAAATATAAATATAGAAAAGAAATGTCTCGTTAAAACGTATATTTCCGTATCGCGTTCTCGGTTGTTATTTAACCCCTTGGATAAATTAACTTGCGCGAAATCCAGGCAAAAGTCTGACTCGGGATGTTCATGTTCGAGGATTGTTATCAATTGTAATCACCTGAGTTAGAGGGTGGTACGGTACTAGATTATGTATAGTATGTGCAGATTTATTATGCGACGAGATCGGGATGGGATTTATTATTTTCGATTGTCGGACCTTATGCCGGTATCTGGATTAAGCCCGAAAGGAAAGCGGTTGTTTCGATTCCGGAAGACCGTACGTGCACTTGGCTACTCGGAAGGCTGCAGTAGGTCAAGGCTCGGTAGGTATGAACACCAGGACGCGTTCAAATGTACAGTTGGGATTTAACTGCGTGCAGTTAACGCACTGCACGTCGAGGAATATTTCGCGATGCTTGGGAAGGAACGCGGTCGGCGACTGCGTTGACTCTTCGTTCTAGCGTAATGGCGGAAGGAAGGAATAAACGTCCTGCGTACTCGGGTACGTGACCGAGGACTTTCGTTTACTCGCAACGTCAAGGTTGTTCGTCAAAAGCCTATAAACCTAGATTTAAGGAGGTTTAAAATCTTGTCGCTTCCAAGTTCATAAAATGCCCCTAATTGGGATACTTGCCGGCTAATAATCGTTTATGGAAAGCGAGAGAGCTCGCGATTAAAATGTGCTCGACGGGAGACGAAGGGGTTGTGGAAGAAACAAACCCCGCAATAATGCCGGACCTTTCCAAGCGTCAGCTGTTTTATTTCTCCTCGTTTTCCTAACATTACTCTTTTTTGTACAGATCACAGTTAAGATAAAATTATTCATATTATCGGAATTGCTGACCGTATACAATATCCCTTTCGAATGAAACACATGTCGTGCTGTATGACAATTCGCACGGTTGTTCAAGGAAATAACTTATACTGGAAAATGACGAGCGAGGACCCAGCTTCTAAAAAGGGACGTTTCAATATCCCCAGCTATGGTTAACAGATTTAACGTTAATTGTATTAGTTTCATCGGACAGAAACTGAGAGAAACGAAAACTGGGGTCAGCGAGGATTAAAGTCCGGGGAGGGCTAACTCTGCCTTTTATCGATCATTTTTATAAACCGCAATGTTATGACTATGTAAGGTGAACAATAAATATATTATCTGACGTAATTTACGTGGATTGATTTTATGGATGAATTCTTCGTAACGAGTCATGGATGCAAAAATGTAAAAATCGTTCGTGTGGAAATACGTTGATATGGTATCTCAATGGATTCTATCATATTTCTGAAAATGTACCCTAAGCTCTTTTACCAAGAACAATCTGTTACGTTACAATGATCCTCTCTTCTACCTCGTTTATTTTATACGCGGCACGTAAAGAAATATTTTCTTAATACTTTCAGAAGATGCACGATAAATACAATTTGGCAACTAATTCTTTTTCAATTCACTTGGTATTCAGAATTCCCTTCAATCATGTCGTAAAAATTGATGTTTGTTTATTCACCTAGCAAATCTTTTCTTTGTAGACATTTGAACACTTAATACATTGTAAGATTTACAACAGTTATTATTCAGCGATTAAAAGTAATGAAATATTATTAATATGCAATCCTCTGTGAACAAATAATAAAAATAATAGTAATATTCACAACACACATTCCTAGGAAATTCATTACTCAATGGCTACATCAGAAAACGGATTGTTAATGATATGAATTCTTTATAAACCTTCCTTTGTAAAATCACTCGGACGAATGAAGACCATCGAAACCCAACTCTAAAGCTTTGAACGATGCTGCAACCTGAATTGATTATGTCTGATCATCGTCAAAAATGCAATGGCAAATCACAGGCCAGAATTATGTATACACTAACAAAACTCTTGTTAATGAAATAAATATTGTTCCGATAGAGAACAGTCTTACGCTCTGACACAACCAGAAATACTCTTTGATCGAATACATTTTTTTTCATTGTAACGTATGAACCAATCCCACTGTCTTATATAAAAAAAGATATTGCTTTCAATGGAAGTAAAATTTTCTTCGGTGTGCACAATTCTTGCTAATAATTCAAATATAGAGAATAATTAATAAAAAGCAGAACGCTAACTATAGTAGGCAGTATCAGTGTCGGCATGAACTTACAAGTACATTGTCAACTAGTACAACCGTAAAGGTAACCGTTTAAACTAATGTGTGCTTCATCATAATGATATAGAACGTAACAAATCCAAACTGTAAAATTAATTGTGTTGCATATTATATTCATGAAAATTGTTTATTGTAGGCGTTGTAACTCTATAGATACCCCGAAGATCATTAAAAGTACTATTCCCGGCTGTAGGTACCACACAAAGGAAAAATTACTGAGGATAAGTTCTCCACGAACGTATTATATTTACTTAAATCAATCAAAATAAAGAGCCAAGAAATATACCTGACTGTTATGTCATGACGTGTTAACCAATCGAATGCTAATTAAGTTATCCATAATAAAAAGACGTACAAGATTTTCCAACATTAACTTACCGACTAGTGATTAATTAAAAGATGAAACTCATTGGAAACCACAAAGTGCAATTATGATGGATTCGTCTGACATTCGTGCGAGTGCGAGGCACATAAAATCATCATCTATAATGTATTTGTATCTATAACAGTAAGAATGATAGCCCAATGTGTTGTAAAATAAATACATTTTCCTTGGTTTTTAAGTGTGTAAGTAATAATTGATGGACTTTTGATTTGTGTGGCTATGAAGATCCCGTTACAATAATTTTACGTTCCTCCATAACATTTTTAAATCCAAGGGCTTTATTTCATTTCTTCTTTTTCTTTCCATCCTGGAAAAAAAGATATAGCTAATAATGATCAATAATCATAAGACGTATATATGGAAAATTAATTTTGCAAGATTTTACCTTTCCTTTCTTAGCTGGTCCTGGACTGCTGGGTTTACTGTTAGTGCAGTTCTCAGTTTTACCTGCAACTCCTGCTGGTTCTTGTTCTTCTCTTACAGCAGATCCTGATGCCGCCATGAGTTTTTCAACTAGATTTTTTGAATCCTGATCAATAACTTTTTTCATTTCTTCAGAAAGGCAACCCTGTATATGTTCTATCTCTTCTGTTAACTGTTGACAGTCTTTTGTGAGATCATCAACTTGCTGAATATCTTCTTCCGTTGTAGCCTGTTCTATGCCATCTTTCATTTGTTCAAAGTCTTTCGAGAGATCATGGGTTGGTTTAATCGTAATTACATTTTCCTCCGTTGAAGCCTCCTTGGGTAATTCAGATCCAGTATTTGTCATTTTTTCACCTAACTGTATTAAAAGGGACGTTCTCTCCCGTTGGAGTGCTCTACATAATTCTTGTAAGAAGACTAACTTTTTACTAAGAGACGCTAACTCTGTATCTTTCATTCGTTTATCCGCTACCATTTCAAGGAGAGCTGCGTGACTATTTTCCCATCGCTGCTTCCACAATGTAGTTTCTTCTTCTAATTTTAGTATCTTCTTTGACATCTAAGAAGCAGGAAAAAGTAACATGTTAAAATTTCTTCCAAAAAAACTGTTCCCTTTTCAGATTTTTAATAAATTTCTCACCTTCTCCATCTCTTCATTAAAACCACCATAAACTTCATTACTCCTGGTTAACGCATTTTGAAATTCATCATATTTATCTGTATAAATACTAATTTGACTTCTTAGGTCTACTTCCGTTGCTTGAAGTTCTCGTATTCGAACTTGATATTCCGTTAGGTTCTGAAACAATAGACAAGTCTAATTAAGGAATGCTATTAGATTTTATATAAAGAAGATAACCACAGAAATATTTTATTTCTAATATAAGCTCCATACTGCCCTTACCAATAAAAGGCGTTGTTTCTCTTTTAAAAGGGCCTCCTTTTCTTCTGCCATTTCCATTTTAATTTTTGCGTATCCTGCTTCTGCGAGCTGCGTCTGAAACTGCATTTGTTGCAACATTTTTGTGACTTGCTGTTCTCTAAGTGCAAACTGTTCTCCAATGGATTTGAATTTTTTACTGAGCTCCAAATTATCTTCATACATTTTAATATTCTTTTCATTGCTCTCCCGAAGGAGGGCAGTAATTTCTCCAACGGTACTTTGAAATTTTGCAGAAACCTCTTTCCGTTTCTCTTCCTCTTCCCTGACCTTCAATAAACCTTCTTCCTTTACAGCTTTATTTTGTTTTTGTAATTCACGGCACAAATTTTCTAACCGACTTCTTGTCAAAATAGCTTTACTACGTTCTGTTTGTAACTGTTCCTTCTCCCTTTGGATCATAATAATTTTCTTTTCGGATTGTTTTAATGACACCTGCAACTTTCGGTATTCATCGACAACCTCGGCATACTTTTTACACATTGCCGCCAGTTTCTCCTCAGGCTTCTCGATATTGCTTAAACTCTTTAAAACATATTCCACACTTTTGTCATCTTTCTTCCTCGCTCTCTCCTCCTTTGAATATTTTTTGTCCTTTACATGCTCGATAGGTTTAATCTGAAACATAAGGAATGTATGCATGTAAACGACAATGAAAATACTAAAATATTACTTTTTCAATTCACAAGATTGCCTTCGTCCTTTGTATCTCTTTGGATCGTTGGACAGATAGTAGTGACTCGATTCGATCGATCGGAAGGCTCAAGAGCTGAGTAGACAGTGTCTCTCCAGTAAAGCTGTAAATCTTCAAACTCCGTCAAAGGATGATACAAATACAATGTACGTGTGCATTTTCAATATGATAGTTATTCTCTCATGCAAAGTGATCAGATAAAAACAATATACATGTGAACTCCAGATGCATTTCTTAGGACACCAGAATGCCCCTTAAATAAACAATTTTTCAGTATCTAATCGTATGTCGATTCAAACAGGAAGATGCGATTCATCGCTAACAGCCCGCGGTTATTACAAAATCAGAGGTCGGAAATGTGCCCGCGCGCAGTTGAGGTTATGAATGCCTGCGATTTGTACACACACGACACTAACCTCGTTTTTCTTCTTCTCGGTAGCCTCCGTCTCGATATTTTCGGAGGTCTCGGTATCCATTATCTACAAGTCTGTAAAATACAGGTGATGTTAAACAATTTCGTAATCTATATTAGAATTTAACGATCAAACTCCAGTGAAATTAACACAGTTCCGCCATTGAAAACAAATGGCCGCGGAAGTGCGCCCGAGGTGAACTAGAGCGCCGGATATATCCTTTAGAAAATCCTATACAAATTCCAAGTAGTTACAAAGGTTACAAATAAACCTAATCGCATTTACCATCGTGCGCAGAATATCAATTAAAACAAACACTTCGCTCTAGATCCGATTGTAAAAAGTAGTATTTCCGAAAAGCAAGCCGCTTATATTCGGATACTTCTGAAGTTTCTATTGCACGAGTTTCTATTTCTGCCTCGGATCATTTTTGGAGTTACGGAACATCGCGGTATTGTTGAGAATGCCCAAAGTATTTCCACTGGAATTACACGACATAATTCTTCGAAGGATCTTTTATTTTATATTTCTGAGCATCCGATCCCGGCCAAAAATATGCATTTCGTGTTTCCTGAATCTTACGTCTCAAAGACATGCACTCTTTGGTGCTTTATAAATATCTAGGACATATTTGAAACATTTCGGGTATTTTTGGGCTTTCAGTCATTGCGCAAACATATACGTACACTCGATACTCTTTCAACCACGCGGTACTTGAGCAGTAACACCGAATTCAGCGTCTATTTCCTTAGCCACGCGTTACACGAATTCTTCCTTTACATCACCATCTAACTCACGACTCAAAACTGAGAATGATAGAACAATATCGTCGACCTTCATCGAGTGCTATTAATTCTTGCCTAATGACGGTTTGGTAGTGCCAAGTATTCGAAACCGTAACGGATTCGGCACAACGTTCGCTTCGAGCTACACACTTTCAGCCGGTGTTCTCATTACAGTTTAGCGACTACTACACGTAATAATTAAACCTATAGCGAGTTACGATGGAAGATATTTACCAGATTAATTAGCGCTAAGTTCCAAGGGTAAGCAAGTGGCAGTGAAAACGAAGAAATTGGAAAAAGTCGGCAAACGGTGGCCGCGAGTTGTACGGCGCGAGGAAAGGCGGTCGAACACCGGGTTTATTTTCAGATTATTTCTATAATTAGACCCGTGGGAGCTGAAACGAAGTAGTTGACGGGGGACATGTTCAGCAATCAGCGGTCAGTGTTACTGACAGAACGCGAATGATGGTTTACTTTGAGTAGACGAGCAAGCGAAATCGAGAACGCGCTGACGTTTGATCTGTTTGCCCCTTAATGAAAATTACATCCTGGGAGTTTGATAACGGAGACAGGGTCGCGATAGTACATAATCTGATTCCTGGCGACTTATGTTCGATCCTCTGTATTTTATACATTTTTTTCTACACTAGAACGAAGGAATGATATATAAGTTTCCGTAAAGGTGTGTTTAAGCGTAAAGAATATTCTACTTATGTAAATAGATTTACGAGTTAAAGGTAATAACGTGGGAGCGGCTCGTTATTTATCCGCTTCTTGTCAAACCTTTATGTTGGATGGAAAATGCCAACCGGAAATAATATGAGCGCGTTTTTTATTGTGTGTAAGTGCGGCATCCACTCGATCCCCGAAAATGGTTTGATGTATTATAAATGGAACGATTCTTATGCAAGTACTTCCCTCGACTCGATTAAATTATTTAAATGGAATTCCTCGTCATTTTCGACGCTGCCCATTGTATGCTTATAATGAGCCATTCAGAGATCAGATGGGAATACTTAAGTACAAAACGACAATCCGTTCTCTCTCTTTTTCTCCCCCTCTCTTGGTGCGTTTCGGTGTTCATCGACATATTAAAACCCTAAAATATTATATTAGCAATGAATATTAAGAATAAACTATTCGTCAATATAATGTCCTTCCGTCAATTTATCCCATATTCCGAGCAGCGTGCGTTATGTCAAGGCGAGAGCAGCAAGAGAATTATCATAAGTGACCTAATTTGTTCCGCAACGATAGGTCAGTAATTGAAAAGCTCGTTCCCCATTCGATGACACAGTTTACAATCATCCCCAGATGCAGAAGCGCATAAGGACCTCCTTGCGTTGACGTTTCACGATGCACCACAATCGCTATTTGTATTTTGTGCCATGATCAAAGTAAACAAGCCAATAATCCAATCGACAGCCCGCCGTGCAAATTATGTTATTTGCATTGGCAGGCGCCGTGTTGCATTTTCATAAGACATGCAAGGCTGTAGATGCTCGTACGTTAGCTGCATAACTTGCATGTGTCGCCCCGACGAATGGGGCGCCAAAGAACTTTGCAAAGTGCATCCTCGCCTCGTGCCGAGATACGTCCACCTAAAAGCTAAATATTAATTCTCACTCCTCGTTGGTAAACTGGATGAATTCCCTTTTCTTTAATCCGAGTACCTTACTCAGCCGATTGCGCCACCCTTCCCTTGGTGTATGAATATCCATAATCAATTTATTGGGAAGGGTCTTTTTTTCGAAATTGCCTCCATGAAGGATGATGAAAATTGCACACTCTCCAAGTTGATGAGCATTTGTCGTCGCGGACCATTACGCACGCTCGCCTCGCAAAGTCGCTGTCTACAAAGTGGAGCAGACACGTACTTCCCAAGTAGCCCTTTGACCTGTAAATCGGGAATTTCTTTAGAAGACTGGTGATTTCATATTTTGAAAGGTGTCGATACTCTGGGAATGCGATGACAAAAAAAAATACAGGGAGCATATAAAGTGTCGAAGACACGTGCTTCGAGGCGCCGCGGCATTTCATTCAGTGGGGCAAAACGTGCATGCGCGGGGGCGGATGCGCAGTGTCCGCCGGCGCGCGGGACGCTGTAAACAAAACTCGTAGTAACCGCATGGTTTTGGTCAGTGAGGCGGCGACTCCGTGTGGGGCACGTTGGTTCTTTATCGCCAGCTGTCGCAGTCACATATTCCCGGAAGAATCGAGTCCCTAGATCTACGAAATCAAAGAAACCCCTGTGTAAAAAAAATTAAGAAAAAGAACGGAGACGTTAAAAAACAGAGCTTCGATTTTCGATACTTATCTCGACGGCAATAATGAGGTCGATTCGGCAAAACGTCACGCGAGTTGAGTTTTCTTTTTTCGGTTAAATTGGTTATGAGAATACTTTATGCGCCATGGAGTAATTCCAGGGGAGAGTTTTAAGACGCGAGGGGGGGTACTTATCGGTTCTCGAAGTTTCTTGGAGAAGTCGTTAGGGGGGCTTCGGGAGTTTCTGGGTTTTCAAATATTCCGAAAAAAAATTCTTGGAGGTCCAAGCCCCAGCTCTCGAGGTTTCCGAAATTCGAGCCAGTGCATACCACGAGGACTTTCTCGTCGATACATCACGTCTCGACGTAGGGCCCGCAGGTAGAGACTGGAAAAGGGACTTTTCCGGCGTTGTCAAGTGTCCGAGAGAAGGCCGAACGGCAACGGCGCACAAAAATCCAGACCAAAACATCTCTAGTCCCCTTTGCGACACCGCGCTGCGAGTTGCGCTCGAAAGTGCGCAGGGAGTTGAAAAGAAAGAAAAAGTTATCTTCCAGAAAATGTTAAGTATATAGTAACTTCGTGTCAATTTACCAGAGATTGTAGAGCACCGAGTGAATGGGACAGAGTACAGATTAAAAGTACACGGATAAGAAGGGGCAGCGATAAGGTCGAAGGAGTCGAAGAAGTCGGGGGAAGAACTAGTCGCCGAAAAGGCGCGAGGTTGGCCACTTCGTTTCATTGTTTGTACATTTTTATCGTTTAATAAAGGGGCATTATTTTATTACGAAGTAGGAAACGGGAGGTACGGGAATAGCGTTTCACCTCTAAGGAATATTTCCTTATGTACCGCGAGGCAGAATTTTGAAACCGCTCCGATAAATCGTACTTCGAGGAAGGAGATAAGGCAGAGAAGATAACTCGGAAAGGGGTAAGAAGAAAGGTTGGAAATTATTTTTCGAGTCCCGGCCAAGTGGATGTCGAGCGCTGGTGAAGAGGACGCGATCGTTGCCGAATAATTCGACGAGTCGAAGAAATCGAAGGGCGGAAGTCGGCTGGGAAGAATCGATATCTCGAGGTCGTCTTTGAAAATCCGACCATGGGATCGGCTTTAGGAGAGGGATGGAACGACACCTTTACTACATGGGAAATGAGCTCCACGATGACGACTCCTGGTATAATACACGCAATACAGTCAGGAATAGTCCCGAAAAGGCACGTGACCTTTGCCTCGCAAATGGTCCTCACCCTGGTCTATATAACCGGGGTCATCGGTAACATATCGGCGCTGGTCATCCTCTTCCACCGAGATAAGGTCAGTTCGAGGAACGAAGAGTACCTTTGTGCTCGAATTCTAATTCTTCTACCAGAAGTCTATTATCATAAATAGCAAGAAATATTTTCCTTAATTTCTGCTTTCAGAGAAGAAACAGGAAACACTTGTTGATGCTGCGTTGCTTGGCAGTCAACGATTTGGTGGCATTGCTGGGCATGTTGGTACAGATGTACGTGACCATTTACGTTGGACAAGTCAGCTCCACCAGGGCGTTTTGTTCTCTTCGGGTCGTGTGGCGCCTCTTCGGCCTCTTCAGCGGCTGCGTCGCCATCGTCATGGCTGGTGAAAGATGGTTGGCTCTGACCAGACCCTTCGTTTATCAGAAGGTAGGTCTAAATCATGGCTAACTACTATCCTCTAACAGGGGCCTCCACCATCCGAGTCCAACTTCACCCTTCGTCTTTTATCCTTTCGGCCAGGATCTCCTGCAAACCGCATGGGGGTCGTGGCGCAAAAAAAAAATGAATTCCGAAAGGATTCTGTAAGGAATTCCCAACCTGGGCGCGTGACTTTGCTGTAGAATCGAGGGAAACATTTGTGACCAGAATTCAGAACTGCAGGCTCGCAAGGCGTCAAGATGCGTCGATTTGCGCAAGAACGTGGAATCGAATTGACGGTGGAGGAATTATTGAGCGATATGAGACGATGCATCACATTGCACCTGGTGTCCTTTACGTCGGCTCTGATGCTGGGGGTATCAAGAAGGTCCTGTTAATTCGATCTTATCAGAAGTCGCCCGAGCTTAATTCGGTCGCGGGACAAAGCGACGTGTGACACGGCTGCAAATCTCTCGAATCCGTGATGCGAATCGTCAAGTGGCGTCCGGAATGGAAATGAACCAAGAAGCGCGCGTTTGCTTGGGATTATGTTGGGCATAAAAAACAGCCGGTGAGAGAATTGTCGAGCAATAGTCATGCCGATAGCGTAGGGCCAGCAGCCATTGCCCGAAGTACTTGTTTACGGAACGGCGAGATGGATGGTCCGAAACCGACTTTGTTATCCGGAGTAATATACCGGTCTTGCGAGGAAACCGGAACGGTTTTGCGGGAAAGGAGAAAGTTTAGAATTCCTTTTAGACACAGCGCGCAATTGCAATACGACACACGAGTAAATGTCGCGGAATGGGCACTGACAAAGAGGTATTAGAAATATTATGCGCGGTGATAATCGCCTTATCGGGAGTCCAGGGCCTGAGCAATGTTTACTTGGCAAATTTCCAAATTACTCCGACTTTCGCGAGGCTAACCCCTTAGACGACGATTAGTCACTGACGGGGGAATATACGTGAAATAATGAAGTTTCCCTTTTGCAAGACGGCTTGAATGTCGAGCAACTAATGGAGGAGGTGGGAACGCTGCGTCACATTTGTTAAACTTGATCCGAAGGAGGCGATTAATACTTGTCGGATAATCGGAAGGACGGGGTGATGTATATACTCGCGCTCGGCCGGAAAAATATGCGCGAACGGGGTTGCTCTTATTTTGAATCGCGTCGCCCTTGAATATAATATTAAAGATAGCTTGAAATTTTCCAATAGTTTTTCGGCGTCCCTGTAGAAGGCGTCCCGACATCGGAGGTAACATCAAATCGTTGCGCGGTACAGCCGAGGCTGTAAAATGTGCATGCCAAATGTGCATCGAGCATTGAACCGGCCGCCCGATGCATTGTCACATTTTTTCAAAGAAGTGCAACCACGTGCTCGCACTTTCCCGGAGTGTGCGTTGTCGGAGATGAATATGAAGACACGCCTGACGTACGCATTAAGGTCAATTCACCCTATCCATGATCCGACCGTTCCATTTCAATTTCGACATTACTTCCATCTCAACGAGACCGTTCACACTTGTCGGGACGAATCCGCACGTTTTGCCGGTTGCAGAATTTTGTCTGAACCGACACGTGTCGGATATGGTGAATCGACCTCTTTATGTACGTATCCACATGGATGTCGTCTCCCCGAGTGCACGGTTTTCGACGTTTATTTATCACTCCTCGTGACCTACTATCGTATCGGTAAAGTTGTTCCTCGGTGATGTCAAGGAAATGTCGCGATTATTTCTCCATGTATATCGATTCCGAGCCGAATGGGCTTTCGTGGGTTTTCAACCCCTGAAATTCCAACCCCTGACCATCCGAGGTAAGAAGCTGCAACGTGCGAGCTCGGCATTCACAAATGACCGCGGAAATGTACCGTGATATCTTTTCGGCCTTGGACCTCCCTTTAGGACATCTCACCCTTAGGACGAAAAACAGCTTCTACGTGACCACTGAAAGGACGTACTTTGACACCCCGACCTATATACCATCAACGATGGCGTTTCGGAGCCAATTTCGATTCAAGGCTCCTAACGTTGATGTCAAAAAAATGACTAGGGGTCTCCCCTTAAAAAAAAAAATTTTTTCTTCTACCGGTTTCTTCGAGCTGCATCTTGGAGATGCATCCAGCGCCGTATCTAAAGCGGATCTGGAGCATTTCGATTTGTTGCGGAGTTCTCATTCAAATCCCATGCTCGAAGTCGTGTATTATTGCATGAATTACCCTAATCTCCGATACAGCTGGTCGGATTTATCGAAGAGGGCAGGAGTAGATTCTAATCTTCGTGAAAGCCACATGTAGGTTCCAGACAACCTTCTTCCGTTATATTTTTCTTCGATATAGGCGCTCGAGTAAAGGTTAGCATCATTCGAGGGGAAATTATTCGAGGGAGAGTTTCGAATTGAAATTCAGATTGGATCTAGCGAATCATTTCCAGCGGATCTGGGAAAAAGAAAAGAGATGAGGAATGAGATATAGAATAGCCTTAAGCAGTATCGCTATCAAAATGTATCTTAGACCGGAATAGTAAATATCGATAAGTTGATTAAATTCTAAGCTATCGTCGATAGCGATCGCCCGGCGAGGACAGCTTCTGGATCATCTTGAAATTCCAAATATTCGAAATAGTACATCTCTTCTCGGTCGATTAACTAATCAGTGCCAGATGAACAATTTGTATGTACCTATGCGAGTACTGAGCCTGCCCTATACTCGAGCAGAATTATTTGACGTTGAACAAATAACCGCATGACTATTTTGCTCCTGTAGGTCCCTACATCTGTGAAAACTTGGAGAACCATTTCCAGCTGTCAGGATTCGATTTCGAGTTATCGATTTTTGGTCGAATCGCGGATCTACTATAGAACTGCCGGTAGGGTTCTTATAGTTTGTCGAATGATCGCAACACGTTGGAAGTAGTTATTTCGAGGAAACGCATATTGAATCCTCTTGGAAGAGGTTCTCTGACAGGCTTAGATGACAGGTAATGACGGTCGATCACTAAAAGACGCTTTGGAAAGGCTCCAAGTGTTCAAGGCCCCTTCATGGGAGAGGCAGAAGGTCCGAAAAGTTGCACAAATTCTGGTTATCTCAAGGCGCTGGGAATTCAATTAAAAAGGTCCTTGTCGGTCCCTTTTTCTTCTAGAAACTCGGGTCAAATATCTAGCCAGGGCTTCCAGATTTTGGCATGTTACCAAATCGGACCGATGACGGCACGAGTATCGGTCGGCTGTTAAGACGTCACGAATTTGAACATCGTCAGCTCGTAGCTGCCATTTTTCAGGCCTGCTAATAATAATTTCTGCTCGCGCGAAGCACTTCGGCCATAAACGCCCTCCGAATAATTCTTGCTCGTGGCAAAGACGTTACGAGTCCCATTTACAGGCTAGAACAATAAATCCCGATGCTCTGCCAAAGTCAGCTCATAATCGGAAGTACATTACCGGAGTCGATATTCCCGGATGTCGAGAGCTTCTCTAAATACCGAGAGGTCGATTGAAAGGGAGCCTCTCGATCGGAGAAATCTCATGGGGCGTGGGTGCCCCTTGGAAAATAAAAAACACTTCCCGGAATTAGTAAATAAGTCGACTGATTTACTTAGTTAATTCTTGAAGTGAAGCCAATTCGGCGGTCCGGTGGTTTTAAGAATACCTCTCAGGTCTTCCCATTCGATTGATCGGTCCTCGATCGAACTCCTAGCAGCTGTTTCCTCTTAAAGAAAATTCATTAATTATCGCTTAATTACTCTCCACGCCTTCTCTCAAAGCGATTGATCGGACGAATCGAAGATCGAATGACGTCCCTTAGGGAGTCTTCTCGGAAGCGTAATAATCGTTCGTCGTTGATGTATCTACCGAAATAGTAACGCAATAGACCCTGCACCGTGGGCGTTTATTTCCGCTTTTTATCTCGAGACTACACCTCTTATGCCACGGTAGTATGAAAAAAAGAAAAAAAAAACATCTCCAATGAAAGCACGTATTTTATTTTATATTTTCACGGTTCGTTATTTATTTACCACTTTTGTCCACCCAGCGCGCGTAGAGGTCGACACCCTTATTATTAATTTTTTTTATTTCTTTCTTTACAAGTATCCCCTTTTAGAAGACGAATGGACACGCGACCGGCAACACGTGGTGAAGGTTTAGCTCCACTTATTTGTAATACTTCCAGTTTATTGGGTGCGTTGACCCCTTTAATTGAGCCTCGGGGTGCAATAAGAGCGTCCATCCATCCATTGTCCCGCTTATTGGCTCAATATATATTAATAATATTGCCTTAAAAAATCGACCGACTGCCCACAGAAATCGCCGGGTAAAAACGCGCCCGGCTCGTTGCTAAAAAGAACGTCCTATCATCGATCCGTTAACAACGCCTGGTTCCTGTATTAGCCCGGCAATAATGCCAGTAATAGGGCTGTTAAAGTACATCAAGCAGTACGACCCGACATGGCGCTGTGACGTTAATGGACACATTAGGTGAACCCGAACACGTGCTCCGATGGTCGATCGACGACTTTAACAAATTCGAATTTCTATTTTCTACATCTCGTCCGTAAAAACCGCGGTGGATCCATTCGATTTGCGGCAGGTCGTAATAGCGATCCGTAACAATGGCGACAGTTTTTCGGGAACCGTGCCAATAAACGTCATCGAAAAAAAAAAAAAGATAGTCCGGCGATTTTCACAAAGTAGACGGATAAACAATACGTGCCTCTCGTATCTTCTATACCCTGGCAGGTGTGTATCTACGTAATTGCGGGTAAACGTATTAAGGAGATATCGAAAACCTCGCACGGATATATCCAATAACGAAGACGAGCAATCGGTGGAGATAAACGTGACGTGGTCTCCGGCAAGATTTTCGGCTATTTATTTTTTATCTTATTTTTTTTTCTGACGTCCTTATCACGAGGAGATGACTTTACGGAGTGTAGATACACAATCGCCCGGTTGTCGAGGAAGGGGGGGCTTTCGGGAAAGGTCACTGGAGCAGATACAGCCAGTGGTTTGAATTCGTAGAAAAATATGCATGCGTGACCCTTGACACGTTCTTTTAGCAGTAACGTGATTTTTCACCAGCGAACATGGGCGGCGTTTTTAATAGCGAAGGAAGCTCGTTAATCAGGGAGAATAATTACGTCGCGTGTTACCGATTACCATTGCCCACAATTATTCCCTAAACGAGCAGAGTAGGCGGTATTTAGTGACCTTCGCCCCTCGCCTTTGTAAATGTTTCACCGTCCCCTCGATTGTCGGCCGATCTGGTTCCGTACACGAGGTAAATAGACTCTTATCGATGTCGAGGGCCCTGAGAAAATTTCCACTCGATACTTGTACCCGGCCGTATACGGAAACTCGAATTTCTATGACGTCATTGCCCATTTTGGAGTAACCCTTTCGCCTTTAACGTCGACTATAGTCGACTATAGTCGACGTTAAGGGCGAAACGATCTCCAATGACGAATGCCGGCTGCAACCGGCATCTATAATACAAGACAATGCCTTAGCGAAGCGAACCACCGTAACGAAAGGGTTAAATATGATCGTCTTGTCGCTGACATGTTTGCAAGAGCGAGGACAATCTTGCTCGTCGCTATACGAAGCGCCAACCTGATAGTGGCAGATGGGGACTGGGATCGGATAGGACATTTTTTTTTTCCTTTTTTCTTTTTCTTCAGATGTGGTAACCGATGCAGAATTTAATCGGGCTCTTCGGATTAAGGATGTCGGGGTGGTATCAATTTTAGATACGGTCCTCGTTAGTATTCCCCGTTCGTCCCGCTTCAATGGCACCGAGCTAAGTTCGCTCTCCTCGGCGTCGAGTCGATGACCATTATTTCCTCTGGTCGAATGCCGATCGATGATCGGAATTCCAGGCGTTCATTTTTGCCGGCCCGAGCGAAGCCCCTCTCTCGCATAAATCTCGAAGGAGCGGCTCGAGTGTCTTCCGGAAGTGGGTGTTCCACTCCCCTTACAGTATCCTGTACGGCGATTCGCGTCTCTCCTCAAATGAGCCTTTTGTTATTGGCGTCCGACTACGCTCCAAAAGGCGGATTTTTCTTAGCCGATTCTTTGTCAAGTTGTCGCAACGTCGACCGAGATGACTCGAGCACGTAAAACGAGATGCGGCCTTCGGACCTACCCCTGATAGAGGATCCGTCGAGAGTCACTCGTAAAGGAAGTCACACCCCCTCGAGGGTAGTTTTTCATGGGATAGAAATAGGAATTACTCGGGAAAGGGAAAGTCGACCCCAGGCCAGAAAATGACTAGACTAACGAGAAACTAGATACAAGTAAATTCAGCGGAATGGAAAGAAAAAAAAAATAATAATAAAATCACCTCAGGATATTTTACATTTATTTTGAAATTTATTACAATCGTTCGCTTCACCCTTGCGGCGTCGAATTTATTATCTTGCAATAATCTTATATCAAAGTGCGGGAATTTCATGAATACTTTGACGGGTGTCGGGGGGAATTTTTTGCGATATTCCGGAGCTTAGATCAGAAAACATGGAGACGTCTCATCGGGGCCGAACTCGAAGTCCCTCCCCGAGGCCGAAACCTTAACCCGTGACACGCGCATCCTTTTTCCAGCAGGTGACGTATCCTGTAATCGTGCGATGTATGCTGGCATTGTGGTTGGCAGCCTTGGCTTTGAGCAGCTTACCCCTCCTGGGCTTCGGGCTGTACTTCAAGGGCGACAAGTGCGTCCGTTACAGGGAGGCCATGGAACCAGGGGATGTGGCCTACGCCTACGTCTCCTTCTTCTTCGGTGAGGGCTTCCAAGTTTTACCTAACGTCTGGAAATCCTACCTAGACGTCGGTAATGATACCTTTTACCGAGAAGTTAATTAAACTCGATATCTTTCCGATAATCAGGGACCGTTCTCTGCCTCTGCATCGTCTGGTGTAATCTGGCGGTCTCGAGAGCCCTGGGCAGACTGGGTCGCCGGGGTGGAGGAGAGATCAGAAGGATCTCAAGGGCCTCTTCGAGGGCGAAACCTCTTCTTACCCTGGCTGGACCGCCACCGGAAGTCGTGGCCACTGCCGAGGAACGCGCCTTTGCCAGACTGATGGCGGTCTTGTCGATCTCCTTCGTGGTCTGCTGGATGCCGCAAATGGTGGGTAAAGCATTCGTCTATAAATCGATCCTTACGATAATTTACCTCTGGAATATTTTCTTTTCTAGTTACGTATTCACAGGGAATGCCGAAAATGCCGGATAAAGTATCGATCTATAAATTGATTTCCACCGATGTCTAGCTCTGAAACCTTTTTCTCTGGGTAATACTGTTTCACGAATGCCGCATACGGTGGGTAAGGCGTTCAATCGATGATCGATCTAGACTCAAATCCAGCTGCGGAGTGTTTCCTTCTCCTGGTTACATCTATATCGGGGGAGCGCGGGGGACCGAAGCTATTAGGGCGATCTTTTGCCGATTTGGTCGTAATCAAGACAGTAGATTCAGGACATTCTGGTCCAAGGTTGGGAGAATGGCACTTCTCGCCAGTGGATCAGAGAAACGTCACGTTCCTCGGGAGGGTGGAAAGCAGTTTTTTTCCTCGAGGGAGAGATTCCTCCCGACTCCGCGCAGCCAATCCTTGGCCTTGAAAGTATTTCCACGTTGCTGCAAGCTGGTGCCTTCTTTGGAACTCGTTTCACTCCTTCGGCTTATTCTTTTATATATGAAAAAAAAAAATGCAGAAAAAAAATCCCCGGGGACGTTCACGCGAAAAAAAAAGATCTCAGAGGGGTGAGAAAATAAACCCGTGTATTCGCTTCGAGAAACGAACACTCGGTTTGCGATCGGAAATCAAGTATGTACGGACTGATGAACATTTCTGGGGGTGACAAATATATCGAAAACGTTTGTCCATGCATTGGGAACGGAATAAATTGCGCAGGAGAAGGCGCGGAAATTGTTCCGTTCGGAATGCGAAATGCGGATGTTATTCTCCCCCGCGGGAATAATTTCTTCGAACAATGCGCACGCGCGACGGCGATGGAATACTTGCGATAATAGACATTGTAAATAGATGCAGAATTCAGGGGTACCTTACATGTGCACGCGCATCATTGTTCGGCGACGATGCGAGCATTCGAAAATTCGTGACATCCTTAAGTCTCGTCATTTCCCTGTTGCGCGATTCAATGCCTAGCGTCGTATTTCTTTTTTCATAATTTTTTTTAATATTTACCCCGCTTCCTATCTCGATATTTTTAGCAGGCATTCGCGAGAGGGGCTACTTTTGGACGTGAAAAGACCGACGGAAGACGAATGCTACTGGTTATTGAAAGGAAAGGTATAAATAGGACAGCCTTGAACTCCTTCGAAGTGTCGAATTCACGTGTTACTCCTCAACATCGCAACTAGACCGTCATGGGACTTCCTATTCGGAGTTCTTCAGGAACCTTGACAGGTCGCACGATTCGGTAGACGTCGTTTCCCCTTTTTCGGTAACTTTCCAGTGAACGGGGATGCTTTGAATGATTTATGTCCCTCGGGTGGAGGTATCGGATCTCGCGGAAATGCAGCCTCAGGATTTTATATCGGTTCCTCTCGACTCGTCCTTAGTTCTCGGCCGAACGAATAACGTGCACATTTATGAAAAATTATGAAAAAAAAAAACATTTGAGAAATAATCGATAATTAATTAGCGACTCTACATTATTTTCACTCTTTGCAGATCTCGATCCCATTGGCCCAGTACTCGATTAGGTTGCCGGAAACGGCGACCTTAGCTCGGCGATGCATCCGGGTGTTTCACGTGGCTGCCGATATCCTGCTGTGCATACACTTTACTCTTGATCCTTACATTTACGTACTTCTTCGCATGCCTCGGCCCAGATTTCCTCTGTTGAAGTACCTCTGTCGGATCTGCTGGCCCGTCCGAAGCCGCGCCAGCTCCTTCACCGGCGAAACAGGTGAGAAGCCTCATTTTAATGAGACATGTAGACATTAAATGGAATTTATTTTCTAAAGGTACGACGGACCATCCCTGCAGCAGTGCAGATCCCCCTACACCGATTACGGAGGCGCCCTCCACCCCTGTCAGTGAGGAAAACGAGCCACCCTTGATCTCCGTGTCCGTCTGACAATGCACCCTAAAAATGGGCAAGATTGTTCAGAGAACAAGGAAGGAACGACAAAGACGCGACACTGGCAGGACCATAGGATAGGTGTGACAAATCGTCAAGATGTCATTGCGTACACGACTATCGATGACACTTATCGACACCTGTCCCTCTAAGTGGTTGGAAACCCGCGACAATACGAAGATCATGCTTATGCTGGCCATGCTTTAACACATAATTGGCCCTTTCACAAATTCGAGCCTCAGATCAAAACGTTATACGGCGTAATAAGTTTCGTTTCGTCCTGAAGAAGCTTCAGATTTTATACGATATTTTTATAGTACTATCGAAAGAGATCGCGAGCACGATTGGAAGCATAATTGAGGATAACTATCGCTAAGTGACTCGTGTTCGAGATCGAGATCAGTAATCGTTAAAAAAATCACTTATCCCCATTTTTCCCTAAATTTGAGATGCTTCTCATGGGATGTTGATGTTGAAATTTTCTGGATTATGCATTCCATTTTGATGGCAATTGACCACTTTGACGAAACGGATCTTTTGATTTAGTACAAGAGAGTTATTTTGCAGGATAATATGATTTGCCTTATACTCCGGTTAAAATCCTTGGACGAGAAGACTCCAGTCGTTTGTCGTATGCAAATGATGGTGACGTTAGGAATTGGGTCGGAGGATTTTTTAAACAATTTTCTTTATCCGTTAGTTTAAAAGATGTATAGGTATGTTGGCACTAGAACGTTTGCGCGTGTAAAAATGATGCAGCAACTGCATAGGTTAAAGTATAGTAACAGTCTATGTGTAAGATGAAATTATGTACGTATACTTCTAGTCAGTAAATTTTATGTGCGATGTGTGTATAAGAGAACAAGTAATTAGCGACATACAATGCCAAAGCATAGGAAACACCATCATGCACGCTATGTAACAATATGTACGATTATTAGAAACATATCCCACAGAGTATATATATATATATATCTGGAGTAAACAAGTAGAAATTTGGTCGTTTTATCATCCAAGTAAATAATATTTCCGGATGTTTAAAAAAAAAATCTGAATTATATTCAGAGATGACCCTGCAGGAGTGATTGTGATAACGATTGTGTATACCGCGCTTTTATACAGATCTATATTTGTATATATTTTTTAATTCGGGTACACTTAAAAGTCGTACTGCACGAGAGGCGTTGAGACTTTATTTTCAGTCCATAAGAGTAATCACAGGCATTCCAGTTTCACAGTGAAAAATGTATTACTACTCCCTATGCCACTTTCTTTGAAACTTTTTCTACGGCGGTACGAAGTGAGACTACGGTACACAACATCAAGGGAGTCTCGAATTTCGTAATACTTTCCTTCCCCGTGACTAAATCTTGTACGCGATCACGATTAACACATTGTTAACTTTACTCGTCCGATATACTTTTAAACGCGCGTGGAGTGTAATATTAAAATAAAAACGGTGTCATGCACTAATCCGTAAGATGCTCCCGGTAAGAAAATTCGACGGAATATTTTCTTATAGTAACCATCTAAGGATAGAAAAAAAAGTAATTAAACTACACGCGTATATGTATCCATGCATAAGCATAAACGAATGTTAATACCCGTTGTACCAGAAATGTATGTACGTGTACTGTAACCCACGTGACGCATCCGGCACCTCTCGCGGTAACAATAAATGTTCAAAGAATTCCAAAACTTCGGCTGGCGTCCTTTTCGTTAATTTCCTCGTTTTAATCACTCCCGTCGACGTCCACTCGTTAATAAGAGGCGGAATGAAATGAGAGCCGAGTTAATTAAAATGTATGTATATACAATACAAATATATTTAGTCGAGACTAACACTTCATCTCTAGACACTTACATCGCTCCGAGTAACTTAAGATACAATCGTTACCGAAGACACGTTATCCATTACATAACGATACCAACGTCGCACCTACGTGCAAACTTTTTACGTTATTACGACGACACGCAACATACCATAATAAATACTTCTCAAATAATTCACCCGCCCTCGATATGATCGCTCGTACTCGAATCGTACACGTACATCGGCTGAGGGTCGCGTATTCTTTACGCAGATACGAATATTTCTCCTGACGAGTGATTCCTTATCGCAAGGTCCTTTATCTCGTTCCCTTATACTTATGAAAGACGAGTAACAAACTTGCGTCGCTTCTCCTCGCGTTGCTTTTACCACGCTACGCTCTACGGAAATAAGTTATTTATATTAATCTACGGTCTCCGATGCGAAAGGTATTTATCTCCTACCGATAGACAAAATATATGTAGATATATATCTCCTCTTGTATTTTATTTATATACATATATCTGTATATATATGTTTGCGGTAATATATAAGTAGAAGGTAGGCAGCGCACAATGGAAAGTGAATACTGCACTTGCACACATCCGTATACGTTCCTCGTTCGGAGCTTTTAATCATTCCTGCCAACCACCGTCGACACCACGAACGAGATTACTATGATAAATCCGATGATTGAACTGAGCCCGTCGGATGCTACGTAGACGACAAAAACGTCAACTGTTCGTTTCCCGGGTCGTTTCAACGTAAAAGGAGCTTAGAGCGCTGAAAGACCGAAGGCTCCTCAATCGTATGGCCTTCGGTAGAAAGTACGTTTGGCCAATTCACCTGGTTCGCTCGATAGTATCTTATCACCTAATACGACACGGCGAATTCTAAACTCGTACCACACTCGATTACAGACACCGCTGTTGACATTTAGATACAAAGGATTTTAATTTTGTACTCGACGTTTCCCGCAAGTGCGGTCCCCGAGCCCTCGCGTTGTTCCTCGAGAGCTTCCCCAAAGACGGTATGCAAAGTATTCCAGCAATTGTCACAACAACGTTACATTTTCTCTAAAGTATCCGAGGACATTGACGCTCCGCTGTGCGATCGTCGAGTAATATTCTAGTCTCGCATTTTCTTAAAAAAAAAAAAAATAAATAAAAAATGCTGCACTAACGGTAGTACACGAATGAAATTCCCAAATACAAATAATTGGATCTTACACGTAGCGACACCTCTTCTGGAAAAATGTATCATACGGTCCGTATGATAGTCTCAGAATGTCTTGTGCGCTATATCTAGAAGATTTGAAATGTCACTCCCCTCGCCGATTAAAAGTAGGAGAAAGAAATTCTCGTTACCTCGACGACTACTATACCCATGATTTTCACACGTACTCCTTGGTAATTGAAAAAAAAAATCGTATCGAAAGGTCGGATGAATTTTTTAAAAATCGGACTACTCTCCTAGATACTCTCGTCGCCTATCCCTCTCCAGAGAAGTTTCCGAAATTGTCTTGAGCTAGGTTCGAACCGCGTGATTAATTAAAGGGTGTTAATTTCTCCTACTATCCCCGCTTACGTCTGGTGGGATCGATATGTTCCTAGACAACCCAACGAACTGAACGTACTCGGTTTTGGCACTTCGACGTACTAATATAAATTAGACTGACTCCGACTCTACTATTTAGGCCTATTTATCGAATACACGAAGACTTATCCGGTTTTCTCAACCTACTATATAAGCTCGACATGATCGACTCCTTCCAGGTACTGTGATTCATATTCAATTGCAATTCCTTGAGTTCCTGCATAAGATACATAATCTACATACACGCGTGTACCTCTGCATCCCGTTCGGCATATAAACCGACGAATTTCGTGGAGGCGCCCCGAATGCGCGGTCGACCCGAAATAGGAAAGAAATCATCCCCTCCGATGATAAAACGAGCTGATCGAACAATCGGTCTTGCTTTGCAAGGTACATTCGAACGAATGGGAAAAAGACTGCAGATTACTGCCTCGTGACCTAGCCCTCGCGACCAACTCTCTGGCAACAATTCAGCTAATACTCATTGTCAGTCGGGCGTCGAAGATCGAGTCAATCACCCCGATGGTTCGCAGTTGGCACCCGAATCAGGAAAACGATCGACGCGGTACCGATCCACTCCCTCACCGAGAGTAATTACGAGTAACAATGGAATTTCTCAGAGAGCGATCACTGCCGCGATGCCGACGCTTCCCTTGATCCTAAGATTTACGCTAGTTATTGTCTGGAATGCGCACTTTCACGTAGCGCTCGATGCAGCCGCGTTCTACGATGATCATCCATTGAGGGTCTCGTCGATAGACTAGATGACAAGGTTAAAATTTGCCCGTACGTATCGCGTCGTCGCCGGATGAACTACTTAAAAGTCAGCCTTGCCTAAATCCTGTCGACTCGTCCCAAAGGTTCCTCTAAACATCCATCGGGGATTTTCTCCTGGTCTAAAGCATCTCGCGCGATCGAAACGCAGCCCCTCTAAGAAAGCTCCGCCCTATCTCCTTAAAAAACATCCACGCCGCATTCCCGAACCTCCTTAACTCGTTCAGAACCTGCCCCGAACAGCGTGCGGATAAAACGCCACCAAGACCAGGGACCGCGTCGACGCTCCCAGCTCGTGACCAAACATGGTCGCGCTAATGGCAAGCGTTCTGGCTTTTTCCTCCTCGAGGACAATCCCGGCTCATTCCGCGGCTCTCCCTAATAGTCCTACGCGAGACCGTCCTTTCTAGTTCCAGCCTGGTTCGAACATGCTCTACGATCGGAACAGCGCCCCGTGTCGAAGGAACCGGTTCCCAGCCAAACATGGGTGCGCTAATGGCGAGCGTTCTAGCCCTTCGTCCTCTTGCCCTGGCCGGCGACCGACCACAATGCCTTCCCCTTGTCTCGAGCATCCTGGCTTTGAGCAACCGTGGCCCGACGACACTTATTGGCGTCATTGTACAACGATTCCCTCGGCGTACCGCGCCAGCTTGCGTTCACCGTGGCCCATCCCTGAGGCCATTTCAAGGGACATCAAACCTTCCACAGTAGCAAGTGGTTCGTCGAGTCTTCCCTCCCAGCCTGCAGCTCGGCGGATGCCTGGGGCCCCCTGAAGTCCTCGTATCCATCTCCCCCCGATATTACCAGGAGCTTGCTGCGACTGATGTTGTTCTGCTGCGCCTTGTTCGGCTTGAAGGAGTATCGGTTGATCTTCGGACAGGGATCCGGCTTGGCCGGCGCCGTGGTCTCCACGCAAGTCAGGAACCGCACGTGTCCCGTGTGGCCGTGTGGAATTCCTGAATGATTCGAACGTTCAAGATCGATGGATGCCTCGCTTAGGGAGATTAATATCGGACTGAGGCAACGAGTAAGCGAGAGTGGTTACCGGTTACTGCGGGAGCCTGGGACATCCTCTGGGTGGACGGCTTTATGTGCGGTATCGGTACCGTCAGGAGGACCCCTGCACTGGTGCCGATCCAGAGCAGGTCGTTGCAGGCCAAAAGCGCGGTTACCCTCAGGCAGGCAGCTTTGTGCTGGCGAATGATGTCATCGCAACCTGCAACAGGTTTAATGTTTCCGTTAAAATAAAGCTCAGGTTGCGATAGGCTCTCGTCGAGGTACAAGGCCTGGGTGGCTACGCGATCTGAATCGGAATTTAATACCCCGAGGCCTCTCTAAAAGACTTGATACTTACTGGCAAGCATCTTCGTGACCGCGGGGGCGATATTTATATCCGTTAAGCCCTCGTAGGTGGTCGCGTGGTACAGCTTCAGAACTGCACTGTTGTGCAGCGAGACCCAGACTCCTAAACCTCCCGAGCTCGCCATGCAGGAAACCGATCTACCGGTGTCGTTGCTAACGGTGAACGTATGTTCGATGCTAAGCGGAAAAGTGTTTAACACCCTAATCATATTGTGGCAGCCGCACCAAAGTTTCCCGCCGATGAAAATCATTTTCACGACCGGGGATGCCACGGTCCCCACGGTGATGACCGCAGGGTCGCTGGTGTTCCATCCACCGTCTGTAAGAGGGTAATTAACGGTTTTACGGACGTCCCCGGGATTTTTAAATGATGTACTTTACACGATTCTAAGCCTTACTTACAGGGATCTCGGGAGTAGACCGTGATGTCTCCATTGGCGAGGGATACGAAAACCTTATTGTCCAAGTATCTGAAAATGAAAGAAGAACTTACAGTTCCCGGGAGCGTTTCCAGGCTGTGGCTAAACATCAGGTGGAAAATACTCACATGATACAGTGCACGCTACTCCCGTGCTGGATCTTAACCTTGTTCTTTTTAATCCTAATATTGTCGCTGCAGTTGTACACGTGGATGCAACCGTCCTCGGTGCCCAGCCACATCGTGGGCTGGTTGAGGTCCTCTTCGACCACGGCTCCGTCCCTGCTGGACACATCTCCACCGAGAGAAGTGCTGGCCGTGTCCGCGCATGGAATGTCGTCTGAATCCGAATCGTCCGAGCTGGAGCTGCTGCGCAAAAAAGAAAAGAAAAAAATTAATAAACCATCCCCGTGCTCAAAAGTCCAGATTTTCCGTGGCCACGTGGAAACTAGCCGTCGATGGCGTACCTATCCAGCTGAATATTTCCGCCAGTCGCGTCTGTATCCTGAACGGATATACTGATGCCGCTCTTGCTGCTGGCGAAGGGACTATTGCTGGAGATGCAGGAGTTTGACCTGAAACGACGATGACGATTAATCGAAAGGACTTTCCCTGACCCGGGGTAATTAGGAATCGCTAGGGCAATCGTCATGCTTTCGGTTCACAAGAAGCGAGCGCAAAGATCGAAAGATGCCCAACCCTGGGGTGCATGCCGGGATTCCAGCGACGCAGAGAATCCTGGCATTGCAAACGCCATTGCAGGAGGTGACTTGCGGTGGTTCCGGGGTCAAGCTCAGGACGCAAACCTGACCGACGTATCCGTCGCTGTTACAAACCCAGACGTCGCGGGTCCCCTCGCCGTTGGCCAGAGTCGGGGCGGCGCAGGTGAACTGAAGCCCAGCCCTAGTTTTCCGGATCGGCAAGGGCCCTACGAATTCCGGGCAGGGCCTCCTGTCGGCGGACAAGGCTGAAATTTCCAATCGACTGAATAGTCGGGTCGTCGTTCGCGATCGATGCCGGGGCCATTGCGACATTCTTCGTAAACGCGCTCTCTCGAGGAGAGACGCACACTCACCCAGCTTCTGCTTGGCTTCGTTGAAGCTCTCCTCCCAGCTCGCTCTCTTGTCCGGCTTGGTAAACATCACGGAGATGTTTTCCATCCCGGCTCTGAAAGGAGATCCAAGCGTACGGGGGCGTTAGGAATATTATTGCCTTCAGGAAAAATTCATTTCCAGGGAATCGCTGACCCAGCTAAAGAGACATGGGGTGGTTGTCGATTCGTTTTTCTACCGCACCGGTTGTTTACGTTCGGGATTTTAAACGTGAAAAAAATTGAGATGCTGGGTGATATGGATTCCCATTGACGGGTCGACTTACTGAGTATTGAGAGTGAGTTCCAGGCACGCCAGCTGAGAATGGGCGGCATTTCTCTCGGCGAGCTGCCGCTGTGCCTGGCCCAGGAGTTCCTTGATCAGGTCCTCGAGCTGCTGCTTAGCACCGTGCAGAGTCGCCGCGAGCTCCTGGAGTTGATTCAAGGTGGCGCAGTCTTCCCTGAGGTGGTCGACCTCGCGCGCCATTCGCCGTAGATTTTCGTCTTTGGCTGTAATCCAAATTCCTTAGCGGTTTCCGATCCGTGGCCGGTCAGCCGAGCGACTTCGATCGGAGATCGCTTTGAGCGCGTCGTGCCTCGTCTTAGACCCGAATCAAGCTAGCCAGTACCTTTCATCACCTCTAGGTCGTCCAGCGGTATCCGCATCAGCATCTTGTACTTGTTCGCCTCCAGCAAGCCGACCAAACTGTTCGGACACGAGCTCCTGAAACGAATTGCAGGGTTCGTAATCAGTGCTCGCCTTGCGTTATGCAACCTGGCAAGCGGGGACACCGTGTCTGCAATTTCTCTCGCAGATAACGAACCGCACCCTCGAGGCGAGTTAACGGCGTAAGGAGGCTCGATATAAAAAAATGTTCCGTACGAAATTTACTCCACATACTACCCCGAATAAATTTTATAGGAACGAGATTTTCGTCCCAAGCTCGGGGGAGGCGGGATATCGGATTGAAGTCGTTATCTCGAGGTGAGATTACTTCGCGGCGTGATATACGTCGCAGGACTTACGTCGACGGTTTTCTTATCGTGCCGCTTCTTCTCTTAATGCTGGTTATTACCAAGAGGTCCGAGAACAGGAAAAGAGCCCGCTCTTTTCGAGTTCCCTGGTTCGATGCGATGGTAACCAGATCGTGGCGGATGAACGACCTGAAACCGACAGACTTGGGTCTGAAGATGCGAGCGAGATGAAGCGCCGCCGAAAATACCGATCGAAAATGCATATCCAGAACAATGATTCACCTGTCGTTCGTAACGATTCCGGCGAGTCCTTCCACTAGCGATTGTACCTCCCTAAGGGTCGTCTGTTGTTGCTCCCACTCGAGCGATTCTCGTTCCGTGCAATTGATCTTAACCACCAGCTCGTGGACTTCTTTCAGCGCCGCCGAGAGAAGCTCATAATCCGGGTGCGAGGTCTCGGTGTGTTTGAGCAGCCTTTGTATCAGCAACTCGTACCGAGGGATCTTTTGTACGGGTTTGATGAGCAGCTGGTCCAGTCCCAGTTTCCCCTTGTGCTCTCGCTCCATTGCCTGTCGATAAGGATTAATATCAATAAAATATCACCAAACTTTCGGCGCTCCACCTCGAGGCGCGCGGGTTGAGATCGGCCCTCGGATCGCGGTTGAATCGAGGCGGATAAAAATGTCGAAAGATAAAAACAGGCAAGGGGGGAAAAAAAAGCAACGAGGTGGAAAGAAGGGAAGGGAATAAAGGCGCCTACCTCGAGGAACCTCGCGAAGGCCGGTTTCGCTTGACATGTCGTCTTGATGGCCTTCTTTGCCGACTTCCAGTTGTCGAGGAAGAGCGTGTACGTCTCCAGGACGACGGGCTTCGTGAACTGGAAGTTAAGGATGTTATTTTTAACTCGGTATGTAGGGATACTTTTCATCGGGTTCGCGTCCTCGTTGAAGCTGGTTCAACCAAACGGGAAACTAACCACGTCGAGAAAGACATCCCCGATCGTCTGTCGTAGTTCCCACATCTCGAGCCTCTTGCGCAGCTCCTCGAGGAAGACTTCATGGTGACTCAGGATGGCCGGGACCTGAAATTCGTGATAACGGCATTGAGCATTAATCGCAAAGAGAAAAAAATTATAGTGGCAAAATTCTGGAAATTTTTACGGAAGGCCTATCCTGACTATTTCTTCCTTTCGCGTTAAATCATTGCGGATGTTATGCAATTACGTAGGTTGCGCAAGACCCCGTACGCTGTGCAGGCGAAGTCGTACTTTAACCATCGTTCCTTCAGTCTTGGAAAATCAATACCATCTCAGGTCTGACCAATGAAACCATGGACGGCAACCGGGAGCTTTTTAATTTCCCTTCCTTTTCTCTGGGGGGGCACGCGCTTCCGATAAATCAAATAATGAAACCTCTCCTCCTTGTTTACCTGTTAATGCTCTTTGGCGCTACGCAGAAGCAGCCGAGGGGTGCGTGGAATCGTTCGGAGGAGAAATGCGAAATCGAGTTAACCCCCCCGAGAAAGTGGGAAGGAAAATAAGAAGGCAAAAGTCGGCGTCGGGACACCATGAAAGAGAAACGCGGGAACAACGATACCTGATAGAATATTTCATCCACCGTCACGGAATCCACTAGCCCGGCATTCTCTGGACTCTTCAGGGGTTGCAGATATTTCTGAAAAATAAGAAACAAACCCTCCGGTTAATCCGCCATCTCCGTTCCCTTTCTTCGAGCGTAGTCTCGCCGACGACAGAGGTCGACAATTAATTATAAATACAACTTGGCTAATTGAGACGATCTAAATTTATCTCAAGGAATCGCCGTTCCCGTACGGCAGGTAATCCGAAGAAATAGGATTAACTCGTAATGAGAATAAATTGAACTTCGAGTACAAGAGTTACTCACGAGCCAGCCCTCCGTAGCAGTTATACATCGGTAAAGCCTATTTCTAAGGCGGGAAATCGTGGAAATAATAACGAACTGCCCTCGCAGATATTGCGGGCCTTCCAAATTTAAACAGCCCGGCAACCGTCAACTCGTATCTCAGGCTTAACGACCCCCCTTCCGGCTAATTACAATATTAACGTAATTTAAGAGTCATAAGTCCGACCGGCCGACGTCTCGCGGTCAATAAATTGCTCGATAAATCCTTCGAGGCGATATTTCTCGAATTCCTCGAGGACCGAGAGGAGGAATCCCGTCATTCGACGACCGCCAGAAAGCCCGGCCATCGATTTTCCATTCTGGATTAGACTCGAGAGGATTAATTAAAATTTTCTCCTCTACAATGTTTCACGATTCCGGGGGCGATCCGACGTAAACGGCTCCTTCGTTCCTTCCCTCGGGGATTAATGGAAACTTTACACGTACGCAATGATGGAGAGCCACCTCAGAATGCGTTTTTGAAAGACGCGTATATATCCCCGGCATTAAACATCTCGGGACAGGTAATCATCGTCGCGCACCTCGTAAGTGAGACGTGCTACGTGCGAACCAACCGAGACGCGGGGTGGAAATAAATTTTCATCCTGGCCAGGAACAAAAGGAGCAAAGCTTGCCGAGAGATGCGCCGAGCGAGTACGTGGGTCGAAACGAGTACAGTTTTATTCCTTCCCCCGAGTAGCCCGCAGTAACCGCGCATTAAACGTTGCGCGTCTTTTGTCGCGCGCTAAGCCGCTGAAAATGGCGACGAGAACGACGAAAACGCGGAAAGCGTCCTTAGCATTTCGTCTCAACATTTTCTCCGTACGATTGTTCCTACCGATCCTCCCCAACGTCGCATTTGGCTAGATCCAACAAAAGGTCGAATTCCTTCCCCCAGAAAAAAAAAAATGGCGGATAAAAAGGAAGGCCCGAGTCGTCGAGTAAATTCCCGATTCTTCAAATGTTTAGCGTATTAAATCTCGCCTGTTTTGAACGGGCCGACGCGTATTGATGATGTTTACGTCCTTGAACGCGATGCACCAATCTCGATGCACCTCTCCCGGGCGAATTCCCTCGCGGAAGCCCCGCGGAAGCTTTTCGAGGTCTACCCGGGTTTTCGCTCGACGACCGAAAGGAGGAAATATTTTGCGGCCGACCTGGCGGGACCGATCGCAGGTGGAGGCGCTCCTCGGCATCGAAAAGCCTGCCAATGGACGCGAGGAGCTGCGCAGAAGTTATTTCTGATTTTCTCTCCGGTTGACGGTCCGTCCGCCTCGAGTTTTATCCTAGCACGAGTCGGCTTCGAGAGGAGATCGCGTGTCGGGCCTAAGGAGTGCTTAAAATAAAAAGTGGCCCGAAATTCGATTAAACGGAAACGACCGACGAGAGGCTCAAAGAGACTTCAGAATGGAAGAGGAAAATCATTTCTTTCAAATATCCAAGAATGGCCGAATTACAAAGGGTTTCCTGATATTATATATTCCCAGGTCGTCATTTATCGTACTCGGAGTAGTCGCGTTAGCCAAGATGGAGATTATCGGAAATTAAAGCCCAAGCTTCCCTTTGGGCCGCGGGTCCTCGAGACGGAGCCCGAAGACGCGAGCGCGTAAACGTCCATAAGGTCCGTAATGTACCCTATGTACATAATATACATAATGTACATAAAACGCGTGCCATAGGAAGAGGAGTCCCCTCGAGCGGAATAGTCGTTCGATCGTCGCAAATAAGCGAGAGAAGCTCGTTTGCCGGGGCAAAGGAGGCGAGGGGACCCGGAGGGAGAAAGATGACGCGCAGCCTTCGCGGTTACCGGAGCTTGCAGCTCGCCACGAGACCCCGGAGAGCTTGCGACCAGCCAAGGGGTCCCGATCGAACAAGAACCGCCGACTCTCTTTCCAGCGATCAAAGCAAAGGGGCAGCGGCGGAAACGCCCGTCGCCGCGGACGTCCGAAAGCTCGCGCGGCCTTCTGCCGCGGAAGGCGCCAAAGCGGAGGCGCGACCTCGCGACTTCCTTTATGCCGGCGCAAGCTCGCCCCTCCGCAAAGACGCTCGAGCCTCCACCGGCTTTTGTTCCCGGCGAGCTGGCCCGTGGGCGGAAGCGGGAGAGCTTTTTGCGGCCCTCCCGGATCCGAGCCGTCGTTGCAAATCAACTTTTACGCGCCGGCGAAGATCCTTCCCGGAAACGAATCGCTTCCGTTTCCGTCGTCGGGGGCGAAAAACGCATCGAAATCCGAAACGGGTGCTTCGACCCCGCGACGCGGAAAAGCGAGCCGAGAACTTGGCTCTCGGGGACGCGGAAAACGCCGCCAACCAAAGCGGCTCTCCCTTCCGGATTATCTTTCGCTGCTTCTCGAAAGCTCTTTGCCGGTCGGCGCGAGGAACGACGCGGAACCAGGAAACGCCACGGCGAGGTATCTCTCCGGGGTTTCAAAGACCGGCGAGCAAACCGTAGCAACGACCTCGCCGAAAGCGCTCGTCCCCGCCTAGGAAGGAAAGCTCAAAGCCGGACGTCGAATCTTCCCTCGACTCGACGACTCCTCGATTTCTCGCACTCACATTGACTAGTATCTGCAACGCCTCCACGTACGACCTCTCCGTGTCGTAAAGTTCCACAACGACGTGGGTCCTCGTATCCTGCAACAGTAAAATATTCACAGTCTGAGTAAAATGGGGACTTTCTCGACGAGATCGGTGCCGGACTTAAAAGGAGAAAAAAAATTAAAAAAAAAACACGCGCGCGAGTCGCTTAAAAAAAAAAATGAAAAATGACATACAATACTACAAACTATATCCCCGCAACGCGGGGCATCGCACGAGGACGCAGCATCGGATCAAGGATATCGTTATCAGGAATTCCGTAGATCGACCGACGTTCGTTAAAGTCGACGTTGACGATGCAATCGCGATTTCACGGGTCTCGTTAAATCAACTTTGGTCGATTTTCGCCGTTTTTGTCTTCTTTCCGCCTCGTGGAAATTTCGGAGATCGAGACCGCCGATGACAATATGCGCCGACCGGCGTCGGAAAATCCGCGCGGAATCCTACGACGTACACCTAAATATATCCGCCGCATGCGGCGACGCGTCCACCTCGGTAGCGAACACCGGCTTTGCATTCGAGTGTTCCCGATAATGTTGATCGAAGGCATCTCGACCGATGTGCATTCCTCGGGTGGACGCATTGTTGGATTCCGTCGGATTCGTCGCAAGAACCGGAGCCGCGTTCAGCGGCCTCCACGTCTCGGGGAAAAATTGCCGATCGTATCCCAAAGGTTCCCTCGTTCTCAAACGTCCTTAAAAAATAAAAAGGAAAAAAAAGAAAAAGAAAAAGTAAAAAAGATAACCGCGAAAAATTCCCGTTCGCGCTGATTAATATCCCGACATGGCTGGCCGAGTTCCCGCGCAAAGGGAAGAGTCGCGAAAAAATCGATTCGTCTCGACGTGGCTACTTTGAAAGGGCAAAGGATGCCTTCCGCGTCCTTTTGTCCTCCCCTTGAGGGCGGCCATCGGACGATTTCCCATAATTTCCCCCAAGTCCTCGAAACAACGGCCTCGTGGCCGTCGTTACACGTGCGCGAGAGCTCCGCCACGTTGCGAGCCTCGCACGCGGCCGTTTTCCGCGCCCCGCAACGTCTTCCGGAACTCCCGCCCCGATCGACGGGTATTGCGCGGCATGGTCCTCGTTAACATTAACCGCACTAAGAACTGAAAAGAAAAAAAAAAAGGAGATAATGCTCCTTTAGCAACCGAATAGCGTGGAAACTCACCACCGATTTGACATCGAACTCCTGATCGCCCTCGTCGCTGTCGACGGAAGGTCGACCTACCAACCGATTTTCCGCGTTCATCGCAGCGTTTACATTTCCTCACCCCGATCCTTTCTACTATCTTATTTCTTTTTTTCCCAAGTGAAACTTCTTATCTCAGGGTCACTCGCCAAGGGTATTCATTTTTTAGACACGTCAATATCGAGACAATCCGCGGATAGGAATTCATTTGCGCGTCGTTCCGAGTTAATCACTGAAATTTAATGAGAAAATCGAAAAAAATGGAGGAGTTTAACTTCCGGGGGAATATCTCTTTTTTTTCCTTCTTATACCATGTGACCCTCCTCGAGAGGAGGCTGCGATCTTTTTTGGAATCCGCGAGCAGAAATACGCTTCGAGGAGAGACGAGGGCTCGTCGCTCGAGAAGGGATCTCAAGGTCGCGGGGGAGTTCCTTGCTCTTCCGGCATCCCGAGGGGAGCGAGCTTGCGAAACTCCCGATTTCGTAAGGCCTCGACCCCGAGTACCCGCCGAGGGAGAGTCGGCTTAGAAGAATGCGGCTGTACAAACAAATATGGCGGGCCGAGTCCGGCGGGATTTCGGACGTTCCGGCACCGCGAAGGATACCAAGGAAACGAGGGAAACCGTCGGAGCGAGCTTTCGGCTCGCACGGCTCGGATGGAACTGCTCGACCTGGGGAAGCTTCCGATCGGGGTGCCGGGAGTTTCCTTGCGCGCGGCCCTCGAGCGTTGATATGGCCGGCGGCTCCTCTTAAGGCGACACGAAACTGTCATACATACACCAAAACGTCAAAATGTTAATAAAACTTTTCTCCAACCAAGGTGCACCGAATATCTTGAAGCTCCACTATGCGATTATAGAGGCCCTAAGGAAGAACACGACACTCGTGAAATTTCATTTTTCAAACAGAAATTTTTTTATATATATCCCGGACCAAGGACATATATTTTTCTTTGGGGAATAAAATTTCATGAGCATCGGATTCTTCCTTGGGGTCTCCATAATCACGTGTTAAGGGGTCAAATGAATCGGTGCACCCTGTTTGGAGAGAGGTTTTATATTTTCACGTTTTGTATATATACGTAGAATGACCCTTTCATATCGCCTTAAAGCTCGGGAACGTTCGACGTTTCGACGGCCTACCGGGCCTTTCATATTTCCCGGCGTGCGCGTCGCCCGTGTATATTTAGCCGAGGTGACTAAGGCGCTCCGCAACCTGCGCTTGCAGCCACGCTCCCGACACTTTCCTCGTTCCAAGGAGCGAAGTGCCGAGAGAAACCGATCGCCTCGATCGGTCCGACCTCGCGAGTTCTACGAGGGATGCGACGAGTCTTTATATCGGACAACTCACCGCGGACGCGTTCTTCCTTGCTTCGAGTCGTCGATTCGAGTGGGAGAAAAATTCTCAAATTCGAATACCGGAAACATTCAAAAGATTTCATTGAACCGAAAAAAAAATATTCCATTCATTCGACGAATTATTATATCACTCAAATAAACGGGAATAAATTGGATGCAAATATGTCCTCGGAAAGATGACAATTTATTCGAGTCGAATAATTATCCCTTAAATTAACGAAATATTTCCTTGCTACGATTCAAAGGAACATTTCTCTGGTCCGATGAATTCTTTTTTTTTTTTTTTTCTCGGATACTCGAGTCCAGAATTCGAATTGGAAGTATCGTCGAGTTCGAGTACGTCGAATCAATGAAATATCCAACAGGACGCGAGGTTATTCGAGTCTGGATAAAGAGGGAGATAGTCAACGAGACCTATTCACGATCCCCCGAAACCCGTGGAACTTTATTTTCGCGAAAAAAAAAATAAAAAAAGAAGAAAAACAACGGCCTCCGTTAGCGTCTCGCCTTTGAGATAGCGGATATTAAAAATGGCCACTTTTAAAAACGTTCAGGTGCCCTCGGTATCTCCAAATTACAGGCCTAGCGTTCATCTCGCATCGTCTCGAGTCGCTTCGAGTAATCGTCCCCGTTAATCCGGTTTCATCTCGAGTCACTTCGAGTAATCCTTTAAGGTGTCCACTCGGTTCGAATTCCCTGTCGCCATTATTGATCCATTCGGTTTCATAGCACGGCTTGGAAAGGTCATCGGTAATCCCTCGTCGAACCAATTATTCCTACAATGAAATTACAGTAGTGCGATTACGGTAACATCGCCGGTACACGGAATGCCCCCGCGCAATCGGAAAAAAAAGAAAAAAAAATACAACAGGGAGATAAGGGTCCCGCTTGAGCACCTATACGTCCAAATTATCAGAAGTCCCAGGTGCGTCTCAAAATTCCCGAAAAATGTCCAACGACCGGAAGGAGAAGCAAAACCGAGGTCACCGTCATTACGCAAGTGCTGCTCTCCTCGTTGCAGAAGTGCATCCTCCCACGCGAGGCGCGAGATAAATCTCCGTCCTTACGTCCGTTGCGGTACACAATGGACCAGAGAACGAAATACCAAGAGAAAAGAAACGACGAATAAATTACTCGTTACATTGAAATTTCCTCTCAGTAATTCAGGTACTCGAAAGTGATTCGACCCGCGGCGCAAATTTCCCATCAAGCAGGAAAATTTCCCGGGCTCGGGGACGGGGTTTAATTGTCCCATAGTGAACTATTCTTCGCGAATTGTTCCTCGTTCTTTGTCATCCCGTTCATTTCCATTGCGCAACGGGTATTACTCGTGTTCGCGCTTACGTGACGACCGCTCGCAACATGGAACCCCCCCCCCGCGTTTTTACCCCATCGAACACGGTTCCGCCTCTACCAAATCATCGACGAAAATCGACGAATCTCCCCAGCCGTACTTTAGAAACGCACGTACTTGGCGCGGGACTCTGCCGAGTTCCTCGACAACCGAGGGCGATACGCCGAACCGTGAATAATATCGAGGGAAAGAACGCTCGACGTTATTTCCTTCCCGCACGTGTTCCTCCCCGTCTCGCACCCCACGCACTCACGCATCCACCCACCCACGCATCATGTAAGGTATACCTACGTTCTTACTCATGTGATCTCGGCGCTCACGTGACAACCCGGCGACGTGTCGGAACCACTCGAGGAAGGGTCCGCCTTTACCGACGGAGTCCGCGAAGACCGTCGCGAGGGAACCGACCGCAGGGTCGACCAAAAGGGCCAAAGATCGACGCCGACCGCAGAATCGAGTAGACCGGCCTCGACTGGATCGCCAAGCGTCAAGAAATTTCCCGGGGGGTCGTCGTTGGTCCCAGCGACCAGCGGGCTTTTGAGGTTAGGGGACAAGGGCTCCGCGGCTCTCGGAGCGGTCAGGCGCGGCGTCCGAACTAGCGTCGGGACGCCTCGGCCGGGCCGGCTGATCGATGCTTCGGCGCAGGAGAGCCCCCGGCCGGGGCGCGCCGGCGTCGCGACGCCGGCTGCCTTGAAATTCGAAATCTGCGCGCGGCCGGCACGTGCGCGCCAACTCCGACGAGGCCGCGCCGTAATTCCAGGGTAATTCAAGGTCGCCCCCCCTGGTGATGCGTCGAGTCGAACGCTTCTTCGACCCTAGTCGCTTAGATTTGGAAGAATTTGCATTTTGGATCCGGATAAGAGTGGACAACTTGAGGAAGGAAGGCGTCCATGGGGGAGGAATGGCGTCCATAGCAACCGCGAAGGAAGGACCTGGACGGCGGATCGGCTCGAGTGACTTGACTCGAATATACGCTCGATTCGAGATAAACGAGTGGAACGTTCGATTGGTCGCGTCTCGAGCAGAGGAAGCTCGAGGAGGACGCCGGAGGACGCTTCCTCCTCGACGAGCCTCAGGGTCGCCTAAGCACCGGTCGCGCTCAAGTGCAATTTATGAGCCTTGATACGCATCCAAGGACACCTCCCGATCGCGGGACGTTCTATTCGGGGAAAAACGGCCCAACAAGTTGGACAAATTCACGGTCGCGAGAGTCAAGGCATCTCGGCGAGTCTTTCGCCAGGGCCGCCACCGAGATCCAACTCTCGGGACGAGGTGGGAAGGGTGGACGAATCCGAGGGGGCTCGAATCGAGGTTAACGATCGTTCGATCCTCGTAATCTAACACTCCTAGGTGCTATAAATCGGAATCCATCGCCGAAGAAAATGTATAAGTATCGAATCGTGGCGTCTCTGGGAGATCCTCGGATTTATCCCCCGAGAGGCGTCCCCTTGGGACGTTTTGGAGGGGTTCCCGAAGGCCACCTATATGCCGCGACGAGTGCCCGTCTCCTCGATTTTTCTCTTTCTTTTTCTTCTCCTATACCACTGGATTAGATTTTATATTTAGAAGACCCGCCACCGGAGTAGCTCGATTCATTTTTGAAACCCCGGTATTGTGCAACCGCCTCCGACGTCCAAGCCTTCCACTTGGATGTAGTGCCTCGACATTTCCCGCGGAGTGGCCGCCATCTTTGTTCGCGTCTTCGGCCCTCCGGTGGCTCGTCGAAAGAAAGCGCGAGTCCGTCTTTTAAATTAAACGTTATTGCCCGGCAGGACGAGGGAGCTAAAGCCCACGATCAAAGGAAACGTGGCGTCGATAAATAACGCGAGTTTCAGAGGGCCGTTTATCGCCCCCCATTGACGACGCGCAACAAGATGTAAGATTTACTCAAACAACCCCCTCGGTCGTAACGAGGACTCCGGGACAAAGGCATGAATTTCCCCAAGGCCGGGCGGATACTCCCGGCAATTAAAAGACTCCGCGAATACGGCGTCGATGTCCGCGAGTGAATTGCTTTATTAAATTAGGAGATCTTAAAGACGCGCCACGAGATGCCGACCATAGACCGGGTCGTTAACGTCCCGCGAGGCACATCTTCGAGACAAACGACGTCCTTAAAGTGTCGCGGCAAAATCAAAACAAAGCGACATTTTTATGCAGCGATATCTTTCGCGGCCCAGGAGAGACGCAAGGAATCCGACGCCACTGACGTCACTTCTGGCAAAAAGAGCGAGACCGAGGGTCTCGACGTAAGCGAGCTCCTCCTCTCGTCGCTCTTTCTTCCCTGTTCCGACTCGCTGCGAATAGAAAATTCGTCAAAAGGCGGTGGACGCCGCGTAAAAAAGAAAAAGACGAAAAAAAAAAGGCAGCAACATCTTGAAATTATCTCGCGTCTCGCGAAGACAGGGCGAGATTTTCAAGAGTCGAGTCGTGGGCAAGATGGCGGCCTCTCGCGATCACCTCTGACAGGCCAGGGTCCATTCATTCGCCTCGGAAGACGTTTTCTCCGCGCGTGGGGGTCCGAGGAAACCGGGGAGGGTAAAGTGCGTGCAAAGTCGGACGTTCTAAAATTAAACGGCCGAGTGTAGGAGGAGATTATGACGCGGCCACCTGGTGGGCGACGCCGGAAGCTCACACCTGCGTCAATCTCGACCAGGAACTCTTGCTCCATTTTTGGCCCGCCGAGGGGCGCCATTTTCCCGAGACCGTTGTCTCCGATTCCGTCAAACTCTCCGTTTCACGTTGAATCCGCTTTCAAGGTCTTTCCCTTGAATATTCCAAGCGAAATATATCCCCGTAGGACGCGACAGACTCGATAAATCGGACGTTGAAAAGTTTTCTCTTCGTCCGCGGCCGCGACTCCGAGCGACGCGTCACCCCCGCGGTCGGTAGCATAATTCAAGATGGCGGCCGCTCGCCCGTGCATTCCAGAAGCGTCTATATAGGGTTCAGTGTCGAGGCCAGACGAGGACGAGTGACCAGCCCCAGCGCGGAAAGAGCCGGTAACTCTTCCGTGGAAATTCAAACGCGCCTCGGACACGGCGAAACGACTTCGGGAGACATTTACCGCGTCGGAGGAGGCGCGCCGCCGCCGCCATCTTCCTTTTTCAGGGACCGCCGCGCGTCGCGGAATGCGTCGCTGAATAATCCGACGAAGGGCCGTTCTTCCGAATAATTGCGCCGGGGCAGTCGCTTGTTTAGTCTGGAGGTACATCGGCGAGACTTATCCCGAGGAATTCCCGAATTAACGTTACAGCACAGTGATGTCTCAAAATCCCAAGACATTAATTGCGGACTTCCCGGTAGAAAATCGGCGTGGTCACCCGACGTCGGTTAGCGAGGTGTCCGACTGCGGGCAGTCCTCGATAACTGCGAAAACGGGCAATCTCATCGATCGAACCCCGGCCCAATAAATTATTGCCACGGTGGGACGAGCGACCGGCAATCGAGCTCTCCCTCCGCGCTCGTGGAAACCACTCGAGAATTAATTCCCTCGGCCGGTTAGCCGCGCGTCTTACGTTGCACTTTTCTCCGTCATGTCGAGTGCGCGGCGCGGCGCAACGAATGTCAGTGCATTCCAGAAATGTCACGTACCGCCTTAAAGTAGGTCGACGCGTTTCGTCCGGATCGCCCGTCCCACGCCGAGAGCATCTCGTGTCGCCGAGTAGCGAAGAAAAGGGAAATATAAAAACATGGCGACCGATCTTCCGGACTCGCGATGACCTAATCCTCCCTAGACTGGTCCCAATTCTCGAGGCTCTAAACCTCGAAACACGGATACCGCGTACACGGGGCATGCATTATGCAGGGATCCATAATCTATCGCCGATCGACTCTTCCCCGATCGCGAATCGCCGGCTCGAGCTCCCTCGCGGCGAGTATAGGTAATCTATGAATAACCTAAGTGCATCGAGAAAATTGCAAGCCGCGCGTCATCGTCTCCGAGTTATTTAAATATTTAATGCACTAGGCGCACGAGCTATTTGGTTTGTAGATGCGGGGAATTTATTCCGAAGTTTCTCTAGACCAGGGAGCCGGCCGTGAGAATGCGCGACCGGCGAATGAATTCGCAACGGTGTCCGGATTTCCGCGATCCGATTTTTCTTTTTTTTTTTTCCTTTTTTTTTCCGCACAAGGGAAAACAGACGTAGCTCCAAGAAACCGGCGCGTCCCTTCTCAGCAGCTCCACCTTTATTTTCATCCGTCGACCTCTCGTCCACGTGGAGCCTAGACACGAGGCGCGGCTCTTCCCTTTAAATTACACGCGACGTGCAATAAAAACTCGCGCCAAATGACGATACAAAGTCGAAAAGGACGACCGGGGGACGTGCGGTATTTAAAGCTCGAAACTCGCGAATCGGGATTCGCCTGACTCGCTGCCAGGACGAGTTTCCTTGCGGCCGAGATCGGCGTTTAATAATTAACCGGGATTCCCGTCGACTGGTAGAAAAATCGGGGCGAGAAAGTATCAAGTGCAAGAAACGAGAATTGTCGACGGATAGAGACCGGATGGAGTCTCGCGCCAAGAGCACACGGTCCAACCCCCGGGACACCGGCGCATCTTTACGCCCAGCCGTGTCAAAGCCGAAGTCGTTTAATTCGGAAGATACGACCGGTATTTGTCGTTCGTTAGCGACATCAGAAACGCGAGTGGACGTTGCGCAAGGTCGCGAGGATGTGTCAAAACCGTGGCACCGGTTCGCATCTTGGAGGCTAGTCGGCCAGGTGCACCCTAAGGCCAGGAATATCCGGCGTCGCCCCCGCCCGCCGTTGGTTCTCGGGGAAGAGAGAGGATGCCTACTAACCCCGAGATCGGCCGGCCAACGGTCATCCAAGAAATATGGCCGAATATTATTAGATTAACTTCGGTCGCTCCGCGCCACATGGCCGATCGTCTCGCCCTGGCCCGGGGATACCTTCTTGCGAAGTCAAGGTGCCGCCACCACGTCCACCGCTTCCCTCGCGAGAGATTCGACAAGCAAAACCGTCAACACGGGGGTCGAAACTCACGTTTCGATGAGCAGGTGCTCGCGCCACTCGCTCGGAGGATCCCCTGAGAAGTTCGGCCAGTAATTCGGGGCTGGGACCAGGTAGACCCTCCAGTTTGCTGGGACTGGAGGTGGTCCTATGATGGCAGGGCGTGGGAGGTTCCGAGCTGCTGTTGGCGTTGGAGTTGTACGAGAGGTTGGCCGACACCTTCCTCCTGGGGCGAAGACCCTCCTCCAGGGCGATATCGGTCGTCCTCGGCTTGGCCATCTCCGCCTCCAGCATCTGTCCATAAGGTCCACGAAGAGGCCTCTTGCTGTACCTACGGAACGAGAACAGGGTCTCCTCTATCTGGATATCTCCTCGTCGACGCGGTTGATAATCCCCCCGCGGAAGCATCGAATGATGTCTTATCGAGTCTTCCTAACGGATCGCAGAGTACCGTTGATGGCTCATTTTTCATCCGTGTATATCATCAACGAAACCTGGCGATTACCCTAACGAATTATGAGAATTCACAGCGTGGGTTAGCGTACCTCCTAGGGGTCTGTCCCTCGCAGTCGGACAAGTCGCTGGGCGTAGCCGGGGGCTCGTCCCTCTCCTCGCTACTCTGGGCCGCGAGTTTGTTCCTGTCGATCTCGGAAGGTTCCGGCCACTGAGTGATGTAGACGCCCTTCCTCCTCTTGCTGGTGTCGCCGCGATACCTCCTCGTCTTCCCCGAGGGAGAGGAAGCTTCCGAGGGCGTCTCGCTGGGAGCCTCGCTCCCCTCGCTGGCTTGACTCAATCTAGGCTCTTCAGGGGGCGGCGTAATGATGACCTCGTGAGGTTCAACCTTCAGCTCTGCAGGAAAAAAAAATGAAAAGAGGTCCAACTCCAAGGTTCGGCCCCAGCCATTCCCCGCAGACTCGTCCCGCTGGCAACTGACCTCTCTGGACGGTATCCTCGGCCTTGGCATCGGACGTCCGGTCGGTCGTCTCGGAGGCTGGCTGCGCGACGGAGACCTCCGGCCGCCCCAGGTCCACCCTGGGTTCCCGAGTGTCCGGAGCCAAAGGTTCCGGGCTGGTCAGGGCACTGGAGGTGGCCAGGCTATCGGACCCGTCGCTCCTGGGTCTGACCTCTTCGGGCCCGGTTTGGGGCCCGCCGAGGCCCTCCGCCGAGCCGACGGCACTGTCGACGCTCGGCGTAGACGCCCTCGGGCTCTGTCGACCGGGACTGTTCCGCGGCGTCGAGACGGCGGGACTGACGTCCCCCCGGCGTCTCGGCAGCGTGCTGGCCCGGACGTCCTTCCCCTCGAGGCATTCCGTGCCGGAGACCGGCAGCGTCTTCTGTCGGTTACCTGGATCCAAAGAGCGGTGAGTAAAATCGGTCTAGGTCACGCCTAACCCCAATTCCCGACCACGTTTCCAAAACGAAGAGGGACCAAGACCAAGACCGACTTTCCTCATCGGCACGATCGATTCCCCTTACCCCAATGTTCCAAACTTCCGGCCCCTTTCCGAAATATCGGGCTTGCCTTCGACCGCGATCCGCGTCGCGGCGGTTTGTTTGTTATTATTGGAACGTCCCGGCCCCGAAAACGTTGCCAAACTCCCGCGAGACGGCCCGGGGTAATTAGGACTTCCTCCTCGATCTCGCCTCGCCGAGGAGAGAACTCTTCCGAGTTATTATTAAGCGGTTCTCACCTTGATCGAAGTCGACCTGGCCGAAGGAGGCGCTGCGGAAGGGGGCGCCCGGTCGATGGTACGCCAGGAGGGGGCCCCTGGACCCCAGCCTCGGGAGGGCGTCCGTCGCCTCGGCCTCGTGGTCCTCGGGCGCCGCGGCGCTCCGAGGTTCGGCCGCACTCTTGGCACCGTCCACCACCGAGTCACTGTACTGCCGGAGGTGGCCAGCCCCGGGCGCGACCTCGACCGGGCCCCGGGTCCCGTCGCCGAGGTCGGCCCTCCCCCCGTCCTTCGTCCCCCTCCCGCCCGCCACCCCCGCCGGCCACTCTTCACCGACACTGTCACTTCTGTGATAAGTCCTCTGATGATGAGGCTGCCCGCCGTTGCCGTTGCCGCTGCCCTCGCTGTAGGTGTAGCTCCGGTAGGAAGGTCGCCCCTCGGCGGCGCAGCGTCCGCAGCCCTGGAGCCCCGCTGCCTGGCCTGCCTTCGGAGACCACGTCCGGGGTTGATAAAAATCATCGTTTCATTCGAAGGATCAAAAATCCCGAACTTTTTTAAATCACTATCAAAGTCTCGATTTTTTTTCCCTTTAATATCTTAATTATTTAAATTGTAATTATAACGATAAAATAATAACAATAACAATGATTTAAAAAAAAACTGAAAATCGATGGATTTTAATGGAATTATTTAAAGCGGACCAACCGCGATCGAGTCGATCGGTTCAAATCGATCCAAGCGATCGGACTGTACGTACCTGCTGGGGCGTCGGCGACGCGGCGCCGCAGCCCGATGGCGGCGGCGGCGACGACGACGAGGTCTGGACGCGCGACGGCCTCCTCGGCGGCGGGGTCGGCGCGGGGCCCTTCAATTTCTCGGTCAGCTCGCGCAGCCGCTCGCCGCGGGGGCCGGAAGAGGACTTCTTGCCGCTTCCTCCTCCGCCCCCGCTCCACCGGAACCTGTGCAGCCGGTCCACCGCTGTCACCGCTGGTTCCTGTCGACGGAATCGAGACTCTCCTGATCCGACCTCTCCGCGTAGACGAAAAAAAAAAATCATCCCCGCGAAACCGGGACCGACCATGGTGCCCGTCAACGGACGCTCCCGCACCTCTCGAGGAGGATGGCGAACGAATCCGGAGGGCGGGCGAATTCCTTTCGACTCCGAAGAATCGGGAGCCTGTCCCTCGACGGTTCGTCCTCCACCCTGAACCCGAAAAGTGCGATCGAGAGGGCGCGAGGGTCCCGCGACCTCCTCGACGAACGAGGGCGCCAAAAGTCGACCGGGGAAAAAGAAGCATCGACCACTGGGACGGGGTCGCGAGGAGCAACAACTGGCCGGAACCGATCCTCGATTGGCCATCGAACGAGTTGCCACCGGGTGGAGAGCAATCGTCCGGGGAGAGGACCGGGCGAACCTTGACTGCCAGGTCGAGGTCACCGAGGCAGGCCGCTCGACCCAATTCCGCGTCGACTCGAACTCCACTCCGGGACCTCTCGTCCCGCCGCCACGTGACGGCGGCGGATCCCTCGCAACCCCGGCGAGGTACCTCGAAATCGAGTCTCGGCCACCAGGGCGAAACTCTCCACTCCGCACTCTGCGTTACCGCGTCCCGGGTCGGACCTCCCGTCGCAGGGGGGGCCCGCGACGCCGTCGGCGTCCCGAGCCCCTGACCCGGCCGCGACCTCGAGGACCGACGCCCGCGTACCTGCAGCTTCAGAGTCTGGTGTTTGGTCCACTGGGCGAGCTGTCGCGGCACCGAGACCGAGTGGGCCACTGAGGCCGCGGATGATGCCGTAGATGATTGCGGCTGCGATCCGTGGCTCCCCATTTGCAGCACCCCGCGGTTATTATTAGCGTTTGAGTTTGGCGGCGGTTGCGCTGCCTCCGCGCTGCCGGCCCTGGCGGGGGCCGGGGTGGAGGGGGCGGAGGGGGTGGGAGGCGATCCCGCGGCGCTCGTGGCGGCGCCCGTCCCGGCGCCCGTCGCGGAGCGCGGCAGAGGCAGCCGCGACCGCGGCCCGATGCAGCAGCAGTCGGCCACGCTCGCCGCCAGGTCGATCGAGACCGGCTTCTCCGAGGGCCGCTCCGTCAGTCGCTCCCGGGAGTCGCCGTCGCGCGAGTTCCTCCGCTTCCGTCGCTCCTGGAAGTCCTCCCGCGAGCCCTGCGGCGGCAGGCTCTCCTGCGAACCCGGGACAAAAGAAGGCCTGGCGTTAGTTCGCTCCCCTGGACACCTCGCCGTCCGCGGTACCGAGGAGGTACACCGTATGCCCCGAGAAAGAAAAAAAAAAAGGAAGAAATTGCATCGAACCAATGAAATGATTTTTTTTTTTAATCCCAGGAACAATTATTTCACTCTAAGAAACTGGAATAAATTGAATGCAGCATTTAGTTAGGATTATGACAATTCCAGGTCGAGTCAAGTAATTATATTCTTTGGAAAATCAAAATGTTTCTATGGTTCGGTGAATTTTTTTTTATTCTCGGAGTTGCGCCGCAAAAAAAACCGTAATACGTCGACGCGCGGACTCGTTTCCGTAACGAGACTATTCGAAGGGACCGGAGGCGTCGTCGCGTCCACGCGGAGGAGGCGTCAAGGAAAAAGGGCGAAACCGTCCTACGCGACGCGGTGGTCGCGGTAAGGCGACCCCGCGTCTTCCCCCGACCTCCTCGGAAAGAAACTACCCTGAAATAGATCCCGTCGAAGGAGAGTTTCCCGAAAGCTCCTATTTTCCGGCGCGTCCCGGCCGGCGGGGTCCGCCGAGTCCGGAAGGGCCGCGAATCGAGGTCGACCGGTACCGTTCCCCTTTCCGCCTCGTTACGGCCGCGGCGGAAGAGCGGCGGCGAACCTGTTGCGCGCCCGGAGGTTCCGCGCGGTCGCGCCGCAGGAAGAAGGAAGCTAGGTGTCCGCGCCGCGGCGGAGGCGCCCGCGTCTCGGGTTCCGCGTGCGCGTCGCGGCCGCTGACGTCAAGCCGGATATTATTCCGAGGGGAAACTAGGTGCGGGAATCGAGTCGGGCCGGTGACTGGCAGTGGACCGTCCATTTGCGAGATCGCTTCCAAGTTTAGGCCTTAAGGTGTTATCAAAGAGTGTCACATATACGCATATATCAAAAAGTAAAAATATTTATCAAAATTATCTGGGTGGACCGAATAATTTGAAACTTCACCCCGTGATTACGGAACTCCTAATCGAGGTCTTGAATCTCGCGAGATTTCATTTTTTATCAATATTTTCACATTTCGATATATATAGAATGACCCTTTCGTATCACCTTAAGACGCGATCCGACCGGGCCGCGTCGAGCGTCGCACCTAGCGCGGCGCGTCGAGGACAAAGAGACGGATAAAAACCGAATTTCTCTCCGCGCGTCACTTCCGTCGCACTTCTCGCCGAAATTTGTCATCCGCGATCCACCGACGCGTCGCGCCTCGCGTGACGCCCGACGCCCGTTTTTATCCCCCCGGAATAAATTTTTCCATCCGTCTCTTATTTCGCTCGCGGATTTTTCTCCTTCGGCGAATCAAGCGCGATAGGAAGATACGTACCTGAGAGAGTCGCAATCCGTATCTGGTGCCACCCAGGACCACGTATCCACCTCCACCGCCTCCTGTCATGGCCCTCGCGGCGCCTCCCAGCCACCCACCGAAACCACCTCCTCCCGACTTCTCGCTCGCACCCCCGCCGCCTCCTTCCCCGCCGACGCGGGGCATTCTTCATCCTTCCCTCACCCTGGAAAAAAGCAAACATCCGTATCAATTCCCCGATCCGATAAAAAAAAAAAAAAGAAACGCCTCTATTGAAAGTCCAGGTGCCCTGCACACCTATACTCATTAAAACGACGAATTACCCGCGGAACCCGATTTACCGGATATCCGGCGCAATCGCACGATACTCCATCTGAAAATCGCTGCGGATTCTTGAAGTGATAATCCAAGGAATTGGCGGCTGCAATCAAAAGGCGGAAACTAACGAGCTAAACCTCGGCAAATCGATCGCCCCGATGGTTCGCGTTATCCGACGACCCTGAAATTACAATTAGCCGCAAAAAAAAAATAATATAAATGACAAACGACGGTGGTAAAAGAAATAATTCTCCGGAACCCGATTTACCGGATATCCGGCGCAATCGGACGATACTCCATCTGAAAATCGCTGCAGATTCTTGAAGTGATAATCCAAGGAATCGGCGGCTGCAATCAAAAGGCGGAAACTAACGAGCTGATGGTTCGCGTTATCCGACGACCCTGAAATTACAATTAGCCGCAAAAAAAAAATTTAAAAAAATGACAAACGACGGTGGTAAAAGAAATAATTCCCCGAGCCTAATGCGCCGAGACAACGGCGCTAATCTCGAAATACTCGAGGTAGCGAAAGATTGCCGCGACCGGCCATAATCGTCGACCACAAGGAAGGATAATTCCGTAATCGGCGCGTTCGCGATCGTTACACTTTTTTTTTTTCCCCCGGCAGTTTTACTCGTTCATTAGGCACGCTTTCCCGGAGAGCTTTTCCCCGTACGCTGCCGTCGTTCCTTCTCTCGCGACCGGCGCCTCCGCTAAATGACGCTAAACGTCGGGTTTACGCGCGCGGCGTTTATAAGTTCCCGGGCCATGCGGCGTAATTAAGGGTTTACGTAACCCCCGCCGTTTCGGAATTTCCGCCGCGGCGGAAATTCATTCACCGGAGCTAGAATCGCGCGTACAAATAAATCCCGCCGACAGTTATCGGGGGGAGGACGCGCCTACGTTCGCGCGTTTCCGCGGATCCTCCGCAGCGCGACCTTGCCCGAGCGGCCGGATTTATCGTTCTCGTAAAAATTTCGGAACGCTTTGACCGCGACTTCTCTCTTTTTCTCCCCCCCGCGGCTCGATTTAGAGCGCGGGATAACCGCAAAAGTTCGCGCCGGAAGTCCCGCCGTCGTTACCCGGACCGTTCGTTTCCGGCCGCGGAATCGGCGCATTCCTCCCGTTCAATTTTTCTTTATTCATTAATTTCCCTTTATCCTCCTCTGGAGATCGACAAAGGAAAAGCGCGACTGCCGGTTCAGTGGCAACGGGTCGGACACACACAATTCCGCGGAGTCCTTTATCGCGCGCTTGGTTAACACGTTCCCTGCCGCGTGGGGCGTATGCGCCCCACGCTGCACTTTCCGTTCAAGCCATTTGGTAATATCATTGTAAAATAAAGAATTTTTTGAAAATTCATTATGCAGTCAATTATGGGCATATTAATACTATTTCTGATGCGCTCATTTGATCGTGGGGTGTATTCGCCCCACGCGGCCTGAACGGAAAGTCTTCAAAAAACGGTCTGGCAGGGAACGTTGAACTTTCCGTTCAAGCCATTTTGTAATATCATTGTAAAATAAAGAATTTTTTAAAAATTCATTATGCAGTCAATTATGGGCATCATAATACTATTGCTGATGCGCTCATTTGATCGTGGGGCGTATTCGCCCCACGCGGCCTGAACGGAAAGTCTTCAAAAAAACGGTCTGGCAGGGAACGTGTTAAACGACGAGAAGGGTTTTCCGGGTGCTCTGTCCCTGACATTTCCGCGGGTAATCGCAATCCCGGGGAATCTGCATACAATAAGCACACCGTGCCTGCGTTTCCGTTAGCGCGGCGCAGCCTGCACCGAGGTCGCCGTATGCGAATCGGGCTCGATCCCGATCGCTTATTAAAAATGATAAATTAGCCGATAAGCCCCGATAGGATCCCCTTTGTGCCCTTGCGCGTAATGGATACATATGCGCCTATCTCCTCCGGCCTCTCTTTCTCTCTGTACATCCGTGTACATACAATTCCAGGTAATCGAGGCTCCGCGCCTTTGATTGCTCTCCTCGGATCCGCCGATCGGATTAAGAGCAATGGCCGTTCGCGATTGTCGTGCGGTTTAATCGATGCCACCGAGGCGGAATAGTGCCAAGTTCAGCCGGGGATGCGACTCGCGGACGCGCCTAATTACCGGGTTAATCATCGCGAGCCCCGAGTGCCGGCTTTTATCAAAAAGTTAACCGAACGGCGAGAGCGATGCGTTACACGTCCTCCAATAAACAATCGAACGTTATCGCTCGGCCCGAAATAAGTGGGAGGAAAGATACGCTCCGGAATTCCGGAGAGACATTCCCGAGGTTCGAGTCGCCCCGTACTTTTCGCGAGGGAGAGAAAAAGGGGCGGAAATGTTTTGGCTTAGCAAATTCCGGGGAATATCGCCGGTCACCGGGACGGCTCGCGCGAGTGTCGTCTTCGGCGTTCCTCGAGCTTGCGAAATTCCCGAGGCGGCCGCGGAATTCCTTCCCGAGTCGATATTTTCGTTTTTCCCCCGCGACCCGCGGACCCGGTAAAAATATTCGGCGCCTCGGAATGCCGAGATCTTGTTTGGAAAGCGATAAAGAGGAGGCCCTCGCATCCGAGACTGCCATTCGCCAGGAGATAAGGAGCTTTCTTCCCGCTCCGCGAAATTAACGCGCCTCGCGTCGGAATATTTTCAGAGGATCTTCCGCGAAATTCCATCCCGGGATTTCGCACACCAGGGTAAAATCTCGCGACCGAAATCGACCTCGTCGCTCGCGACCGGATAACGCGCGTTATCTAACGAGGAAATTGTTTACGGGCCCCGGCTTATGGGTGTAACAGAAAAATTCCCTGATTCCGTGCCAACTGCGATCAATTGTCAATTAACATCGGTTGATGTCAAGTCGGATCATCGGATGGATTCGCGATTATAAACAAACACTGGTTTGACGTAAGCTCCTCGACGCGTCGATATCGAGCGTCGGGGACTCCAGATTTTGTAGGCAAGAAAAAAAAATAAAAATGAAATATTTCAAGATCCGCGTTATCGGTCTCATGAGAATATTATTACGGATCCCGGTCGACGTCGCAAGAGTCAATTATACTCGTTAGCGTATAAAAGGAGGGAAAGCACGACTTGGGCTCGAGCCAAGAAAAATGTCCACATCCGCTCGAATTCCCGGCCGCGGGATAAGACGCGACGAGATTCTCAATTTTGGATTTGGACCGCTCGGACGGCTTTCGGGGGTCATTTCCAAATAATAATGAATCATCCCGAAGCGGCCCTGTCGCAACGGCGATGGACTCACTAGTTATTTTAAACCGGGGATTCTGGGATCGAGGAGGAATCTCGCGGACAGGGAGGACCCTCGTGCCGATCAAAGAAAAATCGCGGATCGATTGACCGGAAAAAAGAAAAAATAAATTCAAACTCAGATCCGAAGATATAACCTCGCGTGAAATTAATGGGACATTATCGCGCAGTAAATCCACCGAGTAAAAGTACCCACCCGAGCAGAAACGAAAAGCCGACATGATGTCGGTGATCTTCCGGCAACCGGGGTAAAAATCAACCGCGTATGAAAATTTAAAAAAAAAACCGCAAACGGTTCGATTCGAGCGAGGAAGAATTTCGACCGAGCTCCCGTTATCTTCGCGACGTATTATCGGCAAATCGGCTCGAGTGCTCGACTCGACAAAGGAGGCACAACACCCCTCTCTTGAATTTATATTTCCATTATCCGGCGAGGCAAGTGATCGTCGAAATACCAAGAGGTGCCTCCAAAGTCGGGAAATTCACCATCGCCGTTATCAATACGTACCTCCCGTTATCAATACGTATATCCCGTCCTCCACGGTCCAGCTAAATAGTTGCACCGCGCATTACCTGACAACCGTTCCACGGGGCATAAATAAAAATAAGCCAAGCAAGACCCGAGGTTGTTGGCAGGGCACCGACAGTGATTGGCACTCGGCGGTAAGAAAGGCATTAGCCGGCGATAGAAAGGGACAGATAGAGACGGATAGAGAGAGAAAGAGATACGCAAAGTCGCCTCCACGGCCGATACATGAGCATTTCGTCTCGTTAAAGTGCCAATCATCTCATCTCCCGGCGTCACGCGCATTTATCTCACTTTGCACCGAACGTCCCGAATCCCTTTCGCCGGAACGGCCAATAAAGCCACCATTTTATCCCAATCATTTATTCCGCCACCGATCGGGCCAGTTTCCCGCGAATCTCGCGTCCCGATCGTCGAGGAAACGCTAAATTTACCCCGAACGGCCATTAAAACGACACCGCATGCCTCGACTCGGGCAAACACCGGTTTACCATTTTTTACAGCGACGTCCTATCTGCCGGGTTAAGTGCCGCCAGGCGCCATAAAGCGGCGTCTTTTTCACCGAGGCAAATTCAACATCACCTCGGATTGACTTTCCCTCCCAAATTACGTGCCGTTCGAGCGAAACGTAAGCATTACGTAGGATACGCCCTGGATAAAGTCGCGACTCCTCGATGCTGGAAATGGAACCGCGACTCTTAAGGTCGTTCCCCTCGATTATCGGGCCACGGTCATGTCCGCCGAACCGCTCAAGAGCGATCCCTCGGAACGTGGCAAAAATCGGTTGGAAAAATTCCACGGTCCCATACATGTGCCCATAATTATGAAAGTGGTCTAAGTCATATATCTTTTGTTTCGAAATTACATTGAATTAATTTCCTTTGAAATAATATGGCGTGAAATAACTGATACTCATTTTTTTTTCAATTTCGACTTAGACCACTTTCATAATTATGGGCACATATAAGATCGTTCCCCAAATGCCTAGACATCGATCGACTCTAAAAGCCTAATTCCTTTCTCCCGAGCTAATGAAGCCACGCATTAGTTCGGATAATATCATTATACTTTCTGACTTTAATATTAAGTCAAGTGTCTCGAGAAAAAGAAAAAGTACCGCGCCAGGTAGGTGGCTCGTCTCATCTCTCTAGCCCGTCCCTTCCTCGAGTCGCCGAATCACCTGGGGATCGCATGGCGTCCAGAGTCGCCGAAGACGGTCCGGGCCCGACCTCTCGACATCGGGGACGCTCCTTGGTCGAAACTCGCGACACTCGGGGAGATACACTCGCGCGCGGTGCGACTTTTCCCGCGGGACGGCCGAACCGCGACTCGCGGCCCGCTCGGAGAGGGAGGGCCTCGTCGCCGAGGAGAAAGCCGAGAAGAAGCTCCTGGGGCCGCTCGGCGAAGGATTTTCTAAATAGCGCAGCCTCCGACCGCGAGAGCACGCCTCGGTTCGCCTTCGTCGCGCGACTCACTCGGCGAACCGAGTAGGACGGCTCGCATGATATTTATACGTCGTCGTCGGGCACCCGGTGTTGCCGGGCGGAGAGGAGGAATCTCGACGGAGAATCTCGCGAGACGGCGACGTCCCTTCCTAACGACCGCGGCCCAATTTTTATGCGAGCCGTGCGAAAAGAACGAGCCGAGAGAAATCGCGAGAACTCTCCTCCGGGTTTAGTTTATCTCCGCTCGGGAGCTATCGGATGCGATAGTCGCTCGAACCGCGGCCACTCCTTCGGGCGGAAGGAACAAAGAAAAAAAAAAAAATAATCCCACGGCTCGGCAAAGCCGCTTAAAACGTAATTAACTCGAAGATTTTCTTCCCAATCTGGTAATAACGGCTTCGGGCTGCAATTCGCCAAGTAACAATTATCAGCCGAGCGTTTCGCGCTACCCGTGCACTTGGCGCGGAACTCTGCCGAGGGTCCCGATACCAAAATGCCCGGTACCTTATTTCGCGTTTACGCCTCGGTCGAGACGTCATGGAGTAAAATATTTTCCAAAGAGTCTCCTACTTTTCCCGGATAACGACCGGGCGTTTCGCCCTGACCAGTGCACTTGGTGCGGGACTCTGCCGAGTTTCTCGATACGGGATCGCCGGGCCCCTTACGTCACGTATTTACGCGGCGGCGTGTCGCCTCGAGGTGCGCGCCTTGAAAAAGGAGAATTACACCGCGGAATTAAATCGACGGTTAAATACTGGGCAAAAGTGTCGCCGGCGTAATTGAAAGTGAATAAAAGGAAAATTCACGGGGCTACGCGCGAGTGGGGAAATATCAACGATCGAGGGGGCGTATTAAATTTTATTCGGGACCCTCCGTTATCGAGATATCGTCTCCCGACTTCGGCGTATGAAACGAAGCCCTCGGTCGAGTGAAAATCACGAGGACGATTCTCCGATCGAGCGCTCCGAGAATCGGATGCGATTGTCCTCTCGGCGAGGCCACTCCTCGGCGCCCCGAGAGGAAAGATCGCGCCGGCTCGGCAAAATCGACACGAGCGGGTATAATTAAACCCGTTAATACCTTTCTCGAGGTAAAAAAAGCCCTGGAACAAAATGTCAGAGCGATCCGTCTGGCGACGACTCGCAATCGAGACGACCGGATGCACTCGACGCCCTCGTCGCGATATTCAGAAAAAATCCCGCCGACTCGACAAAATCCACGGTTCGCAGCTAGCGGATCGAAATTCCTAGCAATGCTTGCGAAATTTCTTAAAGCGTCCTTAAAAGCGTCGAATAACCTCGCAATCGTTTGCACCTAACCAAAGAATTAATTTTTTTTTCCATGCCGAATGCGTTCCCGAATTAAAATCATCGACCTAATTACCCTCTAAATCCTCTGGATTTCAAAACTTCTGCTCATCATTTATCTCGCTCGGCGACATAAATTTTATCTTACAATTTGAACGTTATAATCGAAATCCGAAAGTCATTAGGTTTATACGAGGTGAAGATTTTCTATTCGGGTCCTTAAAAGCGTCGAATAACCTTGCGATCGTTTGCACCTAACCAAAGAATTAATTTTTTTTTCCATGCCGAATGCGTTCCCGAATTAAAATCATCGACCCAATTACCCTCTAAATCCTCTGGATTTCAAAATTTCTGATCTCGCTCGGCGACATAAATCTTATCTTACAATTTAAACGTTACAATCGAAATCCGAAAGTCATTAGGTTTACACGAGGTGAAGATTTTCTATTCGGGTTTTCGCGCCGTCCGGGAGGAATCTTCCGGTCGGGCCGATCGAAAAACTCGGCGTCGCCTTTTCCAGACGATTAAGAGTCAACGGGACAGCCGGACCCTCCGAGAATCTCAATCGGCTCCGTTTCCCTTTGTTCCCCGGAGGCCGATCGGCCCGATTCCGGAGCGGCGCTCCAAGTGTGGAAGTAAAAGTGGAAACGGACGTACCGATCCGGCCGGACCGGTGAACGACCGGATCGGATAAGCTCTCGAATGCCTAACGAGTGTACCGATCGAGGACAAACGTCACGCCGCGAAGAGAAGGATTACGTTGACTCGCCGAGAGGGTTCTTAGAGTATTTTTAACTCCTTTCTCGGCGCGAATCGTTTGTTTACGACGCGTCGAGGAGAACGAGGAGAAACTCCATCGCTCTTTCGGAGACGGCTCGTCGTAAAAATTCGTGGATCTTCGCGAATAACTCGGCCGAATAATTCTGACGGACGACTCGTCGTCGATTTCGGAGAAAATATCGACGACGCGAGGAAAACGCCGGGACGCGTTCCGCTTCGGCCGGGCGTCCTACTTACTCGCGAGAGGACTCTCGAGACGCGCGCTCCTTGCAACGCTAATTCCTTCGCGGCGTAAGTATAGCTTTCCGGAATTATCCGGGGATCGGAGCAAATTTCGACTTTCACCGATCGAGCTCTCGAGGGAGCCCAGGTCGCGGGAGTAATCCGAGTCGCGGACTTCCGCGTGGTCGGGCCTCGCGTTCGCGGAAAAACCGCCGCCTTGTTACGAGAAGGGCGCGACTCGTAAACACGAGTCGGGAGTCGAGGGTCGACGTCTCAAATTCGGAATTTTATACGGCGGGAGCGAAATTAACGATGAATCCCCTCGTCCAAGGTTCCAACCGCGGGTTACTCGTTTACTTAAGGTGGCGCGAAAGTGGCGTCAAAAAGTTCTCCTTTATGAAACTTTTCTCCGAACCGGGTGTACCGAATCCTCTAAAACTTTATAACGTGAACGTGGAGACTCTAAGATAGATCCTAACTCCCATGAAATTTCAATTATTAACAAAATTTATTCCTAGGTATTCTTAACATATTTTATAAACGGAGAAATTCCAGGAGGGTCAGGACCTTCCTTCGAGCCTCGATATTTACGTTGTGAAAATTCAAACGATTCGATACCCTCAATTTGGAGAAAAGTTTCATGAACGATTGACTCTTCGGATGTCGCTTTCACGTCCCCTTAAGTCGTTGTTCGAGTCGAGTTCTTCGCCAACGAAGTCATGGACTCCACTCGCCGCGGCGAACGTCCTCGAACGCGTTCCCTCTTCCCCGAGACGAGTCTCGACTCTCCAGGGCAACGTTTTCTGATGTTCAAACCCGAGGAGAGATTCCTGGATTTGATTAAATATTCGCCGCCAGTAAAGTATCTGGACTTACTTCCTAGGTGACTGGAAAGGGCATCGGGCGCCATTGTCCGCTCAGCCCTCCGGGTTGCAGCGTCTCCTTTTAGCCCGCGGAGTCATCCTCGCGAAATGCAGCCTCGACGACGCGCGTATTACCGGCACGTATGCACATGTCCCCCCGAGAACCTCGGGTGCCTGGCCCGAACCCACCGGAGCACCCCGGGCGACACCGCTCCCGATTTCCCGGGTTCTTTCCACTTTCTCGCACCGAGAGAAACCGCACGGGCCGGGCGACGCTTCTTCCAGCCGAGCGCGACCGAGAGGAGCGACCGCGTGGAGCGAGCGTCGCGAGTAACGCGATGCACGCGGCGCAGCATCCTATTTCGCCGGCAGCCGGCGGCCGCGTCCCCGTCTCCCCTCGGGCCCGGCGCCTCCTCCTCCTCCGACCTTCGCGCGCGAGCTGGATCCGCGAATCGCGACCGCGCGGCCGACTCGCGCAGACTCGCGAGCCACGCGCACTCGGCGAGGTGCGCGCGCGTCCGCGCTTCGGCCGCGCTCGGCGGGGCCTCCGAAGTCGCCCGAGCGCCGATCGCCGGGCGACGGCCGGCGCGCGCACGCGCCGCGCGGCCCCGATCGCCACGCCGCAGTCGGAGCCCGGACGCCGCCGAAGACCGATGGTCACCCCCAACCAGGTCGGCGCTCGCCAATTCTCCGAATTGTCCAAACACAGGAGGAGTCGTTTGCTCGTTAAGAGATTTTCGAAGCTTTCGCGGGCCTTGTGGACAGAGCCATGTTTGTCCGCTTTAGACCGCGCTAATGGTATTGCGTAAATGGAGGTAAGCGGAGGACCCAGGAGGTATAAGTCTGGTTTATGCTTCCGTCCTGACCTTGATTTAATTGTTTACACTCTGCTCGGCTTAGTCCTAATCCTTGGCGTAAACTCTCCCCGTGAACTCCTTACTGTGAACAATTAAGTAGGGTTAAGTTAGGATTTGGGCGGAAGTGGAAACCAGGCCACACCTCGCCGTCTCCCGAGCCCTCGATATTTCTTGACTCCGGATTTTGCGCTCGATTCAAAATGAAAGAGGAAAGAGCTAGGTGGAAACGAGACATCTCGGTTTACGTTTTCGATCGACGTCGGCACGTGGCCAGTCAAAATTCCTTTGTCCGTCGAACGGGTGTAGGAAATGCTCGCAGCGGCATAAACAGATATCCCAGATCGAGATACGATTTCCGCCGTCGAAAGGCGGCATTATTCTCAATTAATGAAAAAAATAACCACGTCGAATTGAAATCGAGAGTCGGGCAACGATCGAGCCGAGCTCGGCTCCGGAAGAAACAATGCATTTTCTTGGTATCATTTTCACCCAGGGTCCTCGGCTGTAAACACGAAGCTGCCCGTGACTCGGTTCAAGGAGACTCCATTGTCCGCATATTATGAAAATTTCGACAATAAACGAGAGAAATCTTATCCGCAAAGGTTCGCTGTCCCCCGAGGTCGCGTTCGTTCGATTCCGAGATATCGAGTCGCGATTGCAGCAAGATTCGTGTGTCGGGCCCGCAATAACGAATGTATCCGTAGATTTATCTCTGCGTTTCTGCCGCACCGATCGGTGCACCGGCGATAGCGCTTTAGATTGTCCGCAAGTCGGTCGCAGTTTCGGTGGAGGTTCCTAACGCGAGGAAATGTTCGAACGCCCTCGGATATCCCCGACTTGTTTTACGTAACGGCCAAGGAATAGCGGTTAAACGACGATGTACCGCGCCGCGTCGATCTGTGTAAAACATAAATCAACATCGCGTCCCACCGAGTCGTACATCGAGGAACATCGCGACGTCGACGAAGGACAGAACCTCCACCGCGTCACGCGATGTAAGAGCGAGTCCCACTGAGCGCGGCGGAAGTAAAAGTGAATAAAAAAAACCAGCGGGAATTTCGCTCGATTTGAATGGTCTTCTAAGTGAAACTTCTTAAGGGTATTAATATTTTAATTCTTTAACTTCGGAGTTCCACTTCCAGGGACCGATTTTTAATCTTTGACGCGCCGCGCTCAGTTGGACCCCGACGCTGTACAGTTTGGGGGGAAATCGGCGTTTCGCGGCACCGAGGAATGGCAGGCAGGTTCGACTCGCGTGCATCGGCGACGCCACCGGCAGTCTGCGTCTGGCGGGAGGGGGGTTACGTCAGCGCGGTCGGGCCGGTCCGGTCGGGTCGGACCCCGCGCCAACTGGTCACCGCTGGGCGAAACGGCGCGTTACCCTTAGGACCCGACCATGACTGGCGCGTAGTTTGAAACGGTTCGAAAGTTCTCGGTAAAAAGGACGTGAGAAAATGGTATACAGGTATCATCGCAGGTTCTCAACGGGAAATTCTTTCCCGAGTATTTATCTCCATTTAATTAGGTATCGACATTTATGCGTTCTCGTGAATTCCAGAGGAAAAGGTGGTAAGAGGAGATACCGGCAATTTCCCGGTGTTTAATCATCAGGACGCGGCGTCGTATTTGGAACTGGGAATTAAGCCCGTGGCGAGCCGCAGGGATTAATTGGCCCACCCGCTCAATTGGCTCCCCTGTTCCTGGAGGAGAGATAACTTTTTAGCGGAGGGTAATTTTGTAGAAGGGGAGATCCTCGCCGGTGGACGTGCACTCAGGAGGTAAGCGCAAAGCAGCCCTTGGCGCTTGAAAGTTTTGAGCCGGGATATTGGGGGCGATCGTTAAGTGGTCATACCCCAGGAAAGGTGAGAAACGCGGAGTACCTTCAAAGGCGTTACCTATTTCAGGCGAGAAACGTGGAACCGCGGTCCGCCACCCGGGGACCGTCATCGCCGAGGACCACCGTCGACCGGATGACTCTTCGCCGACCTCCTGGGAAGCGACTGGACGGGACGAAGCGGAGGGATGCGGAGCATCGCCGGCGCGAAAGGGCGCCGAGGACCTCGAAGAAAGCTCCCCGGTAGGCCGGGGCCACACGAGCGAACTTTCGACGTCCGTCGAAATTTACCCCTGTGTCGATGAACCACTTACCGTACGTCGGGCGACGTACGGTGGCCTCGACGAGCCTTTGTGCGGCGCAATGTTCGTCGCGACGCGCCTCGTTCTCGACGCCCGTGTGGCCCCAGCCTTAGACTTCCGCGCGCGCCGCTCGCGCTAATGTCACCCACTGGCCGGTCCGGTCCGATGTTTCGAGGCCGCGCCTCCGCTCCGAACTGGCCCGACCTCTCGCCGAGGGACCGCATCCGGGGCCCTCGCGCCGAGTCGAGTGCTCTTTCTGTCTCGACTGTACCGAAGCGAGTCGTCTTTTCTTCGTTCTTTATTTTCCATGCGACGCCCCGTGGCCGGCGCACTCGGCGCGCGGCGCACTGCGGCTCGGCGACTCCACCTTAGCGCGGCGACGTTCCGCTGGGTCTTGTTTAGATGCCCTAAAGGACGCAGTCGAGGGTCTAGAATTGCGAGGAGGATCGTTCTATGGACAGAGGCATTCGGTATTTTAGAATCAAGGGAAAGTGTACTTTGATTTATGGCTCTCTCGCGGATTGGCTTAAAGATATATCCAATGAGAGACGGATTTAAGGCGACGGCTAGGGAAGTGGGAAAAAATTGGGAATGGTTGGAAACGGTGGTACTCGGCGAATCGATCGTTTACCGAGCTGTCCTATAATAGGACCAGTGCATATTTTAAGGCGGATCCCAGCTGAGAACCTTTGCGCGCTTCCTCGCGCTCCAAACTCGGAGGGCCCTTTATAGGTGCCCCATGCCGAGAACGCGGCGAAACCAATATGGCGGGAGACGATCTTAGAAAATAGCGGCGAAGAAGCGGACGAACTTATTTATAGATTTTCCACCGGCGAGGATTCGTCGCTCCTCGGCCGGTCCGACGAGACGTCGGAAACGGGAAGAGCGGCCGATAATTGTGAAAGTTGGCTCCCCTTGCCGAAGGATTTATTTTGGCACGGAAGGAATTCGAGTTACGTATCGGAAATGCTGTCGATGCTTTGTGTACCTGCTGGGTGCATCGTCGCCGATGCGGCTAAAAGTTGCACAATCGTTTTAACGGGCGCAACGTGCGTCAAGGAGGGCTGCCTTCGGGAAGCCCTGGGCTCTCGCGTTTGTATTTGTATTTGACGCACATTATCGGCGGTCAAACTTATCCAGTTTCACAAGGCTTATTTTCCTCTGCGGTACCAAAATGGCCGCGCGCTACGGAAACCGCAATCGGGAAACGCGAAACCGTTGAACTACATTTTCCAAGGGTTAATCACCGGCGAAGTACGGAGGTATAACGTATTACCGTGGGACTGTAATTGCGATATAATAAAGGGCGGACCGAGATAACCACAAGGGGCGATTTTATGCGGCAGGGGAACCAGGGCAAGCGGATTTCAAAAAGGCCTCACCTGCCGAATCGATAGAATTTATTAACCGCGGATGCTACTCGTTTCTATGTTTTTCTATTTATTAAAATTATCGATAGGAACGTATAAACTGTAAACGACTCGAGGAGGACCTCTTAGTTCCCGTGGCCTCTGTACGTTTTTTTATTAGACATTTGGCAAAAACAACATTTTCACGTGCATCGACGGCAATGACCAGTGACGTCACCGACGCTTCGGGTGTCTCCAGTTCGGTCGACGAATTTTGAGATTTAGTTGCTTTGCCATCTCAGAAATAGCGCACGCGGCGAACTATTATAAACCTCCGAAAAATGTAAGGTCACAGGCGTCCACTGCTTTTATTAGTAACGTTTCGGGTTTCAATCGTCCCTTAGATCCCGATTTAAACGCAAAGTGGCATCCTGCGGAGTGTTCCTTCGGAGTCTGGTTGTCGGCTCCGATTCGCGACGCTTTGAATTCGAGTCGCCCTTTTAAGAAGGTTAGGGCCGAAACTTTCCTCGATTCTTAATGATCCGATAAGTCGAGTAGACGGAGACCGCGCGTGCAATCGCTTCTATTTACGTTCGGTAAACCGACTTAACCTTGCACTCGAATTATTAATAGACGCTACCGGCATATATTGTCAGACAGGTGGTAAAGTTACATAAAATCCCGCCAACCGATCATTATGAAAAACAGCTGGCGCCCACGTTTCCTACTTTCCTGTCATTTCTGACACTACGGCGCTTAGGGACGATTTTACCCTTCCCGGTACTCGATTAAGGTTGAAATTGCATGACAAATTAGGACCATGAAAATCGCTACGCCGACATCGACTTCGATCGATCCTTTCCTCGGCTGGAAATTAATTCATACGGATTTAATTTCGGAACGAAAAATTATTAACTACCAAAAAAGGTGCCCTGCGATTTTTTTTTTTTTAACTGCAGAGCGCGTCAGTAATTTCTTATTCATGTGCAACTGGGAACATGCAAGGGCAAGGTGGTGCCATCCTACAATTACGCGCCGAACTGATATGTAAATCGTAACGCGATCGCATCGTGTGCTGCCCTCTGGTTTCGTACGTTAGCTTTCACCGTTTTTTGCCCCCAAGGGCGGTGCAACGAATTTCTGGTAGGGGCTCGCGCACTCGCGATGGCTGTGCCATCTACCAGTTGCCGTTGGCGGCTCACGCATTCGTGATGGTAATACTATGCGGCAGGTGACGGTGGTGGCTTACCATTACAGCAATCTTCAAACTCATCTCTGCCAAATCAGAGATGAGTTGAGAGATTGACGGGAAGGCAAAAACGTTACCGCCTTTGCCGACACCAACGACTATGTAGTTCGAAGTCCGTTCGTTAGATGGCAGTGCTCGTTGCTCCTTAGTGATCGTTGATACTTGGAAATGAGAAAATGACAGAGTTAGCAAAAAATAAAGAGAGTTCATCGAATAGAGATCATTAAAAGACAAGGTAAATCACATGACCGAGATACTGGTTAAAACGGGTGTTTTATTGCCATACTAGAGAACCAGTTTTATTTTATCTGTAGTAGCGAACACATCGAGTTACACAAATATATATTATCCTGTACATTGAATATCCTTTGTTAGTGGGTAATAATATTTACTTCGTAGTCGTTAGTTTATTTTTTGTTTTTAACATTAGGTAGCTGTTTTACTCTATTGTTATAGACCCCGTTACTTTTGTACGATAAGTTCATGAGCTAGCGTGTTCCGAGCGCAAACCTCGGCGTTTCAAATGATCGGACGTAAAAAAAAAAAAAGGATCGAGATGGCAGTATTTGGTCTAATTTAAAGTTCACAGGTTACCACGACCGTTCCGCAAAGATCGACACCAAATCAAAATGCTAAATCTACGTACTGGAAGGACAACTCTATTTCACAGGGTTACACATCGTCTCCATTAAATTATTTTTACACTAACTTTTGCCAGTACGTCGACCGCGAAACCTTTCGAAGGTACATATAAATGCAGGTATCGCACCGTGGTGAATAATATGACAGTTAAATCAATGTGCCCGAAGTCTAACGGAAGAAAAAAAAAAAGCTTAACGAAAGAAAAGAAGGAACCTCTAACTGCGTCGCCTCGACAATCTTTTTATTCAAGTTCCATGCGCACCGCTGAGACATTTTAAACGTCAAAAGAGTGTTGACCCCACGAAACGAGAAATAAAAAAAAAAGGAAAAGTAAATAAAAGTAAAGTAAAATAAATTAAAGCAATCGAGTCGCTCGAAAGTTGTCCCCCTCGAGGAGCGAAAATTCCGTCAAGTAACCTAAATCGAAACATACGCCCGACACTGTGCACAATCTTGAACGAAAGGATTGTCAGATGCCAAGAAGTGTAACGTTAAAAGGCATGGATGTCCGCGGTGTTTCCAAGCAAAGAGGTTCACACAGGGGCCATTGTTGCACCAATGGTGGTCCCCTTTTCTCTTCCTTTCTCCCCTTTATTCTCTCTCTCGCGCGCGCGTGCAGGGTCGAAATCGTATAAATAGTATGCCTTAAACAGTTGTCACGTTAATTACAACGGGTTTGCCAAATTGTGTCGCAGGAATGTATTTTAGCTCACAGAAAAATAAGTTCTCTTTTGCCTCTGATATCGCAAGTTCGTCTATCTTTCGTCGCATTCGTACCAAGGGGGGGGCCCAGCCTAGTGGGAGCAGCCGAGCATCTCGGAACGGCGCTCTCTCTCTCACCTCCAGCACCGCGTGCTCCTCCCCCGAGGTACGAATACAGTATATCTAACATTACTCCTATTAGTCCTTAATTTAAAAATATAACAGTAGGTAAACGTGTGCGCGGGTTGCGTGTGTGTAGGTGTACGTGTCTCTGTCGCGCGCACGTCGTCGCGCGGACTTTCGCGGTGACAAGATATTGTTTCTAAGTAGAACGCTAATGAAAACGGCAACCGAATCGGTACGGTCCCCGACTTGCGAGTCGCAGCGAACAAACGCGCTCGCACTCTCGACGCGAAGAGACGCAACGGTTAAACAATATCAGAGTTTTGCCATCGACACTTCGTCCCTTTTGTGACGGCACACAGGTGATTATGTAGTATCATGTCGTTAACGCATAGATCTCGAAACTGTGTCTATCGGTTGGGTCTGTGAACAGCGAGAACGAGATAATATTAGGCCTTAGCTTCCGCGTCACCGTTGCTCTCCGCTTCCACGGGCTTCTCCTCGAGCTTCGCCTTCTTCTCGGGACTTGCCCCGTCCGCGGACGTGTCCGCCGCCACCTCCAGACCGGCCGCCGATTTTCTCTTTATACAGCCGGCGTCTACGGCGGGAGTCTCTGCAAATTATTCGCAATGGTGCCGTTACTCTACGGGCGTCCGAGCACCTCCGAAGGCGTCGCGGCGCCTCGGGAATACCCCCCGTACATGATCCACGACGAGGACAATCAAACGATAAGCGCACCAGGGCTCCTATTCTCGAGTTCATGTGGATCTTTTATAGCATACAGAGATAACGAAGTTTGCACCGTTGCGACGTCGTTGGTCAACGTTTGAAAAACTGGTGAATTTGGCACGCGAAAGTCGATCGGATGAACACTCGAGAATCGGAACCCAGGGTGATCCTCGCCGCGCGGAGGGTCTTCCTCCGAGGATAACCGAACTCGGGAGAGACCATTGAAGCTTGGATCCGACCAGAAATAAGGAATCAATTCCCGGGGTGCGATAAATCCAAGATACAATGGTTACTCCCGCCCCCCCATGGAGACTATTTCCGGAGGTGGGAAAATGACGTCCACCCTGGAGGAGCCACCGATTGTTTCAGGAAGGTTTCTTTCGTTACCGGTCGAGTCGCCGTTCTCGGTGGACTCTGCCTCCTTCTCCTCTACGTCCTTCTCCTCCACGGAGCCGTTTTCCTTCGCCTCCTTGACGTCGCCATTCTCCGACGTCTTCGAGTCCTCGTCGACCTCCTCTACGACCTTCTTCTCCTCCTCCACGACTTTCTTCTCCGGCGTGGAGGCGATCTTGGTTTCCCTGTTGGGAGAAAACGTAGGGATTACTCTTCGTCCTCCTCGTGCGCAGGAAATAATCCGTTTAACGAACTAAATTATCACCTCTCGGGTTCGCGTGCGAGCCGAACGTATCATCGCAAATCCCTTCTAATCCGGATAATTTCCAAGGACGAGCGAGCTCGACGGTCCTTGTACGGAATATAAATATTAATAAGCCAAGTAGGATTCATCCCGGGGACGGATCCTCGGGTAGAGCACGCGTTTGCAATTATAAGGCAATTGCCGGAATTTAAATCGGAGTAAAAAGCCATTTTTAATGCAGAACGCGGGGAGTTCTTCGATAGAGTACGAGGGAAGATACGAGGGGAACCTCGAAAACATGTATGTACATGTATACATGGGAAGAAAGAGAAAGAGAGAGGGATTATGGTGGTAGACCGAGAGATAAGAGAGAATCGATACCGACATTAGGCGCGTTGCCAAGCGCATTTATAATCGATCATTCCGATCGCAATTTAATCTCCGGGAAATTGGTCAGTCCCTTCGATCGATTCCCCAGAGGCGAAACGGGGGAAATTTTGTTTTCTGGAGTCCTCGCTACCGTGAAATATAAAAATTATAACTGCGATGCCGTTCCCGCTAACCGTTGGATATAAGTTAATAAAGGGTCAGCATGAATATTGCGAACTAAGGACGAATGCCGACAAGTGAGCGGTAAAAGAAAATTAAATTCAACGGAGCCGCGTAACTATCAGTCGTTCCGCGATAAAAGGGGCTTAAAAACCGCTGCGGGTACCGTGATTGGCACGGGAGATGTTATCAACCGATATGGAGTATAAACTACGTGAAAGTGCCGTTAAACGGCGCTCCCGCGAAAACCGTATATGCGACGTAAGAGAAAAAAAGATAGACGAAAGAAAAATATTGCAACGCGACAACCCAGTGCCTCGTCTGGTTCAACGATATTCACTTGACCCCACCTATCGGGGTGCACGTGAATGCGCCCTCGATATTTATTAACTTAAAAAATTCTATACCGTGGAGGAAACGGAGGGTCTTTTTCTCTTTTCGTCAGGTTATAAAACCGAAGCGTGAACAGGGAGTCGCAGAGCCGGGGGACGCGTTCCACCGGAAAGAAACCGTCGCGACTTCCGAAGATGGGAGGAGACAGTCGAGATCGGCGTCATGTCATTGGCAGGACTCTGGGAAGTTTCGCAAAGCCTCGCGGAGAAAACGACGCGCTCGCGAAGAGGTAGGGGCCGGGTCGGGAAGGTGGGCATCCGCGTTTTTCGGTACAGTTCCGTACAGCGAAAGCGCGGCAACGCCGAAAGACGGGACGATGCCCTGTTGGTAGGTGCGAGCGAGACAGGAGGGACGCCCGCAGCAGCGACACAGCGCGGAGAAGGAGCGAAACACCGGATCGCGTCCAGCGCGGCAAACCTCGGAGTCGCCGGCGGGCCCGCCTCATGCGCTACCCCCACCCCGCGCGCCGAGAGACCGGTCCCTCTCTCTCGCGCCCGCATGGGCAATAAGTGCGAGGAAGACGCCGCTAGGCTGCGAAACGTGGAGGTCTCTCGGCGACCCGCCCCCTCCCCCTGCCGCCGGTCCGCAAAGAGGCGGGCCGAATCCGGCGAAACACGCGCGTCACCCACACCGCAACAGCGACTCGCATACCCCAGCGAGGTCGAGCGCCGCGTGCGCGCGACGCTATCCCGCCGCCGCGCGGCATCGATTCGCAATCCTCCTCCCTCGGTTCGATTTCGCGCACGAAATGCCCTCCTCGAGAGGACGTATCACGCCCGAACCCGCCGACCGAGAGCGCGGCGCGGAGGACGCGACGCCGCTCCCGGTGCGGCCTAATCGGCAAAAGGAGAACGCCGATCGATAAGCCGGCCGCTCTCTTTCGGAAAGGACGCGCGCGTACAGTCCGGCGCAAAACGGCGCACCGAGATAAACACTGGGCCCGATCTCTCTCCCCGATTCCCCGGCGACGTCCTCGTCCCACCTCGCGGCGGCGCTCTCGCCCCGAAAATACACCCTCGAGGCGCACAGCCATCCCGCGCTCCAAATTCGCGGCGAATTGGCGGCCGACCAAGCGCGATCGCCTCCGCTTAGGTCTCGGGGCCCGACGTCGACGAGTCCTGGAGTGAGACAGGACGCGGCGTCCGGCACACGTGGTGCGCGCGCGCGGAAATCGGGCCCAGGGGCGCCGATCGCTGTCCGGAATGCTCGATCGTTCCCGTGTTTACGGTTAGCCGGAGAAAATGCCGCGCCGCTCGGCGTGCCCCCTCCCCCGCGGCCCGTGCACCGACGCGGACGCATCGCGAGGCCGCGATTCCTTTCGCGCGGTTTTTTTCCTCCCCAGAAACCGTCGCGGCGGGGTCCGCTCGCGTCCAGGAACGACCGCGCGGGAGTCTCCGCAGGCCTGGACGCGGAAACCACGCCGGCAACGCAGGCGGAGGCGGCGCGTCGGACGCCCGCCACCATGAGGCCGCGCGCGGCCGGCGCGCGCGCCTCGGTTTTCCCTCGGAAATCTCGATCGAAAATCGACACACCGGCTCGCCACTTACTTGGGCTCGGTATCGGCCATCGCGTTTCGAGCTCGCTGGACTTCTCGGGGACACTCGGCTGGGAAATACACCGGAGGTGGCTCGCGGGACGCACGGACTGCGGGACGCACTGGGAAACCGGGCAACACTACTGCCGCGTACCGAAGCGCAAATGGCAGAGGGACTCGCTCACTGATTCGCCCGAGTCCCTAGGCTCTGCCCGGCCGGCGGGCCGGCGGCCTTTAAACGGTTTTCTTTCCCGCTCGTTTGCAGATGGCGCCACCGACCGGCGGCCGAGGCCAACGTTACGCGGGCCTGCGCCGACGACTCGGAGGAAACTTTTCTAGATAGATCCCCCGTACCTTCGATTTTTATGCCCGGAACCTCGTTATACCCGAAGGAAGAAGTCTACCGAGAGATTCTGGGTCGCTTTCCGCGGAAATATCGCCTTTTGATCCGCAAACGAAGGCGATGCGAGCCACGCGTTCCGGTATCAGGCCTGTCGTCGCGTCGGCCTCGGCTCGACCACCTTGTCTTTCCCCCTCCACGATGACTTCGACCAATCGGAGGCCGCCTCCCGGCGGGCAACCGTAATCTCCGTTTCCGGCGCTCGCCGCGAATCATTTGAACAACTAACGTTTCTCCGTTTACCGCATTCGGTCGGGATTCGGACGGAAAGGCCGGGGAAAAAATGACTGGAGCCTGTTGCTGGAAATCGCCGAGCCGCGCCGCCGACGGCGCGCGCATCGCCGCCGGAAGCGGGAGGCCGGAAAGTTCTAGAAGTTTCGCGCACGGCCTCGTTTCCGGCGTGTATTAAAAGGTGCGCGGGGCTACGAGGTCGCCGCCGAGTGGCCTCATCCACTTTTACGTCCATGTTACAAGATGCTTCCCGACGCGGGACGATTAACGTCCCGACGTTCGTTCGCTCGCACGTGAACGGTGATTATTCGCGGGAGGGAAAACGGGATACCGCCACGGCGAGTCCACGTAATCCGCACCTAGTCCACCTATTCCATCTATTCCACCTACTGACCGTCTAGGAAGACTCGACCCTCGGCGCCATTAAAACCGCTCCGCTCGACCGAGATCGTTCTTACGTTTCCCTCCTTTGACGACTTAATATTTTGGCACGGCCTGTTTTACGTAACTAGAGCGATTATGCCAATCTTTTTCGAAAATGGAAAGTAGCGGAAGAACGACCCGACCGTTCGCGCGAACTGAGTCGCGCGAAGACGCATGCGCCGCTCGAACGGTTATAGATCGATCCCACCGCACGCGATAAGATTAATTAAACGAAACAAACCGCACGTGCTACGATCGCATGGAACTCCTGATAATAAATACGTATCCCTATCGCTGTAGATGCCTCGGCGGTTAATTAGGAGCGTGTCAAAGGAGATAAAACCGCTATATTTGGGCCGGTCGAGATGCCGATTGCAGTTCCGTGGGCCGCCATCTTGGTTCTTCGCGGCCCTTCTTAAAGGTGCTAATGGGTATCCCTCGTCGTTCGAAGACGTACTCCGGATAAAGAGGCCGACTCAAAGGACTTTCTACGTGTTATTATGGGAAATGGGATGCAGGCAATTGCGCTGAAACACCTATTTGTAATTTCCATTCGTCCCGCCTCGGTCGGCGGCGACGCGTATTTATCTTTTCTCTTTTAATTTCGATCCGACTGACCTGCATCCGATGTCCAATAATATCCACCGGTACGCTGTCTGCGGAGGCGCAAATAAACGAAAGATCGCAGCTACGGTTTGGAACGGTTTCAGAGATCTTTCCGAGAACCAGTTTATGAAAAATAGTCCTATCGGTGTGTGTTCGTTACTCGATGTAACGCGTTACGGTAACACACATCGGGCCGGGGAGACACTTTCTTGGGTTATTAGTGCACATACTGATATCCCAACGACCGAGACTCCGATTTAACGAGTTAAGAGTATCTCCGTCATTTTTTAAGAACGCCTTGCCATCTTAATATAGAACCGTCATCTCTTGGTTCTGCGTGTCGCGCTTGAAATAGAGAATGGCGATTCGAGGAATCTCGCTAGATGAAATTATGATCTCTAATAAAACTCATGCAATGCAACCCCCTCTCCCTTCGACCCTACTGGACCCGTTACAAATGCACGGGTAAACGGACCTTTACAATTTTATTTTCCAACGAGTTAAACCCTCGAGAAGGAAGGAAGTAACGAATAACTCTTTACTCGGCGTGACACGTGCTACGTCTCGAGTGTACCCTTAAAGGGTGAAATTCACCCACGACTGTCGGTGCCATTTTCTTTCGTGGTTAATATCGAGAGCGGCGAAAGGCACCTGAAAGGGATAGCAAAATCGACGAGGAACGCGAGGATGTCGCTTCCGCTTAAGAATCGGCCTCCGACCTGGCTTCTCCGTACAAGAAACATCCTCCAGTCTTTGTTTTCAAATTTTGAACCGACTGACCTGCATCCGACGTGCAGTAAAACCCGGCGGAACGGTCGCGCGCCGCTCGGGCGGACTCGGCCGTCTTCGGGCGCGCTCGGCGGTGACGCGCGCGCCTATTTATGCTGAAGCGGCGCGACAGTGGAAACCGGGACCGGATTTCACATGAGCGATAGAGCAGTGCCGCTCAATAATAAGCAACAGGAATACAATCACGTATCTAACACACGGGAGACACGGTAACGTCGTTTCTTTTCCTTCTCGTCGAGAAAGTGACATCCCGAGTAATAACGACAGGTGCACCGTTCAAAATTTTCCGAAAACCCACACTTGGTACACAAGGTTACAATTGCCGTCCTTTTTTAACGGTATGGCCACACGAGTAACGATAAGTCGCGATTAGTAATCCGTGCGGTTAAATCGAGTTCCTCTGTCGGTTAATTCCGGGCGCATCGGCTCGCACGGATTTATCGCGACGATTTATCGTTACGTGTGCGGCCATCTTAGAGTATGAAAAAACTACCAGCTACCGAAAACCTCGGTTTGAATATCTGACCATTTCCCGGGATATCGCGATCGACGGAAACCTCGCATCGAAGTATTAGCTGGGATTTTAGTCAACTTTGATTGACGGTAAGATTTTCAACCCCCAAAGGGACGCGAACTGGGGCAAAAGTTTCTCGAAGAATCCCCCCCATTTTCTTCCCCGCGTAACTCGTCCCTACCCATTTGGGAAAGTTACTTAATATTGCTCTCACGTTCTCTGGAATATCTCTAAAGCACTTCACTTTGCGTAATACCCCGTGTACGCGGGGCTGGCGTAATGAATTCGATGAAATGTCGCCAGGGTTTTGAAAACAAGTGTGATGCAAGGAACGGTACGCCGGGACACGTGGCATATACGTAACGTGCACCTTGCCGCTCCAGGGATGTTTATTAAATTTATTAGTATCAGGAAAATCCGTTTCCTAGCGAGATCGGGGGAATCGCCCGTGACTCTCTCGAAATTGGGTTTATTTGACGTCTTAAGTTACTCGGTAGTGCCGAAATAAACGCCTGAGTCATGCGAAACTTCGACTCGAGTCTGCGAGATTTCACGAGTCGCCCGAAAATGAGGAAAAGTGGGGCTTCTTATTTTTTTCTTTCTCTCTCTTTTTTTTTTTTTGATCGCCTCGCGTGAATTGGTCGATCAATTCCCGAGGGCGACGAGGATCGAAATCTCCCCTTGCGTTTCATATCTCCAGGTAATCGAAGCAGTGCTTGGTTTTATCCGGGCATCGGTGCGTTCTACATGGTTCCCTCGGTTAGATTTCGGTCCTCCTGACCTCAGCCACGTGCCAGCAGTCGGAGTAAACGCGAGAAAGATAATTCGAGGGGAAACAGCTGCCGGTGGCGGCGCAGGTGAAGGCTCGCAAGGCAGATGTCCTTTTTTCCTTTTTCTTTTTTATCGCCGGCACGAGCCTCGCTGCGAAATCATCGCGAGATCGCTTCCCTCTCGTGCCCGCCCGCTTTTTCTGATGGCTGCCATCGGATCCCCGGCATCTTGTTTTTTTTTTTTATCCCACAGCTTATCGACGTAGGAATGAATTATTTTACAATGGGATTATGTAGCCTTAAGTTACTAGAAAGGAAAGCTAATTATTGGTGTTTCAGGAAATACGGCTAATTTGTCTTCATTCTTATGATCTGTCGGATCGCCGTTTTAACGCTGCGATGGGCCGGCAATGATCCGTCGATTAAAGGCCCTGGGATGGATTTTAGTAAGCGACTTATGGATCCCTCGATGAAATGAAATCGCGAGCGAGGTTTTTTGCGCAACCATTTTAATTCGGTTACGAACTGCAAACGAATCGTACGCGAATTTCTCACGTAACGTCGCGAGACGGCGCTTTCGCAAGTGCACAAATAACGGACCAAATGCTGCGAGTCGCTCTACACCTGGGTGAAACGACAAATAATGAACAAGTAGGGCAAATATTCAAGCGCAAAGCGCTATCTTTAGTTTGATACCTGTCAGCTTCTGAAAATATAGGTTACGCCGCCTTCATAGAAATAGCACCCGGCCAAGTGTATATCTATACGTTCGCGTCGATGCAACACTTGCAGCCTGCTGTGACTAAATCAAATTTTACAGTCCGCGGTACTTACGAGATATTTATTTATAATTATTCGCCGATGTCAACGAGAGGCACCCATCGATTCCTGGAAAATTAAACGCCGAAAGGATAACGCTCTAGTCGATTCCACGTGAAATCGTATGTCAATATCGAGAGGACAGAAATGTTACAAAGCAAACAAATCTCCCGTGGCTCGCCATTAATTATAATCTCGAAATTGCAGGGTAACCGAAGGACCGACAGGGTGACATTTAAATGCCATACATTTTATCGGCGTTTGATATCAACATTTGCTCCCATCTCTTGTTTATTGGCATCCGATCCGGGGAAGCTCGATCGGGAAACGGACTTTGTCGATCCATTTTTAATGCGACGAGTCGAGGACGTCATTTGTAATGGATTATTGATCCGTGACATGGACGTCGATGTAGAGGGTTCTGCGGGGTAACAGGTATTGATTTAATGCGTTTGTAATTGGATATCATGCACTGGGCATTCTAATGCAATACATAGTTTTAACCGGCTCATTAGTCGGCTTGCTGCGATTACATGTATTACACGACCGATGGGACACGATCAACGATCGAGGTCGATTTTGAGATTGAGCATACGGGATCCTTTATTTAAGGCCCATTCTCTCGGTGCACCATGCATTTTACATGCGCCTACGATACTTCCTCCCTCGGTGGCCTCATACATTATTGCCGTGTAATTGCACGGGTATGTACATTTCGAGAGATATTAAGGATTACCCCGTGCGTGCACGCGATCGCATGTGGATAACTGCAACGTAGAGGGCATTTTCTGAGACCTCCCCATGGAGTTTTGAACTCTGGGATCCGAGAGCTTGCGGAAAAAAAAATTGATCCTTGAACGCGTATGACCCCGACCTCTCGCACTTCTAAACGGCTGGAACGAAAATTAATAATATTCGTAGAATAACCGCGAGATCCAATGTCAGTTATACGAAACGGCCTCGCAGAGGCTATAGGATAAAATAGCTCATACCATTATCGTTGGCTTTAATATTCGTGAAATTTTTCCAGAACGGTCCACGAGTACTCCGGAGTACCCACACAAGAGAGGTCCTTTATGAAGTTATGCTCCAACTCGGGTACACGTAAATACGCATTATACCGAGATAACACGTAGGTAAACCCACACGTGCCAGAGTTTACAATGTCTTGCTGGCATGCAGCGAATTAACTCGATTTTCCGAGTTACGCTAAATCCTCCAACAGAATGTGACGTCAACGCGAATACTACCTTTCGACCCCACCGAGGACTTCGGGCTCGTTAATGGCAGACAACGTCGACCTTAACTTCGTTGGATGGCCGAGATGGAACCGAATCCGTTTTAGGTGACGCAGATGACGTCAATTTATTTTCCAGCTATGACCATTAGCACCGATGTGATCTTCGGCGCTTCTCCCATCAGTGTTTTCTGAATATCTCGTTGTCTCTTTATTTACTTACTTGCGGTACATTATTCGCAATCCGAGTCGATTTAAAAAGGGTCGGGACGTAAAACAAGGGCAAAAAAATCCATTCATCGGTACATTCAACTAGTGATCGTCCCGTTATCTCTCTATCTTCATTAACGCTCGTCCTCGTTACCGCTGCACGTGCGATCGAGGTTTACCTGAAAAAGAGATTATTTTTTTACTCCGAGGGATGAAAATTCCAAAAGTACCGGGCGGATGTTCGTCAATTAATTACAGGCATATTCGAACTCATACTCTCGACTATTTTCCATATGCATCGGGTAACCGTGGTGCTGCTTTACTTAGCTTTACGTACCGAGACATCGGAGTAGCCTTCCGCGCCAACCGGAAGTGCGCTCCGCTTCGCTGACGTAGAGTTCTTTGGCCCTTTCCCGGTCTTTCCGAATGACGAAACTCGTCCACGACGTTCCGACTTCGACGGCGAAGTGACTTTGACTATATTACCAGTCTAGATAGATAAGTTTCGTTTTTTACCCTTTCCCGACAGCGGCAATGAGGTGACGTAGACTGTACTACCACTCCGGAGAGATAAGTTATCGTCGAAATATCCCACCGTGCAATTGAACTTCCACATCCCTTCCGGAAGAACTCCCTGGCTCGAAAATCGCGGGAGAGAAGCGCTGCAAGAAATATACATATAAAATGCCGGATAAATATTCCGAGAAAGTATTGCATACATATCGGATCCTCGTTTGAGCCTGGACAGTCTTTTACGAGTGTTCCTCGTACGTATACACGGTCCACTTGGTTGATATGAATAACGCATATGTGAATATATATTCATGGGGCATTTCCTGAAATAAATATTTATCCTACGCGGAAGACTCGGTTATACGTGGATAATATGTGTAATGTATTCGGGAATGCCTTTTTGCGTAGCTTTCCGTTTTGCCCGTTTAGAGACGAGTCGTGGGCACGAGGATGCCGTTCCGCTCGATCTCGACTCGAAATCTTGAATTTCGTTTTCGGTGAAAGCGGTGCAACACTCGCGAAAATCTCTCCTCGAGCAGCTCCACGCCGACGAATAATCTGCGTCTTGGCGGATTGCAAAATCTTTCGAAGGAACGGCGAAACGATAAGATATCGCCTGGTCGTCGAGTTGCAAAACTACCTCCGACGTGGGTTTTCGGCCCAGTTTTATTTTCGGGGATTCTCGAGGGCTACTTTTCGCCGCCTTTGTTTCGAATCCGAAATAACTGTCATTTCTTAGTGCGAGGGGCACGCCGGTATGACGTTCAATTATTCGTGCCAAGTTAAAGGACGATCCGCCGAGAGGTTGCGAGGAAGGTTTCGAAACGCGTACTCGAAGCGAAACCTTGAAACTGGTACGCGACGCCGCCGTCCAGGCGGCGCCACGAGACGTTTCGCGGTCTCTCGTCGAACAACAGGTCTGACAACAACCGCCGATTTTCGGGGTTTGTACCGACTCCACTTTCGAGGCTGCTTTCCGTAGTTCCCTTCCCGACCACGTGGATCGCCGTGATCTAGGTGTACTCGAAATTCCTGATAAAAACCGTGCACCCGTTGTCGATATTTCTTTTTCTCAACTATCGACATTTCTAGCGGACATTTCTTTCTTCCGAGTTTGACATCTAAAAATAGCTTCACTAATGGTGTCATCCTTGTACGATAGCCTGTAGATGAAGAAACACTTATCGATTTTCGATGCTGCGACTGACTCCGTTATCGAGGCCCTTTTTCAACGTTTGCAATATCGTAACCTGCATCACGGCGAAAAATTTCAGAGCTCCGTGATACCGTCCCCGATCTCGTCTCGTTTTTCGAAAAATGCGCGGAAACCTCGATATTCGACGTGAAGCCGAAAGGGGAATTACACCTTTCGCGATGGACGAGTGATCCTCGTCGACTCCGAGGGTTTTTCACGTCAGACTTTTGCAAGACCGATAATTCCCATTAGTTGACCACATAGTAGTTCCGGCTTCGTAAACCGCCGATGTACCGTCGAGGTTTTCCGTTAACTGGTTTCCCTCTCGAAATTCAATTAAACCAATCAGCCTGTCCCGTTTCAATTTGTAACAACTCTCGTCGGGGGTTTTTGCCTCCACAGGGAAGCAATGAAAAAAAAAAATTCCACACGATCGGAACCGCACATTTTTTGTCCAATATCGGTTCCTATAAAATTCCCCATTACCGTCGTCGCCAACCCTGTAATCGTCATTTTCCCCGATACTTATCACTGATAGGATAATTCGATCGGATCACTCCGGTGTCCGGTGTCCGAGCCCTGAGGTACGGGCAAACTAAAAAAAGGAATCATAAAGTGGAGCTCTCAGGCAGTCTAGAGGATGCGTACAGAAATAGCGGCGTAACTTTCCATTAGACCAGAAGAAGAAGGTCGACCGACGAATGCGATGACCGCAAAAAGATCTCCCCGCGATCTAGCCCTACCCCCAGGGTAATCTAATTCTACCCCGCGGGCGAAATTGTCCCTCGAAATGAAATGTGCGTCGGTACTTCCGGCCGGGTTGCGCCGACGCCGGGGTCGAAGAAGACGCCGCACTTGCGCGAGAAACTTCTTTGAACAAATCGGTCCGCGGTGCTCGAGTAGGTGCGAATCGATATACCGCGGAGTCGCGCGCATCGACGTCAGAGATTCTTCTCGGTGGAGGTAGCCCAAAGCGAGTTATCCCCATCTCGCAAGCCCCGGCCGATAAGGTACCGCGAGGCCCTCGGAACATCCGGAAAATAATAAACCTTGCGAGTAGGAAAGACCCAAAGCTAAGGTGGAGATGCTCGGGTGCACCCAATAGCCCTTGGGGGCGAAACGAGGCAGGAATTCGGTCCTGGACAGCAGTGATATCCAGTTTTGCTCCGGAGGCGGTGGCGCGGACCGACACCTATAGTCGTATCTGGCGGTACCGACGTATGTACGTTGCTCCGCAACAATGGTGTCCAATAATTGCTTGCCGACACCGTTGCTTGCAAGCAGGAGGGTTCGGCGAGAGGCCATTTTTAGCTCCATTGTTGCGGTATCCTATTCCGGAGCGAATAAAAAAAACTTACCACCGATACACCCGGCATACATCCCGTCATTACGTAACGTCGTCCACCGCAACGCGAAATGAACTGCATTAAACGGATAGATCCGGGTTTCTTAGCTCGGTTAAGCTCGGAGAAGCCCCTCGAGTACCGAGTCAACGAAAATGCCCATTCAATGGCGCGGATGCCTATCCGCCCCCGGGAGAATGGAAAAAAAATATCCGGTGTTTTAGGGGAGTCGATTGAGCGTGTCAATGGATTTTTGGAGCCCTCTCTGCCTCGGCATTCTCCCTGCGCGGTGATCGGAGGAAATTTAACATGGACTTCGGGTTATCCAAAATAATGGCCGCGTTTTCGTTTTCGTCATTGGATAAAGTCCCGGAGAAAGTGGAAGGGTTTCGCCGATCAGGGAATCTCTCGGTGATCGGATGAAATTCAATACGGAGTTCGGGTTATCTATAATACTGGTCGCGTTATCGAGATGAGGAAATTCCCAGAGAAAGTGGAGGGGCTTTGCCGCTCGAGGACTCTCTCTGCGATCGGAGGTAATTCGATATGGATTTCGGGTTATCCGAAATACCGGACGCGTTATCGGGATGGATAAACTCCCAGAGAAAGTGGCGGGGTTTCCGGTCGTCCGGTCGGCTCGAGTCGGTACTCCGCGACCCTTTCTAACTCGATGATAACCGGTCCGACCCGTCTCGCTCTTTCCCCATAGAGGAGACTCTTTCTTTCCGGCGGTCTCGCTTTTGCCAGCCCAGCCGACAGGTAGGCTAAACTCCGGCCGACCATCGACGGACACTAATCGGCAAAGGATTATCCCGCGCCAGCGAATGTCCGGTCTTCCGTGTGCCCGTGTACTCTCGGTCCGACCGTCCTTCCCGTTCGGTTCTCTCCTCGACTCGTAAGCGCCCTAGAAATAGCCCCGGTCGCGGTCTTTTCAACTAAATAAAGAGTCCACCGGAGAATCAATCGAGGCAGCGAGGGGAGAACCGACTCCCTCGACGGTTTTCGAGTCTCTTAGCGATCGTAGTTTATTTCGTCGTCGTAGCAACGAACGCCGTGAATAATGTAACTCCCGTTACGTAGCAACGTACCAGCGAGTAAAGTAACCGAACGTTGACGCTATCGAGTCGTTGTCATGGCGACGAATACGGGACGCGTTTCCCACTTGTTACTCATAATAAAGGCCGTCCTAACTACTCGCGACTCTTTCCGCTCGAGTCGGCCGTGGACGCTGAATACACCTGATGAATCCGGAACAAAATTTGCTCTAGCTTCGGGACCAGCCGGCGCTTTTATGCGAAATGGCTTTCCGGCACCGAGAAAGGGACCGAGCGTTGCCTTTCGCCCTCTGAAAGGATCCCTCCCTCTCCGTTTTCATCTAAGGAGAATTAAGTGAAGAGTTTTCAGGCGGTTAATTATGCCGCGATCCGAGGTGTCGCCGGGGTCATCCTTTCTGTCTCGAGGTGGAAATACAATCAATTGAAAGCGGTTTCCGCTCCAAAGCCTTGCCGTTTCTTGATTGGTTTCGTTAAGTGTCCTTATAAGCGACCGACGATCGAATTCGTTATCGAGTTATCGCTCGAGTAAGAAGTCCTGTAATTTGAAACGGCTTTGTCTTCAAAGGCTGGTCCGTTCTGTCTGGTTTCCTGCAATTCCGAGCAACCGGCGACCGGTTTTGTTATCGGGTTATCGCTCAAAGAACCGAGGGATAGCTGGCCCTGTCGGCTCGACTCGCGTGGACAGGACGTACCGATATTAGAGCCAGTTTCAAATTTCTGGCTTAAACTTACTCGTAATCGAAGGAATAATACGTTTCGTTGGTTATTTCTTCCTGCGTCTATTCATTCGGGTGCAGCTATCGGGGCTACTGTTGGAGGACACCATCCTATCGCGCCAGACTACCATGAAACCACCATTAGACCGTTTCTGGAATTAATTCACGTTCCAATTTTTAACATGCCCCGGGATGAATACATGAATACCGATTGCGGAGATATTACATCTTTTATGTATTTTTTAAAAAATCCGCGCGGTCGGTATCACCGCCACAGAAGTCATAGAAGTTCGGGCACGCTTCCGTTTGGCGGCAGCACCGAGCGACGAAGCTATTCGGAAGTTCGCCGATAATTTCTATAGACGGTGAAACGACTATCGTAGTTTCACGGCCACTTCGTAAATGCATTGAATTATTTCACTGGAATTCTGGCAAGGGTAACGAGGCGAAAGGTTTTAATTGCAAGAAGTCGGAGCGGTGTTTCCGCGAGCTATCGAAGCGATCCCGCGACCTCGGCTTCTCGCGGCGCGACGGTGGCGCCACCCGGCGGCTACCGCGCGAACCCGGTAGCCAAAGGTATCGACCCGCAGACGGCGCGCGACACGCGAGAGGCGCGAGTCTCGGATCTCGGAGCTCGGCAGGAGTCGTTCTCGCGGTTCCTCGAAATCCGGATCGAACCCGGTCGCCATCTTGGGAGCACCTCCGGCGACGGCATCGGCGGCAGGTTGGGCGACAGGTTAAACGGAGCTCGGGCGGACTTTGGACGGAGTTTGGACGGAGTTGGAACGGAGTTGAAACAGAGTTGGAATAGAGTTGGAACAGAGTTTGGACAGAGTTTGGACAGAGTTTGGACGGTGCAGGAGTCGACGGTCGTCGGCGACTGCGAGTCTCGGGCCGCGGGGGCCCCGGGTGTCCTGGCGACTGGCCGCCGGGGCGGTGCGCGCGGGCTTGCGCGCGCGGGTGGACCGCGCGCCGCCCGACGCTGTCGCCGCCGGGCGAGAACCGCGACGCGGCGACCCGGGGCACAGTCGGGCCGCAGTCGGGCACTGTCGCGGTCGGCGGTCGCGGTCGCAGTCGCAGTCGCAGTGGCAGTGGCGCGCGCGCGGAACGGCTGAGCGTCGCGACGGCCGCGGAGCGTTGACCCGTCCGGACGGAGCCGCAGGAAAGCCAACTCGGCGCAGGGACTCGGACGCGAGAGGGAAGATGGCGCGGCCCGCGGAGGTGGAGCGTTGACCCAGTTCTCGCGTCGCAGCGCGCCCCAGCGCGACCGGCGCGGCCCCAGGTGCCCGGTCCGAGGCGACTCGGCCCCGTTTCCGTCCGGCAGCCGCGCTCGCGCAACCCGCCAGCATTCTGAAGAGATTCGACTTCAGGGGGGCCCTGGCAGGCTCCAGCGGGGCCGGCAAGATGGGCAACAACGCCGCCACCGCCAACAAGAAGGTCGACGCCGCAGAGAGCGTCAAGGAGTTTCTCGAACAGGCCAAGGAAGAGTTCGAGGAGAAATGGAAGAAAAACCCGACCAACACGGCCAGCCTGGAGGACTTCGAGAGGATCAAGACCTTGGGCACGGGCTCCTTTGGTCGGGTCATGATAGTCCAGCACAAGCCGACCAAGGAGTACTACGCCATGAAGATCCTGGACAAGCAGAAAGTGGTCAAGCTCAAGCAAGTCGAGCACACCCTCAATGAGAAGCGGATCCTCCAGGCGATCCAGTTCCCCTTCCTGGTTTCGTTGCGTTTTCACTTTAAGGACTATTCCAATCTCTACATGGTACTGGAATATGTGCCTGGCGGTGAGATGTTCAGTCACCTGAGGAAGGTCGGCCGGTTCTCCGAGCCCCACTCGCGCTTCTACGCGGCGCAGATCGTCCTGGCGTTCGAGTATCTACACTATCTCGACTTGATTTACAGGGACCTCAAGCCGGAGAATCTGCTGATCGATTCACAGGGCTACCTCAAGGTGACGGACTTTGGTTTCGCCAAGAAAGTCAAGGGTAGAACGTGGACCCTGTGCGGCACGCCGGAGTACTTGGCCCCCGAGATTATCCTGAGCAAGGGCTACAACAAAGCGGTCGATTGGTGGGCCCTCGGAGTGCTGGTGTACGAAATGGCAGCCGGTTATCCGCCCTTCTTTGCCGAACAGCCCATTCAGATCTACGAGAAGATCGTCGGAGGGAAGGTCCGCTTCCCCTCGCACTTTGGCTCGGAGCTGAAAGACCTGCTTCGCAACCTGCTCCAGGTGGACTTGACCAAGAGGTACGGCAATCTCAAGGCCGGAGTCAACGACATCAAGGGGCACAAGTGGTTCGCCAGCACCGACTGGATAGCCGTCTTCCAGAAGAGGATCGAGGCACCGTTTATCCCCGTTTGCAAGGGGCCCGGTGACACCAGTAACTTTGACGATTACGAGGAGGAACCGCTAAGAATCTCATCCACCGAGAAGTGCGCCAAAGAGTTCGCCGAGTTTTGAACGCACGGTCGAGTCGCGCACGACGTTCGACTTGACCTCGGTGAGCCGTCGCAGCGTCTCGAGGGGCAACGGCGCGCTTCGGCCGCCCTCACTCCGGGAGTCGCCGCGCCGCGACCCGGCCTGGCGAGCCTTCCAAGGGACGAGACGCGGGTCGACGCCGCGCGACCTAATTTGGTCGTCGTGTACAAAGGCTATTACTTTTTACTAGGAGAAACCTTTTTTTTAGTCGTCGCATCGACGATCGTTTCCTGGATCGACGTTCCCAGAAAGAGAAAGAAAGAGAGAGCGCGTGAAAGGAGGAGAGAATGCGAGTGAGAGTGAGAGAGAGAAAGAAAAAAAAAAGATATTTATCGGACGCACGCCAAGATCGGTTGCATCGACTACGGGTATCGACCTCGCGAACGCTGCTTTCGAAACCAGGGTGTACGCATCGTGCTGCCCCTCCGTTGCAGTGGTTTTCCAAGAGAGATCTGCCTTCGCTCATCGCGTACAAACGTTAAAAGAATTAAACTTAGCCGTTGAATTATCCTTTAGAAGCTCGTCGTCGCTGCTCTCCTAGAGTGATAATCGTTAATGCTCTTCTCGTAGTGTAAAAAATCAAAGAGGACAGTGAATGTCTACCGTGTCGTTACGAACTGCCCTTCGAGAGTAAACAACCGAAGAGGAATCGCAAGATACTTCTACGAGACCATGGTTTTACCAGTGCTTTACCAGTGGAATTCCAGTCCTAACGTACTCTACGGTCTGTTATCCGTTAACTCCGCTACGAATCCAAGTTTCTTCAAAGGTCGGATCTACGATTCGTCTCTAACCTTCGTCAAGTTCCTCTGGAAACGAAGAATGCTCCTGTACGATTTTTTGATGTCTGGAATATCTCGTGGTGTTCACTGGACATTGAACATCGACTCCGAGCAACCTCCCATAGGACGTACCGACTTACCAGGCAACGCCAGTGCTCGACCTAACCCTGAGTTTGTGATCTAAGTACGTGGATAGCTCGAGGTGGAACTCGTTGCTTGTTGTAGGAAGTAGTGTGGTGTTAACTAATTTTAGTACAGCCCCGTCGGCGCCGCACCGCGAGGAGGAGGTGTGCCAGGTCGATCGACATCGGGCAACTAGATGCCCGATGCCTACGACGAATGCCAAAATTTTGATATTGACCTCGCCGTCCTCCGATTCAATGCGGACACCTTAGCTTGGCGGTGCGACGTGAACAGCATGTATCGTGTAGTTGCAGTTTGCTTGATATAACCTAAAAATATGTCGAGAGCGACACAATAGGGCCTCCGAAGGTGACATGCCTGCTGCTTCGGAGGACCCTCTATATGTTCTTTCGTATACTCGGGACTGTTCGTGTCACTTTTTCACCGTTTTGTCAATAGTACCCTTGTAATACAGTAAATGCACCAACTCTAGTTCTCGGTGTAAGGCTCGTAAGGCCCAGTAACATGAGAGAGGCTTACCTCCGAGTCGAAACTCTTGGCACTCCTCTCGACGCGTTAGGACCGCTCCACGAATATCTTCATCCGATGATTATTTCTGGCATTTCCGTGGGCAGAGCGGTCAGGTACGGTGTTTTAAGAATACTGTACGCGGGAGCGTAAAACTCCCTCTTTCCTGTCTAGAATCGAGTCTCGGTCGGGAAGAGCGCTTCTCGGGTAAAATTAGGCCTCGCCTCGAGTTCGCGTTGGGCAATCGTAAGAGAATACCTCTTTCAGGGTAAATTCAGACCTCGGAACCTCTTGCGACCTGGTTGAGCCGCGGTTACTGAGAAGGATAAAAAGAAAAAGAAACGGATATTCATGGATAGCTAGACCTCGCAGATTCTCCTTGAGCCAGGATCTAACCGCCAAGGAAGAATAGCTTTTTCGGAGACTCGCTCACTTTTTCTAGACACCCGACAAGAAATAGGATTTAGGTCAGGCGTGGAAGGTTTTATTAATAGCGAAGGGACTCGATACGTGCGAGACTGGCGGAAAATGGGTATTTATCCGAGATTGCTCCAACGTGGGCCACGGAAAATGCCGCGGGCATGTAAAGGGCTCGACGTCCGATGGGGTCTTCGCCGTAGCTCGTGCTTGGAAAACTTTCAGACACGAGTCCTTTGTCAGCTCTCGCTTATCCTCCAGTAGAGAGTGGAACGGGGGTAGTTAAATGGTATTTGACATTAAAATTGAACTTACTTATCTCCAGTGAGTGCAAACACACGGTCATTAATTTCAATTGCGAGAGAGTCCCAGAGACGCTGCTCATGGGCACGAGGAAAGAGCCAAGTCACGTCGGACGTTGCGCGAGTCCTGGCCGATTCGATTTGAGAAACTTTGCGATAACAATACCGCGGGCAATCGATCAATGTATAAACCGATATACTTCCCGTGGCCCTGGTCCGCCGATTGGCGAGTAATCGGTGCAAAGCCTCCCCTGAAACGGAAAACCCTTCGGCATCCGTTTCCCCCCAAAAAACGAAATAACGAGTCGCGAGTTCCGAGACACTAATACCATTGCCCTTTATATTCCGTCAAAGGATTATTTCCAATGGCCTCACCTCGGCGTCGAATAATTCAATATCCCTGGGAGGGATCAAGCCGGGTGCCAGAATTCTAGAAAGAAAAAATAATGACGCTAACGTTTCATTCTGGATTTTTCTCTCTATAATTATTCCGAAAGTGAGGAGATAATTTTCATCTTTAAGGCGAACGTTTTTGCGCGAATCTCGAGTCGAGGGATGATTTTAGGGAATTTTTGGGTAACGCTCGAAATGTCGTTATTGTTTTAATTTCCATGCATCTCGCGTACGCGAGATAGCGCGCGTTATCGCGGGAGCCTCGATATCGCGAAAACGATGCCGGTCGATAAGGCACGACCGATAACCGCGACCTTGAAATCCCGATTACTCGAGCGGACGATCGAGCCGAAAGCCGACCTCCTTTCGAATTTCTTTCCGCACTTTGCTCCGCGTTTTCATCCCTCTATCACCGGCAGCGTTAAGAATTCCCGGGGAGTCGCGGCATAAACGGCGATAACAGAGGGCACGATAAGCCACGAGTCCGACAAGGACTGTGGGGCAAATTTTTGGAAGTACCCTCCAAACCGGGAATACCTTGATTGGGGCTTCATGAAATTTCTCGTTATCACCTAAACTCACTTTGTCATAGTTGGAGGTTCATAGTATACCGAATGGACGAAGAGGTGACGCGAAACGATTTAAAGAGATTTTTCTTGCCGAACGCGGAAGAGTACGACGGATAACGCAAATTTTTGGAAGTACCCTCCAAACCGGGAATACCTTGATTGGGGCTTCATGAAATTTCTCGTTATCATCTAAACTCACTTTGTCATAGTTGGTGGTTGATAGTATACCAAATGGACGAAGACGTGATGCGAAACGGTTTAAAGAGATTTTCTCTTGCCGAACGCGGAAGAGCACGACGGATAACGCAAATTTTTGGAAGTACCCTCCAAACCGGGAATACCTTGATTGGGGCTTCATGAAATTTCTCGTTATCACCTAAACTCACTTTGTCATAATTAGTGGTTGATAGTGTACCAAATGGACGAAGAGGTGACGCGAAACGGTTTAAAGAGATTTTTCTTGCCGAACGCGGAAGAGCACGACGGATAACGCTGACACGAGGCGTTGGTATCGACCGATCGCCTTCGTCGTTAAGATACGGAAGACGAAGTGCATATTGGAAGTGCATATTCATTACCGCGCGTCCTCGTCGGGAACCTCTTTGAACGTTTCTAAAAGTCCTTGCGGCCGTCTCGAATCCGGAGGCCGAGACTTTTGCTCTCGCCATTCCGCCAGGCACGAATAGTCGAATTAATTGCGAAAAGGAACGGCTCCATAATCGAACCTTGGTTAGGCTCGAACGAATCGATCGTCGCCGGATCACGTCGCGCCGCGTTCGCCGGAATATCTATCGGTTCTTGTCGAAGTATCGAGGTCGTTCGAGCCTAATACGAATGGAAGGTCCTAACAGTGGCGATTTTCGAATCGTTGCCTACCCGACCACCATTGCGATAAAATCGAATATAATATCGAGATTCCATAACCTCGCGGACCAGTATATAAATTATAAAAAATTACTTTCCGCAACGAACCGACTACTTGCCAATCGTCAACGTATTCTCCGTCACCCTTGGTCACCTTTCCTGGTGCAATTGTCTCCGAAGCTAAAATTCGTTGCGAAAAAAAATTCCCAAATGTGTATTTTTGAGAACTACCTCAAAGGGTTCTATGGAGAAGAGACCTAAAAATACCCTCGATACCGCGTACGCGTCCTTTATCTAATCAAAATCTAATAATTCCACTCGAGATATCATCGCTCCGGCCTCAAAATGCGCATTCATTCATGCCTGGATTAGCCTCTGATAAGCCTGTAAACAAATCTTATAGACACTTATAGACACTAGCGGACGCGCTAATTTTACCCACCGACTATAGGAGTCTCGCCTGGTACTTTCCTTGGGAATCCTTCATTCGCGGTGTAAGAATATCCTAAGTATTTTATTTTATTGTTCTTTTTTTTTTCCTTTCCTATTTTCAACGCATAAACCTTCCCTCCGGGCGCGGACTATCGTCCACGTTATCGCTGCGGATTATTCTTCGACACGACAAATGGCTTAACCTGCACTCCGTTACGCAATAATCTCCCTTTAAGCTCGTTTCCCATCGATCGGTCAAACTCGGAGTTACAGGAGCGGCCTTTCGTTCGAGTTTCGCTTTGATCAGCCGACGTGTATCACCTGGGGGGTCACTAGAAAAATTCGAAATCCGAGTCCTCGACGCATCTCCGGTTTTCGTTCGCGCCCTCGAGTCGAGGTCGATCGCTCGTCGACCGGTCGTCAGGGTCGAATTCGGGTTTCGTCCGAGGAGCCTTTCGAAAGCCTACCACGTAGGTTGGCTAATCGCGGAATTTCGTCCCCCGCGACCGTGACCCTAAAATCTGGAAATCAGCCGAGGCCGAGGCCGATTCCTCGAGGCGTACCAAAGAGTTTCACGATCTCGAGGAGCCAGCTGCGCCGGTCTCGGGAGATACCCTGACTCGGTGGGTCCTTCCGACGAATCGCCAGGCGGGCTGCCGAGTAATTGGATCGAGTACTTTCGAAATTGAGAGTGGCGGCCCGGTCGACGTCGCCGGTGGTCGTTGCGCAACGCTCGTCGCGCGATACTCGGACGAGGGTAGACTTGGTGTTTTTAGACGGGCACGTTTACGTATCTTTTGGACGTGCACATTTGCGTATATCGGACGTACACGCGCGCATGTTTTGGATGGGCACATTTGGGTATTTTGAACGTAGAAATGTCCGTTCGGGACGTAAATGCCCCCGCGTCTAGGAAGTACCCCGGAATTGCGGCGGGAGATACCATGCGAGAGGATTTTGATACCATTCGATATGATTTGATACCCCGTAAGTGCCCTCGATTCGATATTTCCATGGGGAATTTCGAGACTCCCCGCGACGGAGGAAACGCGGCTCATCCGGTTAGTCGCGACTCGAGATATTAGAGGGCCGACCTAGAACCGCGTCAGGAGGTGCACCGAAGCCTCGGCAACGCCGAAGGACTGGGTCTCTCCCGTTGCCGATAATGGATTACGTAATCAGCGCTTCCGGGTTTAATTGATCGAGAGAGACGGATGGCGAGGCGGGGTTAAGGGCGCCGGGAAGGGATAAAATCGTTAACGCGAAACGCGCCGTTTGCCGACCGACTCGACTCGGGATTGTCCCTCGAGGACCGTTGCGGTCCGAAACCGCGACTCGCGTGCGTTGTCCCGCTTTTATTAGAGAAATTGAAACGCCGAGCGGCCATTCTGAAATTCGATTAACGACAGTCCCTGCCTGGACGCGGCCTAGACGCGGAAGTTGCCTGCAATCTAGGGGGTGGCGAGGAAAGCCCTTTTTAACAATGGCCAGGGTCTTTCTTTTAATATTTTTTAAATCACCATTTGGAACCTTTGCGGGAGTCAAAGATTAATGATTAAGAATATTAATCACCGCGAACCGAAGTGGCGCGTCCACCAGGGGGTCCGGACGTCGACGTCAGTTCATGAGCTGGCGAGGAGAACATTTTCTAAGAATGGCCAGGGCCTTCCCTGAAATGTTTTTAAATAATCATTTGGGACCTGTTAATGTTTTATATCCTCAATTTCCACCGATGAATGTAGCGGCGCTTTTTCGCCGCGGTTTCCGATACGGAGCTATCCGACCACCCGATATGGTTGCATATAAACGTGCACCTCTCCCCCGTGCTTAATACCTTTATATGGAATTGATCTCCGAAAAGGCGTCGACCATTTTAATCTAATCCTCGCCGATGACCCCTCCCTGCTGGAGGGAGAACGCCACTCGTTGCTTTTCCCATTTTATCCTCGATACCATCGATTGCTTTTCACGGAGTCGATTATGGATTCCTTCTCGAGCGAGAAATTTGCCTTCCTATTGAGGACTCGATTAACGTTATTTGCAGGAGGCACCGATTCACCGAGTAGTCCTCACTCTACATTTATCCTCGAAAACCGAGATCTGAGCCCCTTAATGTAATATCGTTATTGTATATTTTTTTTTTTTTTAGGAATTTTTATCGACTTTTGCCATAGGGTCTTTCACTTTCCTAGTCAAGGGTAGGCGATGTTCCTCCTCGGATCGAGTAGGCAAAAATTCCAGATGGATTTGAGAAATGGAAGTGGAGGTTCGATTAATCCATCCAAGCGTGGAAAATCGAGGAGGAGAATTTAATTGAATTCCGGAAATGATCCGCGAGCGTTGCGCGCGATAATCTACGTACACGTACCGCCGGTACCGACGTTGACGTAACGTCGATATCGCGCAAGGCGAGGGGCGCGGATCGATTATCGAATTTCCGTCGATCTCTTGGGCTTCCTTGGCAAGGAACGCCGGAACTGCGAAACCTCGTACGTGTGCGGGCACCCCTGCGAGACGCCGGATTTAGAACTCTCGACGTAAGGGCGAAATTCCCGAGCCCGGGCAGGCGATATTGGACCGAACCGCGGACAGGGACGGTCCCTCCTCACCGCGATTGGACCATCGCACGGATTACGGATCGCTACGATTTATCGAGTCCATCTTTGGTCACGCTCGTCGCGACTATTCGAACGATCGTTGTATTTTTTAAAAAATTTTTTTTTATCTCCCGAGATCAAGGATCGTTCCGAGGGAACTTTTTAATCCGAGCGCGTACGCTCGTCGGAAACGGCGAATCTCTCGGAGCGGGGCTTCGGGTGTCTCCTCGCGTCCGAGAATAGTCCCGATGCACGCACGCGTGCACGTAATCGCATCTCGAGGACCATCTGTCCGACACTCGGCCGTAAGTGGAGGACGTCAAACGTCACGGCGCGTGACGCGCACTCGGAGACGACGGCTTCCACTCGGTACCGACCGGGTCGGAAAATTCCGCCGAAAAGTCCACTGCTTGGGGTGATAGTAAAAAATGTGATTTTTAATTAAAACATTACTATGTTCTATCGGGGTCTCGAGAGACATCCGTAAATCAGCTAGAAAAAAAGAAATATATATATAAGCGTCTCTCGACAGGATAATCAGTCGCTGCAGAACCGTGAAAAGGAGAGGTACAATGTCCATGGGAGTGCCTCTATCCGTGGAACTGGGGTTTTTTAAAAATATCGAAAGGACCCAGTTTTCTGCCCCAGAGGGCGAGGAGTCCCGGTGGAAATTCCTTCCGGTGGTACGGACGCGAAACGTGGCCCCGTCGAGAGTTCCCCCGTTTCGTTCGGATCGATCGTAGCAGTGCGGCTCTCGTTTCGAATCCACTTGTTCCCTCGTCGCGTTGGCCGTTTCCTAAGGCGCTCGGTTCGGGTACTTTCCGCCTTGGCGGACTAATTGGCTCCCGGCCTATCGTAAATCGAGAACTCGTAATGCCGGCCGCGGCAGGATTTCAAATTAAGTATTTCGGGGAGGGGAAAAAGAAATTCCTGAAATTAAAATTACTGCCGTGAAAATTTGGACCGCCGGTGGATGGAGAGGAGAAGGCATTCGCGCCCGTCGTTGGAGTCGGGCGTTAATTCTAGCACCGTGGGCGACGATCGGAAAGACGCGATTCGCCTAACCGGGTTTCTCGAAGTCCATTAAACCTTGGTTATTAACGGGTCCGAATGCGCCATTGTTCCCTCGGTATTAATATTAATGCTCTCGTGGAGCTCCGAGATTCGCGGATCGATCCCGCGAAACGGAGGTGCCATTAGGCAGCGCCCCGACGTACTATTTCTAGAGCGAAGTTCGCACGATCGATCCTTCCTTCCGCCGCTTCCTCGGGCCCGAAGTGCGCGTTCGACATCTGCCGGTTCGCACGCTTCGAAATTGAAGAGCCTACGCCGGAACAGCCGCGAGTCCCTCCGCGCGGTAAGGGCCATATTCCCGCGACCGGTCGCGGGAACTTCACCCTTATCGACGGTCGGGGAGCGATCGCTGCTCGATTTACGACAGCCTCGCCCCGACTTTCCCCTAATTATCCGAACCTCCGGAATTAATTCGCGCGCCTAACGAGATCGCGAGTGGAACGGTAAAACTTGGTTAATGGAAAGTCACTTTTACGGTCGAAAGTTTCATTCTCTCGAAGAGTCGGCAAATAGAGGTCCCGGGTAAGAGGGAAGCTTTTAATTCTCTAACTGGAGTTTAATCCGACGATATTATGCCCCTGGACGAGTTATACGCAAAGTGGGGACCAAGTTCCGCGATCTCGCGATTACGGTGCAATTATTTGTCGCGATTTATAATTCCGTCTGGCCTCTCGTTAACGGTACACCGGGGAAGGTAGGAAAAAAAAAAAGAGCGAGGCAGAAAAGAATCTCGAACGACGCACGCGAGGGATTCCAGAAAATTGGGAATCGATTTGCTTAATTCCTGCGACAAGTCCCTCGTAACCAGGCTAAAAGGGGGACAAGTACGCTCGCGCATGTATACGATCCCGTGAAAGTACTAAAAGTCCGAATTATTTTTACGGCCCGTTTCTCACCGTGCACTCACGCCGAGGTTTAAGGTACACCGTAAAAAAAAAAAAAGAGAAAGAAAAAAAAACTCGGCGCAGTAAACTCGACGTTGCGGGCATATTTACATGCACCGGGTGGTGTTAATTACGACGACTTAATAACACTCGGGGCAAACACGGATTTGCGGGCTCTCTTGCCGTAATCTCGAACTATCTCGCTGATGTGTCGTTTTATCGGGTGATACGCGAATCTCTTTAAAAAAAATTATTTTACTATTACCGCATTTAAGGAGAAAGTACCTGTACGGTTGCGATGGATACGCCATATCGCCTAGGAGAGATTTATCTCTTCTTCGTCCCGCGTTGAGGGCAATCTCGACGTTTTCGACGCGACTTTTATAAAATAGAGGAAATTTCAAAATGGCGTCGATTTCATGATTTCGCAGCTACAGCTCGGCGCACCGGGCTTCGGCAAAGCCGTCTTCACTCGGCTCGAAACTCGCGGTTGAATGGAAACGGATCCGGGTGGAGTGTCGTTATTTCGAGCCGTGTTTGGTCAATGTGACGGGGCTATAAAGGAGTGAAAGCAGAGAAATTTCCGCGGCGTTGCTCGCGATTCGCATCGCCGAGCCGCCATTGTCGCGGCCTCTAATCGATGCACGATGCCGCCTCTTGTTACGATTCGCTTACAATTGCGGAAAAAAAAAAAAGAAAAGAAAAGGAAACCGACCGAATGGCATAAACACCCTCCGGCTGGCTCTTTTTTCGTCTTCACCCCCGAGAGTCGGTACCTTCCTCGCATTTTCCCCGATTTTCCTAATTCCACCAATTGTCATCCTGGAATCGCCCATACAATTCATAAATATCGGAGGAGTTAATTTTCCGGAATTTTCCCGAGGCTGAGGAGGACTCGGAGAATCTGCGGGGATATCACCGGATATCGATTAATTATGGTCTCGCGTGATTAATCGATATGAAGGAATAAATTCGGTCCTTCCGGGCGGTGGAAACGACGTTTTATATGGTAGACCCCGTTTCTTCTTTTTTTTTTTGTTTTTTCCCCTTGGTAGTTAAAATCGTGATATATATGTTTATGAAAATTTGGACGCGTTTTTAACTCGCGGCCATTGGAAAGCGAGCGGATTCATTCGACTCGATTTGAGAGTCTCGTATGAAGAGCGCGCGATATGTGATCGGGTCGTGTTCCGGTTTACACCGACATAGACGCGACGCACGTCGTAGGTGTTTATACGGATCCTCTGTACACGATGGGTCTATGTATTTATACGGAATACCCGCAATCGAACGTATGTACGTAGTGCCCGATGCGAGTCGGTACAAAGTGCCGGGGCATCGAGGGCACGGTGTAAACTAGTCTTGTAGATTGTACCTCGTTACTCGCCCTATAAGCTATTGTATCTCCCGGAGATACAAATATAAATAGACATATATCCGGTGCATGTACGTGTACATACGTCTATTAGTCGTTTGTATCCCTCCCGAAGGGTATCTGACTTAGAACGAATTATGATTTGTCGACTCACCAATCTCGTTACTCTTTTCCTTTCTTTTTTTTTGTAAATATTAATTTAAATAAATCCTGTTATCGACATTGTATTATTTACTCTACCGTCTCCCCTTATTTCGTTCTCGCCCTACCCTGACCACCATCCTTGTTATTTTTCAGTTTGCAGCAGAGTTTCTGGATTTTCTCCTCGGGCTCCGGAATTAAGCGCAAAGTGGACACGTTACGAAGATGACGGATCGCGTTGAGGGTACTGCAATAATTATTAGGATGCACACCTTTCACGGCTTGGAATTGAAATCTCATGGTTACGCCGGGTGGAGGGTCGAATTATGGGAATATAAAGCCTTTGAGGGAAAACATTGCGAAATACTTTACACCGCTCTCGCCGTACCGGTTATGAATTATTAATGCCACTAAATCTGGGGTATTAAAGGATGCAATTTGGCCGGGCTGCGGGATCGGTTTTTTACTTTAGACTGCATCGCTCATTCCCTTTGATGCTTTACGCTCAAGTTCCATAATCCGCTACAACGTTTCTCCTGTACTCGACGTGAAAATCCCGAGGTGGGCACTTTCAGCTCCCGGTTTATATCGCGAGTACGCGTGCATGGAAGGTACAACTCGGTGCACCTCCGTACAATTTCGTGCGTATCAAGGATCAATGGAATTCAATTACCGGAAAGGTCGGGTTGCTCGATCGAACGGTCGAGCGTGCGGTAACCACCGGTGCTATTTTTTTTTTCTATTTTTTTTTTCAGCGCTCCGCACCTACTAAAATCGGAATTAAACATAGAAAAAGGACTCAACCCTTTCGCTACGATATATTTTAATACATGCCACGCGTGATAGGAAGTAGACCTACAATCGCGATCTTCACCGTGGATTCGATTAGAGGGAGTTTGTGTTTTTTTTTTTTTGCAGAATTTTTTAGAGGCCTTCAACGACCAGAATAACGCGAGGACGGATCGAAGTTGACTCCATTCGTGCATCTAATGCTTCGATTCATTTACGGCCGAATGTCGCGTGGAGGAAATAAAGCCAACCTGATTTTTGCGGCTTATTTCGATCCCCCTGCAGCGCGCTCTCGTTATCGCGAGTTTATCGACTGAAGTATTATAAGCACCCTCTCCGATGTACCGTATGCAGAGTACATAGGTGCCGGGAAAATTGCACGGTAATTACTGCGAAACGAATCCGAGAATAGTCGTCGCCAAGGGAAAGACTTTCGTGGCATTCGTCATGGTATATCGATCCTGAGTAATTCTTTTTCCCAAGTAGGGCCTAATTAAGTAACTACACTTCTTGCGAATTCCTATTACATGACCGGAATTTGTGGACCGTTTGTATGACCACTCACGACATGGTGCGTGCGAGTATGAAACTTCGACCGATAATTAAGCAGTAACCTCAACGGTCGATATTGCAAAAAAAAAAAATTAACTCCACTTCCTTCAATTAAATATCGAATTTCGGGTTTATAAGTAACCTCAACGGTCGATACTGCAAAAAAAATTAACTCCACTTCCTTCAATGAAATATCGAATTTCGGGTTTATAAGTAACCTCAACGGTCGATACTGCAAAAAAAAATTAACTCCACTTCCTTCAATGAAATATCGAATTTCGGATTTATAATTGCAATCGACGGTTTTCCTGGACGCAGGATACGAGTCTCACGACTCGATGCGTAGATGAAACCTTGATCTCGCAGACACGGGAGATCCTCTACGACTCAAAAGGGATCGGAGCAAGCGTCGACAAAGGTATCGCAAGTCCCGGACTCGAGATGAAATCTCGCAAGTAAAAGGAATCTTTGATAGAGTAATCTTCTCTGCAGAGAGGGGTTCGTATGCATCGGAAGAATCTATTTCCGGGACCGGCGTCTCGGAGTCTCTCGCTGCGACGATTTCTACGATTTCCAGGATTTCACCTCGAGGACTCGGTCGTTAGATTTTCATCGGACAATGCTGCGGGAAAATCGATGCGAGGGAAAGTTCGATGTATCCACGTGTAAGCGCATCCAAGAATAGGGGCAAAATTATACCCGGACGTCGCCTCGTTTCCTCCTTGATTTGCATACATCCCTCGTGGGCTCCGCGATTACGGTTCCCTATTAGATCGTTATTACAACCACCTCCTCGTCGCCCGAGGCTCCGTCACCGTTATTTCCGTTCAATAGTCCTTTGCGACAGAAGCTCCGTGAGAACCGTAGACGAAATTCGCTACGTCGAGTACCTCTAATCCTGACTTCTGACGATCCCGAAAACCCAATACCGAGGAAAATAATGACCTAACTTAATTCCTTAATTAAAAAGGAACGTCGATTTAATAACCATTTTATAATGATTTTATAACGAGGGCCTATCGCTCTCGATATTGAATCGTGTGATTTCGATCTCCGGTTAGATCTTTATCGAGATAAGGGGTTTTATCGGGCTTATGGGGACGAGATTATACGAATCGATCTCGAGAAAATGAGAATCTGGCCAGGGAGATCGAAGTTCAGATTCTCGACGTGTTTCCCCGGGATATTTCCGGCATTGAGAGGGGATCGAGAAGATCAAGGACCACGATCGAGATGGCCGTGGCCTTTCGTGAATTATAGGCTATCGTCGAGGAGCGAGCGACGAGGAAAAATATTCTTCTCCATTTTTTATTCCAACGGCTTCGACTTCGGTGGCCATTCCCCGGGAAGAAAAAGTTGTCCGGCCGCTTGGTACCCGTCGTTTCGTCTCCAACGAGAGTATTTACATCTCTCATCGTTACTTGCAATTCCATTCCTTCGACCGGGCCCCACGATCGGTGCAGGTTCCTCTCTCGGTCGAGATTCGGAGCCGACGACGGCGCCGGGGCCGACAAAGTGGAAATTGGTTTTTGCACTCTCGAGCGAAATCCTCGGGCTGGCACCGGGCCGATAATTTCATTCGGGACGTTTCCGCGCAGGAGCTACGGCGATCGTCCCCGTAATAGATTTTCTACCCCACAAAGAAGCCGGGGATGCGGCTCAAAGTGGGGAAGGGATCGGCGAAAGGCGGCGGGGATGGAAGTCGGAAGGTGTCCGCGAGTCTCGGTACTCGGTACTCGGCATTCCGCCCTCGGTACTAAATATACCCACCTATATACCCGTTCCTCCAATAAAGGTGGTCTTATTAAATTCTTAGCCGGCCGTTCGCGCGACAATTTCCTCGCCGACTTTGTCTAAGCTTCGACGACTCCCTCCGGCCTTTGGTACTTATTTCTTTTTTTTTTTCTCGGCTTTTTCTCTTCCTCTTTTTACGACCGACTATTTAGCGAGCCGATGTAAATAGGCGGCAGGAGGAACGAGGACGTTATTAATGCAACAGGTCGAGTGGTTATCCTTTGGCTCAGTTTAGTATCGATTTTTCATTTAGATGCGAATCCTTGGCGCTCGGATTAACCGTTCTAGTGGTCTTCCCCGTGCATTTCTGATTAAGCTGAAATAATTGACCCGCGCGAATTGATTTCCCCGATTAGCGAGGAAGTTGGAGCAATTAATCCGGGGAATTAAGGGGCCGCGGGTTTTTGAGATGCTTCCCACGAGTCTCCGGGAAAATCTCTTCGAGGGCGGTGTTCTTATTAAATTCCTCGCGAGCGACTTCTCGCTTTGGGTGATCGCGATTTTATCGTTTACTTTTTCTTATTCTCTTTGACCGGTCATTTTTCACCCCACGGGTAATCGACGACGTTCGAATCCGATTCCACGGTGACGGATGCTTCTTTGACGTGGCCGCGTCCTCGTATAATCGAGTCGCGTGTCTCGATTAAAAGTTTAAATTGAAATCGTTGACCGGCATGTTAAGGGTTTCGAGATACGCGGAAAGTGCTTCCCGTGGAGAAGACTTTTCCTCCGGCTCGAAACACGCTCCGAAAGTCGGGGCTTTATCAACGGCAAAGGGAGCTCTTGAAAGTGCCCGTAGTCAAGTCAGAGACGCCTCTAAAAGGGTTAAAAGGACTCCCTTTTGCCCGGTTATTTCTGATGCCCCGACAGCACTTTGTCGTCAAACGCTCACGTAAGGCTCGAACTTTGGCGGAATTACTGAATCGCGGAAACTAAACGAACCACGCCTTCGCTTTGTCCTCGCGACGGTGCACTTCGGGTCCCAGAAGTGCAGCCTTTTTCTACTTGGGATTTTAAACTTTCCTTACTTTCGAGCGCTCCTCGTGACTTGTACATCGATTATCCGACTCGTGGGGAACTCGAATTTAATAAAGAGCCCGCTCGGGTCATTACTTATCGAGCCATCGAAGACGACCGAGCTCTTTGCGGAATGGGTAATCGGTAATCGGCGGGTCCGATAGCACACGCTCGACTTTGCCTTTCTCTAAAATTACTCCCTTTGGATCGAACGATCGCGACCCCGAAGGCCGACTATTTCTGCACGTGAAATATATCAGGTCTTAAGAATATATCGGTTCTCGAATCTGCAAGATAAAATAATATCGACGATATATACGATTTATATACTCCCGTTGATATATTTAGGGACAGTGCCTCTCGATTGCACGAGGAGCCTAAGGTAGGTCCTGAAACTCGTGAAATTTCATTTTTCATATGAAATTTGGAAAAGGTCTATAGAGAAATATTTAAAGAATTCAAATGTTATGGGTGTCGGGATTTTCTTTATAGCTTCCACATTCACATTGTCAATTTTGAAACGATCCTGAGCTCGGGGAAAAGTTTCATAATCGAGACCTCTTCTCGTCACTTTCACATCACCGCTGGACCGCGAATATTCTTTATTAATTCGTTCCTGGCGAAATTCAGGAAATTTCATCGAGTCTCAAAATAATTGGGGGCGTACTTTACGTCGGTACATCGTCTGAGAAAATCTCCGAGAGTTCTGCGCAGACCCAAAGTGCGGCAATATTTTTTGGCACGAAGCGCGCACGTGCGCACCATCGACGGATCGATTCGAGGGCGGAACGGGCTTTGGCTTACTTCGCTTTCCCGATTTCCATTCTGCCTTCCCCCTTTACCGTGTGCTTCCGTCTTCGGTTCCTTCTTTTCGCGTTCCCCAGGAAGCAGATTCAAGAAGGACCGTTCGTTAATTCGCCCGGCTTCGCCCTTTGACCGAGCGAATTCCAATTTCCAGGGAATTCCCCGGGATAAATCCCAGGTTTAATAAAAGTCCCCCCGGTTTTTCGAAACGCGTAGAAGGAAAACAATTTACGTTCAACTGGGTAACAAAGTGCGCGCAGATTAAATAAACCCCGAGCCGTAATCGGTGCCTCACCTCGTACCGCGGCGTTAAAGTGGAAAAACGTCGGAGATTACCATTGCTTCCAATAAAACAGATATCTATACGGCCGTTCCATAAAAAGATACTGCCCTTTCTATTGCGGGCTTTATTCGAAAATATACTCGGCATTGAGCGAGCCGGAACGGCCATCGATTCCTGCGATTGGATTCGCAAGGACACCGAGTCGCCTCTCCTTTTTCTTGAAGGAAACGCTCGCCAGGACGAGTCTAGCCATATTTCGCTAATTCCTCCGATCTGGCGAATTTAGAAAATTTTTGAAAATTTGGAAAATTTGGAAAATTTGGAAAATTTGGAAAATTTGGAAAATTTCTAAATGGTCCTTAATATCGACTAAAGGCCGCTTTTTGCTTTCTGTTTCAGGGATCCTCGGCGGCGGACTCTCCGCGATGATCGCTCATCATTTCCCGGTCCTCTGTCTGACACGTCGAGGAAGAAGTATTCGATTTCGGGCTTTCGGAAACTTTTTTTCCCTCCGATATCCCTAGGGATCCGAGACATCCGACGTGTCGTCGCACTTGTCACCGTTTAATCCAGTATAGCACGTGGCATTAAGTGCTTCCGGAGATTTCACATTTGAAGGATCTTCTTCTCGCCTCTCCTCCTCGCTTCCTAGCGACGACAAAATAAAACAACGATTCGAGTACTCCTTCGAAATAGGCACTTTCGACGACGATCATTTTCGGGATGACTTTCTTATTCGTCCTATTTCCTGCGCGGAATGCTATTCTTGCTCGGCACTAAAAAATGGAAACCCGTGGCACGCGGAACGGGAGGAGGAAAAAGATGAATATTTTCCGACTATTTTTGGGAGAAAATCGATGCATGGAGAGAGAGAGAGAAAGGTAGAGAAGGAGGTCATTCTCATTTGACCGATGCAAATTCTCGCTCGAGGTCGATCAGATTTCCCGGCCGAATTTACCCGGCAATTGCGAGCGCATTATTGATCTGTAGCGGGCTACGTAAGTGCTAATGTATACATTACCGATTTACAGCAGGACCAATGGACACGGCTCAAAAGTGCCCGCAATTGTAGTCGACTTGTACGGAGCGGATAGAGCGGTTACTCCTAAGATTTATCTACCGGGGTATCTCCTCTCGGTCGGAAAAGAAAGGAAGGAATAACGAAACGGGAAACAAGGAATCTCTTCGAGCAGAGTTATGAGAGAATTCTCTCCGGAAGCGGAATGAAAATCTCGGATGGAAGTAATTCTTTTTTCCTCCCCTCTTTTAATAATAAACGACCGGGAGGTGAACCGAGGCGTAAGGCATTTTTAAGAATAACGAAGGAATTTCTCCCGCGAGATCGCTGGTCCAATTTCTCCTGCAGAAATATCTCCTACCCGTGCAGGTTGGACGCGTTAACGCAATTAACGTTTATTTCGTCCTAGGTTGACGTCGACGATCCTGCGGTTCTCTTTTCTCGTGGAAATTGGCCCTCCGATGTCTTTTGGCCGGCTCGAGAGTCATGGACTAAGATTTCTTTTCTTTCCTCGTCGAACGATGGGAGAGCGACTGCGGATGGATGGTATTTTTCGATTAAAATGGAGATGAGTATTTTAATTCCCGACCCCCGTGTCGTCCCCTTCGAGATCGAGAGGACAACCCTTTACCCTTTGTCAACTGTAATCTCGTAACCTCGTTACATCGTTCCGAAACGAATCATCGAAGTCCTTGTTAGCATCCGAACGACTTTCGCTTCGCATTGGGTGAAAGCATTGTCAAATTTCGCACGCGGTGACTAATTACTAATTACCGATATGTACTCCTTATCGGCGCTCGTTGCGTCGCGTCATGAGCGAAGTCAGGTCGTACTCGAGGTTTAGTAAGTACGGCCGGATTACGGTCTACTTCGAGTACACGTAAGGACTTTCTCGGCCCCGTGTACTCGGGAGGGAAGAAGTCATACCCGCCCCAAGTGAGGTTTCGATTCTCGTGAAATATGTCCCCGATGAGTTCTCGATAGTGGTTATCAATTTCCGTTGCACCGGGTCGAAGCCTCCCTCGGGGCCGAAATTTCCTCCTGGGCATTTCGTAATGTCAAGTAACGTTGGACGAATCTCTCGATACGAGCGGGAAGGGAGGCGAACGGTACGCCCGAAAGCAGCGTCCGGGAAATTACGTGTATAAATGAAATGCGTATGTATACATGTACACACTTAGCTGTTAATTTTGCGCTAGGAAGCCAAGGACGAGACCACGCGAAACCGGAACTAAAAGGATCAAGCTTTTCCGTAACATCGCGGTGTAACGTCGTAGGATGTCCACGTACACTGTAAGAAGAATATTAAGAAACAAACCCAAAAAAAAAATAATATGAGAAAGAGAAAATCCAAGAAACAATTAACAGATGTCGTGTAAAATTACTAAAGGTATCGATGGTAATCAACAGAACCTAGAATAACTTGGGTAATTTTACCTAGGATCGTGCAAAGTGTAATTAACCCTCTCGTTGTTGAAATCAAGATGGCGGGGCAACGCCGTAGGACGTAGCCCGAAGTAGTTTCCAATATCGCTGTAAGGATATTTTCCGGTGGCTCGATTTTTGCCCTCCTATTTTCCTCGGGAGAAAAAGGAGCCCTTGAATTTCCGAAAAGGCGGTCCGCGGTGAAGTTTCGAATCCGCCTCGAATTTTCGGCAAACTCGGGGAAAATGAAACCATCGGTGCGGGGAGTATATAGAATCGGAACGATTTAACGTAACCCTCGGTGAAAGGTGACGTCGCCTTTCTTTTAGCGAGAAATAAATTCAGTAAAATAGGAAATCCATCGCGATGCGAGTCATGTCGTAGTTTCCAATAGGGAATTTCCGTTGGCCGTCTTTTCTCTCGCGAGAAAAATGAAAACGTCGAGTTTCTCGGATCGCATCCTGCGGTGGAGTTTGGAAACTGACTTTGGCCGAGATTCGCTCTCGAATCGTCGGATCCTCGGCGCGACTCTTGGAAGCGAGAGAGAAACTCGTATGCTCGGCATGTGTGACAGAAAGAGAGGGACGGAGGGCTCCAAGTAGGACTGGAGAACGAGAGCGAGTACTCCTCTTGCCGAGTAGTACTCAAAGGGAAATCAAATCGTCGGTTCGAGTATTACGTAAGTGGTTGTAAAATCTCGCATATAATACACACGAATCTAATGTATGCATGTGACAGGGAGAAAGAGAAAGGGGAAAAAAGGATGAGACGAATCGTGCACGGAGAAGAATCAATCGGAAGGCTCGCACGCCCCGACGATTTCGATGATAACGGCGATAACGATGTCGCGACGATTTCGCAATTACTTTCTAGGAGAATTGAAAGTACCGAGACGCGGATAGCCGTTTCCACCTTGAACGATGCAGTTTCGAGGGGAACCTTCCGAGTGATCGTTCCACGGGCAATTGATAACGCCTTTTACGGGTGATATACTTTTTCCCGTATATGTAATACTGGTACATCGCCGACAGGAGGTACGCCAATGAGATCGGCTTCGGAAAGTAACGATACTTGGTATTACATATATACTTTTTCCGCGCATATCCTTCTGCCTCCTCCATCGTGCCGTTATATTAACGAATTGTAAACGAATCCCCCCAATTAAATAAAGGTACGGACCACTGATGCAGCAATACGTACGTAATATGTAACTCTTGTGCGCAATCGCTCACGCTTTAACGACGCATATGTATGTATATGTACATGTATAATCGTGTAAGCCGAGGACGCGAGGACCTTTGGTACGCCAGTTTTTCATGTTTCGATCTTTTTCTACGGCGGTACGGAAGAGCGTGTCGCTTCAAGGAAAGCAATCGTTTCGTCGTTACGTCAGGATCTAAATTACCTTTATTATCCGAATTTCGAGCGTCTCGAGTACAAGTACCGAGAACGCGAAACGATTCGGCTGGTCTCCCGATTTTCGCCAATTTATTTCCTTCGGCGAGGTAAATTTCATCCTGTCGGGACGATGACAGATTTTTTTTTTACTGGGCCGGAAACGACAGCTCACCGAAAGGTGTACCGTACCTGTACGGAGGGTGTACAGAGGGTGAACAAACGCAACGCGAGATGTGTACGAGCTTCATTGAAACGCTAGGCAGCGTATGATTTCATTCCGCGTTAATTTTCTGTAAAATCCGGATTTTGGTCACCCACGGAGTCAGTGTCGATTTAATTATTAATTTCGCGCGCAGTAATTAACGGGTGCCGATCAAACCGGACGTTGCGATTTCATTTCCGTTCCCGTCAGGCTCCAGCCTCGCCGAAAAGCGGAAACGGTGCCGATTTCAATTCTCCACCGGAAGGGAGGTCTCGAAACTCGGAGAGGAAAGTCCTAAAATTCGTTTCCTCCTCGCTGGGGGTCTCCGATTCTCGAAGTGCCTCTTCGGGTTCCTTTTAGAGGGAGAGGCACTTTTCTCATCCCGGAGGTCGCCGGGATGGGAGAAAGTCCGTACATCTTTTACGTCCGAACAAACGGTCCCCGATACACCTAGAACGGTAAATCGGGTCTCTAAGTGCAGCCTGGAAACCGCGGCAATTACGCGGCTTGCGGGTAAAACGCGTCCTCGTAAAGTGGGAAAGTGGAATTCCGATAGGCAACATTAATTGCGTCACAAACCGGAGCGGTCACATTTCCGAGGCACTCGTTCGATCCCGACGGGAAAAGAAATAAAATCCACCTTACGTCTCTGTACGCGAATCGTTATTAAATATCCAACACGCATCGCACAGCGGAAAAGAGTTCTCAACCCCTCGTAGAGCCAATAATTTCCTGCTAATAATTACCTCGTATCTAAACGTCGGGAAATTAAACATCGCCGCGCGAAGGATTTAATTAATCCTAGTTTCTTTGGACCTGGGGATTATTCCCTCGCCGAGAGAGAGAGAGACATCCAGGGCGGTAATCGTCGAAGGGGTTTTTCGCGAGTACTCTCATCTCGTCGAAGCCAGGACAAAAGTGCAAAACCGAGGAGGACGAAGTGGCTCTCTATCTCTAGGAGAATCATCGGGAAATTCATGGAAAATTCATCGGGGTCGCTGAAAGATTTATCGGGATCTCTCCGAGCTTCCCAGAGGACCTTTCCGACTTAATGTCGACTTCCTTTGAGGCTGCCCTTTTATTTCTTATATCTCGCTTGTTCGGATCGGGTAACTAAATCCGTTGGACCGGTCGGAGATCTCGGTGCAGTCGGGAGACATTTGAAAATTGGTATCGCAGGTGGAATTCACTCTAGACCCGATTTCCCGGGTTTCTCGTCTAGGAGGAATCGCTTCTTACGGGAATTGCGAGCGCAGCTTCCGTAGGGAGCATTTTTCTGTGGCTCGAACCGTGGGAAAATTCGCGGGGTAATGGGGTATTCGAAAAAATGGGATTACCGGAAAAGCAGGTTTCCCGTCCCGTTTTCCGGGCACGGGTCAGCTCGTGACACTCGATGCGACATCGTGCGTGCGACCGCGGAAAAGCGATCGACTTTGGGGGAGAATCGCGAGCCGGGGCGTCGTTCACATCGGCGCTGTAAATACGTTCGGATGTAGGTACACCTGTAAAACGACAAGATTCGGTGTCGAGCGTGCGATCCGAGGCTACCTGAATCGGTCGTACCTATAGAGATGTTTAGTCGCGTGACTAAGTTCGTCTGTGAATATAATCTTAATCGTACGAAGATGTGTCTTAGGCTATTTGTATTTAAACGTTTTATTATTTACGTATTACGTAGTACTTACAAGTGATTATACGATGCATATTCTAAATAAATTATTAAATAGTTATTACATGGCCTCCTCCGTCTTGTGGTTCTGGAATTGCCCCCCTTTCCGGCATCGCGCGAAAAAATTCTCGAATTCTCGAATGAAAGTCTGGATTTTCGGGGATAATCAGGGAAGGTGATAAAAAGAAAGGTCCTGGGAACTATCGGGAGAATTCGAGGTAGGCTTGCCTCGGGATAATTTTCCCATCTTTGCCGGACCGTCGGGGGCGTCTCTCCAGGAGTGATATTTTCCCCCGATTTCACCTTTTCTAGATGGAAACACGTTCTCGGGAGGTATCTCGGAGGATTAGCCGTGCCGCAGGATCTGCAGGACGCGCAGCATCCAGTAGCAGCCTCAAAAGCGAGACTCGAAGTCCTTTGAGCCACTTTCCACCCCGAGGCGACGTCTTTCGAAACTCGAGTCCTGGATCTCTTCCACGCAAACCGGGTCGCGGACCCGTAATTACGCCATTACCTTCGGCCAGGTATTTACTTGCACACGGTCTTCCCGCCCTCGATAACATACGTGGATGCATTTTTATGTAATCCGAGAACCTCTTGGAATTGCGTAAAAGTCGTTCGAGGACTCCTTAAAATGCGCCCGGGAGCATCAAAAGCGAACCCCCGTCCGTAAACTAATTCTCCAATTAAGCCACTTTCCTCATCGAGGCTACGAAAGGGAATAACTGCCGACTGCCATTTCGACTGAACTCGGACGAGATGAGGATCGCGTCATCGGGTCGTTGATTTTTTTAAAGACAGAGGCGTCGAATTTGGTCTCGCCGAGGCCACCTCTTGGGTGACGCGTCTCTCGGGTCCAGGACGATCCTAAATGGCCAGCAGCCTTCCCGAGGACGAAATCTCACGAAATTATTTACCTTCCCACCCAGGGACACCCCGGAAGAGGACACCTCGCAATTTTTGAAATGGTTTTACCGCCCGCGGAGCCGGGCACAAAAACGCCCCTTGATAAATGACGAATTACCTCGAGATTTGATTTTTCCTCAACGGCCGTGGTTTATACGGTTAGCCCGACCCTGCTCACCGAGACGGATTCGCATTAGGAGCTAATTTCTGGTGAGGGCAGATTTCTTAGCCATTTCGCGGGAACGGGAATTTCCAGCGCGCCTTCGGTGACTCCGGGTCTCGCTCTAGTCGCTTATCGGTGCGCAGACGTACACCCCTGATAATAAAGCCTACACAATTCCCGGGCGGATGCCTCGGGAAGCCGTTTACAGCCGGATGATTCATGATCGCTAAGCCTGCCGGCATTACGAGGGGATGCACGTTTAATCGAATTCACGCAAGCCGAATCCCAGCCCATCCCGCCCGGGGGTTTGGCCTTTGAGAACGTCGCTGTCGGAAATTCAATTTAAGTCGAAATTTTAGTCGAAATCGGGTTAACCGGTGAACACGCTGGATCATAGGAGTACGGGCTGACACTTCGGACAGTGGCAGCTATTTCGAAGCGGTCGACTCCGGTTAACTGCAGTTGCATACGGATTTAGCTGCCACCGGGCAGGACCGTCATGATTGAATGATGCCAACGCTGGTAATCGCATTCGTAATCGCGACATATCTAGCCAAGTTCCTGGCAGGCATTGGCTCGACTCGAGAATCGGTCCCCTCTCGTGGATCGCGATATAGAGATCACCTTATGGCATCATTGTTTTGCCAGTTTTTCAAGTACAAGTACCCAGGGTTTTGGGGTAACTCCCCAGCTGACCCCTCGTTGCCTTAATTCCCGGTGCAGCAAAAAATCACTTACCATCGAGGGGGACATGATCGAACGATGCCAAGACCCTCGATCGCGACATATCTAGCCAAGTTTCTGGCAGGAATTGGCCCGACCCGAGAATCGATCCCCTCCCACCGATCGAGATATATCGCTCGATGGCATCACGAGTCGCGTTACACCTGTTTTTCAAGTACACCGAGTACCCAGGATTTTGGGATCGTGGCTTTTAATTCCTTGTGGAATAAAAAGTCACTTATCATCGGGGGCGTCATCGCGGGGGGCATTTCCAGCACCTCGGGCACGTCGGTGTTCCACTTAGTTGCGGAACTCCCAGATAGTCGTAACTCCCTCGAATCGAACGGTCGGTGGTTAAGTTGCAGCGGAATCGCGACCTGCAACATGGAAGACCCGAGGAAGCGAGTAGCCGAGGGTGGGTGGGTGGGCGGTGGGAGGAGACGGAGGGTGGGAAAGGATGGCAAAGGGAAGTAGAGGGTGGAACCAGGTGGCAGAGTATCGACCAGGGGGGAAGTGGGGCACGGAAGGTGCCAGAGGGCTGCGGAGTGCGAAAGGGGGGCCGAGGGTGGTCGAGGTGGAAAAGGGGCAGAGGGCGAGCGAGAAAGGGGGTGCGGTGGAGCTACCTCGAGAATTTCTCGAATTTCGAGAGTTTGCAGAATTTGCAGAATTTCCCGAATTTCGAGATATTCTCGAATTTGCCCGCTCGACCCTTCGTCGCGTCCTGCGCCCGATCTCGAGTTAAATTAATTTAACGCCCCCTCGAATTCGTTGCACCGGCTCGTCTTGAGTAACGACGTAACGCTACGCGACGAGCTAAGTCGTTTCGTGTTATCTAAGCGCACCGTAGATGGAGTGCCGAGGGATCGATCGTCGACTCCTGGAACGCGAGATGCCGGTAAGGACGTACCGGAAGGAGTAAAACGATACGCAGCCGTCTTGGCGACGAGGCTGACCCGGATTTATGAAATTTATAGGCCGGTCGAAGAAAGACGGCGCTATCTTTCGGAGGAATCGAGTCGTATCGGCCTGTCTACCGATGAAGGGAAAATCGACGGATCTCGCCGTCCTAACTTTAACTCCGGGTGTTCGACTATCGAGGACCCGGACGATCGGCGTGGGTTAAGTCGATTGATCCACCGATATCCAGTCCGCGCAGCCTTTTATGTAACGTTACATGTGTACGTAATTAGTCGTCCCTGCACAAGGTGGAGGTATAAATAAATCATGACTCGATTCCTTCCCCCGGTATTTGGCGACGTCGCGCGCGGAGGGGCTTCCGCGGTTTACTTCTGCTAACCCACAAGTGCGAGGATTCCAATCGCCCTAGCGGCCATCCTACAACCTTACGAGGTGGGGTTTCTTCGTTTACCTTGTCACCTGTGCTCCCTTTATTCGGCGAAATTCCGAACTCGCGTGATTTAGAGTCCTGGGCGCGACAGTAATATATTAAGGGCATAACGGCAAGACTGGTGGGTGAAATGCAGAAATTCAAAATGGCGTCTCGCGTTCGGACATTCGACCGGCCAGTTATTATCCTCGAGGGCCTTCGTCTTCGAGTCGGATACGTAAAAACGTGTCCGCGATTCGAATCGTCCCTCCATGAGACGGCGAGTGGCGACGAGTGCACCGCGGAAGACTCGGCTCGCGCTTATTTTAGTCGAGCTCGAGATCTTCCCTCCTTTCCTTTCCCACTTTGCGCCATTACGTCCCTCCACCTAATAACCGCTAATAATACCCAGGCGGTCGGCGCGCGTGCCCGAGAAGTCGCGCGGATGCTCCTTTCGAATCGTATTTTCTTCTTTCCCTTCCTCCCGTCGAGACTTTCGATAGAAAAGGCTCCGGAAATGTCCTCCTTCCTCTCGAGTCGCCTCTTCCTCGAGTAGACGCCATCTTGGAATATCTCGCGTATTCGCGAGCGCAAATCCGCCACTAAGAACCACCGCTATAAATTAAATCATTTCATACGCCTTTCGATAATACTTCGATTTATTCAAAGTGTGCAAATCGTCATTGAACCAAGGAAATATTACGGTAGTTCAAAGGATAATTACTTGACACGAATAAACTGGAATAAATTGGATGGGACTTTTATTCGGGATTGACAATTAATTTCGGTTGAAAGATATTTCTTCGGTACCGTTCGATGGAAATATCTCCTTGGTTCGATTCTCAGGGTGGCCAGGAGTTCCGTTACACCCTGTATAGTTGTTTGCGCCAATGCGGGAAGGAAAATTGGCGGCGGAACGGTTGTCGCGTCGCGACGTCGCGCGCCAACCGAGCGAGTGCCAATTTTTTCGCGGCGGCGGCCGTTTTGTTTTATCGCCACGTGACGCCAGAGGAGCGCCGGTGACGTCACTGGATCCACTCAGCCCGCGGACGGGAGGCGGCGGAGCGATAAATGTATTTATTAAGGGCGCTAAGAGGGCCTTTGCCGCGGCGCGAAACGTTATCGCGCTATTTATTCGCCGGCGCCTCCACTCTCGCTCGAGTCGAGCCGAATCGGCGCGATCCTCGCGAATCGCCCGAAAGAAATAGGATTTTAATTAAAGGGACCCTCGCTAAGACGAGGTGTCAAGGAACTCGGCCGAGGTCCTCGCCAAGCGCCCTCCGATCGAGGATCTTAACCTAACCTAGCTGTCGGATCGCTAATGCATACTTTCATTACGAGGTAAATAATTGTACCCGAATCGCCAGGGAAAAAATACAATTTTAATTAATGAACCAAGATCGTTAACTCGGTCGAGGCTCGCGCCAAGCGCATTCGCGTCGCAACGTCGACCGAGTATCTTAACTTGAGATTAAGTGAACCCCCCCTCAAATCAGTCGATTCGAACAAGACACTTTTTTTTTTTAAGGGTATTGGACAGAACTGTCCGAAACTTTGACACATGACTCGTGAGCACCTAGGAATTATCACCACTTCGCTTTAATATTCAATTTAACATTTAACCTAACCGGCGCGTTGGATCGCGATAATTAGTAATTTCACGAGTTAACTCGTCCTCGGTTGGCGGGTTAATTTGTTAAGTATGCGTCGGATCGCGAATGCATATACTTTCGCGTCGAGTTAATGGGTTAACGAATATCGTTAAGCCTTAATCGAACTCCACCCCGGGCGCGGTGTTTTCGGAGCTACCGGGAAATTTCGGAAGTTTTTATCAATTCTAAACTCCTAACTGAAACGCCGGTTTCACCTCGCATCTCCTAAATACCCGAGGCCCATCCAGCGATCCATGGGAATCTAATTTCACCCTCGGCTACCCTGGCACCGGCTAAAC